AGTTCAATGCTAAAAATCTGTATAATATTCAGATCTGCTTTTCCTTTTATGACAAGAAATTACATTTGTTTTATCTATGAACATTTTCTATTTGAAACCTTTTCTTTTGTAGAATGGGATGAAATGGGAAACATTACTTGAAATGGCAGTGTGTTCAGAAGCAGTTCTATAATCGTTTGTGCAGTGAGATGTTTGAAAGTAAAGAATATTGAACCTGTGTTAACAGTCTGAGAACCTGAGATCACAAAACAATCTGTAACTGATATTTTTTACTGTGAGATAAATTAAGCTATTGGAACAGTCAATTTCTGTAGTCTTATCGAATGTGTAATGTTTTAATGTCCAGACAGTTTATTTTGACATAGGGGTGTGCCCAATTGCCTACATAAAACATGTATGCGTATTGAAACGTATAGGCGATATGGGAGTAACCCTGAACTGTCACGTATGTCTTTAACGTACATGTGTATACCAAGGTGTAAATACAACTTTAAAGTCGGATTTATTAAACTAAATTTGAAAGAAAAGATTTGATTTATGGACTAGCCATACAAGCATATTTTGAGCAAAGGTCTTAGTAACGCAGTAAAGTGCGAAATGCAAGGTGGGACGAGGATGTATGTTTTCTCGTGGTCATGTGAAATAACGTGGTTCAGATGTTAAGCACATATACAGTATATACATTGAACGACTCTTTAATCAAAGTAATTAATATTTTCGTAATTGTTTCTTTCATTTAATCTAGATATCATTTTTAGTGCTGTAAAAAACAATAATATTTCCTTCTTCCACCTGCGAAAGTTTTCGTTTCCTTGTATACCTTAAAGACTACTCAACACTTTTGAGCTTTTAACTTCACGTATTAAAAGTGTCCAATTATTTAATGAATTATTTACAACACATCATATAACACCCGAAGTATAATCGGTCTGGATGATTTAAAAACCAATCTCATTAAAATCAGATCTTAGTTTTCGCTACCGCTAGCGATAGCGAGAACAAAGATCTGATTTTAATGAGATTGTTTAAAAACGAACCGATTCTTGAATCACATGGCGACCGAGTTACGAGTGATCGAAAATAGGGGTGTTCAATAGATTTACTGCAAATGAAAAAGTTTCAAAGATATTGACCTAATCTACGTTTACTTATTCTTGGGTGAATACTCAGACAGGTCATGAGATCTGCAATTTCCCAGCAATATCACGACTGCTAGTAAACGATTGAATATAAGTCGGCACGTATGTTAGCTTGACCAAGGATATTCAAGTCGGTCAACAATGGCGTCACACAATCAGCAAGTTCACACATCGGAACCTACCAGTACTAATACGCAAACAATAGAATATTGGGACATATTCTACCGTATAATCTCCACGGTATCAAATGATTCAAAACTTCATGTAAACTATACCATTGGTCCCCGGTCGCGTCATACTAACATTAAAAGAAGGCATTTGTTTTTAAAAAAAATGTTACCTTGTCTGGCGGTCGGCATTAAGGGGCTAAAACAAGGACTGGTCGGCTCGGAGTCAGTATACTGTGTCTGAGTGGGGTATTCATGTTAAACTGCGGCATGGTATCTCAGTGAGCTAGCACTATAAAACGGCATCAGTCCGGACTAGTACAAGCAGCCACACACACGTGCATGCCTGTCGCTATCACTGCCATTATCATGAACGCGGCGTTAAAACCTATTTCGCCCCCCGATACCTTTGAAAATATAACTTTGTTATGTGCAATTTAAAGTTTTGTACATGATATAATTTAATATAGATGGAATGTAACACAAACTAAGTATTCTCTATATCTCCACTATACCGGGAAGTGAAATGCACTTGCCTTGAGGCCATGGCTATATGTTAATTGTAGCCTGTTTTGTCAATGACTTGATGTCAACATGCATCACGGTTCTGTCGCAGTGTTGTCACATGTCCGCGTGATGTAGGAAGGTATGGTAAGGTACCGATATCTTTGAACTTATATCTTTGTAATGTGCAAAGTTTTGTACATGATATAATTATGGGGGACACGGGGACACAGTCGTCTGAGGCGCCGCAATTCACTGTGCAGAGTTGCGTCCCTTTGGCACGCCAGAAACCTATGATTGTGGGTTCGAATCCCAGTTCGCCCCGATTATGTGTCTAAGTTTGTCACCACCATACCCGTGCTCGTGGGTTTCACCGAAGTGGTAAACGTCTGACGGCTGCATCACTTCGGGCTTTCCTCCCACATTAAGCTGACACGCCGTGATATAACTGGAATACTGTTCAAAGCGGCGTTAAAACCAACTCACTCACTCACTATAATTTAATACAAATTAAGTATTCTCTGTATGTCCAGTATACGGGGAAGTGAAAGGCACTTGCCTTCAGGCCACGTTGCCTTGGCTATATGTTAATTGTATCCTGTTGTGTCAATGACGTCAACTGGTGTCGCCGAGTTGTTACATGTCCGCTTGCGGTAGGAAGGTACGGTGAGGTAAGTTAATCCAGTGATATAGTCTATATAAACTCAAACGCTTGTTATTCATATTAATATAGTGTCGGTGCTACCATCGTGTGTGTTTGCACATGTTGGAATCATGTAAAGACTCCCTAGTACAGGCGGGAGAAAGCTGTGTGCGCTTAATCTAACACGTTTGAGTTCTGCACAATATAGTTAACGTTAACGCCTCAATTCATGCTTATGCTGATACCATCAAGGGTTTGTCTATCCGGTGAAATACAACGACCCTAATGAGATCAGAAAGTTACAAATGCAAGAAAAGCAAGATAAATATTCTTCTATCACCTGGTTTATTTGAAATAGGCGTGTCTCGAAAACAGAAGTCACGTGTGTGTGTCTATCTCAATACCAAGGCACATCATCAATTCTTAGATTTTCATGCAATTTGGGAATCTACCTACACTCAAAACTTAGGTGGTCTACTTCTGAACACTAGACAGAACACATGGATGTAACACTTTTAGAACGCGTCCATGTGTTCTGAAAATATTCTGAACTGTGATGTTCTCGACCCAGAACAGAAGTGTTCTACAAGTATATTTAGAACGTTTCAGCGTGTTCTGACGATGTAACACTTTTAGAACGCCTTTTAAGTGATCTTGACTGATATTCAGACACTATTCAGACACAGATACTACGTTCTCAGACACTTGCTTCTAAGTCACTGAAATGAGAAGTCGTCGTACGTGTCTACTACAATTTATCTGGTGGTTTTTCAAGGCCTAAGAATTCAAATATAGCTACACATCCATACATATTCTCTGGATAAATCACACAGACGACATTCTGAACTGTAACCATTAATTATTTATTATCTTTATTTATTCAAGTCACATAAATATGTCATAAGAGATCTTGCACAAAGCAATATTCTAGCTACATGACGGCGGTCTGTAAATGATCGAGTCTGGACCAGACAGTCCAGTGACTGACATCATGAGCATCGATCCACGCAATTGGGATGCGATTAAATGCATCAACCAAGTCAGCGATTCCGATCCCGTTAGTCGCCTCTTACGACAAGCATATTTTCCTTTAATGGCAAGCATGGGTTACTTAAGACATATTCTACCCCGGATCTTTTCAGTTCTCTTTAGAACTTAATCAGCATCGACATGTGATGTACATTATAAAACAAAGTCAAGCTATTTAGGAGATAAACATACTGTGTTTTCAATGTAGAGCTAGGTTACCTGTAGATTTAACCCCGCTAAATTGAATTTGGAACCGAACGCGCAGCGTGAGGTTTCAAATGTTAAATTTAGCGGGGTTAAATCTACAGGTAACCTAGCTCTACATTGAAAACACAGTATGTTTATCTCCATTCTACCATGACTAAATATAATGCGAACTCTTTGGTGTTAGCAAAAATACTGATTGAAGCGGCATGGGTTGAGTTCAGTGTTTTGAGTGGGTTATCGATCTGAATTAAGGAATCACCGAACAAAATATGGTGCTGTATATACTCAAGCAGTTTGTTTACACCGTAATACTTCACTCGAACATATGACAGGCATTGAAAGCATATAAGCACGGCAACTTGGTAAGCTAACATGAGGTGGGCATCCCTAAAGAAAACAAAGCAAGCTTTGCAAGGCTTTCGCTCTACATCGCGCGTCACCATTATGACGTCATATCCTCAATGTGACGCAAAAGATATGACGTCACAGTCGTATATAGAAAAGCACCAAAATTCAAGCTCTCTGTTGTCTCCAAAACGTAAATACATTCCCTTTGTTGATTTATGTCGTGTTTTTCTGCACGAAATGTATTGCCACACATCCTTTGAATATTGTAGTAACCGCATCTGTGCATTTTGAACCTGTAATTGTAGATATATTTATTCAAATATGCCTACCGACAAAGACTGAAAATAGTACTATTCTGTGAGTATTAGCTTCCGCGGTGATGCGGCCGTCAAACCAGCTGTTTCAATCAGAGGGGGTTTATTGTGATTTAATAGCCTCTGATTGACCAATCAGAATCGAGTAAATTCCAAATTCATGGTAGAATTACAATTTACAATGTTCCAAGCGAAAATGGCCACTATAACGTGTATTGAACAGGACAACATATCATACCAAAACACATTTTTTTATAATATAGAGAAAACAAACACTGTCATAGCAACACCGGTTAACTGTTCGATTGGCATTCAAAACGTAGGTGAATAAAACAAGAAAACATACAACATTATGGATAACAACAAGAAGATGATATCCATAAAATTGTATGTTTTCTCGTGTAACGGTTAAGTATATGTGCCGTTTTCGCTGGATGAGCTTTTAGTTGTAACCTATGAAAGTCGACTAAAACTATAATGAAACGACTGGATTTTACGAAGCCCAAAAATGCCATATGTTAGAATTTTGTTTCACAAATAATAAAGATTTAGTTTCTTTTTTTATCAATAACAATGGCATCCATTAAAATGCAATACATTAGGGCATATCTGAAAGATGACCGTGTCCGTTTACAGACAGGTGCGCGTTTTTGCACAAACCATGTAAACATGGTCCGGTATGTTTGTGAGAGTGATGGAATGTGATTTTGAGCTAAGGTGGTAAAGCTAGGTCAATAAAACATATAAACGGAAAAAAGAAGTGCTCAAGGAACAATTATGTACAATGAGGTATAGACTGGGCCCCATAGGCTGGTATAATACGCGAGATCTAAGCCCAGAAATATGCTTCTTGTCCGAAAGTATACGCATACATGACAGTGGTTTCGGCGGTTAGATACTGTAAAGACGTATAATTTAAGTCTTTGGATACTGCAGCCTCGTGTTGTGGGTTTTCGTTCACTCAAGATACATTCGAAGTTTTCTCACGAATCAACTGCGAAACATATCACTCACCTATAACGTTATCTTAAAAATTACAATGTTTATGTGTGACGTCACATCCCTCGCTATAACGTATATATAGGCTATATGGCATCGGCATCCCCAGGTTGTGATGGGTTGTACAAAAGATGACAACTACGTTAAAGCGGAGACAGTGACACTGCAGCAGCTGGCTGCTGACAACTTCAGTGTGTGTTAGTTTTTGCAAGTTTTAATGTCCTGTAGCTGTCAACATATTCGTGCAAGACATACGTTGTTACATCGTAGAGTGACATGGATTTTCTTTAATATTTACTAAATCCAGAGCTCCAGATAAGCTGTGTATCTGCGTGAAATACGTATCAGAAATGCAGAAATACGCAGTAAAATATAATCCAAGCGTATCAAATACGCAACGAACATTACAGATACGCTACAAAAATAAAATTTGTGCGTATTATCAAAATATTGTGAAGTAACCCTGCGTATTCGATTAGCAAATCAGCAACTTATTTTGAAATTATAAACGGGCATTCCGTCAACCTTGCCAAACTCCACGATGACAGTCACATCATGATCATTTGCTTCATAGTAGTAGGTCTGTCTGAATAAAGGAGAAATGTAAGTTCCTGTACTTCATTAAAACTATAAGAATGTAGCCTTGCTTTATTCTGACACAGTACATATATAATACCACAGGGTTTGATTAACATTTTTACAGGTAGCCAATAGATACAGCGCTTCTTAAAGAACACTGGTCCCAGGTAGATAGTAGACAACAACACATCAGCGTAAGTATTAAAATCTTCTTCATGTTTATATCACAAATATTCCACCAATGTCTGTCCTTTTCGTTGATTAATTAACAAAATATGATAAATAACATTTCACATGATTTCGACCAACCAGTCGATTTGAAAGTTAATGGTGCTGATTAATCGTAAGTGGAATATCTGTCCAGTGGACCAGAATTCTGTAAATCTTGAAATTAACATGAGCGTGAATTAAATCTGAAAAATGCGAGTGTTTTATTAAGCAGTTGTAACAAGTATATAACAATGTCATTCAAAGAATGGGAATTACACAATGGGCATTCGGTGAGTTATCACTGCTGGGGTCAAGAGTTCTACCCACTCGTGACAAGTTTGTTGACACCTTCTCGGCATACCAATCACGGAACTGTTGTTGGTTCAATTATTATATTGTCTTTGAACTTCCTTAATGCCAGTCAACAGAGTAAACATATTAACTGTGTGTTGTTTTTTATGAAAACACTTTATCATGTTTATTGTTATTACGGAAGTGCTTTACTCAGTGCTAATAAGCAGTGCTATTTGCTGTTTGTTGTTTGATTGGATTAAGGTAAGGATATGTATTATTCCACTGGGGGTGGGGGGAGTCACATTGATATTGAGTCACATTTTTGGCTAGGGGTCAGCAGTCGCATTAATTTGGAGATGCATTAATTGTAAGATTTACAGTATCTGTTGAACTCATTAGATGAGTTACAGTGGAAGGTCAATGCATCTTATTCATATACCCAGTGAGTTACCCTGTAATCCAAACAATGTGCCCTTACTTGGGAATTGGGGAAAAAAAGGTTTATTGTGTTAATATTTGGGATTATAATTTGTTTTCTTTCTTTCATTCATAAATATTTTAACACTACATACACTGCAATAATGCAAAACTAAGCATTAAAACCTCTTCCTCTTTGTTGTCCCATTATCAGTGAAGTACAAATAATCCCTACATAGCCTTATCATTATTTACATATAATCTCTACATAGCCTTATCATAATTTACAAATAATCCCTACATAGCCTTATCATTATTTACAAATAATCCCTACATAGCCTTATCATTATTTACAAATAATCTCTACATAGTCTTATAGCTGTGTCATTGGTTACAAATAAATTTACATGAACTGGGAATTGTTTCTGACAGTTGCCAAAGACTTTGGGCCAATATTGGCCTCTGATTGAGTCTAAATAAATTCCTGCGTACCTTCCAGATTAACCAGGACTTCTATTTGTTTCATATTTATTATTTGTTTCATCTCTTAATGTTTCAGGATGTTTCTGTCCCTCCAAGTTTCGCGTGCAGTTGTGAGTCAGCTGCAGTCAAGATGTTATTCAGCAGCGGCACCCATCATGACAATCAAAGAAGGTACTTCTACATCCAAAATACCACAATTGATTATGCCCTGCAGTAGGGCTGGGACGGGTAACTCGGGTACTCGGGTAAGGTGGGTACTGAGCAGGACCCGGGTACCCACAGGACTACCCAGACCTGTGGTTAGTCACATGAGGTCGGACGCCTTGTCCACATGACCAAAAAGGTTAACCCCGTCAGCAAGCTGACAAGGTAAGGATGTCATCTGTGGGATGACTCCACGCCCTGCTACATACTCCCCCATCAACAGAAGGCACGTCCCGGGCCGCATAGTAAGGTACCAAGGCTTATTTAGCTCAAATTTAATGTGAACATGCTCAGCCCCACGTTGGGTGCCAATTTAGCGACCATAAAATCTCCGAGTCCCGTGATGGGATTCAAACCCCGGACCTTCTGATCCGAGGTTTGACGCCTTGTCCACATGACCAAAGAGGTTAACCCCGTCAGCAAGCTGACAAGGTAAGGATGTCATCTGTGGGATGACTCCACGCCCTGCTACATATATGTTTAAAGACAAAATTTATCTAAAACTCTATGGTTACACAACTAATAACTAGAGTTTGCATTTCTGTTTGACTATGCACCCAATGTTAAATGTTATTAGTGTTGATTAACATGTTTGAGTAATAGGATGTCGTGTCTAAGAATTAACAGTTCGACATGCTATTGTGGGCTATGTGGGCCATCGTATCCCTCACCGGGACCCTTTGATTGAAACAGAACAGCCCCTAGTTTCACCATGGTAACTATGGTAAAATCTTGATTGTCTCAACTAAACATGTTTAACTATTGATTAACTTCAGTGATGATTATTTTTTTAGCTCGAAATATTCTCCTGAAGATGGTAGGAACATCAACAGATTATGGGTAAGCAAAACAATAATTTAGAACTTTAAGTGAGTGAGTGAGTGAGTTGTGTTTAACGCAGCTTTTAACAGTATTCCAGTTATATCGCGGCCTGTCAACTTCATGTGGGAGGAAAGCCCGAAGTGATGCAGGTCTCAGACGTTTACCACTTCGGTGAAACCCACGAGCACGGGTATGGTGCTGACAAACCTAGAAACATAATCGGGGCGAACCAGGATCCGAACCCACAATCATAGGTTTCTGGCGTGCCCAAGGGATGCAACTCTGCACAGTGAATCGCGGCGCCTTAGACAACTGGGCCACCTGTGCCCCCTAGAACATTAAGACAAATTGATTTACTGCCCTGAATTTGAACAGGTTGTAGCGTTATGGGTCCAGGGTAAAGTATAGTAGTTACCATGCTTATACTACATCATATCAGATGGTCGTCCTTGGTGACTCTCTCGGTTGCCTGTTCCCTGATGACCTCGTGACACTGCTCATGATATCAACCACTGGTTTGTCTGACACCGACTCGGATTATAGACAAGTTGCCATGAATAGCTGTAAAATTCCTGTGGTGTAAAACAATCATACGCTATTCTTCTTGCCATTATTTTCTTGGTATTAATTCAAAGTTCTTCTTTACAGGCCAAATTCCATGCCCAAGGTGTCGCGAGTGCGGAAGTCCCAGGATGAGCTGGCGGACCGAGGGATGCAGGACGGCTACTGGGAGGCCATCATTCCCCTGGAGACGGACCTGGCTGTGCGGGAGCGCTACATCACCTTCCAGAAGGGGATCCGCTTCGGTCGGATCATGGAGGATCTCGATACTCTCGCAGGTTGTTCTCTAACCTAGGTGTTCAGTCTGCTGTGTGTTGTTTGTTCGGGCGGATCATGCACGATCTCGATACTCTTGCATGTTGTTCTCTAACCTTGGTGTTCAGTCTGCTGTGTGTTGTTTGTTCAGGCAGATCATGCATGATCTCGATACTCTTGCATGTTGTTCTCTAACCTTGGTGTTAAGTCTGCTGTTTGTTGTTTGTTGGGGCAGATCATGGAGGATCTCGATACTCTTGCATGTTGTTCTCTAACCTAGATGTTCATTCTGCTGTGTGTTGTTTGTTCGGGCAGATCATGGAGGATCTTGATACTCTTGCATGTTGTTCTCTAACCTAGGTGTTCAGTCTGCTGTGTGTTGTTTGTTCGGGCAGATCATGGAGGATCTTGATACTCTTGCATGTTGTTCTCTAACCTAGGTGTTCAGTCTGCTGTGTGTTGTTTGTTCGGGCAGATCATGGAGGATCTTGATACTCTTGCATGTTGTTCTCTAACCTAGGTGTTCAGTCTGCTGTGTGTTGTTTGTTCGGGCAGATCATGGAGGATCTTGATACTCTTGCATGTTGTTCTCTAACCTTGGTGTTCAGTCTGCTGTTTGTTGTTTGTTGGGGCAGATCATGGAGAATCTCGATACTCTTGCATGTTGTTCTCTAACCTTGGTGTTAAGTCTGCTGTTTGTTGTTTGTTGTTTGTTCGGGCAGATCATGGAGGATCTTGATACTCTTGCATGTTGTTCTCTAACCTTGGTGTTCAGTCTGCTGTGTGTTGTTTGTTGGGGCAGATCATGGAGGATCTCGATACTCTTGCATGTTGTTCTCTAACCTAGGTGTTCAGTCTGCTGTGTGTTGTTTGTTGGGGCAGATCATGGAGGATCTTGATACTCTTGCATGTTGTTCTCTAACCTTGGTGTTCAGTCTGCTGTTTGTTGTTTGTTGGGGCAGATCATGGAGAATCTCGATACTCTTGCATGTTGTTCTCTAACCTTGGTGTTCAGTCTGCTGTGTGTTGTTTGTTCGGGCAGATCATGGAGGATCTTGATACTCTTGCATGTTGTTCTCTAACCTAGGTGTTCAGTCTGCTGTGTGTTGTTTGTTGGGGCAGATCATGGAGGATCTTGATACTCTTGCATGTTGTTCTCTAACCTAGGTGTTCAGTCTGCTGTGTGTTGTTTGTTGGGGCAGATCATGGAGGATCTTGATACTCTTGCATGTTGTTCTCTAACCTAGGTGTTCAGTCTGCTGTGTGTTGTTAGTTGGGGCAGATCATGGAGAATCTCGATACTCTTGCATGTTGTTCTCTAACCTTGGTGTTCAGTCTGCTGTGTGTTGTTTGTTGGGGCAGATCATGCACGATCTCGATACTCTTGCATGTTGTTCTCTAACCTTGGTGTTCAGTCTGCTGTGTGTTGTTTGTTGGGGCAGATCATTGAGGATCTTGATACTCTTGCATGTTGTTCTCTAACCTAGATGTTCAGTCTGCTGTGTGTTGTTTGTTGGGGCAGATCATGCACGATCTCTATACTCTTGCATGTTGTTCTCTAACCTTGGTGTTCAGTCTGCTGTGTGTTGTTTGTTGGGGCAGATCATGCACGATCTCTATACTCTTGCATGTTGTTCTCTAACCTTGGTGTTCAGTCTGCTGTGTGTTGTTTGTTGGGGCAGATCATGCACGATCTCTATACTCTTGCATGTTGTTCTCTAACCTTGGTGTTCAGTCTGCTGTGTGTTGTTTGTTCAGGCAGATCATGCACGATCTCGATACTCTTGCATGTTGTTCTCTAACCTTGGTGTTCAGTCTGTTGTTTTGTTGTTTGTTGGGGCAGATCATGGAGGATCTCGATACTCTTGCATGTTGTTCTCTAACCTAGGTGTTCAGTCTGTTGTTTGTTGTTTGTTGGGGCAGATCATGCACGATCTTGATACTCTTGCATGTTGTTCTCTAACCTAGGTGTTCAGTCTGTTTTTTGTTGTTTGTTGGGGCAGATCATGCACGATCTCGATACTCTTGCATGTTGTTCTCTAACCTTGGTGTTCAGTCTGCTGTGTGTTGTTTGTTGGGGCAGATCATGCACGATCTCGATACTCTTGCATGTTGTTCTCTAACCTTGGTGTTCAGTCTGCTGTGTGTTGTTTGTTGGGGCAGATCATGCACGATCTCGATACTCTTGCATGTTGTTCTCTAACCTTGGTGTTCAGTCTGTTGTTCGTTGTTTGTTGGGGCAGATCATGCACGATCTCGATACTCTTGCATGTTGTTCTCTAACCTTGGTGTTCAGTCTGCTGTGTGTTGTTTGTTGGGGCAGATCATGCACGATCTTGATACTCTTGCATGTTGTTCTCTAACCTTGGTGTTCAGTCTGCTGTGTGTTGTTTGTTGTTTGTTGGGGCAGATCATGGAGGATCTCGATACTCTTGCATGTTGTTCTCTAACCTAGGTGTTCAGTCTGCTGTGTGTTGTTTGTTGTTTGTTCGGGCAGATCATGGAGGATCTCGATACTCTTGCATGTTGTTCTCTAACCTAGGTGTTCAGTCTGCTGTGTGTTGTTTGTTGTTTGTTCGGGCAGATCATGGAGGATCTCGATACTCTTGCATGTTGTTCTCTAACCTAGGTGTTCAGTCTGCTGTGTGTTGTTTGTTAGGGCAGATCATGCACGATCTCGATACTCTTGCATGTTGTTCTCTAACCTTGGTGTTCAGTCTGCTGTTTGTTGTTTGTTGGGGCAGATCATTGAGGATCTCGATACTCTTGCATGTTGTTCTCTAACCTTGGTGTTCAGTCTGCTGTTTGTTGTTTGTTGGGGCAGATCATGGAGGATCTCGATACTCTTGCATGTTGTTCTCTAACCTTGGTGTTCAGTCTGCTGTTTGTTGTTTGTTGTTTCAGGATGCAGTCATGGATACTCAAGCTTTGTCCTAGAATTCTATAAACAATTACTGCAAACTTTACACTTGGTAGACAAACCAATCATTGATATTACATGCAACTTTTGGTGAATATATATCATTTATTGGTAGAGCTGTGTCTTGTCCTGCAATGCAATATATTGTATATTGCCATTGCCATTTGAATGAATTGCTTTATTTTCGAAGTTTGTCTGTGATTGATATTTGTAATAAGGTCTGAGGCCATTTTGTTAAAAAACATTGATGTTTGATACGCATGTAGTTAGTTGTGGAACGCAACACATACATATTTGACAGTACTTTTCCTATGCTTTTGAGATATAATCATATTTATATATACATCTGAAATTGCCCGACTGCGGAAGCTGAGCTTTGGCATGTATGTTTCTTCTTATGATGGGAAGGCGGTCGGGTAGCCTTGTGGCTAAAGCGTTTGCTCGTCACGCCGAAGACCCGGGTTCGATTCCCGACATGGGTACAATGTGTGAAGCCCATTTCTGGTGTCCCTTGCCGAATATTGGTAAAAGCTGCGTGAAACCATACTCACTCACTCTTATGATGGCTGCTTTGCATTGGGATTCTGGGTTAAAATAGGTCCCCAGCAAACGGTGTAAGTCATATTGTGTCTCTCTAAATTGGTCTTGTGATGTTAGTCACAGGGGTGATGATAGTGAGATATATCTCCTTTGAAAGTTTAGAAGGAACTTAACATAATGAAATCTGTTTGTGAACAAATGTGTTGTTTCACACTTGACCTTTGCCCAGTAAACTTCACAGAAATGTTTTGTCTGTTTCAGGGTGTATATGCTACACACACTACAGTGACCCTGACATTGACCCTGAGGAGAAGTCCCCAGTAGGCATTGTCACAGCCCTCGTCGACAGGATAGGTGAGTCAGTACCATGTCACAGCCCTCGTCGACAGGATAGGTGAGTCAGTACCATGTCACAGCCCTCGTCGACAGGATAGGTGAGTCAGTACCATGTCACAGCCCTCGTAGACAGGATAGGTGAGTCAGTACCATGTCTCAGCCCTCGTCGACAGGATAGGTGAGTCAGTACCATGTCACAGTCCTCGTGGACAGGATAGGTGAGTCAGTACCATGTCACAGCCCTCGTAGACAGGATAGGTGAGTCAGTACCATGTCACAGCCCTCGTGGACAGGATAGGTGAGTCAGTACCATGTCACAGCCCTCGTAGACAGGATAGGTGAGTCAGTACCATGTCACAGCCCTCGTAGACAGGATAGGTGAGTCAGTACCATGTCACAGCCCTCGTCGACAGGATAGGTGAGTCAGTACCATGTCACAGCCCTCGTCGACAGGATAGGTGAGTCAGTACCATGTCACAGCCCTCGTCTACAGGATAGGTGAGTCAGTACCATGTCACAGCCCTCGTCGACAGGATAGGTGAGTCAGTACCATGTCACAGCGAGTCAATGCAGTTGCTTAATGAAATGGTGAGTTGATCAGATGGATAAATTCGAGTGCCTCCAGACGAACACATACTGACATACAGACGGTCAGTTGACAGGGGATAGGAATTGAGATGCCACAAATATATGAGACATAACAACATTGGTCAGATGTAGAAAGCGTTGACCTCATAGAATTGTTTACTGAAATCTTCACGGATGCTTCATGTCATCGCTATGGTAGGTATACTTTTTTGTTTGTGTCCTTGTTTGAAGAGTGGATACAGTTGGGTTCCTGTTGATAAAATCAGTTTCTGGTCATGTGGAAGTAAACAACAATAAACATGTCAGAAAAAGACAAGATACAGTTATCGACATTCAGTGGTAGTGAATGTGATGTGAAGAGTTGTGTCCCCTTTCTGCTAAATCTCAACAAATTCAGGACTTTATTTTTCACTTTTGAGTAGATTGTGATCCGTAGCTAGTCAGCAACTTTGTCAACATAGAAGTGGTAAATATTTGTGAAATGCTTCCTACAAGGTATTACATTGACAAGACGAACACATACAGATGGAAAACCCATATCTCTCACTCACCTGTTTGTGGGCGTGATTTGGGTTTATCACCTCTTTGAACAGTATTTCAGTTATGTCACAGCTCGTCAGCTTCATGGTTGAGGAAAGCCCAAAGTGGTGCAGACCTTGGTGACCTTTTTTGGTGAAAGCTATGAGTGAGTGAGTGAGTTTGGTTTAACGCCGCTTTTAACAGTATTCCAGTTATATCACGGCGTGTCAGCTTAATGTGGGAGGAAAGCCTGAAGTGATGCAGATCTCAGATGTTTACCACTTCGGTGAAACCCACGAGCACGGGCATGGTGCTGACAAACCTAGAAACATAATCGGGGCGAACCGGGATTCGAACCCACAATCCTAGGTTTCTGGCGTGCCCAAGGGATGCAACTCTGCACAGCGAATCACGGCGCCTTAGACGACTGGGCCACCCATGCCCCCTGAAAGCTATGAACATGAGTATGGTCCTGAGAAACAAAAAGACACATAAGATCATAGGATTCTGACGTTGCTAACTGTAGCCATACTATATGATAAATCAAGTGCAGCACCTTAGACGATTGAGTTGTACAAGCCTCCCCCCCTCATTTGTGATATAGATTCACTCCATTGTGTTCATGTTGCAGAACTACACAACTATGTTGTGTCCCCCTATCATGACATCAAGATGACAGGTCACATGGCATGGGTCGGAACGTCGTCTATGGAGGTCACAATGAACCTGGAGCAGGTAGGTATACCCATGTTGGTGTTGTTGTCTGGTGTAGCAGGTCAGTACACAATGTTGGTGTTGTTGTCTGGTGTAGGAGGTCAGTACACCATGTTGGTGTTGTTGTCTGGTGTAGCAGGTCAGTACACCATGTTGGTGTTGTTGTCTGGTGTAGCAGGTCAGTACACCATGTTGGTGTTGTCTGGTGTAGGAGGTCGGTACACCATGTTGGTGTTGTTGTCTGGTGTAGGAGGTCAGTACACCATGTTGGTGTTGTTGTCTGGTGTAGGAGGTCGGTACACCATGTTGGTGTTGTTGTCTGGTGTAGGAGGTCAGTACACCATGTTGGTGTTGTTGTCTGGTGTAGGAGGTCGGTACACCATGTTAGTGTTGTTGTCTGGTGTAGGAGGTCAGTACACCATGTTGGTGTTGGTGTCTGGTGTAGGAGGTCAGTACACCATGTTGGTGTTGTTGTATGGTGTAGGAGGTCGGTACACCATGTTGGTGTTGTTGTCTGGTGTAGGAGGTCAGTACACCATGTTGGTGTTGTTGTCTGGTGTAGGAGGTCGGTACACCATGTTGGTGTTGTTGTCTGGTGTAGGAGGTCAGTACACCATGTTGGTGTTGTTTTCTGGTGTAGGAGGTCGGTACACCATGTTAGTGTTGTTGTCTGGTGTAGGAGGTCAGTACACCATGTTGGTGTTGGTGTCTGGTGTAGGAGGTCAGTACACCATGTTGGTGTTGTTGTCTGGTGTAGGAGGTCAGTACACCATGTTGGTGTTGTTGTCTGGTGTAGCAGGTCGGTACACCATGTTGGTGTTGTTGTCTGGTGTAGGAGGTCGGTACACCATGTTGGTGTTGTTGTCTGGTGTAGGAGGTCAGTACACCATGTTGGTGTTGTTGTCTGGTGTAGGAGGTCGGTACACCATGTTAGTGTTGTTGTCTGGTGTAGGAGGTCAGTACACCATGTTGGTGTTGGTGTCTGGTGTAGGAGGTCAGTACACCATGTTGGTGTTGTTGTCTGGTGTAGGAGGTCAGTACACCATGTTGGTGTTGTTGTCTGGTGTAGCAGGTCGGTACACCATGTTGGTGTTGTTGTCTGGTGTAGGAGGTCGGTACACCATGTTGGTGTTGTTGTCTGGTGTAGGAGGTCAGTACACCATGTTGGTGTTGTTGTCTGGTGTAGGAGGTCAGTACACCATGTTGGTGTTGTTGTCTGGTGTAGGAGGTCAGTACACCATGTTGGTGTTGTTGTCTGGTGTAGGAGGTCAGTACACCATGTTGGTGTTGTTGTCTGGTGTAGGAGGTCAGTACACCATGTTGGTGTTGTTGTCTGGTGTAGGAGGTCAGTACACCATGTTGGTGTTATTGTCTGGTGTAGGAGGTCAGTACACCATGTTGGTGTGTTATTGTCTGGTGTAGCAGGTCGGTACATACATATTGGTGGTACGACGGCTACCAAACAGGTAGTGAAAACCATTTTCTGTTGTTCCCCAAAACGGCAATCAATGGTTGTTCATCTTTACAAATAGTTACAGTTACGAACATGCTTCAAATTGGTACAGGGACTTTTCATATGAATTATTTATTGTCATTGGTAACACTGACAGCTTCATCCTGCCTGATGTTATTTGATTACAGGAAATACACAGCACGTGGCAGAAGATACTCAATGCAAGGTTCATCATGGTTGCAAGAGACCCAGTCACAAACAGGTAGGCCTTGGTACAAAGCTTAACAGGGACGTAATGTTAACAGTACCACGATTATGTCAAGGGGTATCAGTTAGACTGTGAGAGGACAACCACGTTCAACTCTTTCTTTCTTTGTTTTGTTAGTTTGCTGTTTAACGCCGCACTCAGCAATATTCCAGCTATAAGTCAGCGAGTCTTGCCACCCGATCCTAATTGTCGCTTTGGCGATACATTAGCATGGGTATGGTGCTGACCATCCCATAATCATTAACCGGGATTTGAACCCAGAATCAGCAGATACTAAAGGCTCAACTATACCGACCAAGTTGTGGTACCTTAGGTAAGAGTCCACCTAGAGTTTTGCATATTGTGACGCAGCATGATAAAATAATGATGCAGGCTGCAGTTGTCATCCTGGATTTATAGGCCTACAGTCATTGTTACTGCATGTGGGCTTTTACATCATTCTAATGGATCATCACCCAAGGACACAATCCCAGTGAATACATTGTATGGTTGTAAGGTTTCCAATTATGAATCAAATTGCATGACTTCTGTTCAGATGACTGACTGTGCACTACCACTTCTTGTTATAATGGACAGCCTCCGTGGTCTTGTGGTAGAGCATCTGTCTGGGGCGCAGAAGGTCCAAGGTTCGATCCTGAGCCATGTTATACCTAGAGACGTTAAAAGATGGTACTTGTTGTTACCCTGTCTTATGCTCGGCATTAAGGAGCTGAAACAAAGGCTCGGAGTCAGTATAGTGTGTCTGAGTGGGGTATTCATGTTAAACTGTGGCATGGTATCTCAGCTGGCTAGCACTATAAATTGGCATCAGTCCGGACTAGTACAAGCACCCACAGACACACACACTCGTGCACGCATGTAGCTATATAAGTGCATTTATCTTGGACCCGACATTAACTCCCTTTTCACCTCACCTCTTGTTATATAATGTGCATCGCAAAGTCTATACCTAGTCAGTGATGGATGTTCCAGGGCTGCTGTTGTCAACAGGCTTGTACCAAAGGGTCCAGAAGAGGAGGCTCTGTTCAGGAAAGGAGAAGGTGAGTGGGAGACTGCAGCGCTGGGTACTGTTGTGGCTACAGTGGGAGCTACAATGGTGGGGGCTACAGTGGGGGCTACAATGGTGGTGGCTACAGTGGGGGTTAAAATGGTGGGGGCTACAGTGGGAGCTACAATGGTGGGGGCTACAGTGGGAGCTACAATGGTGGGGGCTACAGTGGGGGCTACAATGGTGGTGGCTACAGTGGTGGCTCTGTGGGGGCTACAGTGGTGGATACTGTGGGGGCTACAGTGGTGGTGGCTACAGTGGGAGCTACAATGGTGGGGGCTACAGTGGTGGCTACAGTGGTGGCTCTGTGGGGGCTACAGTGGTGGATACTGTGGGGGCTACAGTGAGGGGCTACAGTGGAACCTACAGTATTTACTCTCATTAAAATCAAATGTTTGTGCACGGTACCCCTACACAAAGATCTGAGATTCACCATTACAGGTCGTGTCAGAATGGCCTTTCGCAAACTTTGAAATGAGCAATGCAATGACTAACTGGAGGTCAACATTAACCAATCAGAAAGAAGCTTTCTCAAGCTTTACGCACGAGTTTCAAAGGCATGATGCAGACTATGCTTTGAAAAACATTTTGCCAAAGTTCTCAATTAAAATTTTGAGAACTGAACAAAAAAGTCCTGGAACAGGGGTGGATGGGCTACAGAGGTGGGCTTTCTGTTGGTGGGCCGCTACAGGGGTGGTCTTATTGTTGGTGGGTGGACCACAGAAGTGGGCTGGTACAGGGGTGGATGGGCTACAGGGGTGGTCTTACTGTTGGTGGGTGGACGACAGCAGTGGGCTGGTACAGGGGTGGGTGGGCTACAGGGGTGGTCTTACTGTTGGTGGGTGGACAACAGCAGTGGGCTGGTACAGGGGTGGATGGGCTACAGGGGTGGTCTTACTGTTGGGTGGTGGACAACGGCAGTGGGCTGGTACAGGGGTGGGTGGGCTACAGGGGTGGTCTTACTGTTGGTGGGTGGACAACAGCAGTGGGCTGGTACAGGGGTGGATGGGCTACAGGGGTGGTCTTACTGTTGGTGGGTGGACGGTGGCAGTGGGCTGGTACAGGGGTGGGTGGGCTACAGGGGTGGTCTTATTGTTGGTGGATGGATGACAGCAGTGGGCTGGTACAGGGGTGGTCGGGCTACAGGGGTGGTCTTATTGTTGGTGGATGGATGACAGCAGTGGGCTGGTACAGGGGTGGTCGGGCTACAGGGGTGGTCTTATTGTTGGTGGATGGATGACAGCAGTGGGCTGGTACAGGGGTGGATGGGCTACAGGGGTGGTCGTGCTGTTGATGGGTGGACGACAGCAGTGGGCTGGTACAGGGGTGGGTGGGCTACAGGGGTGGTAGTGCTGTTGGTGGGTGGACGACAGCAGTGGGCTGGTACAGGGGTGGATGGGCTACAGGGGTGGTCGTGCTGTTGATGGGTGGACGACAGCAGTGGGCTGGTACAGGGGTGGGTGGGCTACAGGGGTGGTAGTGCTGTTGGTGGGTGGACGACAGCAGTGGGCTGGTACAGGGGTGGATGGGCTACAGGGGTGGTCGTGCTGTTGGTGGGTGGACGACACCAGTGGGCTGCTACAGGGGTAGATGGGCTACAGGGGTGGTCGTGCTGTTGGTGGATGGATGACACCAGTGGGCTGGTACAGGGGTAGATGGGCTACAGGGGTGGTCGTGCTGTTGGTGGGTGGACGACAGCAGTGGGCTGGTACAGGGGTGGGTGGGCTACAGGGGTGGTCTTATTGTTGGTGGGTGGACCACAGAAGTGGGCTGGTACAGGGGTGGGTGGGCTACAGGGGTGGTCGTGCTGTTGGTGGGTGGACGACAGCAGTGGGCTGGTAGAGGGGTGGATGGGCTACAGGGGTGGTCGTGCTGTTGGTGGGTGGACGACAGAAGTGGGCTGGTAGAGGGGTGGGTGGGCTACAGGGGTGGTAGTGCTGTTGGTGGGTGGACAACAGCAGTGGGCTGGTACAGGGGTGGGTGGGCTACAGGGGTGGTCGTGCTGTTGGTGGGTGGACGACATCAGTGGGCTGGTACAGGGGTGGGTGGGCTACAGGGGTGGTCGTGCTGTTGGTTGGCTGCTCCAGGGGTGGTCCTTTATATTCACAGAGTTTCCATCTCCTTGCAGACCGAACTCTAAAAGCTGAAATGGAGAAAGTATATTTTTTCTATATATTGTTCTTCCAGCCAGCAAGCTGCTTCGCCAAGAGGAGGCCAGGAAGATGTTGTTAAAGACACCTCCCAGCAACGATGAGATTCTTATAGTTCATGACTTGTTTCTACAAACTATTGATACTAAGTAAGTCTTTTTACACTCTCACACAACAGGAGCTTGTACTATTTTGCAGTTAAAAAATTATGGGTCTGTGTTGCGGCCCAAACTATTTTGTATCCCAGATTCACCCTGGATGATCTAAGATCAATGATTTCATGACACCAGAATAGGGCTTGTGTCAGATTTAGACAGACGTGAATTAATCCTTAAAAAAAGGGCCTCCTTTCATAAATGTATTCCTTGATAAGTAAAATGCTTGGATACAGAAATTGACTACTGTTGGATGTTGGACTTGGATTAATTAAGGATTTTTGGTTGTTTTGTTTTAAATGGAAATAAAAAATTAAACTCACAATTTTTTACAGCAAATTTCTCCTATGTGCAGTTTAGAATAGGTCTTAAGTAACCCATGCTTGTTGTTGGAGGAGGCGACTGAGAGGATCAGAGGATCAGGCCTGCTGACTTAGTTGATGCATGTCATCGTATCCCAATTGCGTAGATCAATGATCATGATGTCAATCACTGTATTGTCTGGTCCAGACTTGATTATTTACAGACCACTGTCATATAGCTGGAATATTGCTGAGTGCAGAGTTAAACAACAAACAAACAAATCCTATATGCATATTTTTCAGTTCAGAGGTACGAAATAATATGTCATTTTTCAGGCACATGAATGCACACATGTTTGCTATTTTATTTTTACTTTCTTCAAAACTGCATTTATCCATCTTGCGTCCACATGACTGGTGAGCATGCCGCTAAGGGGAGGTAACTGAAGCATGACTAACTTGTTCAATCGGAACATACGTCTTGTTACGCTAAAGCCTGTCTCAATGGTGCATATATAACGTGTGATTTAGTGTTTAGTCTCGAGTTGTTTCGTCATAGTTAGAACAAAGAGGAAATAGAGGTGTAGAGTGGCATAGCCACGAATGAAAATATCACATTTTCCCCTGTCACAAGATGAGAGAAACATGATATTTCACGAGACATATGGAATATCCTATTTATTATATACTTTTTGTGCAGTTGTCTACCGGAAAATTAAATTAGTTCATTACAAATGTAAAACCTTGAAACTTAAATTCTCCCTACCTAACACACAGGGACGGTTCACCACCCCTTGTATTTGTGACTTAAAAAGTAGTTTTGTGCAAAATCTTAAAAAATATAAACAAAAGTATCAAAAGATATTTAGGGTCACAATGATTCTTTATCATACATATATTTTACTCCCGTATTTGGATAACAATTTGCAATCTTGACATCCACTGATTTCCAAACCACATGCCTTGGATTTTATTTTATTTTATTAAGTTTTTGGTCATATTATTTCGGTCACCTATTCAGTGGCACATTATCTTCTCATAATAGAGGTATTCAGGCAGCACTAAATAATTAATTAACCATAGCTAGGGACATGATCTTGAAGACCATATTGCGTTACCAGCATCAGAAACTCGTTGTACAGCTCTCAGATGCAAGTGCATGACTGCCTGAGGGAGAGGGTCTCTTGTAGGTATGACTGTCTGTATACACCTTTCAGTATTACACGTTTCAGCATTGTATAAATGTTCCAGGGGAGGGACATTCAAAGTTCGTATCAAGCCCCCTGGCAGTGTCTGGATGGAGAAAACTTTGCTGAAAAACATGATCATGTGTCATCCCGAGGTATGTCGAACTGATATATACGGCAATATACTAGGATGCACCTTCTGGTGTCCTGAGCTTTCTGTAAATATCATAAAAAAACACACTCAAATGAACGTTATAATTAGTACTGTCCAAGATTGCTTCTGGCAAATACAAAATGCCATTTAGAAAGTAAATGCCATTTAGAAAGTAGTCAAATGTCATAAATGTTATATTTGGAAAAACAGTTTCTTAGTAAAGAACAGATTCTTGTTCATTTTGTTTGGTTGAGTACCATTCGGGAACTACCAGTTGCCGAACTTCCCGACATGGGTATGATGTGTGAAGCCCATTTCTGGTGTCTCCTGCTGTGATATTGCTGGAATATTGCTAAAAGCGGCATAAAACCAAACTCACTCACTGTATGTAACTGATGATACGTTTATGTATGAATAAAATGCATCATGTATACAATTTTCATTCAATGAATACACCTACATTATGAGGTATCCATTATTGTTTACCCTTTTAATCAAACTTATGAATGACTAAATGAATGAATCAATGAATCAAAAGTAGTACGAGAAAGATCAAAGTTTTCATCAGCAAATCAAATTCCATGCAAGCGTTATAACACATGTGTTTCATCACAGTTAGCTATACATGTGTATTATCTGTTTACATAGTACCAGATGTGCAATAATCACGATAATGCCTGTTTCAGTGTATGAAACATGAAAATAGAAATAGCAAACACGTACACTGAAACATTGTTAACTCATAGTGATAGAATGATACCACTGAGAACCCAGCTCAGTAACCTCTCATTTGACCCCTCGTGAATGCGACCCGTGAAGATTCCGGGGTAGAATAGGTCTTCAGCAACCCATGCTTGCCGAAAAGGTGACTATGCTTGTTGTAAAAGGCGACTTACGGAATCGGGTGGTCAGGCTCGCTGACTTGGTTGAAGCATGCCATCGATCCCCATTGCGTGGATCGATGCTTATGATATCAATCACTGGATTGTCTGGTCCAGACTCGATTATTTTACAGACCGCCGTCATATAGCTGGAATATTGCTGAGTGCGGCGTTAAACAACAAACTAACCAACCAACCTAGTGAATGCTTACTTGTTTTAGCAAAGGAATGTCCACTACAAGATATTTGGAGGCTTCCTGATGAGACAGGCCATGGAGGTGGCTTGGACTAATGCAGCTATGTACAGGTGATATGCATGATTAGTATGGCAAGGAGTCAGATAATGCTTCGAGTCATTGGCTATTTAGTTCGGGTAAGAGTAGGACCACAGCAACCCACGATTGTTGTAAGAGGCGACAAATTGGACAGAGTAGGCAGATTTGGTGACATGGATGATGCATGTCATCAGTATCACAATTGCGTGTACCGATGCACATGATGTCAATCACTGGATTGTCTGGTCCAGACTTGATTATTTACGGACCACTATCTTGTAGCTGGAATATTGCTGAGTGTGGTGTTAAACAACAAACAAAGTTATCATTCATATTGGGTATGGATTGCTTTCTTTTGGTATTCATCATATTTTACCTCCATTGAGTCCAGGCCATTGGGTATTTCTAAGCCGATAGCAACCAATTTAAAACATAATACTGTATAAATTGCTGTTTCAGGTGATATTTTGTGCAATATTCACTGCTGCAGAGTTTATTTAAATGTGATGCCTGAACTCAATCTGTAAATAAGGATCTGTAAGGAGGTGAAATGGGGTTTAACGTCGCATCCAAGATTATTGCATTTATATAGCGACGTGCATGCTCATGTGTGTGTTTGTGTGGCTGCTTGTACTTGTTCGGACTGATGCCAATTTATAGTGCTAGCTGACTGAGATACCATGCCGCAGTTTTACATGAATACCCCACTCAGACACAGTATACTGACTCCGAGCCGACTTGTCCTTGTTTTAGCCCCTTAATGCTGAGCGCCAGACAGGGTAACAACAAGTACCATCTTTTAACGTCTTTTGGTATGGATTGAACCCCGGACCTTCCGCTCTCCGGGCGGATGCTCTACCATTAGACCATGGAGGCGGTCGGATCTGTAAGGAGACAGGCAGCAGGCTGACAAGGCTACAGTGGTAGTTACCATAGTAGGGCTGGGACCGTACACTAATTGTGCGATCTGATATGTATCATGATACCTTGCTCACGATCAGATATGTATCACGATACTGGCATGTGCCCTTTTCTGTGGTGTGTAAGTCATCTTTTACATTCACAGGATGGCACACTAACGATTTACAGTTGACTGTGTCAAGTATGGCACAATGTATGAAAATGTTTACGTTTTCACTATTCATTTTCACTAGTAATTAGTGTTTGGTGTAACATTTATTAAAAAATATATTTATATATCGCAACTTGTATCGAGAAGTAAAAAATCGCAATCCACCAATGCATCATTGTATCGTCCCTCTACTAGTAGTTACTCATGGGGTTGTTTTCCTCCATATTCGTAGACAAGCAACTCAAGATAAATTGGTAATGGTTATTTATTTTGAGTATTTTACTGTGATAGGCAGCTTATCTCGATAAACCAAGTCAGTATTCTTTAGTGGTGACTGTCAAGATGAATTTTACTAATGTGGTAGTATTGCAATATTGCAAAATACTTTTGCGCTAGTGCTGCAATATAGGTTCACCTATTGTGACACTGTTGCAATATAGGTTCACCTATTGTGACATTGTTGCAATATAGGTTCAACTATTGGGACACTGTTGCAATATAGGTTCAACTATTGGGACACTGTTGCAATATAGGTTCAACTATTGGGACACTGTTGCAATATAGACTCAACAATTGTGACACTGTTGCAATATAGGTTCAACTATTGGGACACTGTTGCAATATAGGTTCAACTATTGTGACACTGTTGCAATATAGCCTCAACAATTGTGACACTGTTGCAATATAGGTTCAACTATTGCTGTGAATTAGCTTGTACTTCAATTAATATCCATGCTATATGGTACATGATCATAAACAAGTCCTTAATTTTGAAGATTTCGAGAGAAAATTGTGAAGTTGTTAAGGGCGGTAGTAATCAAAATTGAATATTTCAATTTCAGCTGCAAGCGGCCAGTGCTTAAGGTGGTTGATGATATTGTGTTCAAGAAACCGGTGGAGATTGGCTCACTACTCCTGCTGTCGTCCCAGGTAACAGAACGGTTTAGTGCACAGATTGTCTGGCCCAAGTGAATCTGTAACCATCATTCTACAATACTTCAAGAGAGAGGTGCCAGAGAGCAGGTGGCCGTCCTGTGTACAGTACACAGGTCACAAATCAAAGATAGGCAACATTGGTCACAGAGAGTGGAGGGAAGGCCGTCCTGCCTATTTCTAGGCTTGTCACCACCTACGCTCATGGGTTTCACCAAAGTCTCAGACCGGCATCACTTTCCTCCCATATAAAGCAGACACACCATGACATAAACTGAAATACTGTTCAAAGCAGAGTTAAACCCATCTAACTCACTCACGCATACTCATGACGGAATGCGCTATGTGTTTCACTGGGTACAATGGGTGAAGCCCATTTCTGGTGTCCCCCACCGTGATATTACTGGAATATTGCTAAAAGCGGCGTAAAACTCACTCACTCACTCACTCACTCACTCTTGTGTTTCACTATCGGGTTATTTAATGTACAGACCCGTGAAGATCTGGGGTAGAATAGGTCTTCAGCAACCCATGCTTGCCGTAAAAGGCGACTATGCTTGTCGTAAGAGTTGACTAACGGGATCGGTGGTCAGGCTCGCTAACTTGGTTGATGCATGTCATTGTATCCCACTTGCGTAGATCGATGCGCATGAAATCAATCACTGGATTGTCTGGTCCAGACTCGATTATTTACAGACCGCTGTAATATAGCTGGAATATTGCTGAGTGCGGCGTTAAACAACAAACCAACCAACCACTATTTAATGTACATGAAAATAACCCCGAAAAATAAACAAATCTAAAAACATATTCCTTAATTAAACATTTGTGATGTGAATATGTTGATGAAATACGACCCTTTGTCTTTGGCAGGTGGTGTATACTCACAAGTCTCTCATGCAGGTCAAAGTTCATGCTGAAGTTTTGGATGTTGACACTGGAGTAAGGGAGACAACTAATGACTTTCATTTCACGTTTGACTCTCAGGATGAAAATCTGCCGAGAGTTATTCCCAAATCCTATGCTGGTTTGTACAATATGTTCATTTATTGAGTGTATTTATTTATGTATTGAGAAGTGTATGCTTCAGACTTTTCGGGTCCAAAAATGCACCAAACCGTTTCTAACTGAAGAAACCAATTTACAACTTCAAGCATTTCATTGATATATAGAGGGCACGGGTGGCCCAGTTGTCTTAGGCGCCACGATTCGCTGTGCAGAGTTGCGTCCCTTGGGCACGCCAGAAACCTGTGATTGTGGGTTCCAATCCCGGTTCGCACAGATTATGTTTCTAGGTTTGTCAGCACCATACCCGTGGTCGTGGGTTTCACCGAAGTGGTAAACGTCTGAGACCTGCATCACTTCGGGCTTTCCTCCCACATTAAGCTGACACGGCGTGATATAACTGGAATACTGTTAAAAGTGACGTTAAACCCAACTCACTCACTGACTCATTGATATATAAATGGATGTATGGACATAGTAAATGTTTGTAAACAACTAGGAATCAGATATGTGACTGATTCTGAGATCTATATAAGGTTCAAAGAAATAAAAGGTTCTCAGGCAATGACTTATATAAAATATAGTGCGGACGTGTGTTGTATTTTCTTTGCTTGTTCACCTAGTATGTAGCCAAATAAACAGTGTACAATTAACCTGGGAAAGGGCCTCCCTACATAAACATGTGTACAAACCCCTATTGCCGCCATTACCATAACACGAGATACGCAGTAAAGCAGTGCACATGTAAAGGGAATATTGCTGGAATATTGCTAAAAGCGGCGTAAAACCATACTCACTCACTCAAACACATGTAACATGTGGGGTCTCCTTAGGCAACTTTGTTTGAAACATGCCTCTGTTCACCCAGCATTGAATGGGTACCCGGTAGGAGGAGAAGGTAATATGACTTAACCTTGTTGCGCCTCACAGGCACTTTGGGTTGTATACTCCCAAGGGGATGAAAATCGAGTGCAATGATACACTGCCTAGGGTAATAATGTAGGGCTTTGAGCATGCTTTAGGGTATTGATTTAAATAAATATGCACGCCATTATTATTATCTAGAATTATGAAGTAGTAGTAGTAGGAGGAGTAGTAGTAGTTTGTTAAATGTATGAATTCCTCATTAATAGTGAGTTGGGTTTAACGCCGCTTTTAACAGTATTCCAGTTATATCGCAGCATGTCAGCTTAATGTGGGAGAAAAGCCTGAAGTGATGCAGGTCTTAGACGTTTACCACTTTGGTGAAACCCACGGACACGGGTATGGTGCTGACAAACCTAGAAACATAATCGGGGTGAACCGGGATTCGAACCCACAATCCTAGGTTTCTGGGGTGCCCAAGGGACGCAACTCTGCACAGCGAATCGCGGCGCCTTAGACGACTGGGCCACCAATGCCCCCTCCTCATTAATAGACGTTATGATGTATGATTTTATGCTACAGATTAGAAACCCTGCATTAACATATGTATAATGACTTAAATACTCATAAGGTTTATTCACCTAGGATTTGAACAGGTCCCCAGCAAGTTATGCTTGTCATTAGAGGTGGCTGAATAGATCAGATGGTCAGACTTGGGTGATTTTGTGTCAACGTACCCTGAGGTTGTGGGACGTTGCTCATAACATCAGTCATTAGTTTATCTGGTCCAGGTGAGATAATTTAAATGCCAATGTGATTACCTGGATAATTGCTCATTATGCTGTTATATAACTAACAAACAGAGAAACACAACTTTCATTTCTTTCTTTTCTTTTCAGAGTTTATGCTATATCTTGATGGAAAACGACATTTTGAAAGCTGATAAGATAGACGGACTTGAAATGACAACTCCCAATGACTCCCATCTATGTCACTCTGCTGGACACTGCTTGGACTAAAGTTATCAGGAGCCACTGAAACAATGGAAGAACCATGTGCTAGAAAGTCCACATCAGCTCTGGTACATCCAGGAGTTACCAAGGATGGCCATGTGGTCACCAGGAAATGTAGATAACTGCAGGGTATATGATGGGATGCGAAGACACATTCTTCGTTAAATCTATGTTTTTGATATTGGCCCTGAAATGGATAACACTGAAATATTATAGAAGCGGAAGGATTTTAATGACGCTTCAAACAGTTCATAAATTAAATTAAATTGAATTGAGACTTTGTAAATGCGCTTAGACCATGATTAATCTAGTTAAAGTTTCTTGAAGAGACAATTTGTAAACACCATTTTATATATACATACATACAGTAAATTCTGGTATTAGGGTAGTGTGCAGTGATGCTCGACACACACATGTACAGTCAAACACAGTTGTGCTGAAGTTGAAGGGACCAATGTAAATACTTTGAGTTATCCGAGGTTTGACACAACCAAAAATGATGAATAAAGAAGGAATATGCAGGGACGAAACCTTTACATTGAGAAAACCACAAGTTCGACACATCAAGGTTCAACACAAAAGTGTTTGATTGTATGGAGTGACATTGACTTTTGGTGTTTTATTTTCATGATTAAGAAACCATTATTAATTGGGAATCCATTCTTAACTTGTAATAGTTTGTTATCAATGGTCCACTCAGATTGAAGATATTCCTTGAACTTTGTTACTTGGGTACCAAGTTTGTCCTGATTTGTCCTACGCCTAGTCAACTGTAGAGGGAGCAAGACATATAACCCAGGACACTTTGTGTATAGTTCAGTTGTGTAGATTTTAGGGCTGGGAAGGGTAACGCGGATACTGGGGTCGGGTGGGTACTGAGTAGGACCCGGGTACCCACAGGACTACCCGGACCCATAGTTAGTCACGTGATATTTTGTTTAATGGCAGACTTATTTAGAACTCCATGGTTACACTACTAGTCACTAATGTTCACATTTCTTTCTGACTATCCACGCATTCCTTATGATTTTATGTGTTAGAATAAAGATAAAACTTCAGTCAACTTCAGTGTATGCATGACAAGTTCGTTTTATACAGTATCTAAATACATTTTTCCAGGGCTACGGTCAAACTATTCCCAATCAGACATTTGGACCTATCTCTTGATACCTACAGCTGATACCCAGGTAGAGTCGGGTAATAGGGGGGTGAATACCCGGGTAGTAAATTTGGCCTCGTCCCAGCCCTAGTAGATTTCACAAATTCTTTGATCGGGGGTAAAATAGGTCCTCAGCAACCCATGCTGTCCTTAAAATGCGACTACTTAGTATGCTTGTCCTAAGAGGCGACTTTTTTTTATGAAAGTCTAAGACCAAAATAGTTTTGTGTATCACTGAATGGTCACAACTGATAAAGATGATTACTTCAATACATATGTGGTATATATAAATACTGGTCTATCTGCAGCCAGTGACCTTACTACCAACTGAGTGTACAGCTGCTCAGGTTGAAGAGCATCCTCGGTGATCCAGTTACATCTCGATTTCTTTAGGATATATACCCTGGACCTAGTCCTCTGATAGCTTCTGTCTGGAAGTGACATCACACCTTCCTATCAGTAACTTCACACACAGTTTTACTCTCTCATGATTTCTCTCACTTTAATTGGGGGCACGGGTGGCCCAGTCGTCTAAAGCGCCGTGATTCGCTGTGCAGAGTTGCATCCCTTGGGCACGCCAGAAACCTATGATTGTGGGTTCGAATCCCGGTTCGCCCGATTATGTTTCTAGGTTTGTCGGCACCATACCCGTACTCGTGGGTTTCACCGAAGTGGTACACGTCTGAGACCTGCATCACTTCAGGTTTTCCTCCCACATTAAGCTGACACGTCGTGATATAACTGGAATACTGTTAAAAGCAGCGTTAAACCCAACTCACTCACTCACTCTCACTTTAATTGGATGAAGCTATGGTGAAGAATAAGTTCAGGTCATTTATCAGAATAGAATGGAGATATGATACTCTGGATAATCAAGTACTGGTATGTTTGAAACGAATGCATGGTTCTTGTTTTGCATAATATGTTAATGTATGTGATATATCTGATATAATATACTTCTTATTAGCGCTTTCAAATAAATCATACTTTGAAATTTGTCTTGTTCATATTGTGTGACGCATTAGCTTGTCATGCTGAAGGTCCAAGTTCAATTCCCCACATGGGTAAATTGTGTGATGCCCATTTATGGAGTCCCACAGGTGGATTATTGCTAAAAGCGGCATTAAACCATACTCACTCATATGGTGTGTGCTAAGAGCCATAAGTGTCATGTGCATAAGGCTTAAGATGAGCTTTGTCAGCTTTCCACATCTATCTATCTTTGGGTCTGACATGGCTGTGGTTAAACCACCCTTATCTCTCCGGGTAGATGCCCTATCCACTACGCCACTGAGTCTTATGAGAGGAATACCTCTCAAGATGTGACTACATGTATGTCTTCAACAGGACAAGCTTTGGTATGAGTACAGGGTATGGTTACCGTATTCAACGTAATAAGCGCCCAGGGCGCTCTCAAAATTAGAAATAGGGGGCGCTTATTAGAATATTATTTTGAGTTGAAAGATTGTAAATTTCGTTGTTTATGCCAACAGCCTGAAGTGTTTACATACGAAAGATATATTTTTCAAGAATTTAATTGCCCATAATTAACACACGAGTGCGTATTACACACGAATAAATAAGTCTTGTGTACATTGATCAATCGGAAGGGGTGCTGATTGGGATTGTTTACTAGCCAATATATTAGCAAATATCGCCGTGGGCGCTTATTAGAGCGGGGCGCTTATTACGTCGAATACGGTATGTGTTATTCACACACTGTTTTGTCTAATCATCTATCAAATTTCGAAATCTTCAAAAATGAATTGATTGCAGATGGTTGGCAGAACATCCTGATCACTATATCCCCAAACATGACCTTTTCCCACTCGGGATGCCACCACATGAGAGCAAGTCCAATTATACGGCATTGTATCTGTCACTTACCCGATATTTATATTATATTTATATTTATATAAGGTGCTGCCCTTCCCAGTGAAGCCATCAGGGTGAACAGATTGTCCAGGAAAAGCTATATGCCTTGGAAAGTTCATGTACATCCCCAAAGGCCTCCCAACCTGTGTGTGTGTGTGCGTGTGTGTGTGTGTGTGTGTTACTGTTAGAAACATAAAAGGTCATTATTTCAAGAGGAAGTTCTGACAATCGGCTGAGTTTTGGTAATATTAGGTTGATTAGTTGTGGGCTGCAATGAATGCAGTGTGGCATTTAATTAATGTCAAGTTGGTCTTTTGGAACATCCGTGTATTGTTTAAGATTTTTGTTCCGTTTGTAGTTTAACACCGCACTCAGCAATAGACCAGCTATATGACGGCAGTCTGTAAATAATCGAGTGTGAACCAGACGATCCAGTGATTGACATCATGGGCATCGATCAACACAATTGGGATACAATGCATCAACCAAGTCAGCGAGCCTGACCACCCTATCCCGTTAGTTGCCTCTTACGACAAGCATAGTCACCTTTTACGGCAAGCATGAGTTGCTGAAGACCCATTCTACCCCGGATCTTCACGGGTCGTATTTTTTAAGAGCAATCAATAATGTTCAGGTTGTACCTCATCCATTATGCCTGTGTGTGAAGGAGGAAAATGTTTGTTTGGCTCCATCCATCTGTGCATCTTGTTGCCGGGGAGGTATCCCCAGAACATCTGCATTGACTGGTTCAGAGGACGAGGCAGGATAAAGGCCTTACTAAACCAACTGAACATGTCAAATTTAAAAGTTACGAAATATTGGTATGAAAACGACCAAACGTTCAATTGTGTACATGTTTGCTCAACTGATGCTAATGGGATATATCGACCAAACATGGTACAACCATGGTACCATGGTTCCATCGCTTGAGCCTGGAGGTTTGTCTCAACAGCATATTTCAAATATTTCAAAAATATATCCTTCAGTTGGTCATTAACATCCTTTGAGGATGAATAGGGTTTACATTAATATAAGCTTGGTGATTCAATAAAGCTTGCCAATATTTATTCAGTTTAAATTCACATGATCAGAATACTGTACACATTATAAATGATTGATGAGGTCAGAAAGTGGTGTGAGTGCTAAACAAGATAACGACAATGACAATATTACATACAGATCATTGTTCAACATGCCTCCCTTACAGATAGCATCGACCGCCTCCGTGGTCCTGTGGTAGAGCGTCCGCCCGGAGAGCGGAAGGTCCGGGGTTCGATCCCCGGCAGCGTCATACCAAAAGACGTTAAAACATGGTACTTGTTGTTACCCTGTCTGGCGCTCGGCATTAAGGGGCTAAAACAAGGACTGGTCGGCTCGGAGTCAGTATACTGTGTCTGAGTGGGGTATTCATGTTAAACTGCGGCATGGTATCTCGGTGAGCTAGCACTATAAATCGGCATCAGTCCGGACTAGTACAAGCAGCCACACAAACACATACTCGTACATGCACGTCGCTATATAAGTGCAATAATCTTGGACGCGACGTTAAACCCAATTTCACGTTACACAACAATCTGGAGGTGAGGTGAAATGGGGTTTAACGTCGCGTATTTGTATTATCTAGACCTTAAAAGTACCAGTAATATTGTCCAGATCTACAGCAATATCTGATTTCTCTATGAAGAGAAAAGAAAATTGTGTATAGGACAGTCAAGCAACCCTGGTCAGTCTAAAAATTTTGTTGTGTACACAGACATAACATTCAGCAATCGGTAAAGCCATATAATCCAAATTTTTATACTCCTTTTAGAGAGACTATATTTGTGCTCATGACCAGCCTAATTATCAACTCACATTTTGTTTTCTCGCCGCATTTTGGGTGTTTCTTGCACATATCGTGTGATTTATAGTGGGCCTATTTCGCAAGGGAACCTAACCACGGTGACCATGGCCTCGGCCCAGATGCCGTCATATGGTATAGATTTCTTTCAAATATAAAAAGGACCGCCTCCGTGGTCTTGTGGTAGAGCGTCCGCCCGGAGAGCGGAAGGTCCAGGGTTCGATCCCGGGCCGCGTCATACAAAAAGACGTTAAAAGATTGTACTTGTTGTTACCCTGTCTGGCGCTCGGCATTAAGGGGCTAAAACAAGGACTGGTCGGCTCGGAGTCAGTATACTGTGTCTGAGTGGGGTATTCATGTTAAACTGCGGCATGGTATCTCAGTGAGCTAGCACTATAAATCGGCATCAGTCCGGACTAGTACAAGCAGCCACACACACACATACACGTGCATGCACGTCGCTATATAAGTGCAATAATCTTGGACGCGACGTTAAACCCAATTTCACCTCACCTCAAATATAAAAAAAAAAAATTGCAAGTGATTCTGTAGCAGTTGGGTAGCGAAGCAAATAGTTTGCGTTTATGTTTCCTTAAACCGAAAATGAATAGGCCTCGGCCACTGACAGACTACTGTTTTCTGATTAGATCATAATACAATGCATTTCATTTTGGCGTTGAACGATGCCACTGATTTCATACTTTGTCTAGTTGTTTGTGTATGTTCACGAATAAATACTGTAAAACAGGAATTTAATGCGACATGAAAATAATGCGAGCTCTTGATTTTAAAAATGCGAGTGCCCATACCCTTTCCTAAAAAAATATGCGCTGGATTTATGTTCTGTGTTATTTTAATTAATGTAACCTACGTAAATAAAAGCCTTACCTGAAAACGCTTCGTTTGTTTCAAATGACGTTTTGAGCAGGAACTGTGAGTAGACAGAGATAAATATAATAACTGTGCACATTAAATCCCCTGTCCATGTTTTTTCAGTGTGAGATTCCTTCCTTATTTTAATATTATTTAAGCTAATTGCCCGTATGTTTGATCGCCAAGCGTGAGAATGGTTTCCTTGCAGCTATCATTGTGTTAGTGTAGTTTTAGTTGACAGTCTGTTGGTACTAGTATATACGTTCGGCCCTTTGATGAAAAGAAGCAATCTGTGAAGTTATTATTGTTGACGTATGTATTTATAAGAATTAACACAGGTATGGACGTTAAAAAACGGCGTGAGGATTTAGTTTGCACAACGTTTTCCCCCGCTTATACCTCCATCAATTCTTGAGAAACCTGCAAAAGAAATAAAACAGAAAAATTAAATTATACCCCCAACCTCGTCATTTTTTTTAAAGGTCACGACTAAGAAGAATATTTTCTATCTCGCCTTATGAGTAAAAATATACTCTCACAAAAACGTAGGGGAAATTATAAAATATCAGATGATTACTGAAATACAAAGAGGTATCCAGTGACTGTAATGGATGTAAAGGAAAAAGGAAGGGCGGGGAGAAACATGGCAATCAACAGAACACGTTGGTGTGTATTGTAAGAGTGCAAACAACCAAATATGACGACAGGTTGATGTAACAAAAAAATTAACGTTTGAGATGACTTGATCAATAATGGGTCATGCTCCCACGATTGGTCAAATATTCCTTTTTGTAGTAGGGCGTGGTCCGAATCAATCTCTCCATGGCTATTTGAGGGACTCTTGTTCACTCTTCTTGCAACGGCTGGCCCAGTTCAGCTGACGTACCGGGTGGCCTTTGACATCAGCACACGTCTCCCGATCATATCCCGGACATGCTTTAAGGGGGAAAGGTCAGGACACTTGACTGCCCATTGCATTCTGGTCATGTTAGCTGCTAGACGTTGGCGATTACGATAACGTTAACATCTTGAAGGACGAAACGTGGACCAGAATGACTCGCAAACGGCAAAACTTTTGGCGTCTGTATGTTGTCTCGGTAGTACTGCCAAGTGACCCTTCCATGGACATTGAGCAGTGGCCTTCTGGCAGTCATAGAGACCCCGCCTCATATAATTTCACACCCACCCAAAATCTGTCATGTTGCTTCACGTTGCCGTTCGTTAGGACGCCTCCAGACATTCCCAGGGCTATCCAGAAAGTCCGGAGTGAACATTACAAGAGACCACCGACGATTCCGTCGGTTTCTACACTCCACACTCCACAGGCGTCTGGCTAGAATGTGTCAGTTTGTTGATGCTGCACACAACACTTGGTCGCCGAGCATGCAGACGCTTTCTAATTGTCTAGTCACTAACTTGAATAAGTGAACAGTGATTTGATTGGCTGTTTGCTGATTAAGCGATTTTGGACTTGTATTGTTGATCTAGGGTGCCCTGTGCGGGGCCGATCATTAATATTTTGTGCCTGCAAAAACCTGTTTCAAATTCTGCATGTCCCAGACTTAGACACATTCAACAAATTGGCCACCTCTCGCTGAGATCTACCAGTTCTACCAGTCTGAGCATGGCGTTCATCACGTTGTAGACGACGCATTCCCAATCCGATCACAAATACTGCATTAAATCTGAGTAGAGAGCTTACGTGTTTCTGTGGATAATGAAAGTCAACAGTACTAACATGGCTTAGAGCAACTTGACGTCCTTTCACTGAAGTGTCAAGCTCAAACTCCTACCAACCTGCACGGAGCAATTGCACGGTCCACGTGAAATGTTTCGGGTGTGTTGGACGTAAGGTTTTGGCTCCGAAACTCTTACGTCCGATCTTAACATCATTATTTCAGAATCCCCTACCTTTTTTAAAAGAGTATAATGAGTTTGTTTTACCAATGAACATATCATCTGCACCTAGCCTTATCTAAATTAGGCCAAACAAACAGATCAAAGTGGAGGTGCATATTTGTTTTTTAAAAATGATGTTTAATTCTTTACATGTTTACCTGCTAGCATTAAACCTGAACATAACAGATACTGGTTAGATTGACTGCAAATGGATAATGATACATTTTTAGGGATATGTGTGTAATGTGAAATATACTCTGCAAAATGAATTGGTTATTTCTTCATGGATTAGGATTGATTTGTGTGAAAAGAATGAGGTACTGCAGATGCAGAAATTTAGCCAAAAGATGAAAAAGTCGCAAAAACACATCTCCGTGCGAGCATGGCGCCGAAACATACCAAAATGACATGCACGTGCAACATCACTTGTTGGGCTAAACACAAGTTGGGTTTTCAGTTGCAAGCCATCACAATCTTACAAAAATTGAACAGGAATATAATGCAACTGACGGAAGCCCAACGCAGCAACGCCATCGGCTGACTGCAAACAAGAGAATCATCTTCAGCTGTAGCCAGATTTTTCCACGTTGGACCAAGCACCATAACAAGACCGTGGAAGCTTTATCAGACACACGGGGGACAACGCGGGACCTTCCCAGATCCGGTCGACCACGTATCAGTACTAGGGCACATGACAGATTCATACCGCTACGTCACTCACGTGAAAGAACCACCACGGACACCTCTATGGCAATACCAGGATTCCGCCCAGGCAATGAGGAACCGTTTACGCACTGGGGGATTTACGATAGACGACCAGTTCGAGGTGTCATTTTGACGGAACTGCGTTGTCGGCTGTCGCGCGACGTCAAAGGTATCAAGTTTGATACCACAACTGCGATGGAGACAAGTTTGGTTTAGTGACGAGTCACGTTTTATGCTTCACCGAGTCGTGAATTCTGACAAGATGTTTACGCAAGACAAAGGGACGACACGTGATTGATGCAGGTGAATATTCTAATCGCTAATCGGCGTCAAAGCTTATAAATTCTCACTGTGAGTGATCGAAACATTCACACAAGCAGATCTAACTTTTGTATCTCGAAACCGAATATAATCGAGAAAATCCGAATGCGAAAATAATGTTGCGCTCTGATATTTTATACATCCTGTTTGCGAACGCCATGGCGTCTTCACCCAAAGGGTTACCATGAAGAGTCTGTGACGGTTTTCTGTGGCAGTAATTGGCATTTCCGAATCGAGGCAGTAAAGAAATGAAGCTTAATTAATATTGTATTATAAAGCGGACACCATTGATTTTCTCTATTCATGGGAATTATTGGGATTTTAAATTTTTAATTAAAAAAAATTATAATGAAATAATTACCAAAATCACAATCACCATAGCGACTAACGCGCTCCTGGCGAATCACTGTTCTGTATATCAAACGGCATAAAAAAAATTCCAAGACCAAGCCAATTCTTCAAGAAACGTGTGCATATAATTTAGCGAAAAATAATATCGATTTTGGTTAAGTTATATCGTCAGTTTTAGTTATAAAATAAAATGAAACGGCTATTCATGGACACTGTTTATATGAACGTATAATATTGACTATTACACTCCCTAGAAATACATAAAAGATGAAATGTAAATGTACCTGTCACATGGACACTTGTTCAAATTAAAGAAATATGGTATACGACACTATAAACTTATCAACTTCATATGTGAACATTGTTCAAACAAACAGGAGATGATCAAACGTTCATATATGTTGTGGCCTATATCTACGTATGATATCATATTGAACATTGATTAATATCCAAAGTGAAATTAATTATGTGAAAAAAATGTACAAAAGATATGCAAGATCTACATCATGAAAGAGTAAAAAGCAGTTAACAATGATCGTGTGTACTTTCATTCAAGGACCTTCACCTCAGAGAAATTACCACATATGTACAACAAATATGTTGACAACATTCTGACAACATTCTGACAACCTGTGTACTGTTTTCTGTTGTTGTATTTTTCATTGAAACCAACGAAAATAGTCAGAACTTCTGATAAATACCGTTGTCGTTGTGCGTGATTTTGCGTCAGTCATAGCGTCACTTAGGACGGGAACTTCGACAGGTTTTGTTGAAAATATCAAATTATTGCAACGTATCCGTATATATGTTTAATTCCCTAATTCTTCCAACGATTCTCTTCCCGTGTACATTCTGAAAATGCAGATCTCGAGCCAATGTACTCAACGAACAGACGAATGGCTTTGTTTACTTTTCCAAGTGCAATTTTTTCAGCGTTCGTTTTCACACCTCATTTATTTTGCTTCATTACATCTAGACGATTTGTATTGGTGACAAAGACCATTTAGAATTTGATTCTAAAATGTATGAGGAATTCAAGGATGTAGGTATCGCAGCTGAAATATACGTGATGGTAGTTGCGTCTCATTACCGGTCTCATTACGTTATTACCAAAATCACAATCACCATAGCAGCAACAGAACGTTCGATGTTGACGCCTCACAACCGAGTAAGTACGAGGTGTTAAAGAGTGCGCATGTTTTTTTTCTAAATAAAACAATAGCTTTACAATATCGATAAATACTATGTGTGTGTCTATTTCCGGGATTTTATCGAGTATTTGCATCTTGGAAATTTTCATTCGAGCCCCTCAAGCTAACACTTTCGGGTCTCGAGATGAATTTCCAAGATGCAAATACTCGATAAAATCCCGGAAATAGACACACACATAGTATTTATCTTCTAAATGTTAGACAGTTCACGGAGTTTCTAGGAATCTGCGACACTAGCCACTAGTCCGAAACCCGAGTCTTGTAAAATTCTGTTCGGGCTAGTAAACTCTGCTAATAGAAGGCTATATGATTAGACTAAACTCCACTGAAAATAATGCTTAGAGCCAGAAGACGGCTCTCAAAATATTTTGGCGTTGGGTGAGTCTGCTTAAAAGAACCATAGGTCCTGTGTTGTTTAATACACAGATTGAGCCTCTCTGCATTATTGGAATCTGACTACACCTCCTTCTTTAAACGACTGAATCCCTCGATCCACAATCTCTGTTGTCATCAGGCATTCTTCTTTCGTAATGAGGGGAGATTCCGTGCCTGTAAATATAACAAATGTCGACACTCATGTGTTTGCATAACAGAACGTGACATTCTGACCCCCTTTCCATTGCTAACTGTCGGAAAAGAATGCACAAAGAAAAAGCGAGTGTTTGGTTTTTAATGCCTGACTCATCAATATTCAAGCAACACGATGGGGCCTGTAAGTAATCGAGTTTTGAACGAACAAACCAGTGATATTATGCGCAACAACGACATAGAAAAAAACAAGTCACCGAGTCTCACCATCAGGTCCAGCTATAGTCAATGTTCGAAATACCTGCGTGCCCGACCGTCCGAGACGGGTTGATTTCAACTCGGGCTGCCAGATTTTCAAATCCCCCTGCCCGACGGTCGGGTTATATTTCATATGTGACAATATTCCAAATATTTCCCGATGATAATCATTAATTCACATGTAAAGATGAATGATAAAATGTAACCAAAAAGGAAACCCCGTTAGCTTATCCTGAGAAACATATGATTATAGTGGGCAGGCAGGTTTTGGTCAGGGCTGGCAAGTATTTCAGCTAGCCAGTCCTGTGGTCTGGCTGAAATGTTTGGGAGTTCCATACCCTGGCTATAGGTGCCTGTGTGCAAACATGCACAACTACTTAAATATCACAGTGTTCTTGACCTCAAAAGAAGCTAACACAACACTATCAATTTAAAGGCCCAGGGGGATATCATAGTGTAGATCTGGTTGTACAGAATAAGTATCTTGGCACCATTATTGATTCGAAACTCACTTGGAATGCCAACACGGAGCATATTTATAAAGAGGTCCAAAAGCGATTGTTTTTCTTACGGCGTTTTAGGTATTTGTAACTTGATAATACAATACTCTCTCTGTTTCATAGAACATTTAATCAAGGCATTATAGTTTGCAATGTCCACTGTTGGTATTGGAGGCTGACTGTCCAAAATAAATCTAAAAGCTTAACAATTTTAAATAATCGTACAGCACGCAAAATCTCAGGTACGCAAGAAAGGCGCGTAAAATACTAAACGACAGTCGTCATATACTTCATTCCGAATATCAGTTTCGACCACCTGGTCGCCGACTTCGCAAGCGACGCTGAAAACAAACATATATAGATACCAATTTTCTTCATTTCCTCACTTGTGGTTATATTAGTGAGTGTTTTATTGTCTTTTGTACATTTAATGTCATATATTTTCTTTTTATTGTATTTTATTTTATTTTTTTATTGTAGTGCTAATCAACTGTGCAATATGAATTTCCCTTTGGATAGTAAAGTCTTATTTTAACTTATCTCATTACTTATTTGTCATTCTTTTCGCAAGATACATTGAAATATTGGCATCTGCGTAAACATTTCATGCCATCCAGCTTACCATCCTGTGGCATCCGGAATAGCACGTAACAGTGCTCGGCATCTGGCATTCAAAAGGGGGTTGGCACCCTCAAAGTGGTATTGTCTCAGAATAACAGACCTGATCTTAATGTGATTGATGTTCCCTTGATACTACCGCCCGGAATTCCTTTCTAACAGTGGCGGTCGGGTAGCCTTGTGGTTAAAGCGTTCGCTCGTCACACCGAAGACCCGGGTTCGATTCCCGACATGTGACATTGTGTGAAGCCCATATCTGGTGTCCCCCGCCGTGATATTGCTGGAATATTGCTAAAAGCGGCGTAAAACCATACTCTTCCACTCACCCACCTTTCCAACATGTACCAATATTTAATTATCAATGTATTGTGTATTCGATTAAACTAATTGTGTTCTTACCATCGATGCAGTTTATAAAGTGTTGCAGTTCATTTTGAAAGGCTGTCCTGAACCTATCTGGAAAGGAAGTACAGAGACGAGGGCTTCTCAAACCACTGTTCAGCTCCAGCGTGGCACTCGACAAGCGTGGGTTGGCCATCTGTGCCATGCCTCCTGAACCAAACACCTGGGGATCACAAGAGTGAGTGAGTGTTGGAGTGAGTGAGTGAGTAGGTGGTTGAGTGGATGGTTGAGTGAGTGAGTGAGTGAGCTTTTCAACATATGCATCATAAAGCGTTTGTGATTCGACGTGACTTGAAATGTTAACATTTTAAACAGTTCTACATAATGTGTTATTTTTTCAATTATAAGGAGGGGCAAAGATTGTCCATTCGACTCAGGCTTCGGAAATCTCCGAGTTGTTTCCCTTAAACATGTTTGAATCCCAAGATTCTGTATTGCCCTTATCATTCACTTGGTTCTTTGGGGCTTTTGAGGCTAACATATATTTTTCACCCACAGTATCAATCAGGTGAGCGCTATAAAGCTTTTTGATGTATGAATGAATGTTATTCAGCAATATATGCACTCATGGGGACTCCGAATTAGAATTGATGTTGGCCATGGATCGTTGCTCCTAATATCAATCACTCGAATGTCTGTCGATGAAACGATTATTTACAGGGTGTCGTCATACAGATGGAATATTGATGTAGTGCTCCGTTAGACAACAAACACAAATATAGTTAGCTATATTCCAGCTATATGATGGTGGCGTGTCTGTAATCAGGCAAACCGATGACTGAAAGCATGAGACACTTTCCACACCACTGGGGCTTGACGACAATACCATGAGACGAATATTATCATAAACCAGAGAAATTAATTCCTATAAAATGAGTTGAGCTTCATGTGTGGAATGGCTCTTGACACGTTTACAGATGATGCACAGCGGTGAGAGTGAGTGAGAGGAGAGTGAGAGAGAGAGGAGACAGGGAGAGGAGACACATAGAGAGAGAGGAGACACAGAGAGAGGAGAGATAGAGATAATAGAGAGGAGACAGACAGAGAGAGAGAGAGAGAGAGAGAGAGATGCTATGACATAAGCTCACTTGAACTTCCTCAGGTGATCCTTTAATAAAATTATTTTCCAGCGCACCTCAAACCTAATATCACATCCATACAGAGAGAGAGAGGAGACACACAGAGAGAGGAGACACACAGAGAGGAGAGAGAGACGCTATGACATAAGCTCACTTGAACTTCCTCAAGAGATCCATTTATAAAATTATTTTCCAGCTCACCTCAAACCTAATATCACATCCATACAGAGAGAGAGAGGAGACACACAGAGAGAGGAGACACACAGAGAGGAGAGAGAGACGCTATGACATAAGCTCACTTGAACTTCCTCAAGAGATCCATTTATAAAATTATTTTCCAGCTCACCTCAAACCTAATATCACATCCATACAGAGAGAGAGAGGAGACACACAGAGAGAGGAGACACACAGAGAGGAGAGAGAGACGCTATGACATAAGCTCACTTGAACTTCCTCAAGAGATCCATTTATAAAATTATTTTCCAGCTCACCTCAAACCTAATATCACATCCATACAGAGAGAGAGAGGAGACACACAGAGAGAGGAGACACACAGAGAGGAGAGAGAGACGCTATGACATAAGCTCACTTGAACTTCCTCAAGAGATCCATTTATAAAATTATTTTCCAGCTCACCTCAAACCTAATATCACATCCATACAGAGAGAGAGAGGAGACACACAGAGAGAGGAGACACACAGAGAGGAGAGAGAGACGCTATGACATAAGCTCACTTGAACTTCCTCAAGAGATCCATTTATAAAATTATTTTCCAGCTCACCTCAAACCTAATATCACATCCATACAGAGAGAGAGAGGAGACACACAGAGAGAGGAGACACACAGAGAGGAGAGAGAGACGCTATGACATAAGCTCACTTGAACTTCCTCAAGAGATCCATTTATAAAATTATTTTCCAGCTCACCTCAAACCTAATATCACATCCATACAGAGAGAGAGAGGAGACACACAGAGAGAGGAGACACACAGAGAGGAGAGAGAGACGCTATGACATAAGCTCACTTGAACTTCCTCAAGAGATCCATTTATAAAATTATTTTCCAGCTCACCTCAAACCTAATATCATATCCATACACCGAATCAAGGACATTGTGGATGGATGCCATGATGCCGGTCCTGTACTTGAGGACGGCAGTGACAGTATCAGCCTCCCCGCACTCCTTCATCACGGGGTCATGGGCGTGACCGGTCACGTAGATGCTCTCGGGACGTTCGGCCTTTGTCAGCCACACCATCAAGTCAATGTCGTGCGGACAGAGATCAGAGTAGATGTTGCAGCCACTCTTTGCTGTAATACAATCACAAAATCAGATTTCATAGCTGTCTCGTATCTTTTATATGTTGAGATAGTGATGTGGTACATTGTCTATCCATTGTTTACGTTTACTTTATAACACATCTCTGAAATCACATATTTATTTTACTTGAAGGCGACGTTTCGGTACAGATCCCTATAAGCAAGTTATATTGTCCTTGCTTGACAACGGTACAAGGACCGATACCGAAACGTCGCATTTACAGCAAATAAAGAAGTTGTAATCCATAAGTTGTGTCTACAATAACACTTTTGTTTGCATATTTGGATTTTTGACCTAGCTAGTAGGTACTTCATTACATCCGTTTTCCTAGTTCAAGTGCAAGTTTAACATATCCTTTGAAACTTCTTGCGCAATGATTTGTTAATTTGCTGATGATAATTGTGTATATGATACCAGCTAGTTCTGATCCTAATATAAACATCGCCGTACTATGTTCCAAATGTCATTTTTGCCCATTGCTAATCCATTTCTGCATGTATCAACATGTGCAAGGAGTGTTAGAAAAGCCTTGCGGCATTGAGAGTGACATTACAGCAAGTGTGGAAGAATTTCCGACATTTGGTTGTCTGTCATATGTTGACAACATGCTGACAAGTATATAGCTGCACTTCAAATAATACACGAGAGATAGTTCACCATTTGAAGCAGGGTGTCTCCATAATGGATTTCAATAAATTGGAGTAAAGGTTTTGAGTGTGAGTGAGTGAGTTGGGTTCAGCGCCGCTTTTAACAGCATTCCAGTTATATCACGGCGTGTCAGCTTAATGTGGGAGGAAAGCCCGAAGTGATGCAGGTCTTAGACGTTTACCACTTCGATGAAACCCACGAGCACGGGTATGGTGCTGACAAACCTAGAAACATAATCGGGGCGAACCGGGATTCGAACCCACAATCATAGGTTTCTGGATTAAGTCCAGTCAGGAGCTCCTTGAACTATGCAAGGATACCCAATATACATCAACGCAATGAAAACATCCATCTCAGTGAAGTTTCCGACTTAACCCAGGGTTGGGAGAATGATGGCAGTATTCTGGGATTTGAATGTGGCGTTATTGGTTGATTATCTACCCGCAAAACTAAATGTCAGGTCATTATTATTCCAACATGTTGACTGAAATGCTAAAAACAATATCCACAAGGTGATGTTCGCATTTGGGGTTCTGCTGCTGCATGACAATGCTCCACTTCCCTGGTCGAGAGTTGCAAAGACTTCATGCTTTAAGGGAATGTGGCTTTGAACAGATAAGTCACCCCTACCCCCCACCCAACAAACACAATCTAGACCTCACTCGGTCATGCCTTGAAGTCTGCTGCTGAGGAATGGTTTTAGTGCGAGTCAAAAGAGTTAATGAATCAAATGTCAGAATATTGAAAAATAAAACAAAATCCAACTGTTTTCCCCACTTCTGTAATGAATTGCATACCATTTGAGCGCCCCTCGTATGTATGCTTTGCCCCAAAACACATTTATGTTTTGCCTATCACAGTAATGCTTACCACATTTTGTGAGATACTCATAGGATGGGCGTGGCGAGTCCCGCGTGACCAGCGTCATTACATGGACGTTGCCTATGTCTCCTTGCTGTACGGCATGCACTGTTGCCTCCACTGCTGGATCAAACCGCCTGTAGAGATAGTCACAAAACATTCAATACCATGTTCAGCCTAGTAGCAACCCATTCTACTCTACAGAACCGCCTCCGTGGTCTAGTGGTAGAGCGTCCGCCCGGAGAGCGGAAGGTCCGGGGTTCGATCCCCGTCGCGTAATACCAAAAGACCTTAAAAGATTGTACTTATTGTTACCCTGTCTGGCGCTCGGAATTAAGGGGCTAAAACAAGGACTGGTCGGCTCGGAGTCAGTATACTGTGTCTGAGTGGGGTATTCATGTTAAACTGCGGCATGGTATCTCAGTGAGCTTGCACTATAAATCGGCATCAGTCCGGACTAGTACAAGCAGCCACACAAACACACACACGTACATGCACGTCGCTATATAAGTGCAAAAATCTTGGAGGCGACGTTAAACCCCATTTGACCTCACCTCACCTACTCTACAGCTGCACAAAGCTTGTTGAACATCATCCTAACTCATCAATTGTCGTTAGAGCTGTTACCCGTGAAGAGGTAGAATAGGTCTTCAGCAACCCATGCTTGCCGAAAAAGGCGACTTTGCTTGTCGTAAGAGGCGACTAACGGGAACGGCTGGTCAGACTCGCTGATTTGGTTGATGCATGTCATCGATCCCAATTGCGTGGATCGATGCTCATGATATCAATCACTGGATTGTTTGGTCCAGACTCGATTATTTACAGACCGCCGTCATATAGCTGAAATATTGCTGAGTGCGGCGTTAAACAACAAATCAACGTTAGAGCTGAATGAAATAGGTAATTTTGTGACACAGTGTACAATGGTATATGGCCTGGCTGACTGTGTTGTCATGGTACCCTGATAAGGTGAGGCAAACAAATATGTTTCTCATAACATGTTTCAAATCTGTCTGGGTAGGGAGGGAATGCGGAAGATAAGAGGTTTCAGAAAACTATGAAAGTAAACTGGACTGGACACTAATGAATCACATCCTGTGGCAGCACCCTTGTGCTGATGTAAAACAATTCCTCGTGCACTTCACTGCCCCACATTACAGATAGAGTGAGCGTGAACACTCATCGTAGAAAGGCATCAGTAGAGTTTTGACATTGCCACGCGTCAGCAAATCTGAGACAAGTGAAAGATAGAAGGACGACGTTTTACATAAACATCTGTCCGAACTTCATAGTAGCTGGAAATAAACCAACACGTCTACCCGTCATTTATTCTTGTCAACTTGAGAAGAGAGATGTCTGGTGTTTATAAACATATAGATAGGGGGATGTCTCGTGAAGCGAGCGAGGAGAGGTGTCTGGTGTTTATATACATATAGAGAGGGGAGTACCTCGTGAAGCCAGCGAGGAGAGGTGTCTGGTGTTTATATACATATAGAGAGGGGAGTACCTCTTGAAGCCAGTCAGGAGAGGTGTCTGGTGTTTATATACATATAGAGAGGGGAGTACCTCGTGAAGCCAGCGAGGAGAGGTCTGGTGTTTATATAAATATAGAGAGGGGAGTACCTCGTGAAGCCAGCATGGAGAGGTGTCTGGTGTTTATATAAATATAGAGAGGGGTGTATCTCATAAAGCTGGCGAGGAGAGGTGTATCGATGTTTATATACATATAGATAGGGTGGTAGCTCGTGAAGCCAGTGAGGAGAGGTGTCTGGTGATTATATAAATATAGAGAGGCGAGTACCTCGTAAAGCTAGCGACGAAAGATGTCTGGTGTTTATATAAATATAGAGAGGGGAGTACCTCGTGAAACCAGCGAGGAGAGGTGTCTGGTGTTTACATAAATATAGAGAGGGGAGTACCTCGTGAAACCAGCGAGGAGAGGTGTCTGGTGTTTATATAAATATAGAGAGGGGTGTACCTCATAAAGCTGGCGAGGAGAGGTGTATCGATGTTTATATACATATAGATAGGGTGGTAGCTCGTGAAGCTAGCGAGGAGAGGTGTCTGGTGATTATATAAATATAGAGAGGCGAGTACCTCGTAAAGCTAGCGACGAAAGATGTCTGGTGTTTATATAAATATAGAGAGGGGAGTACCTCGTGAAACCAGCGAGGAGAGGTGTCTGGTGTTTACATAAATATAGAGAGGGGAGTACCTCGTGAAGCCAGTGAGGAGAGGTGTCTGGTGTTTATATAAATATAGAGAGGGGTGTACCTCATAAAGCTGGCGAGGAGAAGTGTATTGGTGTTTATATACATATAGAGAGGGTGGGACCTCGTGAAGCTAGCGAAGAGATATGTCTTGTGTTTATATACATATAGAGAGGGGAGTATCTCGTGAAGCCAGCGAGGAGAGGTGTCTGGTGTTTATATACATATAGAGAGGGGAGTACCTCGTAAAGCTAGCGTAGAGAGGTGTCTGGTGTTTATATAAATATAGAGAGGGGTGTATCTCATAAAGCTGGCGAGGAGAGGTGACTGGTGTTTATATAAATATAGAGAGGGGTGTATCTCATAAAGCTGGCGAGGAGAGGTGTCTGGTGTTTATATAAATATAGAGAGGGGTGTATCTCATAAAGCTGGCGAGGAGAGGTGTATCGATGTTTATATACATATAGATAGGGTGGGACCTCGTGAAGCTAGCGAGGAGAGGTGTCTGGTGTTTATATAAATATAGAGAGGGGTGTATCTCATAAAGCTGGCGAGGAGAGGTGTCTGGTGTTTATATAAATATAGAGAGGGGTGTATCTCATAAAGCTGGCGAGGAGAGGTGTATCGATGTTTATATACATATAGATAGGGTGGGACCTCGTGAAGCCAGCGAGGAGAGGTGTCTGGTGTTTATATACATATAGAGAGGGGAGTACCTCGTAAAGCTAGCGTGGAGAGGTGTCTGATGTTTATATAAATATAGAGAGGGGTGTATCTCATAAAGCTGGCGAGGAGAGGTGTCTGGTGTTTATATAAATATAGAGAGGGGTGTATCTCATAAAGCTGGCGAGGAGAGGTGTATCGATGTTTATATACATATAGAGAGGGGAGTACCTCGTGAAGCCAGTGAGGAGAGGTGTCTGGTGTTTATATACATATAGAGAGGGAAGTACCTCGTGAAGACAGCGAGGAGAGGTGTCTGGTGTTTATATACATATAGAGAGGGAAGTACCTCGTGAAGCCAGCGAGGAGAGGTCTGGTGTTTATATAAATATAGAGAGGGGTGTATCTCATAAAGCTGGCGAGGAGAGGTGTCTGGTGTTTATATAAATATAGAGAGGGGTGTATCTCATAAAGCTGGCGAGGAGAGGTGTATCGATGTTTATATACATATAGATAGGGTGGGACCTCGTGAAGCCAGCGAGGAGAGGTGTCTGGTGTTTATATACATATAGAGAGGGGAGTACCTCGTAAAGCTAGCGTGGAGAGCTGTCTGATGTTTATATAAATATAGAGAGGGGTGTATCTCATAAAGCTGGCGAGGAGAGGTGTCTGGTGTTTATATAAATATAGAGAGGGGTGTATCTCATAAAGCTGGCGAGGAGAGGTGTATCGATGTTTATATACATATAGAGAGGGGAGTACCTCGTGAAGCCAGTGAGGAGAGGTGTCTGGTGTTTATATACATATAGAGAGGGAAGTACCTCGTGAAGCCAGTGTGGAGAGGTGTCTGGTGTTTATATACATATAGAGAGGGAAGTACCTCGTGAAGCCAGCATGGAGAGGTGTCTGGTGTTTATATACATATAGAGAGGGGAGTACCTCGTGAAGCCAGTGAGGAGAGGTGTCTGGTGTTTATATAAATATAGAGAGGGGTGTACCTCGTGAAGCCAGCGAGGAGAGGTCTGGTGTTTATATAAATATAGAGAGGGGTGTATCTCATAAAGCTGGCGAGGAGAGGTGTATCGATGTTTATATACATATAGAGAGGGGAGTACCTCGTGAAGCCAGTGAGGAGAGGTGTCTGGTGTTTATATAAATATAGAGAGGGGTGTATCTCATAAAGCTGGCGAGGAGAGGTGTATCGATGTTTATATACATATAGATAGGGGTGTACCTCGTGAAGCCAGTGAGGAGAGGTGTCTGGTGTTTATATACATATAGAGAGGGGAGTACCTCGTGAAGCCAGCGAGGAGAGGTGTCTGGTGTTTATATACATACAGATAGGGGTGTACCTCGTGAAGCTAGCGAGGCGAGGTGTCTGATTTTTATATAAATATAGAGAGGGGTGTACCTCGTGAAGCTAGCGAGGAGAGATGTCTGGTGTTTATGTACATATAGAGAGGGGAGTACCTCATGAAGCCAGTGTCTGATTTTTATATAGAGAGGGGGTCACCCCATGAAGCCAGTGTGGAGAGGTTTCTGGTATTTATGTACATATACAGAGGGTTGTACATCATAAAGTCAGTCCGGAGAGTTTGGTATTTATACAGTGAGATACCTCATGAAGCCAGTGAGGAGAGGTGTCTGGTATTTCTCAGCAGTGTCGTAACCATGTTTTACATCAGTGTAGTTCACACCTGTCGGCTTCTCAACAAACACGGGCTTCCCTGGAACCAAATACACAACATAAGCATTCAACATGCGGCAGAAAATGGTTACCATCTCAGTTGTAACCACTAGCTCTGTCAAGTTTATTACCCATAGAGGCACTGACAATTGTGAATATATTACCAGTAATTCTCAGTGAACACTGCTGATTTATTGGCTCGTGCAGGTCAAATTTTCTATTGTTTTTATTGTTTGTAAAATGCCACATAAAAATGTAATATCATAGCTTCCTTTTTTGCAAATAATCGAAGAAGAGGGTTTTATGTGATGTCGTTCAAACAATATATTGACTGAGCTTAATCTCTACTTGTGACTGTAAAACCTACAGTTTCGTTTATTTTCTCAGACAAAAGGCTATGGGTATTACATTAAATATAGGGGAGCTACTCGCCATTCGGAATGACCCGTTTGAATTATCTGTCCCTCAAGACATAATGGTGGATATTTCTTGCCAAGGCTTGCGACTTACAAAATGCACTCAGGACATATGATCCTAATTCTTCATAACGGGGTAGGTTTTGTCCCATTAATCTTGAAACTAAGCTTCAAGATGCTGGCAGCAATGAAGGAAGGACTTTTGATATCATTTAACCAGCTTCACAATTAAAAAAAATATCATCTCCTCAACCTGTGGTTAAATTGAAATGTCGAGATCACTCTTTAGGAAATACGCATACCAACAACATAGAACCCAAATTCCTTGATTTTGTGATAGGATAATCCTATGACCTCTAAGCCAGGCTTCCAGGACAGACTTTAGTTAGCCTTTTCGCGAGGTCATTTTCACCAAATGATTAAATACTAAAAGAATCACATTAGAAAATGTATGTGAGGATCTTTGTGCTTGTCCTTTGAGCCAAATAAAATGTCTATCAGATGGTCAGGCGTGATCCGTTTTGAAAATGGTCAATGAGCCAAAAAATGCATTTTGGGAATATTTACGAGTATGGTCATATCAAGGCTATATCTAAAATACCACAAGAATAGCCTTTCAACGTTGTTGCTGCAGTGATGCGGTATATTTAACTCGCCATATCTCACTCTGTCATACAAGCCTTCATCCGTGACATTACAGAAACTAGTGTTTGTGGTTGGTGAATCTAAGAAAGGTTTTTGTCTATACCTGCTTGGTATGATGTTCACAGACAGATTCGGGGCGGTCGGGTAGCCTGGTTGTTAAAGCGTTCGCTCGTCACGCCGAAGACCCGGGTTCGATACCCAACATGTGTACAATGTGTGAAGCCCATTTCTGATGTCCCCCGCCGTGATATTGCTGGGATATTGCTAAACGCGGCGTAAAACCATACTCATTCACTCATCTGTGACATTACAGAAACTAGTTTTTGTGGTTGGTTAATCTAAGAAAGGTTTTTGTCTATACCTGCTTGGTACCACCTTATGATGTTCACAGACAGATTCGGGGCGGTCGGGAAGCCTAGTGGTTAAAGCGTTCGCTCGTCACGCCGAAGACCCGGGTTCGATACCCAACATGTGTACAATGTGTGAAGCCCATTTCTGATGTCCCCCGCCGTGATATTGCTGGGATATTGCTAAACGCGGCGTAAAACCACACTCACTCACTCACTCACAGACAGATTCTTTTTATGATCTATGTTGATGGTGTGTTTGTAAGTGACATCCCTGGAATCAGGGTGTAGTTACTTTTCAGCACAAGGCGATTGCAGTGGACCGACAGTCGTAAGTCTAAAAACACCTGTTTAACAGTGATATAGTAAGAAAACAGTAACCTCTCTGTAAGGCATCACAGGAATACTCGGTGTGAGTGTCGACAGGTGTCAGTACAAATACTGCATCCAGGCTGAAACAACAAGGGAACTGATAAGCACTAGAAGTAAAGCTTAGTAGCTGGTAGTATGACGTTGATAACAATATGATGATGATGATCTATAACATATGTTAAATCAGTTTTCATTCTAATATTTTAAGTATATTATAAGTTTAGTTTTGTCAACATTATGCATGTGGGTGGGTAGGTTGTGTTGTCAGTCTCCCTCTGTCAAACCGCGCGCGCGCGTGTGTGTGTGTGTGTGTGTGTGTGTGTGTGCGTGCGTGCGTGCGTGCGTGCGTGCGTGCGTGTGTGTGTGTGTGTGTGTGTGTGTTTAACGCCGCCAACCGCAGCAATATTCCAGCTATACGATGTAGATGTGTAATAAATTGAGTCTTGACCAGACATTTATGAGATTGATATTATAAGCAACGATCTACGGCATTGTGGTATGCTGACATGCGATCAACAAAGTTAATAAGCCCGACCAACGATCGCATCTTACGACCAATTCTAACATGGAATTCCCATTGATATTGTAGTGAAAGAAAACGTTGTTTTCTAAGTACGTCTTGACTGAATTCTTAGCAGTTTTAGCTGAGCGCCATTTCCAAAATAATTTAAAGAAACTGTTTAAATACACTGTTTGACTTTAAAAACCCCATCACAATACCGGTAAATGACTAGAACAGTATTATACTATTGAGTAACACAGCTAGAACTTCACAGGTTACATATTTCTGTGATTCATTGTGAGGAGAGGTGAGGTGAAATTGGGTTTAACGTCGCGTCCAAGATTATTGCACTTATATAGCGACGTGCATGCACGTGTATGTGTGTGTGTGGCTGCTTGTACTAGTCCGGACTGATGCCGATTTATAGTGCTGGCTCACTGAGATACCATGCCGCAGTTTAACATGAATACCCCACTCAGACACAGTATACTGACTCCGAGCCGACCAGTCCTTGTTTTAGCCCCTTAATGCCGAGCGCCAGACAGGGTAACAACAAGTACAATCTTTTAACGTCTTTTTGTATGACGCGGCCCGGGATCGAACCCTGGACCTTCCGCTCTCCGGGCGGACGCTCTACCACAAGACCACGGAGGCGGTCGATTCATTGTGATATGATGCTTGCCACATAACAATGATTTGACATCTCATCGGCATAACTGTCAATATTAAAAGAGCTAATGAAACACGAGGAGACACTTACCTTTGTGGCTATTTCCTAAACCCACTTCACAAGTTACTATTCTTGGTGATGACATGTCGTAATACGTGACTGGAACCCCATCGTGTTATCACTTGAATCCCATGGGGATTCTAGGTTAGATTTGGACCCAAGAAACCTACGCTTACTTAATGGATTTGGAGGTCAGACTCATAGATTGTGTGTCATCGTACTTTGAGACCTGGTCACGGGGTCCACATTGGTATTATTTACAGGACACCGTCACATATAGCTGGAACATTGTTGAGTGCGGTAGTGCATATATTTAAGCATACGGCCTAAAACTCGGGTTTAATCACATTTTAGGACCTGCTATTTCATCCAAATTATGTAAGCCCCGTGCTTAAAAACGCACGCCTTTATAGCTAAAACAAATGGTACCCATTTGGAATTTCGGGCAAGAATAAGTCCCAAGTTACTTTGCTAGCCGTTAGAGTAAGTGGATCGGGTGGTCAGACTCTGTGACTTGGCTGGATGCAAGTCATGGTACCCAGAGGGTGTAAAACGTTGTCCACTGTATCATTAAATTGTTTATCTGCCCCAACCTGTAATTTACATATGGCTGAAATATTGAAATATTGCTACGTAAAACAAACACACACAAAAACCCGATGGCCTTGTTATCATTAGCCGAGAGCAGCGATGGCACCCGACAGTCACGACAGGATGTGGGTCCGACGCCATCGCGGGTCTCGGTACCTACCTTTTATCATCCAGCAGCTTGAATCTGTCGCTGGACGTGAAGAAAGGAAATTCGTCTCCTAACATGAGTTCGTCTCGCACAAAGCGTTGCCTCGCCACATCATTTTCAATGATCCACTTCAGGTCTAAGCGGACATGTTGCAGAATGTTGCGCAGATGGACAGACGTTGCAATCCTCCCTGCTCCAATAACACCAACAGATAGTTTTCTGGGCATGTCCTGCCCGGAAGTGTTGGTTGAACCGGATGTTGCTGGTTTTCCTCTGGTGGAAGAGGTATGGATCGTCTGCCTTGTAAGAATCTTCGAACATACTGAAAGCTACGAGAACGTTGTTGTCAAAGTGATTGGACAATAAAAGGTGAAAGTTCAAAACCCAATACGTTTTTCAAATTGTTTTTATAATGATCTGCCATTTTGATTGTATACATAATACGATTAAATCATGCATATTCATTGACCAATAACAGTAACAAGTCCATAGCAAGAGTGAGTGAATAAGGTTTTAAGGCCGCTTTTAACAGTATTCCAGTTACATCGCGGCGTGTCAGCTTAATGTGGGAGGAAAGCCCGAAGTGATGCAGGTCTCGGACGTTTACTACTTCGGTGAAACCCACGAGCATGGGTATGGTGCTGACAAACCTAGAAACATAATTGGGGCGAACCGGGATTCGAACCCACAATCATAGGTTTCTGGCGTGCCCAAGGGACACAACTCTGCATAGCGAATCGCGGCGCCTTAGACGACTGGGTCATCATTACAAGAGTAACAAAGACATATAAATATATGCTCTGCTAGATTTCTATTCGCCACATTATTATGTGCAACGTTACACACATTTGTTTTTAAAATATAAGTTGTTATGTCTCAAGCACAAGTGCATCTGTCATTAACCTTATACACGTGTTCTTTTTTGACCTGGTGAGATTTCCTAGGCTGATAACACAACGCTGGTTTAGTGGGCTTCCTTTTGTCACAACTATAGACAGGTTAACAGGTATATAGCGGCTAAAGGATAACATTTACAACAAACTGCTTCCATTCGATGCACACCTCTATAAGGTTTTCCTTTCCAAATTAAAATCTACTTGTGCAGTGCATTCACTGATGAGACATGATCAGGCCGAATTTAGGTTTCGAATATACGATCATAGGATTCTGGCACGCCTAAGGGAGGCAACCGAGTGCGCGGATTACAGTGTCTTATACAACGGGGCCACTCGTACCCCTCCCACTTGATCAAGTCACAGCTAGAGGTCGACATAGCGTGACGCGTAGGAGTACACCGCATGCTAGGGCTTATACCTGGGCTATTTAAATTGTTAATTTCAAGTTTAGTTTATAACTACAGTGAAGAACAGTGTCACATATAATTAGCAATATTGATCTCGAGTAAATGCACCTCAGTGAAAAACCAATGGAACACATACAATGAAGGATAAGCTATGAATAACGCACAAAATTGCATAAATTTGTTAGCAGACAGACATCGATTAGTTTTAACATCCCGGCTTGAACTTACCCATCTCCCATCCCCCATCCCTCACAATAACATCCACTTCCACCAGTACCCATTCACACCCATACACCCTGCAACCCACCTCGGCCCCCCCCCCCCCCCCCCCCCCATTCTGTTTACCCCACCACCACCACCATCACCATCACCACCACCACACACACTCACACCCCTCCCTACCCCCACTTCGCCGGGCGTGTAACTTATCAGCCGCATGCCCGTCATCCCCTATAAACCCTTATCTCTAAACAACACTGTACACCGTCATGTGAGCTCAGTGACCAGCTCCGTACGAAGAGACCTCGGTGTCCCATGTCTAACACAGACTTGCGATAGTGGAAACGCTGAGGTTGTTCTTCTACAACGGCACCCGTGTCGGTATGTTATTAAGTCGACAAACTAGGCTATACAAACTGTGTCAACTCACCAACTGTGCGCGTTTCCCACCGTACAGCTTGTACCAGACCGGCGCAGCTGACATACTTATCTGTGTTGGCGTCCTTTCAAAGACTCGTGTCCGAAATACCTGAAGGGAAAATACATATCCCTTCTACTTATGTATTCAACAATCACCGATAGGTGTCTTTATGCATCAACGCACGACCTGCTAAACAAACTTGTCGGATTTAAAATATCTGTTTCGTAGACTTGACAATAATGTTCGACCAACCTGTTGTCGCAGCGGTCCTGGTCGAGAGGTCATATACTATGGCACGCCGTCTAGTGCATAATCTGGGTAGTTTCTAAGTAGAGAATATGAAATGAACGTGTCTCGTGACGTCACTCGATGAGAGAACCATGATATTTCATTTGACACGTGGAATATGCTATTTATATTATACTTTTCTACCGAATTTTTATTTTCATTAGAAATGTTAAAACCTTGAAACGTAAATTCTCTCTACTTAACAAGGAGGGACATTTCACCACCCCTTGTAATCGAGCCTTAAAAAGTTGTTCCGATTTTTTGAAATCTTAAAAAATGTAAACAAAAGTAATAAAAAGTATTTGAGGTCACTACAATTCTTGTCCATATATATGGATATAATTATACACAAAATCAACTTTAACAAAATATATATTCTTGAAAGCTACGAGACCGCTGTTGGAAACGAAGGAATACACCAGTTAAATGAGAAATTTACAGTTTAAAGTGAAACATTTTCAAGAGAACAAAAAACGCCAAGAAGCGATAGTAACACCATAAATGACCAGCTGTCATTATTTTGCCTTGTCAATGTCGAACTAACTTAAAAAGGAAGTCAACAGTTTGTGTACGGGCCAGACACTTTCGATGAAGGGAGGGTAACGCTTGTATGACAATAGTTCCGGCGAAGTGTTATGTTCACTGAAGTGAAATATCGAGTGTTATGTTCACGGCAATAAAAATATCACTTTTCTCAACCTCGGAAAATTCAGTCTTTCCCACTGAATATATAATAATTTCTTTATAACCCATTATTTTTTAATTCCTTTGAGGTCCCCTTTGGAAAAATGCATTGATCACGCTTATCAGCTATGACTTCCTTTTTAGTGTGACGTCAATCCGTCCTTACGTCACAATTAAGAATTGAATTGACATTTTGTATGCTTTCATTGGACATGAACCTTCATAGAGTGAAGACTTGATAACGGTGTTAGAGCCTACACCGAAACGTCGCTCCTAGTTGTAATAAAGAAGTTGTTCATCCATATATCTTATCTTTACTTATTTTTGGAACCATCTACATGTCTTCACTTGAGTTCATTATCGTGACTTGACAAGACAAGCTAGTAAGTGATGTTGTAAACAACGATCCACGCCGCCCTGGTACGATAGAACACAATCAACCATTTCACCGAATCTAACCACCCCACCCATAACGACAAGCAAAGGCTACTTTGGATTATTTGAATAGTATGCTGTTTGTATGCATTTGTACTATGTTATTTGTATGTATTTAAAAATACTTCAATGCATCTTTAGACATGGTGGATATCACATTCCTTCATAATTTTATTGTAATAGAAACAAATAAAATGTATGCACTATTTGTTAACGTCCTTGAAAGGGCAAATGTCATGACAGCCGAAAATGATTTACTGCAATTGCTTACCAAATATATTTTTTTTTCAAAATGATAGAATCTATATTTATTGAGAGAGAGGTTCAATACTTTGACACGGGAATAACCAAAAGCTCCCAAAGGCTGATATTTGACTGTAAGAAGCAGGTAGAACAAGAGTTATCGTCCTTGTTGGAAGTAGTTCACGTGTTCATATGCCAATATCGAAACCTTTGAGAGGGGAACGTCCCGGGATGACACGAGTTGGTCACGAATGTCTTGGCGTATTACGGAAACAGATGGAAACTGTAGAACACGTTCCTAGGTCATAAGAGGGTGCGACATCGTACTCCCAAGTCCACAATAGACCAATCTCATTAAAATCAGATCTAAGTACTCGCTGCCGTAAAACAAAGATCTGAGGACATCCCATTACGGGTCACGTCAGAACGTTTAGCGATAGCGAGAACTAAGATTTTATTTTAATGAGATTGACCATAAACATACCAGTTGCTTGTTTGCTTGTTGTTTAACGCCACACTCAGCAATTTTCCAGCTGTATGATGGCGGTCTGTGAATAATCGTGTCTGGACCAGACGACCCAGAGATTGATATCACGAGCATCAATCTACGCACTTTGGATACGATGACATGCACCAACCAAATCAGCGAGCCTGACCACCCGATCCCGTTAGCCGCCTCTCACGACAAGCATGGGTTCCTGAAGACCAATTCTAACCCGTATCTTTACAGGTCTCGGATCAGCTAGAAAACCGACAGGACCACTTAAAAGGAAGCCTTTATCAAATGCTAAAATGACCACTGTCTTCACCACCATGACCAAATAGAAACAAAGTTATTACTGCCCACCAATTTCTTGCCAAATGCGAACATATATTTTGTTTTAAAGGAGCATCAAGGTTTTTATTGCACGATAACACAGGAATTTCATAGCTGGCTCCAGTGACAAAGAATCTCAGAGAAGATGTGTGGCAGACAATTTCTTTTTAAAACAGTCTGAAGCATTATTTGTTTCAAGCTTTACATGGTTCAACTTTTTAAAAATAAAATCTCAGGGCCCCAACCCCAGGATATCTAATAGTAAGTCCCGTAATATTAAAGACAGCAATATATATACTGTCGGGCACGATGACACAGAATAAGCAACGTCAAAGTATGATAACTCGATAAAGTATGGGAGTATAGGGAACTAAGAACTGAGACAAACTCTCAAAACATGTACAGAAGTTTGATTATTATTTCACATTCAGAGAGCAGTTCATCACGAAACAACAACTCTGGAATCGTCAACGACGACACACTATGAATAAATGATAAAAGTTTAATAAGAACTGTTTGTAAACTTAGAATTTCATTGCACAATTTAATGTAAATGTATGTTGTAGGTCCAAAGACGGTCAGCGCTATTGTCAGCGCTATTTGTACAAACTGTTCATCCGGAGAAGTAGAGGATGAATACCATGTCTTACTTATATATATATGTGGAACGTATTCCCATTTAAGGTATAAATATCTCCCCATGTTGCAAGGTAATTAAACTCTGAAAATCCTGTTATGATGTTTCTGTATTCTTAAAATATGTCTTTATAAATAAATGACAAATGTTAATATCCAATCTGCATTGTACTATGGGCCTTGATGCCTAAATTACCAAAAAACTGTCTGTCTGTAAAAGGTGGAAATATATACTGCCAGTATTTAAAGAACTGCTGAATCATTTTTGTATTTAGTTCTTAACATAACAACAAGTGAACGAGATCAACAACTTCCGCATTCCCACTGTGTCATTTGACCGAGTCACAACTCACCCAATGAAGACAACTCAATACCCACAGAGCAGAGACGACTGGATCACCTGATCACAACATCGGTAGATACCGTATATTTAAATATAGCCATAGGCACGTCACTTTATCTTTCTCTCCGCGCATGTGTGTATTCCCAGCTCTGTATCTAGGCTACACGCTTGAGTGGGAATGCGTCATAACATCCCCAATGTCAGCGGCTTGGAGATGGTTCAGAACAGGAGCTGCAATGAATGCGATGGTTCGAGCGTTTCTACTCCAGTAAGTATAGTCCTTCTAGACGTTGTTTCCCAGCTTGACATTGTATGTTCAAAATGCTAACAAAACTACATAACATTTATTCTCGATGAGGTGACATGTTGATACTCACGACAAGGCTGTTTGCGTTCATTTTGTTTGTAAAGACTGCAATGAGATGTTGTTGACATATCAGATTTGACGATGGTTCGAGTGTTTCTATTCCAGTAAGTATAGTCCTTCTAGACGTTATTTCTCAGCTTGACATTGTATGTTCAAAAAGCTAATAAAACTACATAACATTTATTCTCGATGAGGTGACATGTTGATACTCACGACAGGGCTGTTTGCGTTCATTTTGTTTGTAAAGACTGCAATGAGATGTTGTTGACATATCAGATTTGACAATATCTCATGTCTTATTTTAATTACGGGGATATGAAACATTATACATGATGAAAACAGGCCGATATCATTCTTGAAGGTATACCCAGAATATTCAGATGTATCAGAACTGAAGAGGATGCACCCCGTAATCATTTTGTCCCATCAACAAATGTCGTTCGTTTCACACCGAGGCTGGATTGATCCATATAGCTCGATGCTTGTCGTGATAGGTTACAGTGTGGCACCTAGCCGGAACGTCATCGTTCGTTGTTCATGCAGTACGCATCGTGTATACAGCGTGCTGAAACTATATATATTCGATATTCGATATGAATTCACCATGCCGTTTAGAAAGTGGTCAAATGAAACCTATGTAACATTTGGGATAACACGTTCTTAGTGAAGTACACATGCTCGTTTTTTTGTGGGAGCCTCGGTGGCCGAGTGAGTGAGATCGCTGACTGTGTGCTGCCGATTAGGTGCCTCACTCTGAAATAATTACGGATGGAACTCCAAAAATGAACTAGAATGTGTACTTAACTAAGACGATGTTACTAACAAATCTACCATGTGTTACATTCGCTATGGGTTGATACACCTATAATCGGTGTCAATTCACATCATGAACGTCCATTATAAGGCCAACAATTTGTGAATACAGTAAACTACGGTTATAACGAACACGCTTATAACGAACTAACGGATATAACGAACTAACTTTTAAGTCCTGACTATATGCTGTAGTTATGCTGTATATATGCTTGTAACGAATTACGGTTATCACGAACAAAAATTAGTAGTCCCTTTGAGTTCGTTATAACCGTACTTTACTGTAAACATATTTGTGGTCAGATTGCAAACCGTCGACGAACCAGGGAGACACATCCACTGAGATATATAATATTGTAGCAATATATTGACCTGTAAATACTTAGCAAAATAGTGCTATCCACATCCCTTTATCGTCGACAACACTCTTTCGTGTATGTCCATTTCACCTAACACAGGTGACCCGTGAAGATCCGGGGTAGTATAGGTCTTCAGCAACCCATGCTTGCCGTAAAAGGCGACTATGCTTGTCGTAATAGGCGACTGATGGGATCGGGTGGTCAGGCTCGCTGACTTGGTTGATGCATGTCATCGTATCCCAATAGGGTGGATCGATGTTCATGATGTCAATCACTGGATTGTCTGGTCCAGACTCGATTATTTACAGACCGACGTCATACAGCTGGAATATTGCTGGAGTGCGGCGTTAAACATTACACAGGTTATCAATGCATCTGCAGATATGGATGAATGTTACTATCTATATTTACTGTAGTTTGAAGTTATTCCCAATGACAAGGTCTCTACGACGTAGTGCACAATCAAGGTTCCGATATAACTGTCTCATGAGACACACTGGTTTGTTTGTTTGTTTGTTGTTTAACGCCGCACTCAGCAATATTCCAGCTATATGACGGCCTGGTATACATATGGCACGTCGCATATGAAGGTAAATTAAAGGTTTCAAACTACTTGTAGTTTGTAAAGCATTTTGTAACCTATGTAAAATACACGTTTACTATAAGTACATACCCGAAATTTTCAAATGTTGATCGGTAAAACGTAATGACTTGTCATGTTAATAAAAGCGACAAAACCTTCTACATATTTCTAAGGAATCTGTCAAAAACAATGTCGCTTCTACGATTCTGACTGTATCATGAGCGTGTGTTTATGAATCACTATCAGATAGTGATGATATCAGGCTTTCGCGGAAAGGTAAGCGTTTCCTTTGAATTTTTGAGAATCAACATGGTATCAATTCTACTTGTCTCAAATATCTTCCATGATTGCATTAAAGATTATGGTTAATCTTTGAGACAGGGATTTGGGGGTACATTTGCTGGACCCAGCAATATGTCTCTCTTTGTACGGAATATTCTGAAGCTAATTGAACAACCTGGATGAAATTGTGTTCCTATAGGGAAAAAAAATTGTTTGTGGTACCTGAAATTTGAAATTTTGTGGCACATTTCGGGAAACTTAAACTACATTTAAGGCATCAATTCTCTTGTTTGCAAATTTTCAAATTCAAGAACATAGGTCTTTGTCTGATTTAGAGGAGTCTGTTTCTCGTTTCGCCAAACGTTTCAAGCCAATATCATGAACTATACTCTCTAGTGATATTGTCGGCCCTTTCTGTTTGTAGAAAATCCCAAATCGTTTAAAAATCCCAAATCAACATGCTAAATATAGATGTGAAACAGGAAGATGCTAGGTCACACAGCGTTTCTTAAAACTTATCCTTAGAGAGGAAAGAAAGAGAACTGAAATTTTATAAATACATTAACCTATTTAAATATCCCCATGGTGGGCTAACAATATATGCATTGATGTTTCCTTTAATGCACTTCAAACGATACAGCCTCTGTCATAACGTAACCATGCGAAACAGATGTAGGTAGCTCAGCACACGACGTTGTGCTGAGCCATCCGTGCGTGCAGACAAATAAACCGAGCCACCCAGCCTGAGCCTGTGTGACCTTCATGTACACAGTGCAACAAAGACGTCACTCTTGCGGAGACGGTTGTCGCAACTCGCTGTGCAGAGATACTTCACTTGTGCATGTGATTAAAAACTGAACACATATTATATATCTCAGTAGCTTTGTCTCCCTGGTACGTCGACGGTTTGCAATCTGATCACAAATATGTTTATTCACAAATTGTTGGCCTTACAATGGACGTTCATGGTGTGAATGGACAGGTTGACCGGTCATAGGTGTGTCAACCCATAGCGAATATAACACATGGTAGATTTGTTAGTAACATAGTCTCAGTCAAGTACACATTCTTGTTTAAAATAGAAATAGGCTCAGTCGTAAAGGAGTATTTAATAGCATGTCAGATGCCGAACCTCCACATGAAGAGCACCCTATGCGGATTCCGGGTTAGAAGAGGTCGCCATGCAGCAACGTATACTGGGCCCTGTTCCACAAAGCGATCTTAGTGCTAAGTCTGTCGTAAGTCTATGTTAAAGTATGGGAGTTACGATCATCTTAACGCTACGATCGCTTTGTGGAGCGGGGCCCTGGTCGTGAGAGGCGGCCAAATGGATCGGGTAGTCAGTTTCGGCATCCAGTCACTACAGCACGACGGCGTGGATCGATGTTCATGATATCAATCACTGGTTTGTCTGGCCCAGACTCGATTATTTACAGGCCGTCGCCATATAGCTGAAATATCGAACAAACATACCGTATGTAAGTGAGTATGGTTTTACGCCGCTTTTAGCAATATTCCAGCAATATCACGGCGGGAATCAAACCCGGGTCTTCGGCGTGACGAGCGAACGCTTTAACCACTAGGCTACCCGACCGCCCCACATACCGTATGTAGAGTTCTTGTGTGGTTTAGTATGACAAGTATATATTCATTTAGGGGGTGCATTCTGTTTTCAGTTTATTCGTTTGAATAATTGACTTAGTGTTCTTTTGGTTTTGCTTACCCAGTTCTAACGATATCCTCGTCAAATGGGAAACAGTGTTCTGATGGAAAACGTGGAAGCTGAGAACCAGAAAGGAAAAGCGGACTACCAGTTCATACTACGTAAAAACTGGGTATTCCTCAAGGACAAGCTGGAACCCGAGAAGGCCCTGGACTACTTGTATCAGGATGGTGTCTTTTCTGAAGCAGACCGTGACACTGTCACATCTAAGGCAGTACGGAGGGACAAGTGTGAAACCCTACTAGACATACTAAAGAAGAAGGGACCTGATGGATATATGTCCTTCTGTGTCGCTCTAGATAAAGAACAACCCTTCATCAAACAACGCTTGGACAAAACGACCATTGAAAGAGGTATTAAAATTAGTACTTTTTACTTAAGTGTTCACTTCTTAACATGAGACCCGTGAAGATTCCGGGGTAAAATAGGTCTTCAGAAACCCATGCTTGCCGTAAAAGGCGACTAACGGGATCGGGTGGTCAGGCTCGCTGACTTGGCTTGATGCATGTCATCGATCCCAAATGCGTGGATCGATACTCATGATATTAATCACTGGATTGTCTGGTCCAGACTGGATTATTTACAGACCGCCGTCATATAGCTGGAATATTGCTGAGTGCGGCGTTAAAGAACAAACCAACCAACCAATCTTAACATGAAAGTAATGTCGATGATAGTGTATAATGCACAATTATTGAATGTTCAAAACAGCAATAAATGCAAGAATGAAAATATAAGGTAAATAGGAAAAGAAGTTAAGAATTATGACTTCTTGAGTTTTCTTGACATTGTCGGTGGGCTTTGGGGTTTGAGTTTGGGGAAGGAAAGAAACTTTTGGGTACCTCTAATTAGCCTTATAACCCAAACTCAACATTTCATCTCTGTTCTTAAGGTGCTTTAGGTCTCCTGAGCAAATTAAAGATAGTGAATAATGCACATTTCTTGAATGTTCAAAACAGCAATGAATGACAAAATGAAAATATAAATTGAATAGGAAAAGAAGGTAAGATTTATGACGGTTGTTCCATGCACATATGTTGTAACGATTAATTCTGAAGTTTTCTTGACATTGTCGGTGGGCTTTTTGGCTTGAGTTTGGGGAAAGGAAGAAACTTTTAGATACCTCTAGTTGGCCTTATAACCCAAACTCAACATTTCATCTCTGTTCTTAAGGTGCTTTAGGTCTCCTGTATGAAAGCAAATTAAAGATAGTGAATAATGCACATTTCTTGAATGTTCAAAAAAGCAATGAATGACAAAATGAAAATATAAATTGAATAGGAAAAGAAGGTAAGAATTATGACGGTTGTTCCATGCACATATGAACCGGGGTTGTAACGATTACTTCTGGAGTTTTCTTGACATTGTCGGTGGGTTTTGGGGTTTCAGTTTCGGGAAAGAACTTTAAGGTACCTCTAATTAGCCTTATATCCCAAACTCAACATTTCGTCTTGTTCTTAAGGTGCTGTAGGTCTCCTATATGAAAGCAAATTAAAGACGTCTGAATATCTAGAGAGACAAACCAGAGGACTTGGAGAAGAAATCGGACGTTTACAAGAGGTACGAGTGAGGTTTGTTTGTTGTTTGTTATGCCCTGTGTAAGTCGGCTGCCTGTAAATAGTAATAGTCAATGCCAGAGAACAACCAGTCCAGATTATGCACCGGAACAGAATCCATTTGGCGTAAAGGGCAAAACTGCTCTGAAAATTATATGAATGGACCTCTGAAAATCAGGGTTCGCGAAAAGAGTAATCATGTCCTGCTCTACCGGTAGCACCCGCCACTCACACCATGCATAAAGGTCAAGGATTTATTGTCTGGCGTGGCACAGCAGTACTCCGTTCATGCGACAGCAGTCTGTAACAAACAGGACAATCATGTAAGCGATGAAATAGAACATCCAGATACACAATACTGAGTGAGTGAGTGAGTGAGTGAGTATGATTTTACGCCGCTTTTAGCAATATTCAAGCAATATCACGGCGGGGGACACCAGAAATGGGCTTCACACATTGTACCCATGTCGGGAATCGAACCCGGGTCTTCGGCGTGACGAACGAATGCTCTAACTACTAGGCTACCCGACCGCCCTCAGATACACAATAGTGCATTTACTGATTATGTTGAAACTAATAATAACGCTATGTTAACTTTGAATTACGTCTGCTAAATACAAGTGCCGAGATTCTACTGCTAACAAGTAAAGAAAAACGTTTAAGAAATATACTCGTTTTGCAACACAGTAGGGGGCAGTTTTCATGTTTCGGCCCATATATTACTTTTGTTGTTGACTTAGCTTAGATAAAGCTACTGGGCTTATGATGAAAATCGGGGAAACAGCAGAAACATCAACCCAGTCCAAGTAAACAATCAATAGTAAACCACGAGATATGAAGCAGGCACAGTGATTGATAGTAGTAAACTACGGTTATAACGAACTCGCTTATAACGAACTTACTTGTTTGGTCCCGACTATTTTCTGTAGTTATGCTGTATATATGCTTATAACGAACTACGGTTATAACGAACTAAAATAAGAAGTCCCTTTGAGTTCGCTATAACCGTACTTTACTGTATGTGGACATGTTAATACTTCAGTGCGTTTTTTTTTTCAAAAAGTCCTTTCATTTTTAAACAGGAAAACAATCGTAAACAAAGCAAAATAGAAGAGGATGAAAGGCGAATGATACAGCTTCAGGACCAGGAAAACACATTAAGATCACAAATGTTATCAAAAGAAGTCCTTTTCGTCTATCTCATTCAGGTAAATCTCATGGACATTCAAACACATTCAAGGCTCCTCCAGGTTCTTGTCGACCCGTGAAGATTCCGGGGTAGAATAGGTCTTCAGCAACCCATGCTTGCCGTAAAAGGCGACTATGCTTGTCGTAAAAGGCGACAAACGGGATCAGGTGGTCAGGCTCGCTGACTTGGTTAATGCATGTCATCGATCCCAATTGCGTGGATCGATACTCATGATATTAATCACTGGATTGTCTGGTCCAGATTCGATTATTTACAGACCGCCGCCATATAGCTGGAATATTGCTGAGTGCGGCGTTAAACAACAAACCAACCAACCAACCAACCAGGTTCTAGTCTATGTAGGAGACATCATGACGTGTTGTATCGATGCTATGGCTGTCGATCGCTGCGTGTCTGGTTGTCTGTCATACAGACCCTGAAACAAATATATCCAATACATCATATGTAAGACTATATATTTCTCCATATATTATATATATTTCAGATGCAATTTAAAGCACATCGGGACATGCGGAATTATACAGTATGATTGAACACATTTAACTGTGTCTTGGGCATATTTTTAGATGCAAGACATATGTATATTCAAAAAATATTTCTGGGGGATTCTGACGAACTTGAAATCATACGCGCATTCTGATTGGTTTGTCGTATTTTCGCACATAACTTTCATCGATAGAGGGACGAGTCTTCTTGCAGGTTACGGAAAGGGGCGAGTGGTGACGATTGTTCCTAGTAATGTGTCTAGTGTGATGACCGTGTGCAAATGTATTGATCGTGCCTTCATTTTGTACATCGGAATATATTGAAGACCTCTTTGTCATCCTCATGCGTGTTAATTATTTCTGTTTGCAGGACTATAAACTGAAGTTGAAAGAGATGGGGAAAGGTATGAACAATAAGTGGTCTAATATTTCGTTGAACATTATCGTGTATCTTGACAACATCTAAAGTCATGACATCAGTTATATATTGAAGTGAAAAACGCCTTTACGTTTGGTTTTGGTGTAAGCAAACCGAATGCTTCAATGTCAACGTACCTTTAAATTCAAAGCATGGTACACATATTACAGTTTATTATTGCAACTTAACCTTATAACATTTCAGCTATAACAGATCCCGTGTGCTGGCTGCACGATTCAGAAGGAAACAAAGACAGGATTCTCATGTGTACGTATGACACCTCTCCTTGTCTCGGGGGCACGGGTGGCCCAGTCGTCTAACGCGCCGCGATTCGCTGTGCAGATTTGCGTTCCTTAGGCCCGCCATGCTTTTCTCCCACATTAAGCTGACACGCCCTGATATAACTGGAATTATATTAAAGCGGCGTTTAACCCAACTCACTCACTCACTCCGTTATCTCCACAGGTCAAAGTGAGCCTCGTGTGAATCTTGGGTCAAAATAGTTCCACAGGTCCCCACTTTTTGTCGTCATAGCTGACTGGAATTGGGTTCAGATTGTTCACTATGACGCAAAACTACAAGGTGCATGACAATGCTGGTTTGTCTGGTGCACAGTCTTGTACTTACCACTCGCTTACCACCTACTCGCTGTGATACAGCTGGATTGTTGCGCAACATTGACATTATTTTATGAGAATAAATATTTTAACAAAGATTGTGCTGAAGGGTCTGGTGCCCATTTCATATCTGACCGCCTCCGTGGTCTAGTGGTTGAGAGTCCGCCCGGAGATACCGATAGATATATTTTCGAGAATTTAATTGCCCATAATTAAGGGTGCATATAACAAACGAGTGCGTATTACACACGAATAAATAAGTCTTGTGTTCATTGATCAATCGGAAAGGGTGCTAACTGGGATTGTTCACTAGCCAATATATTAGCAAATAACGCCGTGGGCGCTTATTAGAGCGGGGCGCTTATTACATCGAATACGAATTTCTAAATGTTGTAATTCATACCGTGCGGGTAACTGAGACAGTGCCTATGTGTGAAAGTGGGCGGTCAATTACTGTTGAATAAATATACGTCATAACATTTAACTTAGCCGACACAGATACTGGTGTTAGAAAGACTAGAATGAAACGTGCAAACAGTGCCAGATTATGCGAGCATATTCCTCTGTTAGCGTGTATTCTGTTTTGTATTTATAGATTTTTTGTGCGTAAATGTTTTATATCCGTAACCATGTCCACTTTAACATGTTCAGTGTATCCGAATTGCCAACTGACAGCACAGTGTTACACTGCGGTGAGGTGAGGTGAAATGGGGTTTAACGTCGCGTCCAAGATTATTGCACTTATATAGCGACGTGCATGTACGTGTGTGTGTTTGTGTGGCTGCTTGTACTAGTCCGGACTGATGCCGATTTATAGTGCTAGCTCACTGAGATACCATGCCGCAGTTGAACATGAATACCCCACTCAGACACAGTATACTGACTCCGAGCCGACCAGTCCTTGTTTTAGCCCCTTAATGCCGAGCGCCAGACAAGGTAACAACAAGTACCACCTTTTAACGTCTTTTGGTATGACGCGGCCGGGGATCGAACCCCGGGCCTTCCGCTCTCCGGGCGGACGCTCTACCACTAGACCACGGATGCGGTTGTTACACAGTGAACATTATCACTCCGGACCTATTTAATACAAACCCGTCTTCTGTGTGATTACTATCGGGAACGTCTCTACATATCCATATAGTGTTAATGTTGCGTAAATGAGTTTATCCCGACGCTTTAACTGTTACAGTCAGAAATGACGGGTCTTCGCTGTAATGATCTACTTTTCAAGTTTTGGTACGGTGTTTACTGTACAATCCCCCTGCATTTGCTGTATATTTGCTGAATATATGCTTATAACGAACTACGGTTATAGCGAAATGAAATAAGTGGTAACTTTTAGTTTGTTTATACCGTAGTTTACTGTATATCATTCACCCAACGTATTTTTACGTTACCTTCTTTTCTGTTTCGTTACAGGCCCCTTGTTGGTATTTGACAAGATGCAAGCATCTCATCCCATCAATAACAACCAAACGCTAGGCATCCATAAGGCCGCATCACTACAATTATATCGTATAATGGAAAACAGTCATACTTTGGTTGACCTGTCAGACCTTGACATCTCCATCACATCTCCCACCTTGCCCCCTCGTCTGAACGTCGCCTACCCCCTACAACCATTCATACCTTCACAAAGAGCTCCGATGTACTGGGAAGCTGCGCCAGAGGTACATCTGCGAGAGATGCAGGTCTTTGCTCCTCCGCTTCTCGAGATAGGAATGTGTGATGAAAAAGAAGTATGCACAGAAAGTGGACCGTGTCACCAGCCACACTCCTGGGGAATCAGTGTGGAACTCTGTTCCAGACATACGTTGAAATACTGCACTGTGATATGGAGCGAGGGGAAGCGTGTAGGATGCCTTGAAGGTGCCGTGGACAGTGCCCCTGGAACGAGAGCTACACTGCAGTATGGCATTGTGTTGGACGTGGAAAACAGTAAACTTGGACTTCTTGACTTCAATAAAGGTGAAGTGTTGGGTACATTTGATGTGAGTTCTACAGATTCACTGTGTCCTATGTTCGCGGTGGGACAATTCGTGGACATGGCTGTGACATCGGGGAGTCACGTTTCCTTGACCAAGGAAAAACAGGACCTAATCTTACAGGCTTTGTCGTAACTTGAATCGTCGCTTACATGATGATACTCTCTATAATTGTAGGGAAGTGAGTAATCCATGTATTACCATGACATGTCAATGTAAAGCAAGTGAACAACTGTATATGAGTTATAATTTATAAATTACTGCAACAACTGCGTACTCGATAATTAACACCGCTTGTTTGTGTCAGACTGTGCATTGGTTGGTTGGTTGATTTATTGTTTAACGCCGCACTCAGCAATATTCCAGCTATATGACGGCGGTCTGTAAATAATCGAGTCTGGGCCAGACAATCCAGTGATAAGTACCATGAGCATCGACCCACGCAATTGGTATCGATGACATGCATCAACAAAGTCAGCGAGCCTGACCACCCGATCCCGTTAGTCGGCTTTTACGACAAGCATAGTCAGCTTTTACGGCAAGCATGGGTTGCTGGAGACCTATTCTACCCCGGAATCTTCACGGGTCGACTATGCATCAACCAAGTCAGCGAGCCTGACCACCCGATCCCGTTAGTCGCCTTTTACGACAAGCATAGTCACCTTTTACGGCAAGCATGGGTTGCTGGAGACCTATTCTACCCCGGATCTTCACGGGTCGACTATGCATCAACCAAGTCAGCGAGCCTGACCACCCGATCCCGTTAGTCGCCTTTTACGACAAGCATAGTCAGCTTTTACGGCAAGCATGGGTTGCTGGAGACCTATTCTACCCCGGATCTTCACGGGTCGACATGCATCAACCAAGTCAGCGAGCCTGACCACCCGATCCCGTTAGTCGCCTTTTACGACAAGCATAGTCACCTTTTACGGCAAGCATGGGTTGCTGGAGACCTATTCTACCCCGGATCTTCACGGGTCGACTATGCATCAACCAAGTCAGCGAGCCTGACCACCCGATCCCGTTAGTCGCCTTTTACGACAAGCATAGTCAGCTTTTACGGCAAGCATGGGTTGCTGGAGACCTATTCTACCCCGGATCTTCACGGGTCGACATGCATCAACCAAGTCAGCGAGCCTGACCACCCGATCCCGTTAGTCGCCTTTTACGACAAGCATAGTCACCTTTTACGGCAAACATGGGTTGCTGGAGACCTATTCTACCCCGGATCTTCACGGGTCGACTATGCATTGCTGAGACGGGGAAGGATGTATTATAACACATCCCATCCTAATTCTGGAAACCACTTTGTCCAGAAACTCTTCGCACCGGGTTCGGGCAAAGGTATTTACAGAATTCAACTGGTTTCATGGGTACATTCTGAGGAAGGACACAACATGTTATCACAAATGATGAACTGTTAAATAATTATTGCATAGACTAAATATGTACGCAGTGCATGTCTACATATTTAGCAAAAATAACACGTCAACGCAAGAGATTAACCAGTCTCGATTGTCCGACGAAACAGTGAGTGAGTATGGTTTTACGCCGCCTTTAGCAATATTCTAGCAATATCACGGCGGGGGACACCAGAAATGAGCTTCAGACATTTGTACTCGCCGACGAAACAGATTCCATTGGTCGTGAAAAGCAAAATAGCGGAGAAAGTTTTATGAGTAGTTATAGATCACCGAAAATCAATGACACCAGGTGTTAGCGAAAAGGGTAAGGACCAATGCCTAAACTGCAATAGAAGCGCGAGGACCATAATCATTCACATCATACCGCTTTGTTGTAATTACCGTATGCACATAGATGAATGTTGGCCTTTTAAAGAGAAGACTAAAGTATTGTTTCGTATATATATATATACCGTATGCACATAGATGAATGTTGGCCATTTAAAGAGAAGACTAAAGTATTGTTTCGTATATATATATATATATATACCGTATGCACATAGATGAATGTTGGCCTTTTAAAGAGAAGACTAAAGTATTGTTTCGTATATATATATATATATATACCGTATGCACATAGATGAATGTTGGCCTTTTAAAGAGAAGACTAAAGTATTGTTTCGTATATATATATATATATATACCGTATGCACATAGATGAATGTTGGCCTTTTAAAGAGAAGACTAAAGTATTGTTTCGTATATATATATATATATATATATATATATATATATATATATATATATACCGTATGCACATAGATGAATGTTGGCCATTTAAAGAGAAGACTAAAGTATTGTTTCGTATATATATATATATATATATATATATATATATATATATACCGTATGCACATAGATGAATGTTGGCCATTTAAAGTGAAGACTAAAGTATTGTTTCGTATATATATATATATATATATATATATATACCGTATGCACATAGATGAATGTTGGCCTTTTAAAGAGAAGACTTAAGTATTGTTTCGTATATATATATATATATATATATATATATATACCGTATGCACATAGATGAATGTTGGCCATTTAAAGAGAAGACTAAAGTATTGTTTCGTATATATATATATATATATATATATATATATATATATATATATATATAAACCGTATGCACATAGATGAATGTTGGCCATTTAAAGAGAAGACTAAAGTATTGTTTCGTATATATATATATATATATATATATATATATATATATATATATATATATACCGTATGCACATAGATGAATGTTGGCCATTTAAAGAGAAGACTAAAGTATTGTTTCGTATATATATATATATATATATATATATATATATATACCGTAGGCACATAGATGAATGTTGGCCATTTAAAGAGAAGACTAAAGTATTGTTTCGTATATATATATATATATATATATATATATATATATATATCTACCGTATGCACATAGATGAATGTTGGCCATTTAAAAAGAAGACTAAATTATTGTTTCGTGTGTGTGTATGTATATATATGTTATGTATGATGTAATATAATATTTCTTACTTATGTTCGTGCCGAAAAATAAAGATAATACCAAGATTATTTATTTTATTGCATCTTGAAGTTTAAAATACTGAATCCATAAATTATCTTTGACTTACAACGGATTTTGACGTTAACGCTGGGACCACACAATGACTGAATCTAATATATTCATTGAACTGTGAATTTGTTTTTTACCACAGCCTTGAACATTAGTTCAGTTATATCACGGCGTTTTACATTGATCATGAAAGCGGAATGAAAAAATGCTATGCAGGTGTCACACTTTTACCGTAAACGATAAAGCGACAAAATCACAATCAGGACAAATTTGGATTCGCACCCGCGACCATAAGTTTCTGGAACACCTAAGGGACGCAACTTGTGCATCGCGAATTGTCATAACAACATACTTAAAATGCAATATCAATTAAGATCCATACTGCTTGCAAGTAGTTAAAGTCCCCCAGGGAGACTGTACATCACACTACAAACACCCCTAAATCTTAATACTGCACTTACTCTAGAATCAATCCTAAATCCACAAAATAAATTAGAAAAATTTAAAGCCTTAGGCATATACTTAATTAAATCAGGACCCCAAATTAACTAATAAAACCAAAATCACATAAACTAACAAACCACCCACCACACACAGCTCCCTTAGTTCGCCCCCTACCCACTCTTGGCATTCATTCCAAATCTCAAATCTCAAAATTACTATATAAGCAACCCTTAAACCCCCTCCTTGGTTGCACCACCACTTCATTTTCCCCCTTTCGGAAACACATTAAATAGCCTGGCGGGCCCGTGTGCGACATACGCTTGCAGTCGCAAAGCGCACGTAAAATCTCCAATATAAGTAAGTAAGTAAGACTGTACATATATAGACTCCTCATATACCAGAGAGGCTGTACAACTAGACTTCCCCCACGAAGATGTTGGGACGTGGCTTGTCAATCACCTTCTTCGTTCTCCCGTGTAAGGTGGCCGAGATCGGACGTCGCTTTCTCGCTTTATTGCTTTCTCGCAGTATAGGTTGGTTAGTTGGTTTATTGTTTTACGCCGCACTCAACAATATTCCAGCTGTATGACGGCGGTCTGTAAATAATCGAGTCTGGACCAGACAATTCAGGGATTAACATCATGAGCATTGATCCACGCAATTGGAGTACGATGACATGTATCAACCAAGTCAGCGAGCCTGACCACCCGACCCCGTTAGTCGCCTTTTACGATAAGCATAGTCGCCTTTTACGGCAAGAATGGGTTTCTATTCTATCCCGCATCTTCACGGGTCTCTTGCGGTATAGCATCATCCCCTCTTGGCCACTATAGGGGTCCCATGTGTTCTGTGTTTCTGTACGATAAAAAGAGTATACGTAAAACAACAGAAAAGATTTGCTGAACCAGCCACCAGTATCATTTAGGGGTTGACCATTTAATACACGATATAAGGGGGGTAGGTAGGGTGGGGGTGGGGGAGGGAGAGGTTGGAGCATGCTGTTATTTTCTTCATTTGGTGAATTTTAACCATAAAAGAAAGCTGAGATTGTTCCAAACACATTTCAAATTGTACATGTGGAAGGAATGTTGAAATTTGTAACATAATTTAACTGTACAGACGTAGGTGATTTTTAAATAATCCACGGATTTCTGCGTAAAACGTAATTGATTGATTTATGGCCCTATATAGGAGTTTTATGGGATCCCCGCCCCCAGGCCCAGTTATCAAAACAAACAGCAAATAACAGCGCTTATTAGCGCTTAGTAGTGTACTTCCTCAAAAACAATAGTGTTTTCCTGAACACAACACCTCGGTTATATCAATGTCTATTCTGTATGCGGAGTAGATGTCGTCATAGAGGAAGTCCCCACCCACCAATAGTAACTCGCCTGACGTCCAATAGTAATTTCTAGTGTTTGAATGACATATTGTTCTCAATAAACCGTAATGTGGAAAAAGATAGTTGTTTCTTTTTATATTCAAGTTGGTATTTCCGCTATTCAAAGTGTGCAGTGAGTCCGTCTTATCAACAGTCATTTCTGAGACATAAATGCAAAGTTTAATTAATGAAGTCCACTCGCATTTCTTGCATTTAATTAACTTAATTTCAAGATTGACAGTACATACTATTCCAAAGAAGTTAAAGAACACCCGATTTTTCATATGACGATGGTTAATTCGGAGAGAAAGCGTCAGAGCAAGAAATTAAAAAGTTTTTTTGCTGATATTCAGTGATCCATTCCTATAATTCTCACCGCCTTTTTGCCTCTTATATCCAGATTTTTTATGACAACTATATTGATATAGATACATGTACCTAATGAAGACAAAAGTTATACATGTACACTGTTATGTTTCCATTTATAATTACAGATGGGTTAGATATATGTCTTAACCTTAAGTCACATAACCCCATTCCTTGGACAATAGAAAGGTAATGCGGCGAATTCTAATGAGTGCGGCGTAAAACAACAAACAAACAAGTCTCAATACTAAAGTGAGCGAAGCGGACATAGAAGTGTCCGGTTTGTCTGCTATTTCATGCTTACAAAAAAACAACGGCGTTTGCTAAATGTGACGTTTTGCTGAACGAGGGGGTTGTACAGTGTCAGGAAAGTATTTAGAATTATCACGTGAGTATCTGCATGTATGTTGACAGTATTGCTGTAGTGACTTCCAATACGAGGAGACACTGTGGGTTTTTTAGAATAGACTTAAAAATTGATATGAAAATGAGTGAAGTGAAGTTTAAAAAAAAGCATTTTTCTTTATTTAAAATCACTTGTCTGTATAGTATAACTGTGTTGAAACCACACAATAACAGGCTCATGATCATAACATTTTCGTTATTAAAAAAAATTAAAAAAAACAAAAAAACAACATTTTCGCAGGAACTTTATTTGTGACACTTGCTGCTGTGTTCTGGTGAAATGTTAATAGCGATAGCACAAGACTAAGAAATGTTGCAAATAACAATTTTATTTTCTTAACTGTAATCATGGACTTAAATACCGGATGTCAAAAACAAACTGATGATGTCCTCATGGTCAGCTCAAGTTTACCAAATATGTTGGATCTTTTGAAAATCGCTGAAGACTCCAGTAAACAGTGGAGTTTCACACTCTCCCGCTAAAATGTCCTTCAGAGGCAGAAAAGGGTCTCCACGCCTCACGGGCATCACATATATACGGCCAAGTCAGTCAAGCATGTCGGTGTTATACTGACTGATGACTTCAACTCTGTGTACAGGGCTCTGGGGGCAAACAATAAGCTAAAGTCCAGTTCAGTGTCACGCACGGACAAGGTCCAAAATCTGTCGGTTCTGGAACATGTTTGAGCCTTATCAAGGCTGTGGTTCTAACAACGTGTCTATTTGGATGCCCCGTCGTCTGTTATATATAGTCAACAAAATACAGTTATATCACCGTCGTCTGTTATATATAGTCAACAAAATACAGTTATATCACCGTCGTCTGTTATATATAGTCAACACATATCCCCGTCGTCTGTATTATATGTAGTCAACAACATACAGTTATATACCCGTCGTCTGTTTTATATACTCAACAAAATACAGTTATATCCCCGTCGTCTGTTTTATATACTCAACAAAATACAGTTATATTCCCGTCGTCTGTTTTATATGCAGTCAACAAAATACAGTTATGTCCCCGTCGTCTGTTTTATATGTAGTCAACAAAATACAGTTATATCACCGTCGTATGTATTATATGCAGTCAACAAAATACAGTTATATCACCGTCGTCTGTATTATAGTCAGCAAAATACAGTTATATCCTCGTCGTCTGTTATATATAGTCAACAAAATACAGTTATATCCCCGTCGTCTGTTTTATATGTAGTCAACAAAATACAGTTTTATCACCGTCGTCTGTATTATACATGTATATAGTCAACAAAATACAGTTATATCACCCTCGTCTGCTATATATAGTCAACAAAATACAGTCACATCACCGTCGTCTGCTATATTTAGTCAACAAAATACAGTCACATCACCGTCGTCTGCTAGTCAACACAGCACAGTCATTTACCACTGTCGTTTGCCAAATGTTCACACGTTACAGTTAAGAGGTGCCGGTATATCTGTCAGCAATATTCAACACGCGCTATATTCCAATTAATTTCACATTGTCAAATGGTATTAGGTACATGTAAACTGTCCGGCAAGGAAAGTATACACCCATATTTGATGGTGGCTAAATATGAAACAAACATGAAATGTTTTCATATTCGGTGGTGGTATATTTTATACGGGTATCACAGTTGTATTTCTGGCCATAGGTTTGCTGTGTTTATGGTGTGTGTGTCGGGGTGGATGTGGTGGGGGTGGGGGGTGGGGGTGTGGGGTGGGGGGAATGTTGGGATGACATATTTGCAGCTAGATCTACTGTAAATAATATAAATATATACCGTTCTTTGGATGAATTCCTATTTTAGTCTGTTTCAGTTTGTTAGACATCTAAACACTGGAACTTCACTTGGTAAATGAGAACTGATCCCATGTATGCTATACCAATTTTCGTATATGTGCACGTTTGCGTCTGTCAGAATTGATGGGGGTCCAACCGGGGGTCATGGGGCTGGGTTCCGACTCTACATGCTACTAGAGCACCGCGTTACAGCGCAGTGAGATCCGAGAACCAGCTAGGAATGTCAACCGTTGATTTGCAGCTCCGAGAAGAGGCAACCGCAGCCACAATCCTCTGATGTCTCATTTAGGATATTCTAAGATTACCTACTTATGCTTAAAATTATTGAATGCTCAATAGAAGTGTCACCGTTCCCTTTAATTAACTAGTGAGCGGACAAGACCTATTCAGTGCGTGCCTACTAAACCGGAAGCTCAGGCACTTGATTTGACGAAGCGAAGATTCGATGATTGAGGAGGGTACAGTTTTTCTTCTAATTTATGCTTTTGTTTGAAATTTGCATTAGCGCGAATGAAGGTTTGTGAAGTGTTAGCTTTTAATTAATTTAAGACAACATTATGCACATTCTGCACCCTCGTATTATAGTCAGCGGGGGATTTTCCAGTCTGTCTGCCGTGTCCTGACTGTCAGGGATCATTGTTCTGTCAGATTTTAACAAGTATCGACATCCATGAAAAAAACGAAATCTTCAGCAACCAACTGTCATTTAGAATAATTTTCTTCTGATTTATAGAAATCCGGTGAATTTATTGAATTTCAGTTTGGGGAATATGTCCTTTTCCGGTTTTCGTGGTTTATTGAGTAAGCCTTGGAGCACCTGCATAAAATGTGTCTAACACCATGCACACAAGGATTGAGCTTCATGGTAATATTTAATAGCTGTTCGTAAGATATAATTAGAACAGTTCAAGTATACCCTGACTTTTTTAGGGATCTATTATTCTAGGTGGGCCATTAACAATATCAAATCCATTTGTATCCACATTGTTTTTGCAAAAGAAAGTTTAAGATCCTCAGATTCTTATGCACTTCCAAGCCTTCATGTTATCAGATTTCGCATGTATACATTTTCTCGCACTGTCCCATCTCTGATTATTGTATGTGCTGTGGAATCTGTCCAATTCGGATGTGTTGGGAATGGTAAATAAGACAGTTTAAGGTGAGGTCTGGATTACACAGAGTACTGAAGACAAAACGAAAAGCAACGATCATTCATCTTTCTTTGCTGCTGCTTGTGGTACTGATGTCATACTTCTCAGCTAAATCTTTCTGTTTTGGCACTGACTTAAATTCCTCCATTAAAGCATCTTTCTTAGCAAGTGTAAGTTAGATACAGGTTTTCTTTGCCGGTTGATCAGCCATTACGATTGATAATGACAAGCTGTATTTACTGTTATTTATTAACACATTAATGACACTGAGTTAATCTCATTAAGTTGAGTTTCTCATTAGCAGGTTGAGTAAATTCTAATTAGCTTAGCGGACAAAAAAGTGTTAATATCAATAGGATTATATGCAGGATTAGCATTGTTGTTTTAGCTGACAAAGACTGTGCTTACTTAAAAGTGAGAGCACATCCAATCTGGTTTGGTCCAGTCTGATTTGGACAGTTTCTTTTCAATAGTAAATTGGTTGTTGGGACCGTAATTTTAGTCTGAAAAAGTCTGAATTAGAGAGTCAGTTTAAGTAATAATAATTTTTTAATGAATTGAGGGGACCAGAAAAAAGTCTGGTTTTCACCGAAATCAGAATTTGAAGCTGTCCGATTTGGAGCGTTAGGTATACTTGTACTTGCGAATAGTGATTTTTTAATACATAAGCCACCATTTTTATCTCATCTGCTACCATGGCTACAGTAGCAACAAGTGATGATTCTTCTCAAACTATGTACATGATGTACATCACATGAAGAAATTGACAATATATGCTTCAGGGTAAAAATGAAATCTTTAAAATAATGTTGTTTGTCAAGGCTTACACATGTTACAAGCAAAAACTGATAATTCATGGATATATCATGTATATAGGCAGATTTGTTTCAAGGTTGTATTAGAAAATGTCCAGTTGAATTCACAAACTCCATACGTATTATAATGAGCCTTAAAAAGCAGCAATGTCTGGTAATTATTCTTCTCATCTATTTGGTCCAAACTTGATTACTTACAGACCAAAATAATAAGCTTTAGTTATATCTTAATTGTCTTGTGTGTAGCCTTTTCTTCTTGGGCTTAGGTTTCACTGATAACCAGAACAGGACCAGTAAACATGGTTAAAAGAAAATGGCTTCATATGTTCAATACTAAATTTTACAATATAGCACTGAACAGGTTGAATGAAATCCTAAATCACCACTGGATTTAACACTAAAATATAAGCATTGAAAAATGAAAAGAATCCCTGTGGTGGAGGTCTAGGTGTGCTGACAATTTGTAGCTTCTGAGCTCAGGAAGTAGAAGTATCTTGTTTATGTGATTTTGTCTGGTCAGAATGGGGCCAGTGCCTTTTTCTTGTCTCTATCAGCTTAATGACCATCTGACCCATGATGATCCGAGGTAGAAACGGTCTTCAGCAACCCATGCCTGCCGTAAAAGGCATCTCTGCTAGTCGTAAGAGGCAACTAACGGGATCGGGTGGTCAGACTCGCCGACTTGGTTGATGCATGTCATTGTGTGAGTTCATTGTGTGAGTTCATTGTGTGAGTTCATTGTGTGAGTTCATTGCGTGAGTTCATTGCGTGAGTTCATTGCATGAGTTCATTGTGTGAGTTCACTGCATGAGTTCATTGCATGAGTTCATTGTGTGAGTTCATTGCGTGAGTTCACTGCATGAGTTCATTGTGTGAGTCCACGTTCTAGAAAATCCATATCACCCTTCAGCCATGTTCAGTGCTGCCGTCTCACCTTGTACAACATGTGACAATAACATTGTTGAACACATTCCAGTGTGGTAGCCAACTTGCCATGGAGCAGAAACAGAAGAACAAGGATAGGGTGGAACCCACCCAGTACATGGTGATGACGCTGGAGTCTGATATCCTCACCAAACACAAGGCTAACACTACCTACACCCCGGAGGAGACAGAGGTGAGAATTAAACCACTAATTGCCAAAGTTTACATTAAGTGTCAAGTCGAATCGAAAAATGATATACAGAAGTTAGCAACCGATTCCTGTGATTGAAGAAGTGAAGCTATTCCAGACCAGTTTCCTGTATATGAGATGTCTATTATGCATGACCATAGTAACAACTGACAAAAGGGCAGACAATTACCAAATTGTTAAAATGTACAGGGAATGGTTTCTTTATTCAGGTTCCTAACAAATTACTGATGAAATAACGCATGCAACATATTCTGGTATTTCGCAAGAAATTGAAATACAAACTGAAGATTTTCATGTTTAGGACGTCTCATTTTTCAAATTGTATGATGCAACCCTCAAGATGGTGAAATGGGGTTTAATGTTGAGTTCCCCCTTCGTCGGGCAGTTATGGAAGACCTCGGGCTTCTGCAAATGATAATGGCCTGAAAAATAGCGTTACCCTTATATTAATGATCAACTGAACAATAATTGTCATTGACAGAGTCTGGAGGCCACATCAGGCCTTGGCTATCCTTACGACAGCAGCCAGGGACTGTCTTCAGAAGAAGAGGAGGGAGAAATAGATGATTTTGTCGTCGTGAAAGCTGAACCACAGGATCCTGTTGATAGCAACAGGGAAACCCCATGTCTTCCTGCCGAGACTAGAACGGAATCCGAGGAGAGCGTGGATGACGATGACAATAATGATGATGATGAAGAGGAAGATGACGACAGTGGAGAAATTCTTGACCCTGTGGAGATCAAAACCGAATCAGATGACACCATGGAAGATGCCACGGCTGAACCAGATGATGACGATGATGATGGTAATGGTGATGGTGATGATAAGGATGATGACAGCAAAAGTGATGAAAACATGACTCAATCAGTTGTGATGAGTTCCACTGACACCAGTAAAGATCGGGGAGAGCAGAGGGATGGCAGTGACAATAGCAGAGACAACGGTAGAGAAGTCTCCATGCGGCTTCCTGTTGAGGTCAAGAGGGAACGGGAGGATACTGATGAAGAACCAACAGGGGTGAGTCTTTACAAGGTGGAGAGATTTTTCAAACAGCCTGTTGTTCCCTTGTGTGTCAGGGTTATTGGCACTGCATGTTGTTGTGGTTATGAGAATGATCCATACCGTGATCACAGCTTCTGAAGAGCTGTTTTGATGCAGCTTTTGACCCAATCTCTTTAACATCAGGTCTTTTGCTCTGATAATGATGGAGTAGCCTAGTGGTCAAAGACCTGGGTTTGACTCCCCACATGGGTAAAATGTGTGAAGTTCATTTCTGGTGACCCCACCGTGATATTGCTGAAAGTGGCGTTAAACCACACACTCATTTAATCACACACACAGGCATGCATGCACTCGCTCACCCACCCAAGAATACTCCAGAGGACAAGTAGAAACTTTATTTTGCTATTCTCAGAGCTTATAGATAGCTAGTCTGGCTTGTTTACTTTTTCTGTCAGTTAAGTCGTTTCAAATTTGTAGAAACAATGAGGCGTTGAGAACTGGTTCAGAATCATAGCTCTCAAATGCTGCTGGTCAATGAGGACTACCATCGTTGGATTTTTACTCGCCTTGACACACTTTGTAGTCAGGGGCAAGCAGACTAGCATGATTTTTTAAGGCTGCAGGGTTTTATGCAATGCACAGATGTGCGTCCTACAAATGTAGAGGATGGACGCGCAATACTTTTTTATTGTACAGCGTATCAACAGCTGTTGGGGTTGTCTGTTATTTCATCCTTCAATCATGACAACTGTCCACATGATCACTGATTCATTCCAGACTCTTAAAGTAATTATCAAACTGTACAGTACATTACACCGTTTCATTACTTTACAGGACCTAGCCTGCAGGGGCGGTCGGGTAGTCTAGTGGTTAAAACGTTCGCTCGTCACACCGAAGATCCGGGTTCGATTCCCGACATGGCTACAATGTGTGAAGCCAATTTCTGGTGTCTCCCGTCGTGATATTGCTGGAATACTGTCAAAAACGGTGTAAAACCACACTCACTCACTCATATTGCCTGCAAGGCCTCTTGAAATTAGTTATTGTGGGGCCCCACAATGTAAGTCAAGGCAAAGCCATGTGTCTGACATGTTATTGATGTTGGCAAGATGAGTTGAATTGTAATGTTTCCCCCCAGGAGTCCTCAGCAAAGTACAGACGTGTCACCCCAAACATGGACAGTGTGCGAGGCCGAGGGTTTGTACAGGAGAGGTTCTTCCATAACGGACAGGAGTTTGACCTTGACGGTGTCCTCGATGACTATGGCCCTCAAGCTGTGAGTACCCATAAAACTGTATCATGTAAGACTTACCGTATTCCACGTAATAAGCGCCCAGGGCGCTCTCAAAATTAGAAATAGGGGGCTCTTATTAACATGATTAAAATATTATTTGTGTGAAAAAAACAGTTGAAAGATAAATTTCATGTAAGACTTAATCCTGAAAGTCAAGGGGTCCTTCACACTCTTGTTAAGTTGTTAAGTTTATCAGTGAAAAGAATATGGAGTCCTTACATTCAAACTTCAAGGATCCCAATGCCTCCCTCCACTGCATGTTTACTGTGTTTGCAATATTGCATTACATCTAGGGATACTCAAGATTTCTATCACGAATAACTGAATTATTTTTCATGTGACTTGAACTTACTACAAGATATCCTGATGGAGACCGGGTTGGGTTGGCGTATAAGCACATTAATCGTATTGCAATATATCACAATACGGAGAGCTGTATTGGAAAATATTGGTACACAAGGGTTGTATTGCGATTCTGTGTACATTTGTGTGTTTTAACTGATCTATTGGTAATCTAGGGCTCTCAATGCTTTTAAACAGGTGGTCACTTGAACATTCAACCTTGAGGTCATACAAGAGACGAACAACTATTAGGCTAAACAAAATAATAGTCTTGGTTCTCAGGCTTCATCATAAAGTATGCCTCATGTTTCAATTTTATTTCCATTTTCAAAAAATGTACAAAATCCTAATCATGCTAATACCGTATTCGACGTAATAAGCGCCCAGGGCGCTCTCAAAATTAGAAATAGGGAGCTCTTATTAGAATATAATTTTGGTGAGAAAAAAAAGAGTTGAAAGATGGTAAATTTCGTGGCTTATGCTGACAGCCTGAAATGATACAGAAGAAAAGTCGTATTATACACGACAGATATATTTTCCAGAATTTAATTGCCCATAATTAAGGGAGCATATAACACACGAGTGCGTATTATACACGAATAAATAAGTCTTGTGTACATTGATCAATTGGAAGGGGTGCTAATTGGGATTGTTCACTAGTCAATATGTTAGCAAATATCGCCGTGGGCGCTTATTAGGACGGGCGCTTATTACGTCGAATACGGTACTTAAAAACAGTGCGTTCCAATATGGCACACAGTTACTTCCCCTTACATGCCAACTGCTTTTACTGCACATCTCGTGTTATGGTCATGGTGGCAATAGGAGTTTGTATGCTTGTGTATGTAGGGAGGCCCTTTTACAGGTTGATAGTACACAACTGTTTATTTGGTTATATACTAGTTCGAGAACAAGCAAAAAAAAAAGCGCTGCCCGCCCGCACTGTATTTTCAAAAGTAATTGCCTGAGAACCTTTTTTTAAGCCTTAGTTTTCTTTATATAATAAAATCTGTAACAGTATTAGATTTTTGCAAGAAATAAATTATGGCTAGTGGAAACCTGTACAAGGTCCTCGCTGTCTTCCCCTCCAGCACAACAATTCAATATTCTATAGTAGAGCAAATCCTATAATGGGAAGTCATGTCAAGGCTTTAGCAATAGAGATGCTGTTATTACAGAGAAAGTCTGGCGCCAAGAAGGATGGATCGGGTGGAAAGTCGGGTAAGGGTGGAAAGCGTGGCGGGACACAGCAGGGTTCTGCCGAGTCAGAGGAGGAAGACGCTGAGCCTTCAAATCTTAGCATCTTCAAGGAGGCTCTGTTGAGAAAGAGATATTTTTCCTGGATGTTTGAAGGAAAACAGCCTGCAAAAGACAAAGAAAAGGTAAATTTAGTGGTGTTAACAAAGATCTTCTTTCACGTGTTCATGTATATTGTGGTACTGTTCAACTTCAGATTTTTGCAAACCATGAAATGAATGAAGATTATTCTCCCTTTTCATATGATCCTGAATCGTTCTTGACTATTTTCAGAAAATCATCAAAAAAGTCAATGTGGGAAAAAGTAACCATTTGACACAAGTCATAGCAAAAAGCACTCGCTTTCTTTATTTCCCCTTACTTATTATTTGTATTTAAAAATAACCTTTTTATGAAAATTATTTTTATTTCAATCTTTGTAAACTGGAAACCAACCATGAATAAGAAGAGGCTTGAGTTATTTTTTCACGCAGGATAATTAAAATTATTTGTAGGGACATAGAATAGTTTGGTCTAATCATGCTGATGGAAACAATGTAATACCAGTGAACAAGATATGTCATTCTGAACTTGAGGACCACATCTGTGGTCTAGTAGATAGAGTGTCTGCCCAGATTGAGGAAGGTCTGTGGTTCAATCCCGGGGTCCCCTTTTACAAAGTGATCGTAGCGCTACAACAGTAGTAAGTCAATGTTAAAGTATAAGACTTTCGATCAACTTAACGCTACAATCACTATGTGGAACGGGGCCTTAGCCATGTCATACCAAAATACAAGAAAAGACAGCACATGTACATGATGTTGCCCTGAAGGTGTTCTGCGTCAAGGGGATGAAAACAACCACTGGTCGGCTCAGAATACTGTGTCTTAGTAGGGTATCCATGTTAACCTCTGTTATATCAGTATGCAACATATAAACATGATAAAACCGGAATACGTCTGGACTAGTTCAAGCAGCCACATGTTTGGCACACACACATGCACGCACACTAACTCACTCACTCACTCACTCACTCACTCACTCACTCACTCACTCACTCACTCACTCACTCACACACACACACACACACACACACACACACACACACACACACACACAAACACACACACACACACACACACACACACACACACACACACACACCCACAAAATATACATGTAATAACCTTGAATGTGACGTCAAGCCCCATTTCACATTACCACATCTATACTTGAGTTGGCAATATTGCAAGTGGAATGACCGTTTCCATACTGTTTGGGGATTGAAAAGTTAGTGTATTTATAGCTCTGTTCTCGAATAGAATGTCCAACCCTGCTATTACCTCCATCCCTCTTGAGCAGTCGGGTAGCCTAGTGGTTAAAGCATTCGCTTGTCACGCCGAAGGCCTGGGTTTGATTCCCGACGTGGATACAATGTGTGAAGCCCATTTCTGGTGTCCCCCGCCGTGATATTGCTGGAATATTGCTAAAAGCGGCGTCAAACCATACTCACTCACTCACTCACTCCATCCCTCTTATGTATATTCTTCAGGATCTGAATCCCATCCTTCCAAGCCAACCAAGGGACTTCTCTGAGACGGAGGCAAGAATCTTTGCAGAACAGATTACAAAATACAGAGATATATTTCAAACCATCAAGCGGAGCAGTCCATCACATGATGCCAAACTTAAAGAGGTGTGGACAAAAATCACAGAGTGTGTTAACGAGGGTAATGAGGGACCTCAAAGGACAGTCGATGAACTGCAGCAGAAAGCTCAAACTACATTCAGCCAAAATTGTCTAGGTGCAGATGTGCTATCTGGTGAAGAAGCTACAGTGTTTGTGGAACAAATCTTGAAATATAAGGAGTATTTCGAAGACGTCAGAAAGAATGACCCAACTCGTGATATCGAACTGACAGAGGTATGGGTGGAGATTACCAACTGTGTGAACAAGGTAAACAAGGGACCTCGGAGAACAGTCGATGAACTGAAGAACAGATGGACGCTAGCTCTGGTGGAGAGGAACATTCCAGACCCCAGGACACAACGTACTTGTAAGTTGTTGGGGAGGATTAGGTCTTCAGCAACCCATGATTGCCATAAAAGGCGACTATGCTTGTCGTAAAAGGCGACTAACGGGTTCGGGTGGTCAGGCTCGCTGACTTGGTTGATGCATGTCATTGATCCCAATTGCGTGGATTGATGCTCATGATATTAATCACTGGATAGTCTGGTCCAGACTCGATTATTTACAGACCGCCGTATATTGCTGGAATATTGCTGAGTGCGGCGTAAAACAACAAACCAACCAACCAACTATTCCGTGCATAAGTACTGATGAGCATTATCCACATTCTAGGGCAGTGTAGAATATGATGTCAGTGTCACAAAGTGAAAAGGGACTGCCAGCAGTATATATGGTCCTAGATTATAGTAGGTACCTTGTAGGATGAGATGGTAATGTGTCTTAACTTTCTAGTGCCCCACAAACTGCTTGGGTTGTATACTTCCCCGGGAACTCAGAATGAAAATCGAGTGACCACTGATCTGTTGCCCGGGCTAATTATGATGTAGCTCTTTGAGCATGGAGTCATGTGCTTCAGAAGTGGACTATTATCATGATTATAGTTATGGTTTATGGTGATATTATTATTAACTTAGATATTTGCCAAGGAATCATGTTAATAGTCTTTATAAGAATGTTTTATTCATTCTGTCGCTAAACAAAGATCTGAGGACATCCCATTACGGGTCACGTCAGCGAGAACTAAGATCTGGTTTTAATGAGATTGCCCCTCATACTAGATTTGCACTTAATTCTCACCAAACAACAAGAAGCATGATTAAAATGTCCCTCCTTGCCTCTGCCATTTGGTCAGGATTCTGAGAGTAAAGGTGGCACGTGGTCCTGTGCACAGGTCACAAATCAGGTGAAGTTAAGCAACATTTGTCTCGGGAGAGTAGTTGGATGGGTGACAGCGTTCAGCAGCTTGACTCCTGAGAGTTTGTAGGGCTTCGGTCCTGCCCCACACTGAAGTGTGCCTCTGTTCACCCAGCAGAGAGTGGGTACCCGGTAGGATGAGATGGTAATGTGGCTGTTAACCTTCTAAGCGCCTCACTGGCAGCTTGGGTTGTATACTCCCCAGGGAGCTGAGAATGAAAATCGAGTGCACGCTGATCCATTGACCGGGGTAATCATAGTGTAGCGCTATGAACATCCACTTGGTGAATGTAATCTGGCACATTATAAATGCACCTTTTTTTTCTCTTATATTATTATTATTATTATTATTATTATTATTATTATTATTATCAAAGTAGACCTTCATACAGGTATTGAAAGGGAATTTCTTTGATTTAACAAGATAATGGTGAGGGATGCAGTAAACAACCAGTTGGGCAAGTCTAATATCATCCATGAGAACATTTTGACAGAGAACTTTGCTGCGTGAACTGACAGAAACCAAAGAAATTGGTATGTGGTAGTGAGGCCTGAAGGCTTGCAACATTACATGAATGTTGTCTGAGTTTGAATCCTCATTCACGTTGTCATACCTGGACATACGCTTCCAGTCTCTGTTACTTATCAAGAGGCAAACTCCACTATATGTTTTCAAATTATTTCAGTATATTATCGGTGAGAACAATTTGTGAGACAGAGAACGTGGTGAAACATGCTGTGTTTTTGTTTCAGGTGAGCATCCGTTTAGGTGTAAACTGTGTGGCAAGAGCTACGTCCTGAAGAGCAGTTTACAGGCCCACGCCTGCAAGGTGCCCTGTCCTGAAGGGGGGGATGTCACCCCTGATGATGATGATGACGATGTACGAAACATGTTTGTTAAGTTCACAGAAAATGATAGCTCAACATATATTATCCCCTGCCACAAAGTGGAAGGGGGTATTGAAATGGATGATGTCCGTCCGTCTGTTCGTCTCATATTTCGTTTCCGGAGCAGAACTCAAAAACTATGAGAGATATCTTAACCAAACTTGGCACATTGATAGGTCTAGTGGTGAGTTGGTGCCTTTTGATAGTTTGGGATTTTTTAAGAAAACAACTTTTTTTCGAGTTTCCATCATGGCAACGACTTTGAAAAAATGGCAGTAGTGCACCTATCTGAAGCAGATCTTGAAAACCGTACAATATTTCTTCACTAAACTTGGCACATCGCTAGACCTAGTGGTATTAAGACTTTATTTTTCAAGTTTCCATAGCAACAACTCTGAAATGAAATGACTGAAGATAGCAGTTTTGCTCATTTCCGGAGGGCTAATGCCTTGTACACAACCGGACATGTCATATTGGTGGGGGATTGTTTATTTTCGTGAATTAATTCCATGTGTAGATTCTGGGTGAGAACAGGTCCGCAGTACTTCATGCTTGTCATCAGAGCTGGGGTTGTCAAGATCTGTCACTTGGCTGATTGTAGGTCATATTTCATATGCTAATGGTGTGGATGTTGAACCATGCATCTGTTTACTTGGCCCGGATTACTGTGGTAATTATGTGATGGCACGTGGTCCTGTGCACAGATCACAGCGCACAGGTCTCAAGTCAGGTGAAGTTAAGCAACATTGGTCGTGGTGAGACGTTGGATGGATGACAGCATGACTACTCAGGTTTTCAATGGCTTCAGTCCTGCCCCACACTGAAGCACCTATATGCCCCTTTGGCATTTGACTTTGTTCAAAACATGCCTCTCCTGTTCACCCAGCAACTACTGGGTACCCGGTAGGATGAGATGGTAATATAACTGTTAACCTAATGCTGAGAATGAAAATCTAGTGCACAATAATCCATTGACAGGGGTAATAATATAGCGCTTTGAGCATGTTGTTATTATTATCAATCATGATTTATTAATGATCAAGCTGGGGGCACGGGTGGCCCAGTCGTCTAAGGCGTCACAAATCGCTGTGCAGAGTTGCGTCCCTTGGACACGCCAGAAACCTATGATTGTGGGTTCGAATCCCGATTCGCCCCGATTATGTTTCTAGGTTTGTCAGCACCATATCCGTGCTCGTGGGTTTCACCGAAGTGGTAAACGCCTGAGACCTAGATCTTTGGGCTTTCCTTCCTGTGATATAACTGGAATACTGTTAAAAGGGCCATTAAACCCAACTCACTCACTCACTCATCGTAATGTTATCCTGACATGAGCATCGTACGCCATGTACACCAAAACGTTGAAGGATGGCTCTTCATTGACACCCACCACTAGTCTGCCTGGACTTTTGGGGGTTGCGTCCCATCCGGGATTCGACCGATGCTTTGATAAACAACTAACAGACAACTTCAAGTAAAAAACACCCTTTTTAGTTTTGTTGCTGTACATATTTGATTCTAGTGACCACGAATAACGAATTCAATTCATGAACCGATACGGTTCAATTCACCGAAGTGAATTGTAACAGCCCTATTAGTCAGATTGCATCACTAGTCAATCATCCGTGTCATTAACTGAGGAAGCTTTGATAAACAACTAACAGACAACTTCAAGTAAAAAACACCCTTTTTAGTTTTGTTGCTGTAAATATTTGATTCTAGTGACCATGAATAACGAATTCAATTCATGAACCGATACGGTTCGATTCACCGAAGTGAATTGTAACAGCCCTATTAGTCAGATTGCATCACTAGTCAATCATCCGTGTCATTAACTGAGGAAGCTTTGATAAACAACTAACAGACAACTTCAAGTAAAAAACACCCTTTTTAGTTTTGTTGCTGTAAATATTTGATTCTAGTGACCACGAATAACGAATTCAATTCATGAGCCGATACGGTTCAATTCACCGAAGTGAATTATAACAGCCCTATTAGTCAGATTGCATCACTAGTCAATCAGTCCGTGTTATTAACTGAGAAAGCACCCTTTTTAGTTTTGTTGCTGTAAATATTTGATTCTAGTGACCACGAATAATGAATTCAATTCATGAGCCGATACGGTTCGATTCACCAAAGTGAATTGTAACGGCCCTATTAGTCAGATTGCATCACTAGTCAATCATCCGTGTCATTAACGGAGTGTGCCCCATCTTCGACTTTCAGGAGGAGGAGGAAGATGAGGATGCAGAAACTAGCACCCCTAGGGACTTCTCTGAAGCAGAGGCAGGTGCTTTTGCCGATCAAATCTTAAAATATAGAACCATCTTTCAAAATATTAAGCGGAGTAGTCCAGTTCACGATGCCAAGCTTAAAGAGGTGTGGGGGAACATTGCAGACTGTGTCAATGAGGTCAGTGACGGGCCTCACTGGACAATAGATGAACTGCAGAAGAAATGGGTCTCCACTTTGATAACAAGGACACGGTCCACAAAGCCCAAGTCTCAACGTAGGATACACAAAAGCGTTATAAATGCACCAGTATTTTCAGAGGAAGAAGCAAAAGTGTTTGAGGAACAAATATCCAAATATAAGGAGTTCTTTGAAGGCTTCAGGAAAAATGACCCAACACGGGATGCACACCTCAAGCATGTGTGGTCGGAAATCACAATTCGGGTCAATGAGGTCAACAAGGGACCTCCAAGAACAATTGATGAACTTCAAAGCAGATGGACTCTATCTTTAGTACAGAGGAACCTCCCCGACCCCAGCACATACAGTGAAAAGTACCAGCGTACATGTAAGTTGAACAATTCATTTGTATTAATGAATATTAAATATTCAACTTTATTATTATGCTGCTTGTCTAAGCAAAAGGGCATCTGATCACATCACATGTTCACTGCCCTTCTGCCTATGATATATATAATGAGTAATCATTGTTTATTGCTCTATCAACAGTTTTGTAAATTTCTGTGTCATGATACTAAGTTTATTTTATGTCAGAATCCTCTGTCTTTCTATATATAATGGCCCCCATGAATATCCAGGATAGAATTGGTCTTCAGCAAACCAGGCTTGTCTTAAAGACAACAGGATTGGGTGGTCAGGCCTGTTGACTTTGTTGATGCATGTCATCGTATCCCAATTATGTAGATCAATGCTAATGATGTCAATCACTGGATTGTATGATCCACACCTGATTATTTATGGACCACCATTATACAGCTTGAATATTGCTGAGTTCAGGGTTAATCAACAAATATACAGACAAACATTGTTAATGTTTGTCAGGCGTATCAGATACATGATTATCATGATTATGGGGTAAAAAATATTGAGACAAATTGTGCTGGCTTTGCGTTGTTTTTTGTTTTTTGTTTTGAAGGTCACAAGGCCCTGAGTGGATTCATCAGTTTGGCAGCAAGCTTCTCAATGGGATCCTATAATGGGAATGAATATTGTTTTGTACTTCAGTTGGATAATATGTCTGTCTGTTTTTGTATTTGACCATGACGACATCATCTGATCAGCCTGAAATCCATCACTTAGCTAGGGAAGAGTCCAGACTTGATTATTTACAGACCGCCGTCATATAGCTGGAATATTTGCTGAGTGCGGCGTTAAACAACAAAGAAACAAACAAGCTAGGGGACAGCATCATATGCACACTTCAGTTTTTCTATGTGTGTACAACTCATTGATGCAGTATACGGCCCATGTACGTGATGTATAACAAATGTTATATTTTGGATAACACTTTGTTAGTAAAGTACAGATTCGCATCCTTTTGGGAGTTGAGTCCCATCCAGGATTTAAACCCACACTCCTAGAGTGAGGCACCTAATCGCCAGCACAAAAGTCAGCAATCTAACCCACTCAGCCACGGATGGGTCTCAACTCCAAAAAGTATTAGAAATAGAATCTGTACTTTACTAAGAAAGTGTTATGCCAGATATAATATTTGTTACATTTGACAACTTTCTAAATGGCATTGTGTGTTATACGAAATGTATGGTTAAGTTAAGATCCTGCCTGTTGTATTACATCAGATATCAACAGAGAGTGTTCATGTCAAGAGTGCAAACAAGTCTTCACTAACCTAGCACAGCTGAGACAACACAAGAAGCAGCATTTCAAAGTCAAGTAAGTGTGTGTTCTTTTAATGTAATGGAATATTCCACTGAATACATTGAGTTGAAGTGACCTGGGCCATGAGGAGCTGTGTGTCCCCAAGCAAGCTCTGCTGGTCGTAAGTGGCGCCCAAATGGATGGAGTGGTCGGGCTCCCTGACTTGGTTCATTGTGTGGCTTTGTACCCTGTTGGCTGGGATCTTTACCATGATTCGCACCGTTCTCACAATATTGATAACTGGATTGTCTTAATTCAGACTCAAATAGGGGCGGTCGGGTAGCCTAGTGGTTAAAGCGTTCGCTCGTCACACCGAGGACCTGGGTTCGACTCCCGACATGGGTACAATGTGTTAAGCCCATTTCTGGTGTCCCCCGCCGTGATATTGCTGGAATATTGCTAAAAGAGGCGTAAAACCATACTCGTTCACTCACCCAGACTCAAATATTTACAGGCCGTGTAGCAACCTCACTCACTCACTCACTCACTCACTCACTCACTCACTCACTCACTCACTCACTCACTCACTCACTCACTCACTCACTCACTCACTCACTGTTAAATTAATTCTCCCAAATAATGGGACACGGATGGGAAGGCACACATGCACACACACACTAACGCAATACACACAGGTTTGGTGTTTGAAGCCCAAGTTTGATGTCCTCCTGTATGATCATGATGATATTGACAACGTTTTTCTGAAAGCATCATAAATTTCTTCTTACTTGCTGTCTTGCCCTAGTATCGATGCTAGCATAATTCCCATACTTTAACATAGACTTGTTTTCAGAGTAATTTCATACAAGTTACTTTTCTGTTTCATTGCAGCTCATCTGAGCCCATGTTCAAGACCAATATTGAACTGCTCAAATGTAATTATTGTGCCAAGACATTTCAGAGGCTGGATAATCTGCAGAGACATGAGAGAATACACACAGGTACCTTGCATGTTACTGGAGAAAAAGTCATGTACAATTCTCTGACGACTCTATCATTTCTTTTTCGCAGTGATTGAACTGGATCACTGTCACTGAAAATTGTTCAGCTATATTTCCAATATTGTGTGAGACCCGTGAAGATTCCGGGGTAGAATAGGTCTTCAGCAACCCATACTTGCCGTAAAAGGCGACTATGCTTGTCGTAAAAGGCGACTAACGGGATCGGGTAGTCAGGCTCGCTGACTTGGTTGATACATGTCATCGATCCCAATTGCGTGGATCGATGCTCATGATATTAATCACTGGATTGTCTGGTCCAGACTTGATTATTGATTATTTGATTATTTACAGACCGTCGTCATATAGCTGGAATATTTCTGAGTGCGGCGTTAAACAACAAACCAACCTACCAACCAATATTGTGTGAAGCATTAACACTTTAGATGTAACATACCGTCCATAGCTAAGATCATGCTGATGTTGGCGTAGGACTGACGTAGATGCGAGGACCCTCATGGAGATTCTGTGTTGGATGATGTCCCCAGCTACCTATGCTGGCAATAAGAGGCCACCAATTGATTGGGTGGTCAGGCTGTGACTTGGTTGATAGCATGTCCTCGTACCCCGATGGTGTGGATCGTTGCGCACAATATCGATCACTGGATTATCTGGTCTAGACTTGATTATTTACCACTGTCAGCTAGCTGGAATATTGCTGAGTGCTAGTTAAACAACAAACAAACATAGATGCATAGCTGTTTCATATGTTTCAATTTGTTTGTGTAAAGTAGGCTCTGAACATGCTGAAAGGGTTTTTAGAATAACCTGAACTGATTTGAGTAGATTACTGTGTACCCTGACTTTCTACTTTGGAAATGAAAGTTATCTGACTCATGAATTTGACTTGCCAAAATATATATAGCATATGGCTCACTGAGACAGGATCAGGTGGTCAGGCTTGCTGACTATTTTGATGCATGTCATCGTATCCCAATTGTGTAGTTCATGCTCATGATGTCAATCACTGGATTGTCTGGTCCAGACTTGAATATTTACAGATCGCCATCATAGAGCTGGAATATTGCTGAGTGCGGCGTTAAACAACAAACAAACAAACAAACAAACAAACAAAACACTAAGGGCAGCTGGATGAATAATACCTCAGTGTTTGCTTCCTGGACTGAACACTTCCAATATTTGCTGGGGATGTGAAAGAAACCACGAGTTTAATATTGTATGTTGGTCTATATTTGCAGCCCCTTTATGGCAAAGAGCTGTGTTGCACACTCAATGAAAGCTGTTGTGTCTTTGTTTCAGGTGAACATCCGTTCAAGTGCAAGATCTGTGGCAAGGGTTTTGTCCAGAAGAGTGGTTTGCAGGCCCACATGTGCAAACACACTGGAGCAAAGCCTGTCAAATGTAAACTCTGCCCCATGACGTTCGCTGTGGATGATCACAGGCGCAAACATGCAGAGGTATGGGAAGAGATATTACACTGTACATTTCCCAGAACATACCCCTGTGGCAAGGGAAGAAATCGGCTCAAGCCCAGCTTGTCTAATGTTAAAGGCTTTTAGTGGGTAGAAGAACTTCAGGATTGATGGGAGGGGGGACTCCTTACATGTTATCACTATTTAGCTTGTTTCTATTGCTCTAGGGGGCACGGGTGGCCCAGTCCTCTAAGGCGCCGTGATTTGCTGTGCAGAGTTGCGTCCCTTGGACACGACAGAAACCTATCATTGTGGGTTCGAATCCCGGTTCGCCCCAATTATGTTTCTAGGTTTGTCAGCACCATACCCGTGCTCGTGTGTTTCACCGAAGTGGTAAATGTCTGAGACCTGCATCACTTCGGGCTTTCCTCCCACATTAAGCTGACACGCCGCGATATAACTGGAATACTGTTAAAAGCGGCGTTAAACCCAACTCACTCACTCACTCACTCTAAGGTGCCGTGATTTGCTGTGCAGAGTTGCGTCCCTTGGACACGACAGAAACCTATCATTGTGGGTTTGAATCCCGGTTCGCCCCGATTATGTTTCTAGGTTTTTCAGCACCATGATATAACTGGAATACTGTTAAAAGCGACGTTAAACCCAACTCACTCACTCTATTGCTCTAAACTATTAAACCAAATATTCAGTTTACGTAATACCTATTAAAGTAAAACAAATAATAAAACATGAAACTACAAACAGTATTATGACGATGAACGTTGTGAAAAAGTATGGCTTACAGTTACAAATGTTTCACATTGAAGATTAGCATTGATTAGGGGATTCCTGGATTGAAGAAACTGAAGCTGCTTCCCCCTTAGCTTCAAACTCTTATAGGGGCGGTCGGGTGGCCTAGTGGTTAAAGCGTTCGCTCGTCAGGCCGAAGACCCGGGTTCGAATCCCGACATGGGTACAATGTGTGAAGCCCATTTCTGGTGTCCCCCGCCGTGATATTGCTGGAATATTGCTAAAAGCGGCGTAAAACCATACTCACTCACTCACTCACTCACTCACTCAAACTCTTAATAGATTCAGTACATGGTGTGGTAGACATTTTGTATTAAAACCATGAGTATTAAGGGTGTATTAATTGATATAAGTGCCGATGTTGTGTGCAAACATGTTATTGTTTTGATCATGTTGATGCTTTTTTCATGCAGAAAGTACACAATGTTGTGGATGATGGCAGTCGCCCCATCCTTAAGTGCGAGATGTGCAGCTGTGTGTTCAAGAGAAAGGGAACCCTCAATGTTCACATCAGAAGGGTCCATCCTAATGGCTCGGTAAGATTGTCATTGTTCTTGTCAAGAGTTAAGTGAGGGTGAAAGAAAAGCAATCTTATTATGATCAGACCTTAGTTTTCGCTCTTGCTAAACAAAGATCTGAGGACATCCCATTACAGGTCACTTCAGAATGACCTTTTATGCACATCGACCGACCACTGAAATGACTAACAAGAAGTCGATATTAGCCAATCAGAAAGCAGCTTTCACAAGCTTTATGGCGACCTCCATTCCAGACTACGCTTTGAAAATTATTGCTTCAAATGTCCAGTAGATGGTTGGGATTGTATTGCACTACTTCCCATGGGCTATTGAAGGGCTCTTCCTTTTCAAGTTTTGATCCTTTGGAGCTAGATATAGACAATGACTTTGAGGGAATCCGTCGTACAGTCCATAAATGTCGTTCGGAATACCTTGTTAACCATTGTGTTGCATGATTAGAAAACCCAGTCCGACTGTCACTTTCCTGATCTGGTAACGACACTGGTGGGGTGAAAGGTCATTCTGACTTGACCCGTTGGGGGATGTTCTCAGGTCTTTGTTTAGCAGTGATGAGAGTTAAGGCCTGATTGTAATGAGACTGAAGGAAAGAGATGTTTATCATCTCATTCTCCAAAACTGCTGAAATAAGTACAAGTTTTCTTGATCACTTTTTAACATTGTCAGCTATGAAAATCTATTGTACTTTTCCAGCTCTATGAACTCTTCAGGCCATAAGGATTTTTGTGACATGTCTTGTTTTCTTGCTTGTTCTGCAAGGATGGTCAGTCCTACTCATAGCTGTTATTAGATGTTGGTTTGATCTTAAAAGGATGGTTTTATATTGCTGAGTGATGCTTGGCTCTATAACCATGATAGCTGTAAAGGTTATTGCTATTCTTTAAACCACAGGATCTTCAGGAACCTATGCTTATCATCAAAGGCAACTAAAAGATCAGGTGGTGAGACTCACTGACTTAGTTGATGCATGTCATTGTGACCCAATTGTGTATATATAGCTGGAATATTGCTTAGTGCGGTGTTAAAAACAAACAAACAAACCCTTCGACCACCTAGAAATACCAATCTGTTTTTATGTAGACTAAGACTGCAGCCCAAGGCGACACCCCCACCCAGCCAGGCGACCCAGCTCTGACAGCCATGTCTCCACAGCAGATCAGCCAAACCCAACCAGTAGCTACAAATAACATGGCCCCTGCTGAACGCCCTGTACCCACCGAAGGCCCAAGTGGAGCCAATGCTGCCGCCACCCCCCAGATGACCACCGGGGAACCCCCGAGGACCTCCACAACCCCCAGTGTGGCAGCAACCCCTACCCCCAGCATATCGAACAAGACAGGTGAGCTTGTGGCATTGCTTCTTGCAGTGCAGGACCCATTTAGTTGGGTGGTGACCATGGTGATGCTGGGATGTGTTCGGATAAAATAATTTTAGAAACTGGAAACTTCATTCAAGCACGTTTCCAACATCTTCCCTAGGCAAGAGAGTTAACTGACTATAAAAGTTCAGTTTCCACCCTTGCCGAACTAGGCTGGTAATATGGAGTTACATTTGGGCTGGGCTAACAAGTCTATGCATAGTCCAATCAAAATCGCGCAAAGTAATCAAAAACCAGTTCGTAAACTGTCATGCTGATTTCGGTCGATTGAAGGATTTGCAAAGCATGTGCACTGCTAACTCGTCAACAGACATTTTTCAAATCTTTTCATGATTTTAAACAAGGTGCTCACGTGATTTGTTGCAATTTGCGATGTAAGACCCGTTTTATCACAATATAGATCTTGATTATCGCCTTGACTGGGCGCCGCCAATTTGTTTGAATCAAATGCCAGTGATACAGAGAGTAGGAATCTGATTGGTCCAGAGGAGAGGTTTAGAAGAGACATAACTCGTAATAACCACTGGTGGCGCTACGATCGAGCCAAGGAATTCCAGCCTAGTTCGGCAAGGGTGGAAACTGGACTTTTAAAGTCAGTTAACTCTCTTGCCTCGGAAAGATGGTTTCCAAGGATCGAAAGAAGGAATTCATGCATTTAGTGAGATAGGATAAGTATATAAATATACAATTTAATGTAAAATGTACATTTCTGTCTTGATTTCAGATGCCTGTCCATATAAGTGTGAGATCTGCAGCCAGGGTTTCCTACAGAAGAGCAGTCTACAGGCTCACATATTCACCCACACAGGGGAGGAGCCCCTCAGGTGCAGCTTCTGTCCCATGACCTTTGCCATGGATGAACATCGACAGTTACATGTCAAGGTAGGACTCAGCAAGTCATTGACCCCTACAGGCCCCTGAGTACATTTTGACCGTCACAGCTGTAGTGAATGTGCCTCCAGTTGTAAGATGAATGGTTTGTGAGTGTGCCATACAGGCCCCTGAGTACATTTTGATTTTCACAGCTGTAGTGAATGTACCTCAAGTTGTAAAATGAATGGTTTGTGAGTGTGCCGTACAGGCCCCTGAGTACATTTTGATTTTCACAGCTGTAGTGAATGTGCCTCCAGTTGTAAAATGAATGGTTTGTGAGTGTGCCGTACAGGCCCCTGAGTACATTTTGATTTTCACAGCTGTAGTGAATGTGCCTCCAGTTGTAAAATGAATGGTTTGTGAGTGTGCCGTACAGGCCCCTGAGTACATTTTGATTTTCACAGCTGTAGTGAATGTACCTCAAGTTGTAAAATGAATGGTTTGTGAGTGTGCCGTACAGGCCCCTGAGTACATTTTGACCGTCACAGCTGTAGTGAATGTGCCTCCAGTTGTAAGATGAATGGTTTGTGAGTGTGCCGTACAGGCCCCTGAGTACATTTTGATTTTCACAGCTGTAGTGAATGTACCTCAAGTTGTAAAATGAATGGTTTGTGAGTGTGCCGTACAGGCCCCTGAGTACATTTTGATTTTCACAGCTGTAGTGAATGTGCCTCCCGTTGTAAAATGAATGGTTTGTGAGTGTGTGTGGCAATTGGCCTGGTTGAAAAATATTGTCAAATAGGATTGGAACCTGCAAATCTTTTTGACTTTTCACTGCCTTTGAAAAAAACATGGTATTCAGGTTGGCTAAAATTTGAAACCACATTTACTGAATGTTATGTTGGATAATTATCTATCATAACAACGTTTTGGGGATTGAATCAGTAATTTTGACATTACAACATTTTCATATTGTCAACTATTGATAAGACATTCTTCTAATTATTTCCAAATATTAAAAAAATTCATATCTTCATGTTAGGGTTTGATATTAGTGTAATGGATGTATGGGTTGTTGTATCTACAGAACAAGTCACTTGACCTTAAGATGTTCACATAATTTTCTTATTTTTCAGCAAATGCACAATGTGGTCAGTGATGGTCGTCAACCAATGTTCTGGTGTGAAATGTGCTACTGTGTTTTTAAGACAAACGGCAGTCTCCTCTTTCACATCAAGAAGTTTCATCCTAACTATTCTGTAAGTTAAATAAGAAACTCTAAACGTGTTCGAAGCTTTGCTGTAACGATATGTGCAACAGTAATAATCACATGCACTTTTGATGAATTATTTAATGAAAAACAATTTTGTGGTAGGTATAACAGCGTTAGAAATTGGCACTAGTCCTATAGTCCTTACCAAACTGCCCTATAGTAAAGGTATCCTAAGGACGAGTAGAAATTGGCTCATTTTAATTGTTTTGCTTTATATTATCATTATAAGGACTAGTGGACAAAAACTGTTAGTTTCTAACCCTGTATAATTGCTGATACCCTGATACCTAAGAAACCTGGATAAATGAGAACCAGATTTTCAAAAATAGAGCTCTAGGAACAAATGAAAACAGGTACAGAAATGTCTCACGAAATGATTGTTTACTTGATATTGCAGGTTCAGCATTGAGATGTGAACTCTTCGTGTGAGAAGGGACTAATCAGAGGCAGTCAAGAGTGTTCGAAGGAGAGATCTGAAAACGTGGACAACAAATACTCATATATAGCCATTGAAATAACCAAATTCATGACTCGCAGGGTTTTCCCTGCCCACACAATCTAGCAGTCATCATGACTTCCAAACAGTTTTGTTGTGAGTCAAGTAGAAAGTTTGGAAGTTGTGTATAGCTTGTGAGTGACACTTGATAGGTTATTGGTATTTGTACAAGGACACTTCTCAAAACAGCTATGGCATTCAAACCCTCACAAATGAGGATTATTTACACTTTGTTTGCATCCAATGTGCTGGACTCCAAAATCAGGACTAATCCTGTTCATGGAGATGTGTTGGTGGATAAGCATGCTGCTCTTTGTCTGAAGTTTGGAGAGGGGATTGCTGAATAGGAACAGCAAGCCACCATCCTCAATGCAAACTTGTCACACTAGCTTCCTCCATCACCCGAATACATAGTGCCTCTTGTGTAGTAACCATGACAACTCCTTCAGCCAGCTAATCGAGCAAAGGACAGGCGGAAAGCCAGTTGAGCGTGTTACAAAAACTAATGTTTCTAGCTTGACAACGTGCGCTCTACAGTAGACTCAAGGAATGATGGAGTTTCTAGTGTATACAAGACTGACACTGGCAAGACACAAGTACTGAGGCTAGTAGGAACCACCACTTGTACTATGATATAGTTATATGTGTAGTTGTGTAGTCAACTTTGATGAGTAAAATATCAAACATTATTAGAGGCAGAACAAAGTCTTAGCACTTCATCTTACACATGTGACTTGTACCCTATCCTATTTCTGTGAATAAATATATGTTAAAGCCAATCAATCCAAATGTACATTGTTCTTCAGTTCCTTAAAAACACTGGTGAATCTGACTTTGGAGGGACCCTGGCTGGCATACTGGTTAAAGTGTTCGATCTCCCTAGCTCTGAAGACTTTGATTCCTCCATAGATACAATGTGTGAAGCCTGTTTTATCTGTTCCGCCATGATGTGGCTGGGATATTGATAAAAGCAGAGTAAAACCATACACACTGACTGGTGACCAGTTCCAAGGATCCATTGCGTAGTGTTGAGAGGATGGCCACTCAAGAATACCTAACTCTAGATTCTCCACTGTTACTGTGATTGTTCTGTTAGCACCAATAGTTTGTTTGTTGTTTAACACTGCACTCAGCAATATTCCAGCTATATGATGGCAGTCTGTAAATAATTGAGTCTGGACCCGACAATCCAGTGATTGACATCATGAGCATCGATCTATGCAATTTGGATACGATGACATGCATCAACCAAGTCAGCGAGCCCGACCACCTGATCCCGTTAGTCGCCTCTTACGAAAAGCATATTCGCCTTTACGGTAAGCATGGGTTGCTGAAGACCTATTCCACCCCGGATCTTCACGGCTCGTTAGCACCAATAGGTGCGATTGGGTAGCCTAATGGTTCGCTCATCATAGGGATGACACGGGTTCGATTTACCACATGGGTACAATGTGTGAAGCCCATTTCTGGTGTCCCCCGCTGTGATATTGCTGGACTATTGCTAAAAGCTAGTAAAACCGTACTCACTTACTTACTGTTGGCACCAATAGGATGCTTATGAGTTTCACAAGAGTTGTCATCCATCTGCCTCACTTCAGGTGTTCCCCTCTATTAGGCCTACACACCCTTGGATTGCCACAGTTAAAAGGTTAAATGTGAAACATTAATAAGCTTAATATCAGTGTAAACTAAGGATTGGTTGGTTTGTTGTTTAACGCAGCACCCAGCAATATTCCAGCTATTTGACGGTGGTCTGTAAATAATCGAGTCTGGATCAGACAATCCAGTGATTAATATCATGAGCATCGATCCACGCATTTGGGATCGATGACATGCATCAACCAAGTCAGCGAGCCTGACCACCCGATCCCGTTAGTCGCCTTTTACAACAAGCAGAGTCCCCTTTTACCGCAAGCATGAGTTGCTGAAAACCTATTCTACCCCAGAATCTTCACAGGTCGTAAACTAAGGAACTTCTGTTCTTCTATTAAGTAGACAGCACAAGTTACAGGGTTCTGTGTTGCAGAACAGTTGCCTCAATAAGTTGGGTTAATAATTATTTTGGGGGGTAAAACCTTGAGCAAGTTTTTCAGCACTTTCTGGAACAAATTGATATGTTTTGCGAAAAAAAAGTTCCCTGATTTTCAAGTGGTGGGTTGCTGGGAAACTCAAAATCAACCAGCTCACATCAATGGGAGACCACAATCAACCAGCTCACATTATGAGCTCACAGTCACAGCCAACATTACTGTCGGCTCTGGGCTACTGGGAACCTAATCTATCTATCTAATCTAACACAAATGACTCCCTTAGCGCTTTTGTTAATACTGAACACATTATAGTAACATTTTATGTAACATTTATATTTATTCCTGAGTCTTTTTAGGCAGTCGGTTTTCATGACACACACTTTTGGAATGAACATGAACAGGAAAGACCTACTCACATCAGCTGTGGAGGCAGGTGTAGGAGGCCCAGCTCAATCCGGGCTCAAATCTCTGTCAGAGTGTTTTGAGCCTAGGCTAAGATCACTTCACCCTCGTGGGCTCAAATCACTCTCTTTAGTGTGTCCATGGTTGCTTTTAAGTTCTTGTATGCTTGTCTATATACATTTTACACTCTATTGGAGGTATATGTGGTTGGTAACGTTAGGTGTGATGCTTCTTGAATGACTACAATACAAACCTGTATATTATCTTCATAAGTAAGGATAGGATTTATGGATGAACAAATTTATCGAAGATCGTATCACAACAAACTTAGAGAACAAGACTAGGTAGACATTAGAAGTATCTCCATTCGGAATGTACTCTTCGTACTCGAAGACAGTACTGCTGGAACCTATATAATATTCAAATTATTTGGACCGACGAAGATCTAGTGTAGAACAGGTCTTCAGCAGCCCATGCTTGCCGTAAAAGGCGACTATATGCTTGTGAAAGGCGACAAACGGGATCGGGTGGTCAATCACTGGATTATCTGGTCCAGACTCGATTATTTACAGACGGCCGTCATGTAGCTGGAATATTGCTGAGAGCAGCGTTAAAGACAAACAAACAAAATGATATTGATTTATTTTAAACAGCAATCGCTTTTAAGCAACTGGTATGCCAGGGATTGCCAACGCATGCTTATATAACTTTATGCAGCTATACTGTGTCATTTTAGTTATATTTACACTTCTTGACCGCACTCACCGGACATTCCACTTTTCTTGGTTTTTGTAAGAATTATATTAATCTTGCCTAAATCACATGTAAAATGTACAATTGCCAACATCTGTTCACAGACAGAAGTCAGTTCTTTATAATAATTTGGACTGTTTTGATATGATTGGATGTTCGGCAATGAATAAACACCATATTCACGATCGTTTTTATATTTCGAAACAATATGTAATTTTAGTTTACTAAAAATATATTTTATATACGTGCGCATACCTTTAGTTAAACGTGGATCAGCAGAAGATCGAAACTTCAGACGGCACAAGGTAAAGGGTAAACAGGACAAATGTATGTTATGTAAAGAACATTGAGTGTTCAATTATAATATCCTCTGGAAGATAGGGAAGCAGAATAGTGTAAAAATGTAGGGTTGATCGGAGCCCAACGGGGAGTGAGTGAGTGTTCTGAGCCTAGTAGATGGGAGATGCCAAAGTCAGGCTCAAATCACTCTAAGATAGTAATCTGAAGGAATATATTTGAGCTTGCTTCACCGGCTGAATGTCATTGTAGTGAGTGAGTGAGTGAGTGAGTTGGGTTTAACGCCGCTTTTAACAGTATTCCAGTTATATCACGGCGTGTCAGCTTAATGTGGGAGGAAAGCCCGAAGTGATGCAGGTCTCAGACGTTTACCACTTCGGTGAAACCCACGAGCACGGGTATGGTGCTGACAAACCTTGAAACATAATCGGGTTGAACCGGGATTCGAACCCACAATCACAGGTTTCTGGCGTGCCCAAGGGACGCAACTCTGCACAGCGAATCGCTGCGCCTCAGAAGACTGGGCCACCCGTGCCGCCGCATGTCATTGTATACCTCGATGGATTGGTTCAGTGTTCGCACTATCATGCATTCACTGGTTTGTTTATAACGTCCCTACTCACTCACTCTGCGCACTCACTTTCACGCCACGTGTTGCAAAAGCCATGTTTCAAGTTGCAAGACATGTTTATGTAAATATTCTAGGATAAAATAAATCAGTTGACACGGTACAAGTTATGTTTGTTTTGTTTGTTCGTTGATTAACACCGCACTCAGCAATATTCCAGCTATATGACGGCGGTCTGTAAATAATAGAGTCTGGACCAGACAGTCCAGTGATTGATATCATGAGCATCGATCCACGCAATTGGGATACTTTGATGTGCACCAACCAAATCAGCGAGCCTGACCACGCCTCTTACGAAAAACATGGTTGCTGAAGGTCAGTTGTAACCCGGGTCTTCACGGGTATGCAAGTTATCGTGCAAGTTATGCGCGACAACTTATAGGAAAGAGACGAAACAAGGTAAATATCTTGTTATGTTCATGAAATATTTCTCGATCATAAAATATAAAAGTGACAAACACTGGGCATATATATTTGGCTGTCAAAGCTGTTTTCACGAGTCTTATGAAAAACGTAAATTCAGTTTGTGTTTTATCACGGTCTGCCTATCTAAATGGAAGTTTAACATATTCACATGGCAGGGAGACCAGCCGAACATTATCATGATATTTTTGCTTGCGTGCGGACTGGCTCCAGTTCGTCCATGGTGTTCCCTCGTTTCCGTGATGCCATCCATTGTTCTCGATGTCAGTCGTTCTCTTCTCGCGCGCGTATATGTTTTTGTATAAAAGGGACTGCGGTTATACATATAGAATACTAAACGAGCTCCCGTTTAATACCAATTTTATGAAACGAACGAATAGTTCTTGTATCCGACGAGCGAAAGCGAGTCAGGTACCAGAACTGTTCACGAGTTGCATTAAATTGGTACTACACGGGGGCGAGTTTAGTATTTTATTTATTACTTGCCGTTTAAAACCTTTTTTTAGAATTTCAATGTCGTGTGTGAATATAGGCAGACATCTACGCGATCCACAGCATAATCCAAATGAGTTTAACAAAACAATACTTCTAAAACGTCTAAAGTTGACACGTATTAATTTAATACCATACAACGGCCCACCTTAAGAGTTAAGGGGTTCCTTTCCAGAAAGTTATCGTAGCGCTAAGGTTATCAATAACTCCCATATACCTAGACCTACAAGTGTCGTGGCGCTACGATCGCCTTGTGGAGCGGGGTCCTGCACCACAAAGTTTACAACACGTCACAATACCCTATTACGTAATTAGTGAAATTTTGTTGCAAGATCCATCGGCGAAACAATGCCATGTGACGTCAGCCTAGCAACAAGGTTGCTGGGGTCATTGAGTGTGCATAAGCTCCTTTCAGTGATCTATTATCTCTATACGCAATGTCGTTGAATAAGCCCAGGGATGTTGAGAGTTTTTAATATTTGTTCATGAAACTTGTTCCCCAGTACATTAACACGCGTTTTGGTATTACACAATGTGTAATACAGCTGTATGTTTATTAAACGGGTGATCTCTTCACGGGCAAGTAATAAATACAGATTATTTTACGAGCATGTTTGTCACACTGGTTTCACGAAACGAGTGCCAGAATTACACGAGTTGCGAAAAAGCAGTATGACACACATGTGAGTGTAATAATTTCTTTATTACCCATTATTTCTTAATCCTTTTGTGCTCCCATTTACAACAAATACCATGATCACCACTGCTGTCCTAGAAAACCACAATTTGTCGAATGACGTCAACAGTCTGAAGTATGACATCGTTTCTAGTGTGACGTCATTGCGCCCTTACGTCACAATAAACAATACACCGATGCGCGATTTTTATGAACTCGGTTATTTCTAACCCTGAGGGAAATAAACAGAATAACTTACTCGTAACTCGGAAACATCGATTGAAAAAGTCCCTCATACCTTAATGTTGAAAGTCCCGCCAATAAATAAATATATTAAATTCCATACAATTGACCAGAGACAATAAACTCGGTCCACTTTTTGAATTCTGGTACAGATAATATGTAAGTTCGTTGAATATTTAATATAAATGTCTTCCAAATGTTGTATTTATTGTGACATATCAACTAACAATACTCGTACAATAACAAATGATATATTATGTAAATATGCGTTATAGATTAGTTTCATTACCCGATTATTATTACTCGATATTTATTTACTATTATTGCAACAAATCAAGTCTAACCAAGCTCTGTCTCCGATACAACTGTTTGCGCCATCGAAGAATTAATATACCATATTGTGGTAACAGTGTTGACTGAAAACACTTTTGAAAGAACTCTATCTTCTCTTATTTGCACAGGGTTTTCCCCTAATACCATAACGGTAACACACGCCTCCGCTGGCTGTACAGGAACCAATGAACAGAGAAAACATATTCAATGCGACCCTGCTTTACCGGAAGTAGTCTTTACTGTTATTGTTGGATTTGTTATTCTTTTCTAACGTCAGTTTGAAGTCATAATACATTAAATGGCAACCTGAATGCAGACATTAGCCCAATTAATATGTCGATCAAGATTGGAACATTTGGTTAATTAGACCCAATGTCTCTTTCGCGATGGAAAACGTGAGAAGACAACATAGTTTACTTATAGGCCTATATGTACATTAGACCAGCATCACGTACGAACGAGTAAATCCCATATGCGGCTACTTGGATGGTAAGGTAAGTAACGGGGTCGGATGGAAATATATGCATATTTTGTTGCACACACATCAGGGTTAGGTCAGCTCCAGCTATGTTTTCTTCGGGTCGGGATAAGCTAAGATCGGTTCACTCCAGGTTTGTCTATCTTGAGTGTTATCAGCTGATTATTGTATAATTTGGTAAACAATATAAGCATGTATCTGTGTTTGAGGGTATCTAATACCATCTATATTGGGTGTAGGCTAAAACGGCGCCGAGTTCGCGAAAACGGTTACTGATTATCAAGCTAAATAAAAGGCACTTGAATATTTTCACCAACAATTAGGTTAATAAAAACTAGATATATAGGCCTGTCTAAAAGAATATTATAAGTGTCGCAAAATATGTATTTTTATGCGGGTCTCTTTGATCCTTAGGGTTAATATATTAGTTGTGTTAGGATAGGTTACCCTCAACTCTACCCTTGTATCATGGTGAATATATTCTATAGCCATGATAACGTCTCCATTTATTTTAGTTTGTTTGTTGTTTAACGCCATACTCAACAATGTTCCAGCTATATGATAGTTGTCTTCAAATAATCAAGTCTGGACCAGACAATTCAGTGATTGATAACATGAGCATCTTGGGATATGATGACATGCAACCATGTCAGCGAGCCTGACCATCCAACTCTGTTAATCGCCTCTTACGACAAGCATAGTCGCCTCTTATGACAAGCATGGGTTGCTGAGGACTTATTCTAGCCTAGATCTTCACAGGTCTTACGTTCTTTTACAGTCAGTCAACTCCCTTGCCTCAGGAAGATGATGTGACTAATAAATTTTGATTGATTTAATGACATTCTTACATTTTGTTAATTTTTAGTTGCCATGGAGACTGAGATAAAGCAGGAAGATGTGGAAGAAGACAGACCCTTTAAGTCCCGAGTGGCGTCCAACACATCTGATGGTGCTCAGGTAACATCTGTCAAACCTCTAGAGCTGGAGTGGCATATTGATAATGCAGTGCGATGCCAATGTACCTACTGCTGATACACTATGTGTTCCTTAAGGCATCGATCGCCTCTGTGGTCTAGTGGTAGAGCATCTGCCCGGAGAGCGGAAGGTCTGGGGTTCGATCCCTGGCCGCGTCATACCAAAAGACGTTAATAGATGGTACTTGTTGTTACCCTGTCTGGCGCTCGGCATTAAGGGACTAAAACAAGGACTGGTCGGCTCTGAGTCAGTATACTGTGTCTGAGTGGGGTATTCATGTTAAACTGCGGCATGGTATCTCAGTGGGCTAGCACTATAAATCGGCATCAGTCCGGACTAATACAAGAAGGCTTTATCATGTTTATAGCCGAGTCTGTTTCTCTGGTGTTTTAAAGGCATCCTAAGATCTTGTAGAACTTCAGGCATTTTAGAGGGCGATGTTATACATGCTATATGTTGTCAGTGGGCTAGTATAGGAATTAGTTCAGTTGCATCCCTGCTTTATTTAGGGCTTGTTATCGAGATAGATCTTAGAGATTGATAATGGATAACTTAATATCCATCAATTATCAATAAATATTGGCAGTGAGGTGAAGTGAAATTGGGTTGAAGGTCGCGTCCAAGATTATTGCAGTTATATAGACATGTTTGAGTGTGTGTGTGTGGCTAATTGATGCCAGTGGCAGACGTAACGATGAATATGCTTTTAGAAAATACTACATGTAAGTTTCTGAAAAATATGTACATTGGAGAAAATCACTGTCAAAAACAGAACATTTTGACCAATTTTTGCACATTTTTCTCCCAATTTGACCGTTTGTTATTTTTTTTATGACATTTGTTTCATCTCATACGATAACTAGTATAATGATCTATAACTGTACATAATTTTGTTTTATTATTTTCATTAATAACACTTGTAGAGACATTTTTGTGCAAAGTACAGAAATCCATGGCCCGCTGACAGACAGTCACGCATACGAGTGACCTCGCTCAGGTGGTCACTTGTACACAAGACGGGAGACCCATCCCACGTATACGTTACGTCCTCTACTGCTCACTCATATGGTTCACTGCTCAAGCCATCCACCTCCAGTCCAGCTGCCTTAAAGCTGTAATATTACACACAGGTCACAGCAGTATGTACAGATGTACTCACGGATCCATTTCCTCCAAATAATCGGGGCGGTTGGGAAGCCTAGTGGTTTAAGCGTTCGCTCGTCACGCCGAAGACCCGGGTTCGATTCCCGACATGGGTACAATGTGTGAAGCCCATTTCTGGTGTTCCCCGCCGTGATATTGCTGGAATATTGCTAAAAGCGGCATAAAACCATACTCACTCACTCACTCACTCCAAATAATCAATGCTCCTTTCAGATGACAAGGAAAGACGGTCACGGGAAGCTTGCTGAGGTAGACGACTTTATTGTTGTGAAGACGGAAAACGAGGACATAAGGATAAGCAGAGAAGTGGAACAAGAATCTGGAGAATCTGGCGATGGATCAAACCAGGTGAGTGACAGTGAAGCAGGGCCTTGTTCCTTAAAGCGATCTTAGTGCTAAGATGACTATAACTCACATACTGTAGCAGAGCCTTACTGTAGTTGTAGCACTAACTCAGCTTTGTGGAACGGGGCCCAGGGATATCACTTGTTGGTGGGTTGTTGTAGCAGGGCAGCACTAGCCTTTCGGCCATTCAGTGCTTTTACACATGAATGTCAAACTAAGGCTGTGTTACCATGGTGATCTCTATTATAGGTTGTAGCAGGATCACAAGGTGTACATGGGGTTTTATGCTTCCCGTGTTAGGATTTCTACCACAAGCTTTTCGATCGAACTGAGGTTAACTTGTGCTATGTCACGTGACTTCCACTGACTCGGTAAAATTGTTGCATTGAAGCAGGATATAAGGGATTTATTCGCCTCTCAGAACCCCTGCATTGGGGGTACCGACTGAGCTTTTCTGGTTTCAGTGTGGGTAGCTTGGGCATCAATGGCACCAGCGGGGATCAGTCAGTGCTCAGCACATTTATGAGGGCCCAGTCGTCATCTCCGGCTGACAAGGCGGACAAGGCATCCTCTGAGTCAGAGTCTGATGTAGACTAGTTTGACTATGTACCAGGAGTATTTTGATTATGTGCAATGAGTACTTTGACTATGTGCAATGAGTACTTTGAGTATGTGCCAGGACTACCTTTACGGCGTGGCAGAGTTACTTTTATTGCTTTGTTCCAGGACTAATTTGACTCTGTGGCAGGGTACTTTTATTACTGTATTTATTACTATGTTACAGTATGTGTGGTATGTGTATGATGTATGATTTGGTATGATAATATAATTTATGATGTGATATTTAATAAAGTGGTCCCATGGTATGGCCTTGAATCTTGATTTATATCTTGGTCTTTATTCTTCCCTAATAAACTTAATTTTATACCTTTGATAATATGTAATAAAGTAGAAAAAAACCACAATAAAGTAATAGAGTAAATAAGACACATAAAAATACTTGTGTGTCTTATTAACTCTATTACTTTATTCTTTCACTTTAAAGACACAGGGAAGCATCACAATAAATAAGGAAACAGAAATTTAGAAAACACAAAAAAAAGAACCAGAAATTTGGCACTTAATACTCGCAATGGAAATTTTCCTTTGTAAGTATTAAGTGCCAAATTTCTGGGTTTACCTTTTTTAATTTCTCGTTCATTTATTGCTGTCTGTTTCTTTGTTTATTGTGGGATAAAAAGCTTGTGTTACGCCGCTTTTTAATACTTTATGTTACAAGTAGGATCACATGGTTCATTTCTTCACAGGTTCTTATTAAGGTCACATGTTATGGCTCTAAAGTTCACTTGATGGTCCAATTATAATGTTTCACCAGTTAACAGCTGCCTCCTGCCATGGCACGCTGCCGGGCATCACTGTTGTAATAGTGTTTCAGGTGTATCCGGAGCTCTCTGCTGGCTCGGTTCTCCCGGGGGGCACGAGGTAGCCTGCATCTCTCCATATCCCTGGGACAATCACACCGTCCACCTGCTTCCCATCAGCCTGCTGCTCTCCGTCCGCCTGCTGCTCCCCGTCTGCCTGCATCCCTCCATATCCCTGGGACAATCACACCGTCCGCCTGCTCCCCGTCCGCCTGCTCTCCGTCCGCCTGCTCTCCGTCCGCCTGCTTCCCATCAGCCTGCTGCTCTCCGTCCGCCTGCTGCTCCCCGCCTGCCTGCTGCTCCCCGTCCGCCTGCATCCCTCCATATCCCTGCGACAATCACACCGTCCGCCTGCTCCCCGTCCGCCTGCTCCCCGTCCGCCTGCTCTCCGTCCGCCTGCTTCCCGTCAGCCTGCTGCTCTCCGTCCGCCTGCTGCTCCCTGTCCGCCTGCATCCCTCCATATCCCTGGGACAATCACACCGTCCGCCTGCTCTCCATCCGCCTGCTTCCCGTCAGCCTGCTGCTCTCCGTCCGCCTGCTGCTCCCCGTCCGCCTGCTGCTCCCTGTCCGCCTGCATCCCTCCATATCCCTGGGACAATCACACCGTCCGCCTGCTCTCCATCCGCCTGCTGCTCTCAGCCGTTGAGGAACATCCAGCGCCACCTGTATATAACTTTCTCTACAATCTATATGGCAGATATGAGAGATAATTTACATATGAAAAAAAATGGTATATATACCCGTTCCACGCAGGGACAGACTGCCACGGGGGCTGTATGGATGGCAAGCATTGCCCACAGGGTGTGCTACAGACCGCAAGGCCATCATACGGGCGCTGCAGGGCCACCTTCAGACTGATCTAGGGCGCCTGTGGAATTCCTGCGGCCGCCTCAATTTTTGGGGGTCCGCAAAAGTCAGTTGTAATTCATAAGACCCTAGGTCAGCCGCATGGCAAACGCAAGGCCACCGTACGCCCGACGTATGGTCGCCGTGGAACTGCTCTACGGCATGGCCATGGTGTGTCTAATTGCAACGGCGAACCTAAAAATTAAAAAAGTTATAACTCTGCGCTATAATCCCACGGTGACCCCTGTAAAATATAGGGAAACGCTCTAGTCGTCCACCGCAGGTATCTCTCGTTTTCGGGGGGCTACAGCCGCTGTATCCTAGCCGTAGAGCAAATGTGACTGAGGCATAAGTTATGATAAATGATTTTATTGTGTTACAGATACACTGATACTATAAACATTGTGACAATTCAGGGAATTATATTGGAAGTTTATGAAAGTTGTGACCATCTTCCAAACTCACAGCTCAAACTTTATTCTTCACAGTCACAGGGGGCTTCAGCGAGTGGAGATTCCGGACACATCCCCTCAGACGTGAACGTGATTAGAGCTTCGGACCTTCCCAGTGAGAGGTTCTACCACAATGGAAAGGAGCTGGACCTTGGAGATGTACTGGTCAGTAGCCTTGAAATAAGTCAACCGCCTCCGTGATATTGTAGATAGAGCATCTGCCCAGAGAACAGAAAGTCAGTTGTTAGATCCCAGGCTGTGCCATACTAAATGACGTTAAATAATGGTACTTGTTGTTACCCTGCCTGATGCTTCATTACTTTCAGCTCGGAGTCGGCATACTAATGGCATATGGCATTAATTAAAAAAAATGTTTCAAGTGAGCATAGAAAATATATTTTCTCTAAACCAACCTACTTTTGAGTGGATGGTGTCACAAATATTTTTCACTATTCACATGTTGTCACTTCAGTAGTCAAGGTAGTAAGCTAGATGATTGAATATTATTGCAGTATGAGTGTTAGTTTGGTCTGAATCCATATTTTGTGATTCCGGTATGATGGCTGCAGTAGGAATGACCTTCATTCCTTGTTCTCCAAGCCTGAGTATTATGTCTCCCCCAGAATGGAGGAAGACATATTGTTTTTTGCACGGTTACCGTCGGCGTCGGCGTCGGCGTCGGCGTCGGCGTTCCAACCGTTTCCGGACCATAACTCAGAAACCGTTTAATATTTTTTTGCGAAACTTTGTATACACATTAACCCAGCACTGAAGTGGTGCCTTTTGCTATTTAGAGATTTTTGACATTTTTATTTTTTCTCGTTTCCATGGAGATAACTTGAACATAGACTCTGAATGGGGGTAAGCTTGGTTTCCGGACCATAACTCGGAAACCGTTTAATATTTTTTCGCGAAACTTTGTATACACATTAACCCAGCACTGAAGTGGTGCCATTTGCTATTTAGAGATTTTTGACATTTTTATTTTTTCTCGTTTCCATGGAGATAAGTTGAACAAAGCTCTGAATGGGGGTAAGCTTTGTTTCCTGACCATAACTCAGAAACCGTTTAATATTTTTTCGCGAAACTTTGTATACACATTAACCCAGCACTGAAGTGGTGCCCATTAGTTGTTTGAAATTTCTAGGAGTTCCATTTTTGTCTCTGTTATTTAGTAATGGAGGGTGGGAATGAAGAGATGGTGTTTAACGTGAAGTAAACGAATGAATGGGGGTTAGGGGAGTGGGGGGAGACATATGTTTTTACGAGTAAAAACACTTTCTAGTTTTGTGTTGTTGTTGGTTTGTTGTTTAACGCCGCACTCAGCAATATTCCAGCTATATGACGGCGGTCTGTAAATAATCGAGTCTGGACCAGACAATCCAGTGATTGATATCATGAGCCTGTCCACCCGATCCCGTAAGTCGCCTTTTACGACAAGCATAATCATCTTTTACGGCAAGCATGGGTTGCTGAAGACCTATTCTACCCCGGAATCTTCATGGGTCGCGTATCTTGTGAATGAAAGTTATAACAAGTGAGGAAAACTAGATGAAAGCAGGTGAAATGGGTGTTTCTATTCTTTCAGTTTCATTTGTTTTCTAGCTAGTAGTTTTGTAAGAATCTCCGTATCTTGTATGAAATGTTTGAAGTATTCATACTCTTTCTATTACTTCGGGAAATGAGATGATGAGATGATGAGAGAGTATTGGATCAAATCACTATGTTTTTATTTCAGACAACCATGACAGGCCAACAAGAAAGTACGGATGTCTCGGAGGGGGAAGGTGAAGAAGAGGAGGAGATGGAAGTTGAGGAGGAGGAGGGGGAGGAAGAAATTGAGAAAGATGATGACGAGCATGATGATGATGATGAAGAAGAAGGGGAAGGAGTAGAGTCTTGTGGAAAGAAGAAGAGAGTCGGAAAAGCAGCAAAGAAATGGAAGGTAAAGCATTGAAGGGAGCTGAAATGATTAATGGGAAGAATAGAAGAATGGTTAGTAATAAATCAGTGTCATCTGAATCTCAAAAGACACATACTCTCAGCAAGAGCAGAAAATTGATGGGAGAACATAAGTTGTTCATGAGGGAAAAAAATTGTAATTTCCTACATCTTTCTCCATCAATAGATGCATCAAACTTAGCAGTTTGGCGGTCGGGTAGCCTGGTGGTTAAAGCATCGTCACGCCAAAGACCAGGGTTCGATTCCCAACATGGGTACAATGTGTGAAGCCCATTTCTGGTGTCCCCTTGCCGTGATATTGCTGGAATATTGCTAAAAGCGGCGTAAAACCATACTCACTCACACTCAGTTTGTATTCACTGACACATTGTGACATTCATGTGTGACCCATGGATAGGATACAAGGATAACATTTTGCATACATCTTTAAGTAAGAACTTTGAAGTTTAAAAAAACAGCATCGTGAAGGAATATTTGACAGAGTTATGGCCCTTGTTTCATCTTTTTGGACATGATGCCTAGTACTGACAATAGGGTAACATTTTAAGATGGCATTTTAAGGAAGTTTTGCCATATTGTGAACAGTAAAAAACAGTTCCATCAACAGTTTCTTCTCCTTCTCTGAGGCAGAGTTTCATGCCATGGACAAAAAAGAAAAATTTTCATCAATGAAATTATTTGTTTTTATGACCTGCCAGAGAACAGGGTTTATTGCAGTCCCCTACCAGCATGCGGTTTCAGTTCCATAAATAGATACAGACCTTTTTGAATGGAAAATATTGATCTTAGTAGTTTATTTATTTATTTTTATTATTATGATGATGATGATGATGATGATGATGATGCCTGGTTGACTGGTCAGTCAACTTACTTGTGAGAAATATAGGTGTGCAAGTTGACAAGGATACTTGCGAAAATTACGCAGGGTGTTGTTGTACTATTTTTTCTGGTGTGCCAAAACTAATTGGGTTATGGTGATTTATTTTTTTGTATTTTACACAAATACACAGCTTATTTGTAGCTCTGATGAGTACAGTCCTGTCACAATCCTTTATGATCTATTTACAGACGTCTTCAAGCTTCGATCCCAAACCTCAGGAACAACGCTTCAACATGGGTGGTCTCACCATGAAGTATCTGACAGATTCCCAAAGGAAGATTGTAGAGAGGTTGGTAGAGAGCAATATTAATGTCTTCAGGACAATAACATCGTCGGTTGAGCAACGGGAGAAGAAGATGTCACTGTGGCGAACTATAGCCAGAGAGGTGAACTGTGAACCCAGCAGAAGGGAGATAACTCCAGAGGAACTCGTGACAATATGGAGTAAACATTTGTTTCTGAAACATGTGTATTCCAGGAAAAGTCTAATAGTGACCAAGGAATCTGATGCTAGAGGAAATGGTGGCCCCACGCAGGTCTTCAAGACACTCATTGCTAAAAGAGGAGCACCGCAGAAGAACAAGAAGAACATGGTAGGCATTTCTCTTGACATGATTGACCGCCTCCGTGGAGAGTGGAAGGTCGGGGGATTGATCCCCAGCTGCATCATACCAAAAGTCATTAAAAGTGGTACTTATTGTTACCCTGCCTGGCGCTCCGCATTAAGGGCTAAAACAATGACTGGTCGGCTCGGAGGCAGTATACTGTGTCTGAGTGGGTAGACCATGTTAAACTGTTACATATCTCAGTGGGATAGCACTATCAAAATCAGCATTAGTCCGAACTAGTACATGCAGCCACACACACACGCACACATGCATAAATGTCGCTACACAAGTGCAATAATCTTGAACGCGACGTTAAACCCATTTTCACCTCACCCCATGTTCCATTTTCACCTCACCCCATTTTCACCTCATCTTACTGGGGCATACTGATGCATGCTAGTGTCTCCATTTCAAAATGGGGTGCTGGTGTAGCCTAGTTGCTAAAGCATTCACTCGTCACGCCGAAGACCTGAGTTCGATTCCCAACATGCCTTTTCTGGTGTCCCCTGCCGTGATATTGCAGGAATATTACTGAAAGTGGCATAAAACCCATCTGATTATCATCCAATATAATTTAAAGTATTAGGTCAAATTTGTTATAAGGTAGGAACTTTATATGACCATAATTATCATGTTTATTGTAATTTAGTCAGGCTATGCACTGTTATAATATATGAATGAACACAGACCACGGCCGTGACCCGTGAAGATCCAGGGTAGAATAGGTCTTCAGCAACCCATGCTTGCCATAAAAGGGGACTATGCTTGTCGTAAGAGGCAACTAATGGGATCAAGTGGTCAGGCTTGCTGACTTGGTTGATGCATGTCATCGATCCCAATTGCTCAATCTCTGAATTGTCTGGTCCAGACTCGATTATTTACAGACCGCCGTCAGATAGCTGGAATATTGCTGAGTGCGTTAAACAACAACAAACCAAACCAAACCATCCCTGTCCTACAAGGTTTTTGCCCTGGTGGGATGGGAGATTGCTCAAAACATCAGTCACTGGATTGTCTGGTCCAGACTCAATTCCTTTCAGGCTGCTGGCATATTGTTAACTGAGACAAACTAAACTATCGAGTGACATTACTAACTCAGTAACTCTCCCATGTTTCTCTTGTAGGTTCCCTCTGTACAGGATTCCAGGAAAGGCCCTTCCAGCCAATCACGTGACCTATCTGAGGAAGAGGCGCGGGTATTTGATGAGCAGATCGCACAGTTTAGGAAGGTGTTTACAACACTGCACACCGTCTCGGATCAGAAGCGAAGCGTGAAACTGAAGGAAGTGTGGTCGGAGATCACAATGAAGGTCAATGAGGTCACCAAGGGACCTTGGAGATCAGTCAATGAACTTCAGAGAAGATGGACGATGTCGCTGATCAAGCAGAAGACATCTTTGTCCGTCGGTAAGTACCGTATTCGATGTAATAAGCGCCCCACTCTAATAAGCGGTATTTGCTAATATATTGGCTAGTGAACAATCCTAATTAGCACCCCTTCCGATTGATCAATGTTCACAAGACTTATTTATTAGCATACAATAAGCACTCGTGTGTTATATGCACCCTTCATTATGGGCAATTAAATTCTAGAAAAATATATCTGTCGTACATAAACATTTCAGGCTGTCAGCATAAACCACAAAATTTATCTTTCAACTCTGTTTTTTTCACGAAAGTAATATTCTAATAAGAGCCCCCTATTTTTAATTTCGAGAGCGCCCTGGGCGCTTATTACGTCGATTACGGTAATCTATCACCATTCCAGGACAAAATAGGTCCTCAGTACCTCGCTGTTTTTGTTTTGTTGTTTAACACTGTTATCAGCAATATTCCAGCTTTATGACGGCGGTCTGTAAATAATTGAATCTGGAACAGACAATCCAGTGACTGACATCATGAGCATCTATTGGGTCACAAATGACACCCATCAACTAAGTCAGCTAGCCTGATCCCCCGATCCTGGTAGTTGCCTCTTACAACAAGCAAGGATCTTCACGGGGTTTATGTTGTACAAGCAATCAAATGAGCAATGGGTTGCATTGTTACAATGTGAGATCTGACTGGCTGATCTTACCCTGACGTGTGATCGTTACTAAACAATTGGTTTGCTCAGACTCAATTAATCTCCACTAACTCCATCTTTAAGCTGCATGTGATCACTCCGGTATAACCTTGCATTATTGTGACCTCCCTGTTGGTCACTCATGCTGACTTCATGCAGCCCTCAGGGGCGGTCGGGTAGCCTAGTGGTTGAAGCGTTTGCTCATCACGCTGAAGACCTGGGTTCAATTCCCGACATGGGTACAATGTGTGAAGCCTATTTCTGGTGTCCCCCGCCGTGATATTGCTGGAATATTGCTAAAAGCGGCGTAAAGCCAAACACACTCACTCACTCATTCAGCCCTCAGACTTATGCAAATGATAATGCCCTGGGTGCAGACACAAAGCGATCTCATCGCTAAGGTGATCGTAAGTCCCATACCTTAACATAGACTTACGACAGTCATAGTGCTAAGGTTATGTACAATGGCACCCTGAAAAATAGCTTTACCTATATATTGCATATCACCCTATCATATACCCTATGTTATCATATACCGTATTCGACGTAATAAGCGCCCAGGGCGCTCACTAAAATAAGAAATAGGGGGCTCTTATTAGAATATTATTTTGGTGAAAAACAACAGAGTTGAAAGATAAATTTCGTGGTTTATGCTGACAGCCTGATATGTTTATATTTATATTTTTTCCAGAATTTAATTGCCTATAATTAAGGGTGCATATAACACACGAGTGCGTATTATACGCGAATAAATAAATCTTGTGAACATTGATCAATCCGAAGGGGTGCTAATTGGGATTGTTTACTAGTCAATATGTTAGCAAATATCGCCGTGGGCGTTTATTAGAGCGGGGCGCTTATTACATCGAATACGGTACCTATCATTATTTTACCTTCTTTGAGTGGCCCTCGGATTGTTAGAATCTACACCGAAACGTCGCCCAATTGTAATGAAGAAGTTGCTCATCCATAACAATTTTGTCTTACCTAATTATTTTACCTCTATTAAGAATCTTGCAATTCCATTGGTTAATCCGTACCACGTGACGAAACAATACATTTCAATGGAGATCCTTAAATCATGTGACCAACACTGACCTTGAATATTGACCTGTCAAGTGATGAATATTGACTCATCTGCTGGAAAACAAGATGGTGTCCGGTACAAACATTTCATGGTTGGCAGCTAAAGTATTGTAAACAGAGGATGGTTTCAAGACTTCAGAAACTTTAAAGTGAATTTCGGTATTATGAAACTAATGATTACTCTTGACGAGGTTGATATGCGAAAACAAGGACCCTCGGACCCGCCCCTTCAGCGGTCCGGTCAGATCACCTCAAGGAGCGGGTCCTCAGGTCGATGTTTTTGCATATTGACCTCGTCCAGAGTAATTATTTGTAAAATGATGTGAGGCACTTTGCCATGCAATAGAGCCAACATGGAGACGGTCATATCACAGGTCATTCCAACCCTTACTGGGCTGATGTGACTTGTCCATGCATTTTGAACTGGGCAATCGATATCAGCCTGGGTGGTAAGAAGTTGGAGTTACGTCCCTTAGTGCGTCATCTGCTCGTCTACTCGGCTAGTTTTCCCCAGGACAATGTCTTCCAAACAGTGTGAAAATGTATTGCATTCACTTGCAAGTGAATACAATTTTACAATTTGATGTAATATTATATAATAAAAAGGTTACTATATTTCAATTTTCATATCAGCCTTTCTTGACAACTGTTTCAGGATCTGTACCGAAACCAAGCCTTTACAGTAATTAAAGAAGTTGTCATCCATAAATTGTCTCTACTAAGTTTTCGTATCACATATCAACCCTCGACCCCCATATCTCCCCTCTAGTTGATATGGGTATGATATGAAACTGCCAAATACATATATACCAACCTCTAAATATGGCCTTTTGTTCCAGGTCGGCAGGTGCATCAGCTTGTTGGTAGTGAGAGCAGGGAGGTAAGTAGCCAATCAACAATCAGATGTGGATGAATGGAATACAGTGTCTGTAATAGTAAATAGTGCTGATACTATTGTAACAAATGTTATATTTGGGATAACACTTTCTTAGTAAAGTACAGATTCTTGTACTTTTTGGGGTTGAGTCCCGTCTACATTTTTGAATTGTGACGATAATTTAATAGTAAGAACCATTACAATTTGAAATGTTGTTGTGAAATTTATATATTAGTTACTGACTGAATGTCTGAAAGGGTGACAGAAAAATAAAGAAGAAATTTGTTAATGTGTTTAGTTTGTGTAGGCACTTGTCCACAATGACATGAAGGCTAAACCACTCTTTTCAAGGATGAAGGCAGTAGCTGAGACAGTCACTGATGCATAAAGATGTTTATATAACACTGTAGGCATTTGTCCACAATGACATGAAGGCTATACAACTCTTTTCAAGGATGAAGGCAGTAGCTGAGACAGTCACTGATGCATAAAGATGTTTATATAACACTGTAGGCATTAGTAGACTCTGCCCTCACTGCAGCCACGCTTTCAGTCAGTTTTGATAAAATATTTGTAAAAAGTATTAAGTATGACTTTGAAAGTGTATAAACAATCCAGCTGACGGCGGTATTATTTTCTTTCAATCACATTTATGCCAAGCTCTCTGATTGGTTGATGAGAGTACCATGATACCAATTGCACAACAAATTGTAAGGTTGCAATGGCTGCTCAAAACATGTGTTTTTTTTTGTTTTTTTATATTAAATTTGAGCTTCATCCAGCTGGTCACTCTTTGTCCATTGACTCAACCACTAAGATGGGCTTTCCTCCAGATACCGGCCAAGCTAAATCTGAAATTATGTTCAGCATAACACGCCCCTCCCCCTCCCCCTCCATCTCCCCCTCCCCCTCCCCCTCCCGCTGATTCACTATCTCTGCTCCTGTATCCCAGACATCTGAGACAGCTGATCTGTCGGAGCCTCCTGGAGATGTTCCAATTAAGATCGAGATCGACAACGCGGAGTCGCAACAGAGTGAGATCATCCATGTGGTCAGGAACAGAGATGTGGAAACAGAGACAACCACTGCAACAGGAACAGCACCCACAGCGGGGACGGTGTCAGTACCTCGACGTCATCAGCCACATCACAGGGAGGTGGTTACAGGTAATCGGACTGTTGGGTATTAAAGGAATGCAGCAGACTAAATTATATGTCCCCAGCACCTGTGCTTGTCTTTAAAAGTTACTGTAGATTGAGGTATAGTTTTGAGTGTTTCAGGCTATATAGGGGCGGTCGGGTAGCCCAGTGGTTAAAGCGTTCGCTTGTCACGCCGAAGACCCGGATTCAATTCCTGACATGGGTACAATGTGTGAAGCCCATTTCTGGTGTCCCCCGCCGTGATATTGCTGGAATAATGCTAAAAGCGGCGTAAAACCATACTCACTCACTCACTCACTCACTCACTCAGGCCATATATTTGGACCCCATTGGTAGCGTTGTAGCGAGGGTTCACTGTAGCTAGAATATAGCTGAGTGTGGCATCAAACAAACCTGTATGCCAAGATATACAGTTGATCTATTGGTATGAAAGTTCGAAAATTGTGAATCTTGTGCCATCAAATGATGATAAAGTAGAGACAATTTATGGATATTTTTATGGACATTACTCAGAAGTTAACAGATGATTATTATCATCATCATTATGATGATGTCACACGATTGTTGTTGCAGTTTATTCTGAGCCAGGAACTCACTGGCCATTCTGAATGTGCATTTTGTTCAGGTAAATCCATCTTCCCGAGACAAGGGCGTTAACTGACTATAAAAGTCCAGTTTCTACCCCTGTGCGACTTACTGGAATTATGGATTTTTATTTTGGCCTGGACGGTAATGAGTCTATGCAACGTCCAATCTAATCGCGTAACAAAAATGACATCCGGTTGGTTAATTGCCGTGCAGATTTCGGTCGATTGCAGGATTTGCAAGGCATGTGTACCATCAAGTTAGCGTCAACATATATATTCCAATCTTTTCATGTTTTTAATCAAGGTGCTTACGTGATTCGACGCACTTTGCGATGTAAGACCCATTTAATTATCATAACAATCATGATTATCAATCAGATCGTCTTGACTGAGCACTGCCATTTTGTTTGCAGCAATTGCAAGTGATATGAGAGGTGGAATCTGATTGGTCAATAGGAGGGACATAGAAGGAACATAAGTCCTAGTAGCCACTGGTGGCGCTACGATCGAGCCCAGGAATTCCAGCCTAGTTTGGCAAAGGTGGAAACTGGAATTTTAAAGTCATTTAACTCATTTGCCTCGGGAAGATGAGTAAATCAGACACTGCTATAGGTCATGATAAGTCATCGTGCAGAAATTATATATCAAACAGTCGGAGATATCACTCGACATTGTTGATTCTGTAAGTAGATTCTCATGATTTCTCTGTTCTGTAATGGAGGTGTCCAGTGGGTGTTCACTGCATCTTGATGTTGTGTGTAGGAACAGACTCAGACTCCTCCGGGGAGGGACCGGTCACCGTGAAGGAGGAGCCCCTCGACGACTCCATCAGTCAGCCTGGGATCCCTCATCCCCACAAAGATAACATGGTAAAACAACACTATCTCACTCTCTTTGACACAGTTTGTAGGCTTGTAAACAACACTTACATTGTGAACATGACATTTGGCATAGGAGGCCACCATTTCTTTGCCCAGAAGTGTACTCCCGAAACAGTTTGATTTTTATCGTAGTTTTCCTCCTATGACCAAAACTTCGGATGCGGGTAAAAAATACACATTTATGGAATATGATATAAATCAAGTTCTTATCTGATGTAAGAATATAACTTATTATTTGGGCCCTAATTTTTAAACGTAATACCGTAGCCCACCTTCTCCCATCACAATAACGTGGTTATTCCCACTCATCTTGTACAACAGGGCTCAAAAGGCATGGCAATGCGAGGCAGGGATGTGGCTTACATACAGGAACAAGTGAAGATACATGGAAAGCTGTTTGTGGACGACACAAGCCGAGCGGCTCAGGCTGGTGTGATGAAGGAGATCACCAGGACACTGAACAGGAAGCACAACACCAGCTACACTCGCGAACACGTGACGGCTGTCGCCACAGACTTCATACGTAAACTGTCACATGTCAGTAAACGAAAGCATTCATTGGACAAGGAGCAATCTGCCAAGAGAATCAGGATTCACAAAAGCAAGGATGTTTCAGTAAGTCTGTTTATAGACATTCATCATCATCATCAGTCCTGCAGGGCTTTGTATACTCTACGTTCACGTGAAGATCCGGGGTAGAATAGGTCTTCAGCAACCCATGCTTGCCGTAACAGGCGACTATGCTTGTCGTAGGAGGCGACTAACGGGATCAGGTGGTCAGGCTGGCTGACTTGGTTGATGATGCATGTCATTGTATCCTAATTGCATGGATAGATGCTCATGTTGTTAATCTGAATTGTCTGGTCCAGACTTGATTATTTACAGACCGTTTGATGATGCATGTCATTGTATCCTAATTGCATGGATAGATGCTCATGATGTTAATCTGAATTGTCTGGTCCAGACTTGATTATTTACAGACCGTTATCATATAGCTGGAATATTGCTGAGTGCGTATAAACAAAAAAAACAACCACAATGATTCCTGACACTTTGTTTGCAGGTGACTAAACTTCCTGACAAGTGACAAGCCCTGCGATAGATCATCACTCATTACTGGATATCATGGACAGGAATGGCTTGTCTCTGACTTAGGATCAGGAGTCCTGTCATTCACAGTAGCCTCTGTGAAGTGCCTGGAATCTGGCTGCTGGCCATGTGGATAGCCTGATGTACAAAGACTGTCAGCAGTGGCCACCTTGGAGGATGATGCAGTATGAGGTGGTGTTAGTATTTGAAGAAGCTTCACTGATTGGTAGTGGCCATCTTGGAAGACGAAACCTACCAGTATGACATTGAGTGGAACCATCAAAAAGACGATGCTGTATGTGCCACTATGTGGTGACTTGAGTTTGTAGAGATAGTACTATAAGTGTGCCTGTATGTGGTAACTTGAGTTTGTAGAGAGTACTATAAGTGTGGGTGTATGTGGTGACTTGTTTGAGAAGATACTGCAATCCGAGATTGTGGTCATCTTGAAAGATGCTGCTGTGGTGGCTTCTTTGTGAAATGTTACTGTGATTGTGGACATGAGAAGACATGGAAATGGTGCTCAAAGAGGTGGTTTATCCAGGAAAGCCTACTCTATTTATGTATTGACTTGAGTTTGGAGATAACAATCAGCTATTGTGGCCATCTTGACATTCATCAAGGAGGTCCACAAGGAGGTCCACAAGGAGGTCCACAAGGAGGTCCACACATCTGGAAAGACCACACTTGTGTGGTGACTTGTGCTACAGTCAGGTATTGTGGCCATCTTGACATTCATCAAGGAAGTCCACAAGGAGGTCCACAAGGAGGTCTACACATCTGGAAAGACCCCACCTGTGTGGTGACTTGTGCTACAGTCAGGTATTGTGGCCATCTTGACATTCATCAAGGAAGTCCACAAGGAGGTCCACAAGGAGGTCCACACATCTGGAAAGACCACACTTGTGTGGTGACTTGTGCTACAGTCAGGTATTGTGGCCATCTTGACATTCATCAAGGAAGTCCACAAGGAGGTCCACAAGGAGGTCCACAAGGAGGTCCACAAGGAGGTCTACACATCTGGAAAGACCACACTTGTGTGGTGACTTGTGCTACAGTCAGGTTTTGTGGCCATCTTGACATTCATCAAGGAAGTCCACAAGGAGGTCCACAAGGAGGTCCACAATGAGGTCCACACATCTGGAAAGACCACACTTGTGTGGTGACTTGTGCTACAGTCAGGTATTGTGGCCATCTTGACATTCATCAAGGAAGTCCACAAGGAGGTCCACAAGGAGGTCTACACATCTGGAAAGACCACACTTGTGTGGTGACTTGTGCTACAGTCAGGTATTGTGGCCATCTTGACATTCATCAAGGAAGTCCACAAGGAGGTCTACACATCTGGAAAGACCCCACCTGTGTGGTGACTTGTGCTGCAATCAGGTATTGTGGCCATCTTGACATTCATCAAGGAGGTCCACAAGGAGGTCCACAAGGAGGTCCACACATCTGGAAAGACCACACTTGTGTGGTGACTTTTGTTACAGTCAGGTATTGTGGCCATCTTGACATTCATCAAGGAGGTCCACAAGGAGGTCCACAAGGAGGTCTGCACATCTGGAAAGACCACACTTGTGTGGTGACTTGTGCTGCAGTCAGGTATTGTGGCCATCTTTGACAGCTGACCATCACTGATACTCAGCTTGATTTATAATTATTTGATTTGTTTCTTGTCAAACAGATCCTTGGTTCATATTCACAGACGTCATTGGAATCACACAAGGGACAACTGGCGCTGTTGTCCTAACCAAGGAGGCAGTGATGTTACTTGAAAATAAAATAAGCCAGAACCTCAAAATCCATTGTGTTAAAGTAGAGATTAGATATGTGAACATGGTCAAGGAATGATGTCAAGGTGGGATGACGTCTGATTCGCTTTATCACAGATATGACTGATGTACTTGATTAGGATTACTGGTAACAGAATATGGTGCAATATATTGGGCATGATATTCATGTCATTATTAAAATGTTTTGAGAAGTGCTGACCTCTTTGTTTTACATTTCATAGCTTGTGAGGATATTATTTGTGTTTCTAATTTTTCAGCAGACCTGGTTGATGAATCGTTAATGTCTGTTTGCGGTTTTCGTAAGTCAGGGTTATTGTGCCGGACCTGTTATCTAGAATGTATCTTACAACCTGTCCTTAACGGAGATGTCCTTGGATTGATGGAATGCAGCATGTTTATATAGATCTATTAACCAAAACTGGTGTCAACCATACATATCCTAGGAGATATCACTGCAATGAAGTAGCATCAAAGTGCCTTGCAGACCATTGTGACATCCAAGGTTTCTATGACATCACAGTCAAATGACATCACTAATATCTCTGCTTCTGAAGCTGGTTAGTTCTACATTTTAACAATCCAGACGTTGGTTATTACTGTTTACAAACCGAAAAAGTTGGAAGAATGATTTGGGATGATAAATAGAACCTCACCCACATGACTTTTGATGTCAAATAAATCAACACTTGTTGACAAAAGGTTTAAAAGTATCAAAAGACACAAAGGTGAGATAGTGCATATCTAGCCATCACTGTCTCACTAAAGTATTAATCAATCAAATTGCGATGATTTATGAAGAGAAGAATATACAAAAGGTTTAAAAGTATCAAAAGACACAAAGGTGAGATAGTGCATATCTAGCCATCACTGTCTCACTAAAGTATTAATCAATCAAATTGCGATGATTTATTAAGAGAAGAATATACAAAAGGTTTAAAAGTATCAAAAGACACAAAGGTGAGATAGTGCATATCTAGCCATCACTGTCTCACTAAAGTATTAATCAATCAAATTGCGATGATTTATTAAGAGAAGAATATACAAAAAGTTAAAAAGTATCAAAAGACACAAAGGTGAGATAGTGCATATCTAGCCATCACTGTCTCACTAAAGTATTAATCAATCAAATTGCGATGATTTATTAAGAGAAGAATATGAGATGAATTTCTTAGGAGACTTGACAACCATCAACCAAGCCAGTCTATTTAGTCGCTTCTGACAACCAGCCTAGGTTACTGGCTTTATCATGCTGCTTCTTACTTTATACGTTAAATATATATATATATGTCAATTGTTATAAATAAATCAACAATGATAATTTAACCAATCTCATTAAAATCAGATCTTTGCTCTCATTACCGTTAAACAAAGAACTAAGATCTGATTTTAATTAGATTGTCATTTCACAGACTACTTATTATTTTTTTCATACACAAAAAAACTGTAGACAATACGAAATCAGTGACATCTTCAGCGCAATCATGCAACCCAAGTTCCGCCCACTCTGTTATCAACGAATCAGGAAACCAGCAGTGGGTGTGGCCTATTCTTTTCGATTTCTGAAAACACAAATGATTGCATGCTTAAAAGCTAGTCAAATGTCATGGAGTCAATAATTTTTCATTTTATTTTTTTGTTTTTATGTCCATTCGTTTCAACTATGCACACAACAATGAATCTCTAATAGTAACTGCTATTATTTCACTATAACGAGTCACTTAACAAGACAAGTACCTGTCAAGGCGTTCCGCCAAACACAGGTATTCTGGTGTGAAAAACATAGGAATACCTTGCCGGTTTCAACGTGTTACATCGGAAACCGATTATAAACGTTCGTTTTTCTTCGTTGTTAACGCCGCTCTCAACAATATTCCAGCCATATGACAGCGTCCTGTAAATAATCGAGTTTTGATCAGACACACAGGTGAGTGATATTCTGAGCAACGAGCCACGCCGTCGGTGTACGATGACAGGCAAACCACCGTAAATGACCACGCTATTAATCAGGTCACCTTGTGAGGTGAGGTGAAATGGGGTTTAACGTCGCGTCCAAGATGATTGCACTTATAGAGCGACGTGCATGTACGTGTGTGTGTTTGTGTGGCTGCTTGTACTAGTCCGGACTGATGCCGATTTATAGTGCTAGCTCACTGAGATGCCATGCCGCAGTTTAACATGAATACCCCACTCAGACACAGTATACTGACTCCGAGCCAACCAGGCCTTGTTTTAGCCCCTTAATGCCGAGCGCCAGACAGGGTTACAACAAGTACCATATTTTAAACGTCTTTTGGTATGACGCGGCCGGGGATCGAACTCCGGACCTTCCGGATGAAGTGGTGTAAGTGTTTTGTTGGAAATAACAACAGAATATTTGGTCATTCATCTGATCAATGTTTATCATAACAAAGGCATTGAGAAAACCTATACCTGATAACAGGGGATGGTGGCGAAACAACTCAATTAACAATGTCAATGTTGGGTGTGACCACAATTTGCGTTAATACAGGCGAGGCAGCAGCGGCGCATCGAAGACACCAGGGTGTCGTTGTAGGAAACAGTCGCAAGTAAATGTTAAGATATGGGAGTTACGATAACCTTAGCGCTAAGATCGCTTTGTACAACGGCACCCAGATGTTTGAAAACAGCCTTGGGGGATGATCCAAATGTCAACCAAAGATTGGCCTAACTAAGCTAGCAGGTTTCTGGTCCTGTTGCAGGCGCCCTTCCACCTTCTAGCAGACATGTTCTATGGGGGAGGGTCTGGAGAAACAGCCGGCCATGGCAGTACAGCAATGTTATGCTGCCTCATAAAGTATATCACAACACGTGCAACATGTGGGCGGACATTACCCTGCTGTAACGTGATGTTACGTCTCTGCATTTGCTCAAAGGGTGGAACATGATCTCGAACATGTCGTTCCAGTAGCGTACGCCATTCAAATTAACAATGATGAGTTTTGTTCTTCAATTGGTTGTGATGCCATCCCATACCATTAAACATCCGCCCCTAACTGCCGACGTTGATTAACGCAAGCGTCGCTAAAACGTTCTCCTTGACACCAGTCCTGTAGACCCTTGCACGACCACCGACCAACAGTATACTGTCCAAGTCTTGTTTTGTGAACCTCGGGGCGGTCGGTAGCCCAGTGGTTAAAGCGTTCGCTCGTCACGCCGAAGACCCGGGTTCGATTACCGACATGGGTGCAATGTGTGAAGCCAATTTCTGGTGTCCCCCGCCGTGATATTGCTGGAATATTGCTAAAAGCGGCGTAAAACCATACTCACTCACTCACTTCTGAACCTCAGATGTTGTCTACACCAAGCTAGGCGAGCCGACGACGTCGACGTTGTCCTCCCTCAACCGGATGCCCTCGGTTCTGCCACTAATTGGTCTCAACCCAGGAGTTGTCCGAGCTGTTAATGTGTCAGTTTGGTATCGATCCCGTATATGCACCAACCGAATATGGTTGTCTTGTTGACATGACGTGGCATGATCGCCGTCATGAACATGCACGTGCAAACTGTGAATGAGCTTAAAGTCGAGGAGATTTTTATTGAACTCTTTAGGAAGCACTGTTACTGTTTCCCGTTAGTAGTGAGTGAGTGAGTGAGTGAGTGAGTGTTCAAAGCAGCGTTAAGATCAAACCTTCTCACCCACTCACTCGTACTAATTGTTCCATAACTATTAGAGATTATTTCAAATGCATGATAATAGCAACTGGTACATTTAACCAAAAAAAATATTTCTACGTTTTCTTGTAGATATATCTATACTCCAAACGTAATAGTAAAATTTAGAACAGCGGCGAAATGAATGCAATCATATTGTTAATTTGCAGGTGAAACATTGCACCCTATCTTCATTTGCGTTCCACACTAACCGTGCAACCAATGGCCTGTACACAGATACCTTCTTGATAGTTCAAACATGAGTGATTTTAGACAATAAGAACAATGCACTCCTAGGCTATATGCTTAGTCTTGCAGGTTGCATCTACACAGAGCGCAAGCACGTAGCTGGATCTATTTCATGCTGTCAGCAGGACACAAGCTTAAAGGGCGATGTCAGAAGGATTACTTGTTGCAAGGTGAGTGTGAGTGAGTTGGGTTTAACGCCGCTTTTAACAGTATTCCAGTTATATCGCGGCGTGTCAGCTTAATGTGGGAGGAAAGCCCGAAGTGATGCAGGTCTCGGACGTTTACCACTTCGGTGAAACCCACGAGCACGGGTATGGTGCTGACAAACCTAGACATATAATTGGGGCAAACCGGGATTCGAACCCTCAATCATAGGTTTCTGGCGTGCCCAAGGGACGCAACTCTGCACAGCGAATCGCGGCGCCTTAGACGACTGGGCCACCCGTGTCCCCTGCTGCAAGGTAATGAATGTTATCTGGCTTTGTTCCATATTACTTGATGTGGGATTGTCCAATGACGCTGTACACTCACGTGATCCACGAACACTTCCTTGTTGACAATCATCCTGTTCCCGAAATCTACACTCTTATTGGCTCGATATCTACCTTGATAGTGAGATTATCATACGTCACCGTGTGAGCAAGTGCGAGATTACAACAAACAGGCACCAGCGTTGTATCGTCTACTGCCGACTATATATTCCTGTACAAACACAATCTTCTTGTGTGTAACAGTTTGATGGATTTGTGATGGCACAACATCATTTACACAGTCATTACATTCACTTAAAGGATAAGTTTCGAGCTAGGATGCTTTGTGTTGATATGTTGATTTTAGCATATCTCAAACCAAGGGAACATCCCATGAAGATCCGGGTAAGAATAGGTCTTCAGCAATCCATGTTTGTCATACGAGGCGGCTTAAGGGATCGGATGGTCAGACTCACTGACTTGGTTGTCGTCGTAACCAAGTTAGGTAGATCGATGCTCATTGTGGTAATCACTGTACTGTCTGATCCAAACACGATTAATTACGAGGGCTGGTCAAAAAGTTCTTCGCCTGACTAACTTTCAACGGTGGGTCATAACACAGTGAACTAGTCAATGTAGTACATTGTTTGAGACGTTCATTGCAAGTGTATTTGGTCTGTCGAGGCCGTTTGTATATTAGTCACAGCTAGTTGAAGGTGATAGGGGTCTATCAAAGGAAAGCACACTTTCACAATTGTTGGTTTTGTTTCTTAGGCTTAAAACGTTTTCGCCAGCCTTCGTGTAGACCGCTGACGTGTAGCTGGAATATTTCTGAGTGCGGCGTTTAACAAAAAAATGTCCAACCCAAAGAAACACTGCGAATACAGTCCGTGTTCAAGTCCAACATGTCAACTGTCCATTTATGTGTGTGTTTCCTCTGATGTACAAGTTGTGTAGCTGGTCATTATGCTATAGTCGGTCATACTGAATGTGTCCTTATACTTATATAGTAGTATATACGTCATGATGTTCCTCATGCCATAGTCGGTCATACTGAATGTGTCTTTATACTTATATAGTAGTATATACTTCATGATGTCCCTCATGCCATAGTCGGTTATACTGAATGTGTCCTTATACTTATATAGTAGTATAAACTTCATGATGTCCCTCATGTCATAGTCGGTCATACTGAATGTGTCCTTATACTTATATAGTAGTATATATACTTCATGATGCATTGATGTGTGGTCGACACAATCTGTGACGTCTGATTTACTGATATACAGTCAAATACCGTTGTGTCGAAGTTGAAGGGATCTACGTAAATAATTCGAATTATTCGATGTTCGATACAACCGAAAATGATGAATAGAGAAGGAATACGCCGCGACCAAGCTTTTACTTAGAGACGGGCGTTAGTTCGACACATCAAAGTTCGACATTACACTATTCGAACCAAAGTTTATTAACAACTTTGACAACTATGACAACTATGATGTTTAAAATCGCATCACGTAATACTTTCTTCAACATATAAATGACACATGCATGAATCACAACATCATTTAGTTCAGAGAAGGTCACACTGTCCATAAGTTAAGGCAAACTTTGGTAAGAGCCATGTTTATCAGCACCGTTCTTGTTGATGCTTTTAGTTGAGTCATAGGCAAATATATGCAACAGATAAATGAAACTACGTTTTTTGAGATGATGTTTCCGTGAAACATGAGTATGTGAATAAGCATGTTGACAGTGACTCATTACTGCAGGATATATAAGTTTGCGGCACAGCAGTGCAAGGTACACAGTTCAAAATGCCACTCTTCGTAGTGTTGGTGTGGCATTTGGTAGTGTTGTATGCAAGTACTCGTGAGTATCAAGCATGTGATGGGTTGGTTGGTTGGTTGGTTTGTTGTTAAACGCCGCACTCAGCAATATTCAAGCTATATGATGGTGGTCTGTAAATAATCGAGTCTGAACAAGACAATCCAGTGATTGATATCATAAGAAATAGATCCACGCAATTGGGATCAACGACATGCATCAACCAAGTCAGCGAGCCTGACCACCCGATCCCGTTAGTCGCCTTTTACGGCAGGCATGGGTTGCTGAAGACCTATTCTACCCCGGAATCTTCACGGATCTCCAGCATTTGCAGCACCAGGGCAACCACCATTGATCCTCTATGTTTCATCGAACATGATATGTGTTTTGATGCGCCACTCTGAGCTTCGGTTTACTGTGTCAGCTAAAGAGAATTTGCCAACGTTCTTTCGCCAAAAAGTGTTTGCTAGGAATCATTTTACAGAGATTGGTTCTTTCAGTGTATCACAGTATAATTGCATGTGGGTTAATGTACCCGGAAGATGTTGGGCATGTTGTCAATCACTGGTTTGTCCGGTCCAGATTCGTATATTCACATACCACTGTCTTACTTATTCACATTCACTCAATCCTTAATTCATATGACGTCTTCATTGCTTCGATGTATAGACTAGCGTTAGATACAGTTAAATTAAATCTATTTCATTGAGATTTGAATTACAATGTCTATGTGGCTTATGGTTGCTGAGTTAGGCAATGGAATGTGCTATGAAGAGTTACATCAATACGCCGTTCAAGGATCTATTGATGTTGTTAAAATTTGACAATAATGGGGGACGGTCGGGTAGCCTTGTGGTTAAAGCGTTCGCTCGTCACGCCGAACACCCGGGTTCGATTCCCGACATGGGTACAATGTGTGAACCCAATTTCTGGTGTCCCCCACCGTGTATATTGCTGGAATATTGCTAAAAGCGGCGTAAAACCATACTCACTCACTCAATGATAATAATGTTTCGTCTATCTGTTCTTGCTTGACAACGAAGTAAACGTCTTCAGCCTGCTCCCATGACACATTAATCAGACACGCCATGCCACACCTGAAATACTCAATACAGTGTCAAACACATTCACTGTAACAATAATAATAAATAGTATCTGTTATTTTCTTAAGCCACCTGGTAATATACGTAGTTATGCAGATCAAGAGGAAATGTTATTGGTATTTAACGACGGTATACATGTTTGTTTTCCATTTTAACACAGATTTTCCATCCAGCTCTGCTACTCCTGTAGGAAACACTGATCAAAGTGAGTAAAGCATTGTCTTTTCACCAGCAACCTCTTGTTATACATGTCCTTATCGTAGTGCCAAAATCAAATGCAGGATGATCTTTAATTGTAGTAAGAGTTATTCTTAGATATACCGATGTGTCGCTATGTGTATATCGATAGCTGTTCCCAGATCGTGTTCCTAGCTGACTGATATGACTACATCTACAAAGAGATGTACTAAGTTTTGACATACCTTGACGATACTATGCCTTTCAGTAACATGTTCTGATGGGTGGCTCAACTACCACAGCGGACGAGGAAGATGCTATTTTCTTAGCAATACGACCAAATCATGGCCAGATGCACTATCTGACTGCCAGCAAAGAGGAGCCGATCTGCTGAGCATCCACAATGCGGAAGAGAACACATATGTTTCAAGTAGGTATCTATTTAATGGAAAACAAAAACTCCAACAAAATTGATAGATGTACTAGTCATCAAATTATAGTCCTTATCAAATTAAGCATCAAGTTAATCTGAACGTCTCTAGTATATCATTTAAGACTATGGAGTCAAAGTGCTCTAATAATCGTACTTCGTTGTCGGACAACTTATATCTCAACAACGTTCCATGACCTTGATTATATTTTATGGACGATACATCAATTTGATTTCATTCACATAATCCCCAGTTGGCACGGACCAGTATTCAGGCACATTCAAATATTATCGTTAGTAGTTGTAGTGATAAATGTTATCTTTAAAGCTGACAGCTTTTGTTTGTTCCCTGGAATGTGACAATGTCTGATTGGAGTCATCGTTATCACAGCTTCAGTTACCAGTCAAAGGGCATGGATTGGACTTAACGACAGACACCAAGAAGGACGTTTCAAATGGACTGATGGTTCTCCTTACGAGTTCTCCAGCTGGGGAAAAGGTAACACTGACCCTGAATTTCATTATTCACAATTCGATTTTCAAAAAAATCAAAATAGGCGCTTTTATGAGTTAATCTTTGCTAAAAGCAAATTCAATTTTCTTGTGACTAAAGTTTGAAAACATGTGTATTGGGGATATTTGGTTCTTTTCAAATAATATGTTCATCATACCAAGGGCGTGGCCAAACAGAAATATAAAGTTGAACACACAATTGTTCAATGAAGTACGGATATCATCCTATTATTTAACAACTGCGTCAGGTAAATAGGGTACAAAAAAAGGTACAATTCATACGAGGTATTTCAATTATTTCGTGACCCTGGCATGATGACATATAAACAAAATAGTATAAAACAGTTGTAATAATGTCCTGCTTATACTCCTTTCTAGATCTCCCAGACGATATGCCTTCGAGCGAGGACTGCGTGGAGATCAACTTTCAACAATCTGGCGAGTGGAATGACTTGAACTGCAGCTCACTGTTACAGCACATATGTATCAAGGAAGGTTATCTACATTAAGCATTCTTTGAAAAACTTAGCGTTATTATATAATTGGATTTTAGTATTAACTATGACAAATCTACATTGGTGTTTTGCATTACCACGTATTATGCATATTGTCGTAACTGCTTTCGGGCGTTAATGCGACCCTACTACAGATACTGAAAGTATTGCCGTTCCTGGTCATCGTCGTCAGTTAAGCCATGACTTTGCAACTCGCCTTGACGGCATCGGCTCAGTTCAGTCAAGGAGTGATTGGTCTAATGACGCCTACTCCAAGTTGTCTCCATCGGCATTCATACTCGCATAATAAAGAAACGCAACACCAGCTTTATACTCACATCAGTTTCTCAGTCCATCTATCAATACACGACAGGATCAAACAGGCCAGGCTCATCATTAAATGGGAAAACTCGATCGACTGCAAAACGCACTCTCCTCTTATAATGTTGAAAGTATCATTTTATAGTGTTCGGGCCTGGCCTGCCTTTGTCACATGTCACAATACCTCAGGTTGATTCGTTAAAAGTTAGATCTGACCATGAAGTCATGTGTGTCGTAATCGGAAAAATACAGAAGCCTACGTGCCAGATTGATCATCTCTCTAATGATTTTGTGACTCACTCCGGATGCTACAAATGAAAAGTATCTTACCTCTCTGCTTGACTCATTAACTAATCCACGATAACACGGAAACAATCCAATGATAAATATGCAATGTCCAGAATACTCTTGTAATAAATATGAAATGTCTTTTCTCTATTAATTCCTTTCGAACTAAAAGTTCTCTGTCACGAATTGTGTATATCTAATGCAACTCATCATTGCAGCTATAAACGGTTTAAATTTGTTACCATTTTCTAATGTTTTTGAGACGCATTTTAACCTTATAACAATATACAATGAATGTATCGCCAATATATGGCTGCGGTCTGCAGCTTCCTCATATATTATCGAATAAGCATAATCGTGCCTAAATCAGTTAGGATGCATTTATGAGACAAATAAACTTTAGAATTGGAACGAACATGAAAAGTATGGTCTAAAACTGTGGAACTTAGAACTGAGCTCCTGTTCACGTAACATCATATTTATAGTTTTTGAAAACAATTGACACAAGTATGAAATAAAGTTTTTCTAAGTATATCTCCCAAAACGCAATTAAAGCATTTGCATTTTTGCAGGTTAGCTTAATATTAACCATGCTGTCATATAATACCAATGTAAATCATATTTACTGTATTTTGGAACAGGCTCTGCCATTACGACGGTACCAGCAGCAACATCGACATCAACAGCAACAGCAACATCGACAGCAAATGGTGCGCAAATACTCCAATTTTGTGTAACATCCCAATCAGTTTACATTTCATCCTATCAGATATGATCTGAACTGTCCCACGTTATCACGGTTTGCCGCCATATATGGAACATTAACTCACTGGAGAACACATTGTTTGATAAGGCAGTACGTTACCTGCATCTATTTAAGTCAACACGGGAAACTAGCAATGAATGCAGCCTGAACCTAATTACAGGTAAACGGTTCAAAAGTTTTCCCTACTCCTTTTGATTATATATGTTTTTCGTTTTTGAAACTCCCAACCACGCAGCCGACCCGTGCACGAGCTACTCCACGCTTCTTGAGGGACCCCGAGATACACATTTGGAAACAAACAAATCGTCGACGTTTCTCTGTGATGACCAGCTGCATCCTGGCTGGTACCGATTCTCCGGGGGTGAGGTCGCCATCTCCAGTATCCATAAATACCATTGTGGTACCAAGTCAGCAATCTGGATGAATGACAAGTTCCCTTCCGTAAAGGACGGCATAGCAGAAAAGACGTTTTGCTTCAACCATCTTGACTTGACGCCAAATGGATGTTTGTGGTCAGAGCAGGTGCCTGTGAGGAACTGTCGAGGGGAGTTCATGGTTTACCATCTGCCTTTGGAGACCATTCTCTGTCCCATGGCGATTTGTACAGGTATTGTCAGACGCATTAGTGTTGAAGAAAATAGCTCAGCTGCTCCTTCGGCGTCTTTCATAACTCATTTCATAACTTATGTTCCTCTTATATACTTGGGAATAGTACCTTGGGGATTTTGCTAAAATATAATGGGATAACATTGAAGGTAAAGCTAGTAATAACGTGTATGATCTCCGCATTAGGTCCCTAGAGGTTACGTCATGATACATGGTTCACATATATAGAAATTTCGAAAAAAATCCTGAAAAAATCAAAACATTTTCCAACCAGTTATGATAGACTCAAATAAATAACCCAATACCTGTGAAAGTCATCCAATCATGAAATGACGTTCAGACAGTGTTGTCAGTGTTGTATGGAGAATACCTATTTGTAGTACCGCCTTGGTTTGCAGCAAGTATAAAAAATGGAAATGTTGTTCTTTTTCAAACATCATCTAATATATATTTAGGTGTATGTTTTGCTTGGAATTTATATTTTGAAATTTGTTCCTATTTTGTTGTATTGTGGTGATTTTTCGGCAGATTTAGCCTTCAAATCTTCTTCAGTCCAAATCATGTGTTTGAATGTGATACATATCCACTTACATTAGGGCTTTTAAAGAGGTTGTATGAAATAATGGTATAAATTGATTCAAATACCAGATTCACGGTATCCAAAGAGAGTAATGATGTGTTATTTACGGCGTGTGATAATGGTAAAATCAATAGTAAATCAAAGATAAAATAATCGCCTTTTACAAATATGGTTTTGAATTCATTTTGGAAAATCGGGGAGTAGGATCAGTAAAAACACGTTTATGTCAGAATGTATTTGTAGATTAAAATTTACTTATGAACAGGACTGACAAGCTTGAGTGAGTAATGTTAAGTTATATACTGTTTAAGAATCATTTGTCTATAGAGCCTCACATAAACGCTGTAGCTATAAATAAATTCAGGTGTGCTTTAAGCACAGTTTCGCTTAGTTCACCTGGTTTTTGAATAGAGACGGGTAGATATGTATATGGACCTCGATGACAAAGATTGTGCAAGGTCTATGATTACGCTATGTAGAAATTGAGTATCAGTTATATATAACGTGTCTGAGGATCTTCACAATCTTCGAATGAAACAGAACTGTAGCTACCATGTAATGGATGTAAGGAAAGCAAAGATATCGTGTGAGGCAATAAGTACAAAAAACTGTTAAATTATGTTTATATCACTACTGTATTATAGTCTACCATTGGCTCATGACGTACTTCAGAAATTGAGAATGTTTCTACTATAAATAATTAAGTAATTATTTCCACATGTTATTGAAAGGCATTGAAGATCTAGTCTATTAGATGTGTAAAAGACCTCCCCAAAATCATGTGCACACACCTTGAGCATTTGACGAAACGTTATATACACGACGTCTAGTGTGAGGTGTTATTTCTTGAAATTCTCATTTTTTCTGATGAAGGTCGAGGTCACAGAAACGTAATTACACATGGACTAGTTGATTTTAAATGGGTTGACAACACCAAACAGTTCTCAATCGTTAATAATACATAAGCATTTTCTTTCAAAATTCCACGTGGGAAGGTCTCGTCGAATGACAATGTCCCCATACTTCATTGACACTTTGAAAAACGTCAGAAAACTATGATTCAGAATGCATTTACAGCACAGTAACAGTAAATTTGTAACACCACATACGCTTTCAATCTGATGATCTCTGGCAACTGATATCTGAGATTGAAAGTCATGATCTTTCATATTAGGTAATTGGAGGCATATGATTTTACTTTTCAAACCAGAAATGATGTTATCAAACCGGAAGTGCTGATAACTTTAATTTTAAGGTATCTAGAGGCGTGGACATTTCTGTTTTAAAGTTGTTCACATTTTCCCTGAAGTCCAGAAGTGATGTCGATAAAGAGAAAGTACTTGTTAACCTTTTTATTTCTGTAGCTGGGGGCAAGGACGTTTCTGTTCTGTGTTGTGCATGATGTTTCCTAAATCCAGAATTGATGTTATTCAAATTTTGTCGCCATTCTGGGCTTATTTAGATTGATCGAGTTTGATTGTCTGTTCAAGAAGAATATTCGACATCCAAGCTCAAGTAGTTGAAACTGTTCTTCCAAATGTTTCCGTTATCAGTGAATGTGAATTAAGTGTTGTCAAAAGTAAGTTGACATGCGATACCTTAGTCTCCGAGATATAGCAAACATAAATACATATTTATTTTGTCTGTCAAGGTTTGCAACTTATGGGCTTATTTTCTAATGTTTGTTTCTTTCAGATGCGTCTATTAAACCATGCACTGAATATGAAGTATCTGAGAGTGGATTTCCTTCATGTACAAGTAGGTCCTATTTTACAAATAATCAATGCATTAACAGTTGCCAAATATAATATCTCTCTATCTATAAATATGTAATGGTTTTGTTTCATGAGCGGATCATTACATGAAATTTGTGACAATATATTTTGATTTTGTATTGGTAACATCACACGATGCTCTTTATCCACAGAAGCGGTCGGGTAGCCTAGTGGTTAAAGCGTTCGCTCGTCACGCCGAAGACCCGGGTTCGATTACCGACATGGGTGCAATGTGTGAAGCCCATTTCTGTGTCCCCCGCCGTGATATTGCTGGAATATTGTTAAAAGCGGCGTAAAACCATACTCACTCACTCACATATTGGTTCAGTAGTTAATTTGCCATTTTGAACAAGTTTGTGTGACTTTTTTAATTACAGAAATACTGTGTCCTCCTGGTAAGACGTCAGCGACTGGGTTCGAGCCATGTAAAGGTATTGATATTGTTGTCACGAATTAACACCAAATTAATCTACCAAAGTATTCATAGGATGCTTTTCTGCTTCCGTTTCTCGTGTCTGGGTAGCTTAGAGTTATCACACTATGTTATGCTGCAAACCCGGCTTCCTCATATGTAGATGTTGGGATTATGTTGGAAGGCCATTCCTGTTGTTCCCTGCAGTAGGATTGGTGTAATATTGTAACAATTTACTTACTCTACACATCATGTAAACGGCAGAGAAATAATGTGTGTGTTTGAGAGACATATCTCACAGCAACTGATTGTTACTTTATTTTAGATATGTATCCTGTAATTACTGGACAGACGCTACTGACTGGTCCAGAAGTAACAGATGGGTCATACCAGCACCTATGTACATTTGAGTCTGCTGATAATTCAACTGATGCAAGATTCCTCGTCATATGGCTTTTGAACAATGTTGTCGTTAAGACTGTGACCGCAGATAGAGGGAACAGAACAAGCTTCTTCGACGTTGAAATGTGGACTGGTCATGTCAATGAACATGTAAGATTTGGGATTAGAGTCCCTATCATTTTTCAACGAATTATTGTTAATATGTAATGCCATTGGCGAACACGACAACGTAATTTAATGTACATGTATATGTATGTTTTAGAACATATTGGTAAAGAGATATTGTCCAACTCACCATGTCACCAATATCCTCTAGTTATACAGTATTAACCATCATGATATAATCTATGAGTTGTCTCGAGGTTGTGAAAAGCAATCATTATTCTTTATCTGGTGTAGGCCTTATACAAACCTAGGTAGAATATCTGGGTTTTTGTCTGGCCTAATCACCATGCCATGTCTTCACTGCAGCTTGAATGCAGAGTTCAGTCCTACTACGAAAACACTTCCTCGGTGCTAAGCAAAGTGTTCAACAGCAACAGATACTTTGGGGGAATAAAGGTCAGTGCAGCCTTATCATACGTATATTTTGTTATAACGTTTCCACATTCATGTATTCACACGCTGGTTGTTTATATAAGACATAGACATATGAAGTACAATGCACGCATGTGTGTCATAACCAACAGAGTAGCCTTGCATCCATTCAATATGTTCTGTTAATGTATGGCCACTATGTTAAGGTTGAACCATCACCGCTTACTCTTCGGGAAGGAGTTGACCAAACCATCACAGTTATCTCCACTCTGCCAGTTAGCTGTGACAATGCTGCACGTGACTCTTGTGAAGTTGTTCTGGAAACAGTTGCTCCAGGTAAACATTCACTTTGCTTACGTCAACTAGGCGCTGTTATAACTGTGCATCATTACGTCGGGGTGTGCTGGTCGTGAATTCGAAATTTCAGATTTGCCCCGATGATAAAATAATTGGTCTATCTTTTGGCTTTTCTTCCACTTTAAGCTTTAACCTATTAATTCAAAATTCGCTCCCGTGAATAATAGCCTGCAGACTCATTTGAAATCTTCTTGAAACCAGATTAGGGTATGTCCAACTTTCTGTTTAGGTTTGTACATCGGAGGTGAATGTGACTTAGTGTTGAGACCGTCCAGTTGGGATGAGGGTACACACGAATCACGACTTAACCTGAGTCTTGGAACACAAGTAGATCCTGCTGTCAAACCGGAGAAAACTCTTTCAATATCATTTGAAACAATGTTAAACAATGTACCAGGACTAGAATACTGGAGCGGTATTACCGTGCCACAAACAAAGGTGGGAGTTTCTTTACTGATATCTTTCTTTACCTGAATGGTCATTACAATGTATGTGATATAAGATAAGGTCATTGTTAACCAGTGGAAGTAGCAACGACATGAATAGCTGAATATGAATAATAAAACATATACTTATGGAAAACTGTAGGCGCAATGAGGAACAGTCCATATTGTATCCATTGATACCCGCAAGGGATTATTCCAGGTTAAATGTTCCCAAACACATCGTATTTACGGCAGATGTAACATGTTGTCAACCATTTCGCAACCAATTTATCGGCGTGTGAAGTGAGTGAATGATGGTTATTTATGGTCATCGGCCACACACAACTCACTGATCGTAGTCACTTGGACGTTGCATGATTAAGACGTCGTCGCCCAGTGGTTGACATTTCAGACGATTATTGCGGTGAAGTGGCCATGTCGTCTTAGCATCAGGTAGATGTGTCATTGGCATCACAACAGGTTCAGTGACGTGTCATGGTTCCATATTCCATATTGTCGCCGTCCATCTGAGTGTTTTTCAGACGTGCTCAAGATCAGCAGTGTACCATGGTATGGCATAGCCGATATGGTGACCGCTGAGTGATGGTGTGGCCTTGCATCAACCACAGGTCTGGAAGGTCGACTCAAAGTGTTTATTATCGGGATGAAAATTTTGAGACTTGTCGCGTTATTTTTTGCCCGTGTGACTGATCATCAGTTTTAATTCCAACACGAACACACCTGCCCAAACATTGCGACTAGACTGGCACCATATGTAATGGAATTGTCTGCATACTTTGAGGATTATTGGCAGAACGTAGGTCTCCCATGGAAAACTTACTTGACCTGCACCTTATTTCCCCGTGTTTGTTCTGGTGAACACTTGACTTGGCTTTGCATGTCCCTGTGACTGATGCCAGAGGTGGGACAGGATCCGCTCACCATCACTATTTGATTCATAAACACATGCTCATGACAAAGTCGATATCGTGCAATCTGCTTTTAGCAGATATTTCTCATGAATGCATAAAGGGGTTTTCCATTGCATTTGTTATTATGATTATTTTGTTCAAATTATTGTGATTTTATATTTATTTCATTTCTTAAAATATTTTAAAATTCAAGTAAAGAACAACAAGGTAATAAGGTAAATGGGTAGAAAACAAGTTGACAAGTTTTTGTTTTCGTCTCTAGTGCAACAGTATTGTTAACTCACAGTTAATATTTTGTCACCATAATAAGAGAAAACAATCATTAAAATATAATTAGGTTTTGTTCTATATATTTCAACCATTGATGTTCCATTAACATAGTGCGATCCTTTATTGTCATAACAATCGTTGTTCATGCCAAAGACCTAAATATAACCTATCAATCATTACAAGGTACTGAACACGGATACGCCATTTTCTACTTGCCGTGGTTCAGGAGACCCTCATTTCTTAGCATCCTTCAATCCGGGCATTTACCATGAACTTGGGTAAGTGAAGACATTAGAAAAACTGTATACAAAACTTCAAATAATTATGCCTTTCCTTCAAACACAATCGGTACATATTAATATTTTTACAAACTACGTTTCACATTGTGTGTTTTCAGTAGTTATTCTTAATACAACAATATTACAGGGTCAGCTACTACAACATGTACCACCTCGGTGACTTCAACTTTGCAAGTGACACAAGAGCCCAGCTAGCGGTACGTTCCTGGTCCACATTTGATCTACTGTATAAATATACTTTTCACATCAAATAAAAATACTTCATCTTTTTTTTATAGTAACAGTAAACGAATACTGAGACAAAATTGTTATAGATGAGCAACTTCTTTATTACAATTGAGCGACGTTTCGGTGTAGATTCTCACATTTTTTGCTTTATAACGGTCTTAGTTACCATTCCAACTTCTAAATGCCACTCACAGAAGTAAACGAATGATATGCAGCGCTAGCATGATCAATTCAGATACTTGGATACTGTTAGGTTTTAGCCCTAATAACCTGTTAGTAAGTTTCACCAAAACCAAATGTGCACTACTTGTCTCATAAGTAATATGATGCATTGAGATCATTTCCAAATGTGTATATGCAAACTAGATTAAATATCTCGATCTGCTATTTTGCAGGTGCAAGCTCGGATGTCTCTTTATTCAGCAGGACGTTCTATGATTTGTGCTATTGCTGTGCAGAAGGGTGACGTTGTGATCTTCATCAATAGCTGCCAGAGATCCGTCCCCTCCATCACAGCGAACAACCTTATAACTGACAGTTCAGTACAATTATGTGGCAGCAACGAGTACCAGGTACATTTTTGTCATGACAAAGAAGAAAACACATACTTTCTTCTCGTCCTGAATCAAACTATATATTTCCAAATGTTTTGCCATGTTCACATTTTAGCGAAGCCAAACCGCACTAACCAATACATATTCAATTGGAGTGTATTGTTGTCAGATAACAACAAACCAGGGACACAGAATAAGCGTCGTTACCGGACACTCCTACTACATCGTGACAGCAACTTTCCCCCATGGCGTTGTTCCTCTCGAGGCGTTTGATGTAAACAACAAAACGAAAGAGGAACTTTGCAATCCCAGCACGACAGTAAATGGTATGACCACGTTCAGGAGTGGTGGTATCATTGCAGGTTCTACTGTTGGATATTTTAGGTAGGTTCGTCATGGTTTTTTGTTACACATTTTTATTCTCTTTTTGTACTGACAAATAGTATTGTTTATTTTATTATACTACTTTATTGTCAGTTTCATAAACCCAGCGTGGATATAGTTTAATACTAGACCGAAAAATCTTTTTCAACTGTTGATTTCTTTAACATGCACCACTGCAAGTACACAGAACGTTCTGGTTACTATGTTGTTCACCGTTATAGTATTTGGGGAATTCACTCATATTCCTCAAAAACAATAGTTTGACATTTTCCTTTTTTGTGTGTTTTTCTCAGTTGAAAGGAATACTATCTTGAACTATCCGATAACAATAACTCCTTCTCTTTCCGTTCCCTGCCATTGTATAAAGAAATATCAATACCAACAGGGTGCAGCCAGACCAGAATTTGTTTGAAGGCCATCGAGTTAAAATGGTGTCAGCCCCTGTGAACAACGATATCTATTGTTCCTGTAACTCAAAACAAAAGGGAGAACAAAATGCCTGTGGGAGAGGACAGAAAGTTATAGATCCATATATTCAGGTATTTATGCTCATTTTGATACTTCTAAATATTCATCTGACATTAACATTACATTATCATTACATTAACCGTAACTTTAGAAACTGTGCCTGGGAGATGGAACATTTTAAACGTGGTGACCGTTAATGTGTTTTATTCGGAGTAACAGATCCACACATTGCTGTCACATTGTTACATGTGCGTGACATTGTAAACGGATGCAGTGACACTGAAAGAAGTCGTACTGATTGATGATTACTGATTTAGAAATTATTAATATACAATTGATATAAGTGTTCTGTTACAAAAATCGATATAGTGTAATCGTCTTTAGAATGGGGAAATAAGGTTAGATTTAAAACGCAAACATTACATAACGACAAAAAGCAGTCGTTCAAAACATTCATGGACATATATCCCAAATCTATCATAAATGAAATGAAGGATATATCCTGTTTTTATTTGCTTTAAGCGAGGATCCTGCCGACCAATAGTTCCTACACAGATCAAGCCAGCCTCTAAGATAGCCAAGCCTTCCAATGTAGATCCCATTCGTAAGAGAAATACCTCAGTTACATCTTTAGTCAACCGAATCATGTAACAAACTCATTACTGCAACGAACTAACTTAATCTACACAGAATGCTAACGATACATGCATTTCATTTGTTATGGTCTGATAGAAGAACCAACTCGTTATTGCTGTTTACTCAACAACTTCTGGCAGTTTCGTTGACAACGATGCATACACGTAGACAAAGGAACGTTAACTTACGAGCAGTTAAGGCCATCCTATGTCATTAGACTACTATTGTTTTTTGTTCTTTAAACCCACGGTCGGCAATATTCTAACTATATGAGGGTGGTCTGTAAATAATCGAGTCTTTCCAGTCCAACGAAGTGATTGATATAGTGAGTAACGGTCCATGGTGTGCTGGGGTACGTTGACACATGATCAACTCGGTCACTGTGCCTGAACACCCGATCCATTCAGTTACCTCGTATTTACGATAAGCACATGTTGCTGTAGACATTGTCTACAAAATCGGGGCTATACTACTGAAATATACTGCACAAGATATATATCTACTTCACAGATTACAGTCCCCCTGACCTCCATTCGCCAACTCCAAGCGGTATCACAGAGAAACAGGCTCAGGATAAATGTAGAGCAGCGATATCTAAATATACACCCGATCAGTGTTCTTCGATGAAAGATGTCAACTTCGATGCCTTCGTTCACTCTTGCGCTGAAGACGTTCTGGTAATGTGTGCATTGTGTCCACAGAAAGGAGGGGATATAATGCATTGTCTCCAATAATTTCTCTCCCCCCCCCTCTCTCAACCCTCCCTCCCTCTCTCTCTCTCTCTCTCTCTCTCTCTCTCTCTGCCCATCCGTGCCCTCCTATAATTTAATAATCTATCTAACGGTAGATGTAATATTATCCATATTTTCTGTCTTTCAACAGGCATCCGACGATTACACGTTTATCTCATCCGCTGTCCATGACTTCCAATCTGAGTGTGAGATATCTATCACCAGCAACATAGACAACTACAACACAACCACCACTGGGGAACTCCATATGCCTGATATTCTGTCGAAGGCATGCCCTAATCTCTGCAGTATGCATGGCACATGCGTAGATGGCGTATGTCACTGTGAAACTGGAAGAGAGTGGAAGGATTGCTCGGTTAAGACAGGAGAACCCTTTAACATAACTGGAATCGGGCAGTAAATATTGCATACAGTCTGGTTATGTCTATCTAAACATTCAATAGTTTTGCTTTAAGTACAGATCACAAATGAAATAAACGAAAGGCTATGTGAATAAAGTGGAGATCAAATATGAAAGTAAATACGGAGGTAGGTATAGAATATTTTTAATATTTTCCAAATGTGCAAATCATTCATAGCTCCTTGTGTTCATAAAACATTATAACCACATGCATTGTTTGGAATAAAGATTCGGAATAGGCTGTTAAGATGTAGTTGCCCTCGCTGTTCTCAGAGGCGCCCTTTGTGATAGATCCAGAGATACCAACTGCTTCAACCCTCGCCTTGTGACGTACAATCTGGGTGAAATCAGCACTTGTATGGTTGAACAGGCGGGGGTAAGTAAGATCACCAATATTTCTTTCAGGTAAAATTTGTTCATGTTTTACAATGTGAAGCTTGTTATATGATAAAAAAGGGAAATTATAAATGTTTAAAGTGGAGCCCGATGTGTGTATCGGTTCTTATAGAAATATGTCATGTTTCATCCTATATGTAAGAAACGTATTATATACATTCTGTCACCAAGCCTATTCACGTACCCAAACGTATTGTATTTTCTATTACCAAACATCCTTATTAAAATAAAGCAAATACTTTTGACGCTTTATATCACCTGTATAGTAGCTCTTCTAGAGTTTGATAAATGCGTGTTTTAACTGGACGACCTAAAGTGTACTTGATACTCAGTTCCTACCGGATTAATTGTGTAGTAATTTATATCCCAGTACCTGAAAGGTAGACCCCAAGTAGGACATGTGAAACAGTCGGTGGATTTTGTGAGAGAGCACGCTTCCATTGTAGCCAGCAACCTGACGCCTATTATCAAGAACTTAGGTAATGTACCTCAACTTAACAATATTCTCTGAACCCCCTTTGAAGAAAAAAATAACAGGAAGCGAAAAGTAAAGGAAATACCAAATGCTGGTTATAAAGTCCTTTAGCTGAATTTATGAGTGAGTTGGGTTTAACGCCGCTTTTAACAGTATTCCCGTTATATAACGGCGTGTCTGCTTAATGTGGGAGGAAAGCCCGAAGTGATGCAGGTCTCAGACGTTTACCACTTCGGTGATACCCACGAGCAAGGGTATGTTGCTGACAGGCTAACCGGGATTCGAACCCACAATCATAGGTTTCTGGCGTGCATCTCTGCACAGCGAATCGCGGCGCCCCCCCCCCCCCCCCCCACACACACACACAACACACCCACCCACTTTAGCTGAAGTGAAATGGCCTATTGTGCAGATAGTACCTTGCGTAAAGGTAGAGATGTAACTCAAACACGGTTCCGTATCAATGTGACCATGACACGTTTTCCTAACATTACAGAATTTGAAGCGATGTTTTTTAAAATATACCTGACTGAATCCACGACCTCCATGAATCCAACTGCGTCCATCAACTACACCATCTACGACGGCACGTGTCAAATGTGTGAAAACTTCATTTGCTACGAAAGGGTACAGTTCAGATTTCGATTCATTTTAACATTTTCCGGATAATTACTGTTATACTCTATTTGCGAGAATAAATTGATATATCCTATGTCATTATGATGATATTTTTAGAATAATATCTACAAGCAAACCGCTATGCTTTATTATATATTTCGTGATGAAATACTGGTTTCTTTTATCAAAATCGTAATATATCCCAGTGAAATAGCTCTTGATGTCAGAACTACATTCAGTCTAGCTCATCGACAACATGTTTGTCACACTGCCAGGAATACAAAACAAATCATAAATCATAAAATGCTAAATCATAAAATATAACAGGAATACTAGTTTCGCTTTGACACACACTGAAATAATATAATTTATAAGAATATGAGAAATAATTCCATTGGGTATATTAATGTACCATATGTGTAACACTGCAGCAATTTACGTATGTTGGTATATAATCGTATTTGACATGCTTGATGTGCTTTTATTTCAGCTGGACGCTTGTACCATCAATGGAGGGTGTTACAAAGATGGCCACGTTGACAGGATTAATGGGACGAAGAAGTATGTGTGTGACCCTGTGACTTCACTCGACCAATGGAAAGTTGTCGAAGTGGCTGCTGAGTAGCTACCCAGAAAGGGCGATTCTGATATAATATAATTCTGTGACTTCACTCGACCAATGGAAAGTTGTCGAGGTGGCTGCTGAGTAGCTACCCAGAAAGGGCGATTCTGATATAATATAATTCTGTGACTTCACTCGACCAATGGAAAGTTGTCGAGGTGGCTGCTGAGTAGCTACCCAGAAAGGGCGATTCTGATATAATATAATTCTGTGACTTCACTCGACCAATGGAAAGTTGTCGAGGTGGCTGCTGAGTAGCTACCCAGAAAGGGCAATTCTGATATAATATAATTCTGTGACTTCACTCGACCAATGGAAAGTTGTCGAGGTAGCTGCTGAGTAGCCCTCTGCTGAGTAGCTAAGGGCAATTGTACTGATAGAATGATACCCCCATACACTGCCGTAATTTTGGACATGGAAATAAAGCCATGTTTTCGGAAATAAAAGGATTTTTATGAATTAGTTTTGTGAACATTTGATATCATACAAAGGAAGTTTCATCTTCGATGGCATCACACAATTACAACTGGCTTAATACTTCACCCTGTAAAGGGGCGGTCGGGTAGCCTAGTGGTTAAAGCGTTCGCTCGCCACGCCGATGACCCGGGTTCGATTCCCGACATGGGTACAATGAGTTAAGCCGTGATATTGCTGGAATATTGCTGTAAGCGGCGTAAAACCATACTCACTCACCCATCGTTACTACCTACCTACCTACCTTCATACAGAATGCGGGGGCGCGGGTGGCCCAGTCGTCAAAGGCGCCGCGATTCGCTGTGCAGAGTTGCGTCCCTTGGGCACGCCGGAAACCTATGATTGTGGGTTCGAATCCCGGTTCGCCCCAATTATGTTTCTAGGTTTGTCAGCACCATACCCGTGCTCGTGGGTTTCACCGAAGTGGTAAACGTCTAAGATCTGCATCACTTCGGGCTTTCCTCCCACATTAAGCTGACACGCCGTGATGTAACTGGAATAATGTTAAAAGCGGCGTTAAATCCAACTCACTCACTCACTCACTCATACAGAATGCAATTATGGATATACAGTACATGGAAATTTCAAATAAGGGAATTGGAATCTGTAATATCATTACGTTATAACTAACATTACTCGTGGTCAGTGTTAAGCAGATGTCACTGTATCTGAGCACCGAAAAACATCGTCTCTCACTCACGCGGCCTCTAAAACATGCAAAATTAATAGACGCCCGGGTGTGTATTTGAGGAAATACGTTACGTTTGATATCGGATGTTTTTGGCGACGGCATATCTTTTGCATATAAATGATAACGTTTATGAAACTCTAAGGGACACGTTCGGTGGCGAACAGGTAATTTCCTCATTGAAACGAACGAAAATAAAAGTTAAATAAAACATTACAAAAAGTGTTTTTAAAAAACTTTATTTATGACAACATTTTGTTTTCAAACCTTTTTGTGGTCGATATTCATCACCATCTCCGTCAATCACCAATATGAGTATTTGGCAGGAGGGGGGTTGAAAATCCATCAGAAAACACCGCTCCCTTCAAAAGGCCACGAAAACTCACCAAAAATGTCCCGACATCACTGCAGTGACAAGTACAGACACTTGGTCACAACAGCTTGTTAAACATGATGAGGTCAATTTCAGAACACGCACAATTAAGCAAAACATCCACGACCAACTGTGTCAGGGCCACAACTGTCACATTTCTTTCACATACTAAAGCGCTCGGTTCCAAATCAAAATAAGTAGTATCTATCTTGTTTTCCTAAAGTTTTAAGAACGGCAAAGTGGCTTTGTTGCGCTGACTTGGCCTTAAAGGTGATATGAACAGATCGACGCTGTACACGTACACGTTTGCCCAAGTGCGTGAAGGGCAAGCATGTGCTGTCCTTCCTCTAGCACCCGCTACTCACGCACTTTGCAAACAACAGAAAGTATACATCGCACAGCAGCGCTCCTGCCAAACGACGGCGGCCTGTAATCAAACCAGACAATCAAGTGATGGACCAGAAAGTCAGTAAGGATATAGCGCATTTGCTGATTTTCTTGACACTAAAAACGATATGTGAATTCTGAATTACGTTAGCTCTGTACAAGTGCAGAGATTCTGCATGGAAGCTTGCTCCATATCAATTTCATAACAAATAAATAGATGTTTCATTGTCACACCTGTGCAGTACCTTGACGGACAAAGAACGTCTTGTTTTCGAAAGTAAGTACACCATAAATCGCCACTGTTCGTGACGTTCACATTGAAAGAGAAGAGATAACAAGGATTAGATTGTGATTAACACTTGATTTGTTCATCCATGTGACTACAGTGTGTTGGATAGGATCTTTCATCCACATGGTCGATGTTGTTCCTCAGCGATTTGCCGGCACGCACTAAGTTGCATTCTCGCCTCCAGGAAACCCACACCAACCGTCATACACCACGTCACATGGTGCGTTGCTGGGATCTACAGGAAGCTGCTTGTTGTTCACAGACCTGTCATGGTCCGATGGCAGAATCGTGTGGGTTTGGCACTGGTCTCCCATTGAACAGGTGCTACCTGAAGTAAAATATTACGACTCATTGCTGATTACTGAAGGCTAATGTCCGACATATACTGAAAAGAAAGATATAAAACATATTGAAATATATTGAAACACTGGTACAGAAGGAAATTCCAATGTATAAAGGCTAAAAATAGAAATAGAAATTGAATCGGCGCGTCATGATTAAACCTGGGCATCGGAATTTTTGTATTTCTAAAATCATTTTATCGTTTATTCAGTTTTTCGGTCATCGGGCACTGTCTTAAGTTTGCTTCGACGAATTAGGGGCTGTGGGGTAGCCTAGTGGTTAAAGCGTTCGCTCGTCGTGCCGGGTTCGATTCCCCACATGGGTACAATGTGTGAAGCCCATTTCTGGTGTCGACCGCCGTGATATTGCTAGAATATTGCTTAAAGCGGCGTAAAACCATACTCACTCACTCACTCAGCGAGTCATGTAAGCGACGACAGAGCGTAAGAGTTAGGCAGACTTGCATGTTATGGCCTCTTGCAATTGAAGATTTGAAATGATTATTAATAAAAAAGGCCTAAAGACATATTGCTTATCATTGTGATGTCTCTCTGTCAAAGATTATGGCTTTGCTCACGGACTACTCTGTACTGATGAGGGGGCACGGGTGGCCCAGTCGTCTAAGGCGCCGCGATTCGCTGTGCAGAGTTGCGTCCCTTTGGCACGCCAGAAACCTAGGATTGTGGGTTCGAATCCCGGTTCGCCCCGATTATGTTTCTAGGTTTGTCAGCACCATACCCGTGCTCGTGGGTTTCGCCGAAGTGGTAAACGTCTGAGACCTGCATCACTTCGGGCTTTCCTCCAACATTAAGCTGACACGCCGTGATATAACTGGAATACTGTTAAAAGCGGCGTTAAACCCAACTCACTCACTGATGAGCATGGCCATATTTTTTTATCGAGGACGAGTATTTTTTTTTAAAGCAGATGGAGGCTGAGTTTTTTATTTACACAAAACCAATTATGAGCTGTGTTTTTTTAATGAAACCTAAAATACCGGCCTCTCACACTATTAGAATGTAAGGTAGGGACTTGCCCACCGTCATGTGTCTCTATTGAATATATGATACTCGAAACTGACTTTTGTTATGCAGTGCAAGATAATACATCAGGGTGGCCTATCATGGAATGTATATTGCGTCAACAAACACAATCGATGTTTTGTCCGTCGCGCCATTTGTTGAAAACACGAGGGAAACAATAGGAAGGTAACACAAAACGAATTGTATTCGACTGTATTCAGCTTTATATAATTGATGCAGTAATCCACATTACACCAACAGTGATCGGCTGTTAACGCGATGTTTGTGGCAGGTAAAGCAATTGTGTTCACATATCGTGCTGCTGTGTGATCAATGCGCAGGCAGTGTGTTGGCGTGACACTATGTTGGCGTGACACTATGTTGGCGTGGACGAGGTAAATGGACTCAACACGAGGACTTTACCAAAACATGCAATAAACCAAACAGTTTGTCCTGAAAGGATTCTTTACAGGTGAGTCAATGTTATTTCAGCAACAATCGGGCATGAGTGTTTAAAGGAAGTTATTTATCGATAATGATACTAGTCTGCAGATCATGGGAAAATCTGAAGGGAGGTGACCCTACGTGATAATTCTACCACTTGTTGCCCATGTCATAAGCTAACTCCAACAGCCATCTATGAGGACATGGTGTAAACTTTGAGGTAAGTGCTCTTTTCTTTGCCGCTGTTAAAAGTACAAGAGGGAAAACGAAGGTACCTTATATATAGCTTGGTATAGAGTACTCTTGAAAGCCATGCTTGTATTTGTTTGATTTGGGTTGTTGTTTTGTTTAACGCCGCACTCAGCAATATTACAGCTATATGACGTCGGTCTGTAAATAATCGAGTCTGGACAAGACAATCCAGTGATTAATATCATGAGCATCGACCCACGCAATTGAGATCGATGACATGCATCAACCAAGTCGGCGAGCCTGACCACCCGATCCCGTTAGTCGCCTCTCACGACCAGCATAGTCGCCTTTTACGGCAAGCATGGTTTGCTGAAGACCTATTCTACCCTGGATTTTCACGGGCCGCCATGCTTGTATCATATGAGTAAGTGAGTTGGATTTAACGCCCATTTGAACAGCATTTCAGTTATATTATAGCGTGTCAGCTTAATGTGGGAGGAAAGGCCGAAGTGATAGATATACTTGGTATTTACCATTTTGGTGAAACACGGGTACCCAAGAAACATTGTCACAGGGAATCTGTCATGAAAGAATTCAAAACACAATCCACAAGCATGTTGTGTTGCATATAACAAAATTGGTGAAATGTAACTCGTCATTATGTTGTATTTAGCAATAATGTTTCTTGGTTGTATGGAGTAGCATTAACATTAATACAAAATGTTGCCGTAGCCTTGTCCAAACATAAACATGCCAATAAGAAACGTACATGATTGGGTGGAAAGCACTTATTATTTGTTGCCTACATTTCGTTGCCTCATTCCTTGGTACGAGATGGCTAAGGTACAACTGTGACCATCTGATTGGCGTGTTGTAAGTTGACACTTACGTACGCTAAGCTACTATTTGTGTATTCTCGGGTCAGACCAGGATCAAATCAGGCGGCTTGGGAACATTGAAGATGTCCGCTTCTCACGACTATAGACTATTTATGTATTCACAGCCCTTTGTTCAGTTGTAACCAATCATTCATGAAAATTCGATCGCTCATGCTAGACTGATTCTAAGTGGAGTTCCTCTTTATATACACGAAGAAGCCTCTCATACAGAGTGAATCCCAGCTGAACAACTCATCTCAATAACCATGTGGAGCGGTCGGGTAGCCTAGTGGTTAAAGCGTTCGCTCGTCACGCCGAAGACCCGGGTTCAATTCCCGACATGAGTACAATGTGTGAAGCCCATTTCTGGTGTCCCCCGCCGCGATATTGCTGGAATATTGCTAAAAGCAGCGTAAAACCACACTCACTCACTCAATAACCATGTTGTTGTCATTCTATTCTGTTGCCCTGTGCATTCTGGTGCTTGGACAAAACTAACGGGGACCTGTAAGGTTTCATACCAATGATCAAGTACTAACTGCTTGGCTGATCTATTGATCAGTTTTGTCTATGATACTTCTAATGGTATGGGGGCGGTCGGGTAGCCTAGTGGTTAAAGCGTTCGCTCGTCACGCCGAAGACCTGGGTTCGATTCCCGACATGGGTACAATGTGTGAAGCCCATTTCTGGTTTCCCCCGCCGTGATATTGCTGGAATATTGCTAAAAGCGGCGTAAAACCAAACTCACTCACTCACTCTAACGGTATGATTCAGATACATGGCAGAATGTCAGATCTGTTCCCTGTCCATGAGAGATCTCACACTACCACAGATTGATTTTGTATAACTATACAGCTTGAACTAATTCCGATCCAAAAATCCGATCCGATAATTAAGGCAGCCATGTGATAAAACTGTACAGGTAGAAAGAATATCAAAAACATGTTTCTGGTTATTAATATGGCGGAAGGTCTTAACTCGTTGAGGAGAGTTCTCGCGAACACCTGGTGTCATCATAGATTTTCAGTGATCCATTCGTATAATTTTCATCACTATTTGCATTTTAAGCCCAGTGAAATCTATTTCTGGATTGTTCTTGTTCTTGTTCTCTGGCACTGACGTTTTTTTCATTTGGTCGATTTTTACATACAAAAGGAGCACATTTAAGCTTCCGAATTAACTGTTAAGAGACTATGTACTATTATTTATATGTGTATCATGTACGTATCTCACCACGACCAATTTGAGGCAATACGGGGGCCACAATGTGATTGATGAAAACATTCTGCCTGTATACAAGTTTAGAGAATAACCAATAGGCTAAGAGGAAACACGGATTATCTATCGCGAGTGAATGTCAGGGACTTACAGTCATCATTCACATGGGATGGATAATCAGCCATTCTGATTTGGAACAGGTATTTTTATATATGGCTCATTGACGAGAACATGAAGAAAATGTCAACCCCAAAAGGAAATTTCACTGAAGGAAATCTGTTGTTCAGATGACGTAATGTAATCAATTTGAGACGTAATGAACAATGCATGTCGTCATGTCATTTTCCCAACAATGATGCACTGTGACGTCAAATGGCTTCAACTGACCAATCAGAAGGGAGTATCGCTAAAATGGAGCTATGCAAATATCAGAAAGTTAATACACACACGATCATTGTATCATAATGGCTAATATACTTATATTATCACCTGCAGGTGAAGACATTCCTCCCACATGATGACACCGTACAGGTGCTTTAAAGATGGCACATGAAAGTGTCGGTGCTGATCAGATTACATTCAACAGACTTCAAGGTGTGTATGCTTAGTAGTAAAGCTCAACATATAAACACAGCACTGAAAAGAAACTGCATCCTACTTTTCAGAAGCCCAGTTGCCCAGATTCGATCACCTTGAGCGCCACAATATAGACGTAATATTGCCGAATGCAAATTGGTTCCATATGGATGAGCACTTTGTGGTAGGCTAGCCAACACTTCTCTTATAATACCCTGTGCTATGTTGTTCTGTGCAATGCACCGTGCTTGTTCAAGGGACATCACACAGAACAAAACATTGACCGCGATTAATCAAGAAGTTCCTGAAGACATAAAATATCGTTTATCAAGCCTAAATTGACCTCATTGTAATTCATTTTATATGAAATGTGACCGTCTCGTTCCACAACAAATTTAACTCAAACCCCGTAGGTTATTTTCATTACTTAACTAAAGCTTTCGCTTTAAATGCTCTCTACAGAGTCAAAACCGTCAGTCGGATATATAAGGTTTTCCTACATCGCGCTAGTTGTAGAGCGTCCGCCCGGAGAGCGGAAGGTCCGGGGTTCGATCCCCGGCCGCGTCATACCAAAAGACGTTAAAAGATGGTACTTGTTGTTACCCTGTCTGGCGCTCGGCATTAAGGGGCTAAAACAAGGACTGGTCGGCTCGGAGTCAGTATACTGTGTCTGAGTGGGATATTCATGTTAAACTGCGGCATGGTATCTCAGTGAGCTAGCACTATAAATCGGCATCAGTCCGGACTAGTACAAGCAGCCACACACACACACATACACGTGCATGCACGTCGCTATATAAGTGCAATAATCTTGGACGCGACGTTAAACCCATTTCACCTCACCTCCTACATCGCGCTCGTGCCAATTAAATACTATGTCCGCGTGTAATGGGTCGACTATGGATGACCATTTCTTGCATAAGTCATGTATTCCCACGATGCCTTTCCGAACATCCACACCGTTTACGAGTAAAACTGTTAAGTTGTAAATAAGTGAGTTCGTTATTTGGGTTTAACGCCGCTTTTAACAGTATTCCAATTCTTGTGCTGACAAACCATCACCATAGGTTTCTGCCGTACCCAAATTTCTGGCGTGCACATCAAATTTCGGTGCCTTAGATGACAGGGTAACCTATAATATACACTATAAGGCTACGCTAGTAACGTGTGTTTGTAAGATATGTGTTCAGCTGTTGCAGTGTATATTCGCGTATTACGTAATGATTGTTCACTATTAATTCATAATTGAATTCAGAACTGGTTATAACATGTTTTTAATGAGAATTTCACCAAACTAGACGCGTCCTCAAGTTCTCTAGATTCCGCAACAGTCAGCAATATTTCAGTGATATTCCTGTAAATAATCGAGTCTCAGCCGATTCGAGCAACGACCCTTGATAACCCCATGCTCCTTCCTCTAATTCTCACCAGTAAACCTCAAGTGGGGAGGGGAGCGGACTAAAACATGTTAGGAACCTCAGGTTTATTACTTTATATTTCCCGGATCACTTGTCCATGTTAGTAAATGTAGAGGAGAGGTGAAATGGGGTTTAACGTCGCGGTCAAAATTATTGCACTCAAATGTGTGCAATGTCCACTAAAATGAGTCAGTGGGTCAATTGGTTTAAAGCGTGACTGCAGTTTTTGAAAACAGAAAATAAATGAAATGTACAGGAGGTACATATACTAGTAGCTTACATATGAACTGTTTCCACATTTGCATGAAATTGTAAAGTCATTCGTGCATTCAATCCTAATATCAACATTTAAAAGACGCGAGGTTTTCTTGAATGTATACCCCGTTTAGATTCCAGGGTACTAAACGTTCCCGGAGGTATCCGATGCATATGGTTTCAATAATTATTTGAGAGAGAAGGTCTAGTCAGTAGTGAGGTGAGGTTAAATTGGGTTTAACGTCGCGTCCAAGATTATTGCACTTATATAGCGACGTGCATGTACGTGTGTGTGTTTGTGTGGCTGCTTGTACTAGTCCGGACTGATGCCGATTTATAGTGCTAGCTCACTGAGATACCATGCCGCAGTTTAACATGAATATCCCACTCAGACACAGTATACTGACTCCAAGCCGACCAGTCCTTGTCTTAGCCCCTTGATGCCGAGCGCCAGACAGGGTAACAACAAGTACCATCTTTTAACGTCTTTTGGTATGACACGGCCGGGGATCGAACCCCGGACCTTCCGCTCTCCGGGCGGACGCTCTACCACTAGACCACGGAGGCGGTCTATTCAGTAGAGGGGGGTGCCTGCCCATAATACATTACAACATGATCATTCCATAGAGCGAACTAATGAGAAGAAATTTGGAGCGTTCAATGAACGTTAGTTTGGCGCTCAGTTACAATATGGAACCTAGCTGAGTGTTTTCCCTTATACCAACGTCTTCTACTATCAACCACTGGTTTAATGATAATATTTCATTATGTGCATCCAGGTGTGACACACCTTTCATTATTACTGTGACGATTACTACATTTAAGCAATTACATCAATACAGGTCTTTTTGAGATTTTTAAATAAAGGCCCCAACAGTAAAATGTGGAACTTTTTGTCTACTCACACAAAATGTGAATTGGGTAGATTGTTTTCTGACGATAATCCGAGACAGATCAGATCATTAAACGTGACGAAACTCTGTAGTAAACGTCGACAAGTATTTCTTAAGAGCAGTTATATGTTCCAAACATCCATCCCAACAAATGATAAAATATCTCATGTTGCTTTTGACTCCTTTTCAGGTTCCCAATGTCGACAATGCTTGGCTATAGCTCAAACTGATTCGCGGGATATCCCTTTACCTGAAAGTAGATACTTACCAATTCATGTAGATGTCACCTTGATCAATCCACAAACAGAGTCAAACGGAACAAAGGATCACAGAAAATCAAAAGAGCATCGCGAATCACAAGGTTGCAGCAGTTCAAAGGTTTACAGCAAGACAAGAAATCGAAGAAGGTCAAAAGATCGCAGCAGCGCAAGGGATCGCAGCAGGTCAGAAGATCGCAGCAGCGCAAGGAATCGCAGCAGATCAAAGGATCGCGGCAGGTCCAGGAATCGCAGCAGAACAAGGAATCGCAGCAGGTCAAAGGATCGCAACAGGTCAAAGGATCGCGGCAGGTCAAGGAATCGCAGCAGGTCAGAAGATCGCGGCAGGTCAAGGAATCGCAGCAGAACAAGGAATCGCAGCAGATCAAGGCAAAGAAACACATCAACAGGGCAGCGCAGTGCAAGTAATAAAAACGTGTCAAGAAAATGTAAAAGAAACGCATTCATAAGTGAACTTTTGATAAAGATTTCGGCACTCCGCAACAGTAGAGGGGGAGCAGTGTTAATACATTTAGCAGGTCTTGCAGAAAATGACAAATGCCTGGACTATTTACATGAACTGATTGATGACAAACTTAATTCTATAATCGAGGACGGAAAGCTTTTTGTTAACGTTTACAAAAAGTGTTGGTTACCTGTTGAAGACACTATCTTCAGAGAATTTGTTGCAGTCATTGTCTTGCCATCTACAACAGTCGTTACTGCAGATTTCAATACAAAGATACCCTTGGATAACAGCATTGAAGATCCCACAAACAGCACAGTGAAGACGTTTCTAAGAGACAAGACAGTGTTTGAGGATAGACGAGCCAGAATAAGAGGCATAACAGGTGAAGATATACAAGAGCGTCGTTGTGTGCAAGTGAAGGGTTTTACACATCAAGATGTCACTCTCAAAGAAGAACTGCTTAGAGAAAATAGTAAACTAAGTGACTACATCTGGAAGGAATTAAAATTAGGACAGTACATAAGCGCGTTTTCAAAAATAGAAGGAGGGGGCTCGTTTTACTTGGGTATTGTTGAAAAGGTAGTTGAACGGGGTTCCTACAAGTCCAAAACAGTTGAAATTGATGGATTTAAACTTGAGGAGGAACGTCATACAGATTTAATAAACATACTTCTCAAGAACATTGTTGATGAAATGCTGATGCTGTCTTATGACAACACAACTCTTCACTTACAGTTGAACTCTTCTGAAGTAGATGAATTCCTAAAGATTGCCTTCCATTGCGTTCAAAATAAACCAGGCTACTACGTTCTAGAAGTTGCAGTTGGAGCAGTGGACGGAATCATGTTTTATGACAAACACGGGCCTGCGTCATATGAAGTTATCAATCAAAATACATTGAACAGGTTAGATGTCAATGAATGGTACATGCGGCTCATGAAGGAACACTTGTCTGAAATTTGAGAAAAGGTTCGTACGTTTTGTGTATTGTTTGCTTGAGAAAAGACTGCATGTGTCCTTTATGTAATTGCTTGCTTGCTCATTTCCCATGACAAAAATACATATTAAGGAATGACAATGCTGCTTCATTTGTTTCCCCATATATACTACTCAAAAGAAGTTAAGGATCACCCAATTCTTTCATATTGGTAATGTTAATCTGTCATGGCATGAGTGATTAACTATTGTAATATGAAAGAATCAGGTGATCCTCAACTTCTTTTAAGTAGTATACATTGCATACGAGGTCTCCGACTTCAAAACTTCTGGTTGTCACAAATTATCCTATGGAGATGATGATGATGATGCTGTTGCTGCTGATGATGGAGACGATGTCATATTAATCTGTTAAAACGTTGCTCTCATTTTCTTTTTTCAGTGTTCACCATGGCGATGGAAGGTCCAAAGCAAATATTAGACGGTGAGAAAATTGATATTACTGATTGATAACACTTGCATATTGCTCTGTGTTGCAGTTCCAAATATACGTCTATTTTGTACATGCACCAATATGGTCAAATGTAGGTGACAAATGGCGACATTAAAGGTACATGCGAATGAGGAAGTGATATTTCACGCTGAGTTTACGTCACGGCAACGTGTCAATAGTCGAGTCTTAGATGATTAATGTTAAAACATTTATCTTGGTAATGTCAATGTTTGATCTGTTATCAATCTTCACATCTTTCAGCTACTCTGAATATGGACCACGTTACGGACATTGCCATCAAATCATTTGACCAGCGTCCACCCCAAGTCAAGCAGATAGGCAACGGTCAAGAGAGGATAAAACAGCATGTTTTGATAGAACATGATGAACGTGCAGGTGACTACTGCTTGTATGCCATTTCTTAAATGTGTTTCTGCACAAAGGAAACAAATCGTAAGACATTCGATACTTAATAAAGATAATTTTTCTTCAAACATACACAGTAGTCTCAAGTGGTTATCAAATATATGTAGGGGCGGTCGAGTAGCCTAGTGATTAAAGCGTTCGCTCGTCACGCCGAAGACCCGGGTTCGATTCCCGACATGGGTACAATGTGTGAAGCCCATTTCTGGTGTCCCCCGCCGTGATATTGCTGGAATATTGCTTAAAGCGGCGTAAAACCATACTCACTCACTCACTCAAATATATGTAAAAAGTCAACGCCAGGAATAACCAGTCTCGATTATCTTCAAGATTCCAATGGACATGAAAAGCAAAATAGCTGTAAACATCATATGAATTATATGGACCAGGTGCTCACCAAAGCGTGTCTAACTCGAATGAAACTATATGGTTTATGGGCTTTTGTCATGTGAGCAGTAGCTACTAGTATTTGGTGCATTGAAACATATGATATGAATATATCATCTGTTGATACAAACATATATACATTTATTTCTTGCCCGTGTGGAGATCACCCGTTTAAACACAGTGTTCAGTATACCAAAGCGCTTGAATATGTACTGCGGGAACGAGTTTCACTAACAAATATTGAAAACTCCCAACATTATTCAACGACATTGCGTGTGAAGGTGACTGATCACTGAGAGGAGTTTAATACATAACAGAATTATTCACGAGTTTCATAAAATTGGTATTGCACGAGAATTGCGCTCGTCAGATACCAGAACTACTGACGAGTTTCATAAAACTTGTATTACATGGGAGCGAGTTTAGTTTTCTATATGTATGTCAGGGCTACGTATTATCAGGGTATATACTGAGGAAGTCTTTGCCATTTTGTTTGAATCAAGCGTTTCGTTTATATAATAAGCACCATGTATCATATAAATAAAATATATGGTGACAGTCCAATTGCTATCCTTCACATTCCAGATCATGTCGCTATTTATCCAAGAGTTTTGGACCAAGAGGGGCAACGCCTGTCACTGCTATTAAAACAACGTCTCCATGCATCAAACAGCGTTGGTCTTGCGTACATAGCAAGGAACCTTGCTGTTTCTGCAAACTTTCCTGCGAAGCCTAAGCCTGACAATGTCCTTCTTGACGTTTGTTTGATTACACAGAAGAAGCCAACCTTAATCCTAAGTGTAGTGAAGGACGTAGACACAAATTCCTCAACAGCTAAGCGATATAATCTATCACTAGCTAAAGGTGTGAATGATGCCATACGGAGATTTACTGATCAACAGTTCAGCTCAATGTATGGCCTCATATCTGAGAAGGATCTTTCTGAACAAAGTGCCTTTGATAATGTACTTTCGAATATAAAGAAAGCGGTATCAAGGATTTGTGTAACTGGTTCTCTATCAATGTCTGTTCAGAAATATAACAAAGTCCTTAGTGCATTTCTGAACTACATTGCCGTCACTCGTTATGTTATTGGAGCTGCCAATGATGCCTCAACACTATGGCTACTTACAATTGAACAATTTCGCATCCTGACCGAAAATGTCAGCAACAAGGAAGTGTCGGTTTTAGCTGAACCGTATTGCGGGGGCCATGTTCTGCAAAATGAAGTTGCATCCCGACTTGATAAAGGAGGTCCCACAATGCTTATCTTGTACTGCAGAAGTCGACATTTGGAGTTTGCAAGGTTAGATTGATCTTGTAGATGTTCATCGATAACGATATAATATGAGCATACTTATGTCACAACGTCTACTTTACTTGACCAATCGCAGCAATCATGTATTCTGTTTCAGAAGAACTTCAGTTTGCACCCACGTGTTTACCCTGGATGAAGCTATGGAGGAACTGAGAAGAAGAAGTTTACCAACAGAAGTTGAAAACGTAGTTACAGACTGTACGCAGAGTGAAATTGAAAATTTGGGACTTCATCCTAAAAGCATCTGGTATTTTCGCTACAGTGGAGGTTTGTCTTTGACATGCTGTCAGAAATTTAATAGGTTTTAGGAATGGTACATGGGACTGACACATACACTAATGAAACAGGTGTAATTGTCTTTGAAATGCAATTGTTGTAGTGATACAATGGTTAGATATTGTTACATGCTATACAAATGCCTGATATGTTATCAAGAAGAAGAATGAATGTTACTGTGTTTTTACAAATATAGGTTCAAACCAGTCACGTAAATCCAATTGCATGGAAAACTAAAAGTTTATACTTATGTTTCATATGTAACAAATGTTATATTTGGGATAACACTTTCTTAGTAAAGTACAGATTCTCGTACTGTTTTGGGTTGAATCCCGTCCACCCACAAGGCCAGAGTGAGACACCTCAACCCCCCCCCCCCCCCCCCCCCCCCCACACACACACACACACACACACACACACACCCCAAACCAGAATCTGTACCTTACTGAGAAAGTGTTATCCGGAATATAACATTTGTTACATTTGTTACATTTGTTTCAATAGATACGTCTTTTCCAAAACATACTGCATGAAATAATTGTGTTATTCTTAGACGAAATATATTACAACACGTATACAGTACTTATAACAAAACAAATGAAACAGTTTGGTAATTATGAGTACACGATGAAAGTAGTTTTTTATTTATATCAAATATTATTTTGCTAAGTTTATTTTTCTTATATTTCAGCTGAACGTCAAAAACATATAGCCTACCTCAACCGGGAATTAGACGTCCTAGGGCTAGTTCATCTGAAGAGTCGTTTACAGGCAAGTGTCAGTTCAAATACGAAGGCTAGCTATTGTGCAATAATTAATGTACATCTTGACTAATAGGATAATAATTCCACCAATGATTACGGGAATGTTTGGTGTATATTCTAAGCATGTTCAAAGAATACAGAAATATGAGGTTATTTGTCAAAATGAGAAACAAAATTACATTTCAGAAGGGCCGTGCAGATCAAATAAAGCCCGTGTCAGGAAAAGGTACCAGTATTTGAAGTATTTTGTCTTACAAACCTTGAGTAACGTGATTTCAATATGGCGAAAAATTACATGTACTAAAATACACATTTACCTCAAAGTCAAACATATATTATCACGCACAAGGGAACCGACAGTTTCTATTGTTGTTTATTGGGTTCAAAAATAATATGTAGATGTACGTATGTAGATGTACTGAATTAACATTGATTACCTTCCTCTGCAGTTGATGGATGCGATGACAGTACTTCAGCCGTTACATTAGGAGAGAAGAAAACGCTGGGGACAATTCTCGATCAGAAAGGAGATTTATCCAGATTTTTACAAATGGTAATGGATCTTCGAAACTATTTATCAGTTCTTTGCATTCTGATAATGCCTACCATAAGATTAAAAATATACACAAATAAAATCACTGGAAAATACTTTCCATAATTTCTGAACCTTTTGAAAGGACTGTACAGCTCATGCAACTGCTGATGTCTCAACATTCATTGTCCATCAATAAGTCCATCAATTTCTTAACATTCTATGCATTTTAATATGTAATAATTCCAATCGTCAATATCATTCTACCATAGTCGATGACAAAGGAAAAGCGGTCAATCCTCTATAACCAGGAAAAGGTGTTCTTCTTGCGTGACGGTATGTATAGAAATTGCAGAGGTTGCGATAGAATTTTTCACGCCCTACCTAAACCGTTCAATATGTTTAAGTTAGTAAGTGAGTTAAACTTTAACGAGTGTTTACAGTAGTCTGTATTTTACGCTATTTTAATTTAAGTTATTCGGCAAAAGACAAATTTACCGACCACTTTGGGTCTTTCGTTCAAACAGAATACTTGCATTGAGAAACCTTTGACATTGCTTGCTTTACTTTCACAGTATCATTTGTGCAACGTAATCTTCTTATTTTTGGTCTGTTTGTCAGTTCACCAAATGTAAACGATAGGATGTGTATGTGCAGGTGGATGTGACCGATGTCTTCTCTGGCAAGAAGGTGCAAGATTGCTGTGAGCGTGTGTTAAAAGTTTTTCGTAAGAGAGATAATAAGTCGCCACATAATAATCTTGTCTGTTGTGTTGTCCGTTTCTTCTAGAGCACATTATTGTCAGTGGGAAACAAGAATGAGACTCGCATTAGATGTTAAAGAGTTGAATATAATTCGGTCATCAAGCAAAGATATATATCGGTGACGTTGACATAATCTGAAGAACGCTTTGACTAATTATGTACTCACTACCATTGAGTGAGTTGGGTTTAACATTATTCCAGTTATATCACGTCGTGTCAGCTTAATGTGGGAGGAAAGTCTGATGTGATGCAGGTCTCAGACGTTTACCACTTCGGTGAAACCCACGAGCACGGGTATGGTGCTGACAAACCTAGAAACGTAATCGGGGCGAACCGGGATTCGAACCCACAATCATAGGTTTCTGGCGTGCCCAAGGGACGCAACTCTGCACAGCGAATCGCGACGCCTTAGACGACTGGGCCACCCCTGCCCCCGTACTCACTACCAAACGAAACGCGAATACCATACATGTTGGTTAATATATGAAGAATCACTCCTATTCAAGGGATTGTTCGATGCACAAACGAACCTACTGGTATGTTGTGTGAACCGACGCTGTTCAACGCAGCACATGCGATCCATGACTCGAGATGCACCATTTGTCTCGTGTAGGATTAGCGTGTAAAGTTTGAAAACCACGTGCAGCATGTCGTGATAAGAATACAGTAAAGTACGGTTATAACGAACTCAAGGGGAATACTAATTTTAGTTCGTTATAACCGTAGTTCGTTATAAGCATATATACAGCATAACTACAGCAAATAGTCTGGACCAAAAAAGTAAGTTCGTTATATCCGTCAGTTCGTTACAAGCGTGTTCGTTAAAACCGTAGTTTACTGTAAATACATTCTGTGGTAACAAAACTGAGTGTTAGTTTTGTCATTTATTAGTTCACATTGGAAACACCTCTTCTCAGCTGACAAGGGGCGGTCGGGTAGCCTAGTGGTTAAAGCGTTCGCTCGTTACGCCGAAGACCCGGGTTCGAATCCCGACATGGGTACAATGTGTGAAGCCCATTTCTGGTGTCCCCCGCCGTGATATTGCTGGAATATTGCTAAAAGCGGCGTAAAACCATACTCACTCACTCACTCAGCTGACATACTTCCCATATGTTTCTATGGTTCGCGTTTTTTTTGGTAGTGAGGATATATGCATATGTGAATCGTTAACGTGGCTTGGATTGATACATTCAAATAAATAGTAGTCATATTTTAAGTATGCTCCACTTAACTAGCACCACACCTCAGTATAGAACAGTTGTGCCATTCTTTAGACGAGAAAGAAAATAAGCCTCCGAGTCACTAATGTATCTCAATACTGTTTTAATTTGTTTCAGTCGCAAAGAGTTTGAATGAACACCACATCAACGTTGAAAGGGTAATTACTAATTATATATCATTGTTTGTCCATTTGACATACGTTGTCATAATTGACCTTTGTAATACACCTGTATGGTCACCTTAAGGAGGTACCAGAAACACTGATTTAATTTAATGAAAAGACTTAAAAACATTTTGTGTGTTTGATTCGAATTGTGAAGATTGGTATGTTTCAGGCAATGGGTGTCACTGGTGCTGATAACATCCTGTTTCGGAACAAAGGTTCGTTTTCACTTTGAATGGTAATTATTCCACAGTTAAAACGTGAAAGGGGGCGGTCGGGTAGCCTAGTTGTTAAAGCGTTCGCTCGTCACGCCGAAGACCCGGGTTCGATTCCCGACGTGGGTACAATGTGTGAAGCCCATTTCTGGTGTCCCCCGCCGTGATATTGCTAAAAGCGGCGTAAAACCATACTCACTCACTCACTAAAACGTGAAAGACAGGGACCGTCAGATGTTCAGTCGTAATATACAACTCAAAATAAAACGACGTACACGTAATATATCTGCGTCTTTGATTTCTGATTTAGGGGAGGACAAACGTATTGAAAAAAGAAAGAACCCACCACTAAACGTAAGTAGTTATTAATGATATATCAATTAAGATATTTCATTTGTCATACCTGTACATGTAGCATGTGTTATGCGTGCATAACACGACGATGTGTTGAAAAAATATGTCCCCTGTGACTGATATGGCGCGAATGACGTGTTGCCCTTATCAACTGAAATTTCACTTTATACTAAAACCTTCTCAGGCATAATGTAATCTCGTTAGTAATGCCATCGAAGCTGTCTTACGAAGATGACTACAACGAGGTACTGTTTGGTATATATCGGTCTAATAGAAAATCAAAATGGGATGGTATTAAAGCACAATATTTCCTCAGGAAACACATACGCCTCTGTATTTCCGTAGAAGCTGCACAAAAGAAGAAAGTGTGAAACGGGCTCCCCAGAGAGTTGTGTTCGAAGCCGTAGTATCAGTTTTACAAAGAGTGATGAAGTTGAAAGGAATCAGAGACTCAAAGGTACAGTCGGTTTTTTTAAATTACTGTTACTTGTCCGCAATGGCTGAAAAAAGCCCTCATTTGTGAACTTAATATACCTCTGCTGTCTGCATGATATCCTAACATAATTTATAAAATCCTCTCTGGTGATCATAATTAAGCACAAATATATATATGAATATATGAAAATACACTGAATGATGTCGCCTTACAAATCCTTAGAGGATACAGTCCTCTCGATCTCATACTGTACCATGTTTTGAATGGTCATTTTGTATTAACAATACACATGCTTATCTAAATAAACCAAACATTCGATATCTGATATACTACCACATGTAATTTATTAAAGAGATAAAAAAAGATAAATGTGCGCTCCTCTTTCGTTATTTTAATTTCTTTTATCGAAAATTATTTGACAGATGGTGACGATATTGCTGAACTAAAGAACAAGGTGACAGAAATGGAGAAGGTAAAATTGTCGAACCATATTGATAATAAATAAAACATAAGCGACACAGCTCTTTCCATAATTATAACAAATATCTTTCAAAACGCAGAGTGCATTGTACGCTCCCGACGATATCATAAGCATGTGTTTATGAATAATGTTTTTAAACACTTTCCATAACCTACTGAACACAATGGAAGACCACCTGATAACGCTGACATTAACATGACTCACGTGATGCATTACTTGGTTATTAAGATTGCATTTTGCAATATGTTAATTTTGCATTTGAAATTTATAATGTATGAATATTTTCGAATGCCGAAGACCTACCTATTTGTTGTACTTTATCTATTTGTTACAGGAGAGAAACCACAAAAGACAACAACGAGTTTCTCTAAGTACTGGTATGTACATTGCATGTTATACTGATATAGGTTTTTTCATAATTTACATTTGTAGTCATTTTGAAAACATGTTGTAGTGGGTTGTGTTTATTTTACCTAAAATCATCTTTTATTTGTGACTGCTTGTCGTCATCAGTTGAATGGCAGGCCGTGATGGACCACTTGACAAGAAATGCTGACGTCATAGCTGAGTTTGAATCAATGGTACCAGAATGGATATCGGTGAGCCTTGAATGTAAACTGTAATATTTCCAAGTACCCAACACACACATTCTTGTATCTGTATACACTGGTTTCCCAGACTCAAAAAGTTAACATAACTGATTATGATCCTACAAATGATTGAATGCACCAATGTTTGTTAAGTATAAAGATTTTTTGTTCCAGGCTCTCGTTGGAAATCAAGGATCCTCCATTAAGCATAGAAATGGTACAGACATTATCCCAGGTAACACTTTGTTAACCGTCACGGACGTACACATCATCCAAATGCAAATTTCAAAACACACTCTTATTGTTATTCATTTGTTCTAATTTGCCCTTGCATATCTGCAGACATCGACAGAAATGGGAACGTTAAGAGTGGATTGCCTTATAGTCTGACAGAGTTCCAGTTGGGAACAGCGAGGAGAAAAGAGCTGTTATCAATGACAAAACAGGTACGCAATGCTAATATTAGATAATACATTTAAATTTACCATGTCACATAGAAGAATACACAATTTAATAGTATTTATACATGCTGAGGGAAACTTGTTTCTTTGCATACAGGACCAATACAATAAGCTTGATCAGTTGCATCAAGGTTGTAAGTCAGAACTATATATGTGTCTGAATTTGTTATGAATTTGTCTGGCATACACTGCCAATGCCCAATTCGTTGCTGATAGATGATTTAGTGTCTGATCTATCTGAATACCTTTGCTGAAAGTGTTCACATAAAAACGCGAAAGTCTTGTAGAGTCAATTTAAACTTCGTGTTGAAACTACCACTCCCATAATACCGAACAAAACTTATTTCCTCTTCTAGATCATCACCGAGGACCACATCAATCAAACCAAGTTCCAGACTGAGAGTTGCAGCTTAGAAAATGATGTTGCCTTAAGTAATATATAATCTTAATTGTAATTTTAATGCAATTTTAATACACCAGTACTTTTAATCATGGTAACAGTGAGCAACCATTATTTTAGAAACTGAGAAAGGGGCACATCTGGACAGTTAACTTAACTTGCTTTTGCATGTGTTTTTTGACGGAATCGTACGATCTTCTCTGTTTTTGGCAGACATTTCTTATAAATATGGAAAGGGGTTTGTCGCTGTTAGGATAATATAAACATTGAATGTCAATTGGAAAACGTGTATCATGGTACATTAGCTTTAATGAATATGTACCATAGATTTCATGAATACACAGTAAACCTGTTGCAATTGTTGTGTAGCAATACAAGCTGTGAGAATGAATAACCATTTGCTTTTCAGAGTTTGGCTGTCCTATCCAAGTTGTTGGAATATCACGTGCATGCTGTCGATTAGTGGCATGTGAGTGTGTTGGTGAATTTAGAACTTGTTTTGAGTTCTTGTAGGCACTGAATCTGTATATTCTCTCATGATCAGTGATCGTATATCGATAGTCGTATATCAATAGTTGTAGAGACCCCCGTTTGATCTAACTTATAATAAAGATAATAAGATTCTTATAAACATTGTAATTTACCACCAGTCTCGTAGCCTAGTGGTTCACATACTGGGATAGAGAGTGTGTGCACACCCGTGAAGATCTCAGGGCAGAGTAGGTCTTCAGCAACCCATTCTTGTCGTAAAAGGCGGCTATGCTTGCCGTAAGAGGCGACTAACAGGGTCGGATGGTCAGGCTCGCTGACTTGGTTGATGCATGTCATCGTATCCCAATTGCGTGGATCGATGGTTATGATATCAATCACTGGATAGTCTTTTCAAGGCTCGATTGTTTACAAACTGCTGTCATATAGCTGGAATTTTGCTGAGTGCAGCGTTAAATAAAAACAACAACAACAAACAAACAAACAATAGTTGTAGAAGGCTGGAGGTGCTGGTATTGCTCGACAAAAAGAAATAGTGATTCCTTTTGTAACACATTCTTGATACTTTATGGCATCATAAATGTTTAGTTCAGGTGGGTAAATCACAGGAAAGGAATTGGCTATTTGACAATTATTGAACGGTATCAGATCATTGATGTATCTGAAATTTTACATAAATGTCTTGGCCAAATTCCCTTGTTTAGATTTTCTAAATCCGAGCGGAAATTCAGATTCTTAAGCATAAAGACGGGGAATACAATTAGTGCCCATGGAAATGCCAATGTCTTCCCGAAATGTCTTTCCACAAATAGATTTTATCTATGAGGAAGTCCCGTATTTCACATATTGTTTTCCGGGTAAACTTCAGAAGACTTTTACTTTCAAGAGAAGTTTTCATTAAGTTTGTCATTATGCTGAATGAAATTAGTGGAAAATTTACTCTTGTCGGCGTGTTTGAACATGTCGTGTGATAGAGTTGTCATTGACGCTATCTTAAAACCCGTATACTTGATTCAATTTGACACTCATACCCGCTCCAATTTTCAGGTCCAAGACTAAATCTGGACGCATCACGCATTGACACAAACTGCTACCACATAACTAAACAAGGTGAATTGGTGAACTCGCCAGGCAAATCACAATCTTCTGACAATCACAAATTTCAAATGTATTGGGGAACATGCAGTTCCACCCTTATTGATCTGACCAATACCCTGCCTACCTCCCAATACTGGGAGATCCATTCTGATGTGGGCGTGATAAAAGGCTGGTGGAGAATCGTCTTGGACTTCGGGGTGGTAGAGGAAGCACAGGTTGACAGAGAACGTTGGGTTTGTTATCAACCGCGCTCCTGGTGTGTGTGTCTAGAGGACTGTGACATCCACAATGGTGTGTGTGCTAAAGTCTTTAAGGAGAAGGAACACGTCAATTGTTTTCCTGATGCTGTGGCCCTAACCTCTGGCACACAAGCCACCCTCCACTATGGCGTTGTGCTGGATGTGGGGAGAGGGAGAGTCTCCTTCATTGATTTGAACAGAGAGATTGTTTTAGGCAAGTTTGATGTTGTGTTCAGAGAAAGCCTTTACCCCGTGTTTGGAGTAACTCCACGATGGGATCGCTACACTGTCAGGATGAAGTTGGTCAGTGGCGAGGACATCGCAATGACTGAAACAAAACGTGATCTCATTTACAAAGCAGTGTCATAGAGTAAGACTATTTCCATAGGACGTGACACAGCACGAAGCAACTGAAGCCATGAAACAATCATTATGGTAGCTGGACTACAACTGCAGCAGTGACAGGTGTGATCCCTGTTAATATCTACAGTAAACTACGGTTAAAACGAACTCAAAGGGACCACTAACTTTAGTTCGCTATAACCGTAGTTCGTTCTAAGCATATATACAGCATATATACATCAAATGGACGGGACTAAAAAATAAGTTCGTTATATCTGTCAGTTCGTTATAAGCGTGTTCGTTATAACCGTAGTTTACTGTAATAATAATATATCAAACGTTTTAAAAGACTTTACTTTTCCATTATGCAATACACTATAGAGCGTTTTTATTTTTTATAAAGCGTTTAATTATTATTGTCATACGTGTTATTAGAAATAACATACATGTACGTTACCATTCACAAATTTCTTTTTTAATTGGTTGCTGACTATGACTAGAACACACAAGAATAATCAGTTCCTCTAAAACATTCCTATTAAGTCTATTTATGTCGAATTCTCAATTATTTGATATAAATTCACAGTGACATATCTTGTCAAATGCCTAAAACGACATAGTCGGATCGACATTTTAATGTCCCCATACATTTACAGTTTCGGCAGAAAATTATTTAAGCTCTGTTTAATGAGCACGAGGACAATGTTTTGACATATTTCAGCTAAGACTTGGTTTTGTCTTTATATTACCGTATTCGACGTAAAAGCGCCCAGGACCCTCTAAAAATTAGAAGTAAGGGGCTCTTATCAAAATATTATTTTGGTGAGAGAAAAAACAGAGTTGAAAGATAAATTTCGTGTTCATGTACGACAGATATATTTTTCCTTAATTTAATTGCCCATAATTAAGTTGCATATAACACACGAGTGCATATCATACGCGAATAAATAAGTCTCGTGAATATTGATCAATCGGAAGGGGTGCTAATTGGGATTGTTCACTAGCCAATATTTTAGCTAATATCACTGTGGGCGCTTATTAGAACGGGGCGCTTATTACGTCGAATACGGTAAGTGAATATAGCATGGTCAGGGGATGTATATATTTTGCGGTGGAACATACAGTGTGCAGGGTGAATGTATGAAATGGAAAGGAATTATAATATATACATGTTTTTGTCAAATTATGAAAACATTATTATATATCATTATATGACCTTGTTCGTAAGATATTCTATTAAAAGTGGAAGTGAAACATTGCAAAAGTTAATTACTATATTCCACATGCTTCCACATTCGAAATAATGAAAAGGTCATTTTTTATACAATGACCGTTTCTTTTAAAAAAAGGCATTGATAAGTAGGATATGTAATTAATGTTCAAAAATGGCCGCCATGTCCAAGATAGCCGCCATGATTTTTAAAAATGATATGCAATTTTGTAGTTTTACATTCATGATATCATGCAATATATCAGAGGAAAGCTCTTTTTATAAGCTTTCAAACAATACCGATTCAACCTTGTGCTATTATAAGGATTTGGTTTATAAACATTCATAGAGTTATTTAACAACTCTTTTGCGGAATACCCGGTAATAGTCAGGTTGGATAGTGCTAAAAACAATCTGAAAGAAAAAATGGTATTTCTGAATTTACAATACTTGAATCAAACTGGTAAACAGTAGGAAACATCCCCTTGTGACAATACAAGAGTTGTAATACTTTCTTACATAAAAGTAGGATAGCCAAGTACTATGAAAATCAAAAATCTGGTGGAGTCGGAAGGATATTAGGATACTGCTCCAAGTGGACACAACTGCTAACTTCATTGCAGCAGCTCATGATCAATATAATGACACTGGATATAATTCCCAGGGACTTAATATCCTTCCGACTCCACCAGGTGATTGAAGAACGGTTATGATAGAATTTTTTTTATCAAAATGCTGCCCTTTCTTGAGGGTCAATGTAATAAAAGTAATACTGCTCTTGTGCTTAGGGAGAAGATCCTAACACATAAGGATGTGTATGGCTTCTCAAATTTTCAGAAAAAAAACAAGATAAGCATTTTGCGATCTTTCCTGACCACATAGTCATTCATACATCCGTCTAATACTACAAAACAGCCAGTACATTTTCATAGGGAAGTAACTCGTTTCATTCACACATCCGCCTAACACTACAAAATAGCCAGTACATTTTCATAGGGAAGTAACTAGTTTTATAGATTGCATTGGTTCAGTGTTTACATGAGTATATATAATTTACATTGTGTAAATGTGTACTCTCTCAACGGCAAACCACACATATTCACATACCAATTCAGTCCTACTACAATATATATTTTATATGTGGCTTATTAAATATACATCCTTCCCAGGACGTGTTTTTGTTAATAAACGTAAGATGTCGTAAAGACCTATGGCGCATCACCCGATGCACCTTTGATGTTCTGTAGGTCTTGTCTACAAAAAATAGACAAAAAATACATTTTAAAATTTACGTGAATGTTTTTAAGTGAACAACTGACAAGCCGATGTATGTGTTTGTGACGAGTGCCACCGGTGGGTCAGGATATGCCTACCATTTACTCCTTCATCAAGTGAATCATTCACCTGATGAAGATGTATGCATATACTCCGAAACGTTGTGTTCCTCATGTTAAAGAAGTTGACTTCCATAAATGTGTATCTCTGCCTTTCAAAGGCTGGATAATATATTTGTTCACATGTCACAACTGCATCCTGTGTGTCCTGTAGCTGTACTGCATGTTATGTCAATAAAGAAAGGTAACCTGAAACAAGGACTCTTGTATTCTGCCATGTTTCAAGAACCAATCAATTCATTGTGGAAACATTTATAATTACTTACAGAAGTTGCTTTGATCTTCGTAAGATCAAAATAGATCCAACCTGAAATGAGGAGATTAGATTAAGGAGTCTAATATATTTCTGTCAATCTGTCTGACATCCAGTTTCATTTTGCAGGTTATATGTATAATGACTGAAACTTGCGGGCAACATGTACATTGCCTGGGTGAATCCGTCAGTAAATAAAATAAAGACCAAAAGTTTCAGTTACATATTGCTTGATTATAGAAATTGACTATATATATATATATATATATATATATATATATATATATATAATAAAATAATAAAGTCCACGTTAGTCGATCATCAGATATAAAGAAGATGATGGACTAACGTGGACTTTGTTATTTTATTATATATTACATGTACACCGAGTGAACATTTACCTCATTTGTGTGTGTGTGTGTGTGTATATATATATATATATATATATATATATATATATATATATATATTGGATAGATATTTATTTATTTATTAATTTAAGATTGTTTATGTCTCTGATCGTTGTATGCGTTTGGTCTCATTGAATGTTTTAATCGTAAATGTTTCGTGCCAAAAATATTTTATTCCCTATCGTGTCTTTATTATTCCACAAACTTGCCATTAATATTTATTTGTCGTTCTGTGATTCAAATCACGTCATATTAACAGCCAGAAGAAGGCAAATACCATGTAGTGACCTATATTGTAACTGCACAACTGTGACCCTGCATGTATTGTTCTTACACACATAGCTGATCTTTACAGCCTGTCAGCGCACACAGGATAGTTTAGAGTTTAAAAGCATTCATACCCCAATGTTTTGAACAACGTAAATAGTTATTTTATAAGATAACAATGTCCACTCGAGCTTCAGAAGGAATGGTAAGTGGCTTCAGCCTCCAGCTCGAAATGTTCGAAGACCTTGTGATGCCATCTGGAATTGTCCATCACCTATCTACCATGAAGACTCGTTCAGTACGAGATGACGATATATTTGTGTGCACATATCCCAAGTCAGGTAAGCTGCTAGAATCACTACTTCTCACACTAAACACCTCTAGAATACTGGGAAACGTTGATAAACTAAATCCAGTGGACCCTGAAATTGGTGCAGCGTTGCCCACACTTGTCAAATTGACAATGTATCGAACAGCCGCTGCGGGCTAAGCCAACATCCTACACTTCCATGTTTCTGCGATAATAAAATTTACGAGGTATAAATGAACATTAATGTTTTAAGCTTACACACCAATCTAATCTGTGATAATGCACATTTTGAATTAAATTCGGAAAGATTTCTTCATCTGAGAAAGACAAGGAGCGAGTAAGTGAGTTGGGGTTAACGACGCTGTGAACAGTGTTCATTTATAATACTGCGTGGGAGTAAAGCCCGAACTGATGCAGTAGAAAATGTGAAGGTATAGATTTAACACTGCAGGTTATAAAATATTAATAAAGATACAGGCATTGCTCGCATGTCAGTAGTTGTATTTGGTAACCCATGCATGTAGCATGCTTCAGCCACGGTACCTGTCATGGTGTCAGCCATTTTGAATCCTGACGGTTAAAAAAGATGGGAGGAGCTTTCTATAACTTGGCTCTGTCCAAAAGACTGTGACGGTATTGCTTTCTGCTATCCCAAACATCTATGGTGTTTTCCGACATAAGATCGGGAATCTTCGAACATGAGGCAGGATTAAATCAAATGCGGGTGTATATTATAACGCAAATAAACGTTCCGCGGGAAATCAGACTAATAACCCACGTAATATTTTTTGTGTCGTCATTGTTTTGCTTTATTTCGCCTAAAACGATAATGGGTGAGTTACTCGACCCAAACTCGAGATCCGTAACGTTACGACAGGGTTGGGGGGTCAATCGTTTTCCCATTCTTTAACACAGACTTACGACAGATGTAGTGCTGGGATCGCTCGGTGGAACGGGACCTAAGTGTATGGGTGTCTTGGGTAAGACATCGAATGTATCTGTCACTCAAAGACCTAGCAAAACAGCACTGCAGCTATACGAATCCTGAGTTGGAAATAATGTAACTATTAGTATGTCATCATTATCATTGCTGAATAGATTGTATATTTCAAATTCATTAATAGCGTTTTAAACAGTTGTGTATACAAACTCGTAGACCTTGCTTTGATCTTGTCTGAGTTCTATCGACGACGATCGTCGATTATTTGCGTTGTGCCAAAATAATTATCCCCGAACAATTTTTGAAAAATATAATTATGCTTCCGACAACCTGTTTGCTTCAGACAGTTGAAATTACATTGCTGCAAGGAGTTTTTCTTTTTTTAAATCAGGTTCATAGTTTGAAATAAAAAAATCTGTTTTTTTAGCTGTAGCTGAAGAAATATATATAAACTTTATACAGAATCCCAATAAAATAATAAAGTCGACGTTAGTCCATCATCAGATATAAAGAAGATGATGGACTAACGTGGACTTTATTATTTTATTATATATTACATGTACACCGAGTGAACATTTACCTCATTTTTGTATGTATATATATATTAATTTAAGATTGTTTATGTCTCTGATCGTTGTATGCGTTTGGTCTCATTGAATGTTTTAATCGTAAATGTTTCGTGCCAAACATATTTTATTCCCTATCGTGTCTTTATTATTCCACAAACTTGCCATTAATATTTATTTGTCGTTCTGTGATTCAAATCACGTCATATTAACAGCCAGAAGAAGGCAAATACCATGTAGTGACCTATATTGTAACTGCACAACTGTGACCCTGCATGTATTGTTCTTACACACATAGCTGATCTTTACAGCCTGTCAGCGCACACAGGATAGTTTAGAGTTTAAAAGCATTCATACCCCAATGTTTTGAACAACGTAAATAGTTATTTTATAAGATAACAATGTCCACTCGAGCTTCAGAAGGAATGGTAAGTGGCTTCAGCCTCCAGCTCGAAATGTTCGAAGACCTTGTGATGCCATCTGGAATTGTCCATCACCTATCTACCATGAAGACTCGTTCAGTACGAGATGACGATATATTTGTGTGCACATATCCCAAGTCAGGTAAGCTGCTAGAATCACAACTTCTCACACTAAACACCTCTAGAATACTGGGAAACGTTGATAAACTAAATCCAGTGGACCCTGAAATTGGTGCAGCGTTGCCCACACTTGTCAAATTGACAATGTATCGAACAGCCGCTGCGGGCTAAGCCAACATCCTACACTTCCATGTTTCTGCGATAATAAAATTTACGAGGTATAAATGAACATTAATGTTTTAAGCTTACACACCAATCTAATCTGTGATAATGCACATTTTGAATTAAATTCGGAAAGATTTCTTCATTTGAGAAAGACAAGGAGCGAGTAAGTGAGTTGGGGTTAACGACGCTGTGAACAGTGTCCATTTATAATACTGCGTGGGAGTAAAGCCCGAACTGATGCAGTAGAAAATGTGAAGGTATAGATTTAACACTGCAGGTTATAAAATATTAATAAAGATACAGGCATTGCTCGCATGTCAGTAGTTGTATTTGGTAACCCATGCATGTAGCATGCTTCAGCCACGGTACCTGTCATGGTGTCAGCCATTTTGAATCCTGACGGTTAAAAAAGATGGGAGGAGCTTTCTATAACTTGGCTCTGTCCAAAAGACTGTGACGGTATTGCTTTCTGCTATCCCAAACATCTATGGTGTTTTCCGACATAAGATCGGGAATCTTCGAACATGAGGCAGGATTAAATCAAATGCGGGTGTATATTATAACGCAAATAAACGTTCCGCGGGAAATCAGACTAATAACCCACGTAATATTTTTTGTGTCGTCATTGTTTTGCTTTATTTCGCCTAAAACGATAATGGGTGAGTTACTCGACCCAAACTCGAGATCCGTAACGTTACGACAGGGTTGGGGGGTCAATCGTTTTCCCATTCTTTAACACAGACTTACGACAGATGTAGTGCTGGGATCGCTCGGTGGAACGGGACCTAAGTGTATGGGTGTCTTGGGTAAGACATCGAATGTATCTGTCACTCAAAGACCTAGCAAAACAGCACTGCAGCTGTACGAATCCTGTGTTGGAAATAATGTAACTATTAGTATGTCATCATTATCATTGCTGAATAGATTGTATATTTCAAATTCATTAATAGCGTTTTAAACAGTTGTGTATACAAACTCGTAGACCTTGCTTTGATCTTGTCTGAGTTCTATCGACGACGATCGTCGATTGTTTGCGTTGTGCCAAAATAATTATCCCCGAACAATTTTTGAAAAATATAATTATGCTTCCGACAACCTGTTTGCTTCAGACAGTTGAAATTACATTGCTGCAAGGAGTTTTTCTTTTTTTAAATCAGGTTCATAGTTTGAAATAAAAAAATCTGTTTTTTTAGCTGTAGCTGAAGAAATATATATAAACTTTATACAGAATCCCAGGTCTCTGAGAATATCAAATGGTCGGTCCCTTGTACGTTACGTTATTAAATGTGTGAACATCAAAGCTAGGCATTGAAAAGTTACTTGCTAACGATTTTTCGGTTGTATTACTCTGTATTATGCGTGTGGGAATATTGTCGTTTGTGTTGGATATATGGGAATAAAAGCATAAAGTAAAACATTAACGCTTAAATCGAGAGAAAGTGTTATTTAAATATAAAATACTAAACGAGCTTTTTATGAAACGAGTGAATAGTTCTCTTTCGCTCGTGTGATACCAGAACAATTCACGAATTTCTTAAAATTGGTATGACCCGGGAGCGAGTATTTTATTTATTACTTTTTTATTACAGTTTTTTGTTTTTATTATTTTCACTGTCGTGTGTGAATAAGCAAACATCAACGCGATCCACGGGTTACTCAAATTGAGTTTAACAAAATAATATTTGGATGTTGTGTTGGGAATTTTCAATATGTGCTAGTGAAACAGCTGAATGTTTATAAAAGGGTGATCTCGTTGAATGTACGCTCGCCTTGAATCTTACAGGCACACACTGGGTGTGGGAAATCCTGAGCATGGTTGTAGCTGGACGGCCAGAATACGCGAAACACTGGCAGAACTCGGCACATCTTGATTCAAGAACGGAGGAGGAACTGGACTCTCTTCCTTCTCCGAGGATCTTATTCACTCATCTTCTCCCACGGCAAGTGTCCCCGTTGTGTGTGAAAATGGCCATTGCTTAATAGTGTGGTATCATTCCAGCTCTATATTTAGGCAACAAACAAACACTTAATTTCTTGTGCATATTAACATGCCTTTGCATGTGTTTGTGACGGGTGCCTTCGCTGGGCAGGATATGCCCAACTTTTCGCGAACATCTGGTTTCCCCACTAGTTTAATACTGCTTCATAAACATATGCTTATGATACAGTCGGATCGTACAACTGACTCTGCAATAAGCAGAGATTTCTTTCCGGTCCATCACTTGATTGTCTGTTATGTTTACAGGCTGCCGTCGCATGGCAGTACAGCTGTGTAGCATCAGGCAATAAGCTAACATTTACTTTCTTTGGCAAATTTTGTGAGTGGAGGGTGCTACCAACAGGACAGGGCATACTTTCGCTTTTCGCGAGCACTTGGGCCCACTTGCACAAAGCGATCTTAGCGCTAAGATGATCGTAACCATGGTAACTCCCATACTCTAACATAGGCTTACGATAGTCTAAGCGCTAAGATCGCTTTGTGCAAGGGGGGCCAGGTGTCATCACCGATTTTAAGTGCTTCAGTACTATAATTTTCATCGCTAGTTTGCCTTTTATGCCCATTGGAATCTGTGTAAAGCAGATATTTGAGACTGATTTTTCTCTTGCCTTCACATTTTATTTTCACATGTAAATGTATACAAGGGCTGGTCAAAATGTTCTAAGCCTAACAAACCAAACCAACAATTGTGAAAGCGCTTTTAATTTTATCTTTCAACATAATCTCCTTGCTTTTCATCACACTTCTCATATCGATACTGAAGCGTTTCAATTCCAGTCAGGAAGAAGTTTTCTGAAGCCACCCTGAAAAGCCCATTCAAGGCAGCTTTGGTGTCAGCGTTGTCGTCATAGCGCTTTCCACGAAGGTGTTCTTTCAGTTTAGGAAACAGGTGGAAACCACTTGGTGACAGAACTGGCGCGTGTGGAGGGTCTTCGAACCCACATTTTGCAAGTCGAGAGGCATTGTCATGAAGTAGTAGAACACCAGCAGTCAGCATTACTCGACGCTTTTCTTTCAGGCGATGACGCAAATCATCATAGTAGGCATAGTAGGCAAAGAAGTCTTTTGACTTCTACGTAATCAACAAAGATCACACCCTTTGCAGAATACAGTGGCCATAACTTTCTTCACTGATCTTTAAGACTTGAATTTCTTTTGTGCCGGAGTAGAAGAATGGTTCCATTCCATAGATTGACGTTTTGACTCGGCAACATAGTGGTAGACCCATGTTTCATCACCCGTTCCTAATCTCTTTTTGAATTTGACGAAATCCTCCTCAATTAGCTCTAAATTTTCTCTGACAATGTCAGTTCTTTTCCCCTTAGGATCAGAATTGGAAACTTTGGCACCCAACGAGCAGATATTTTATTCATCTGTAAATGTTCATGAATAATAGTTCCAATGGATCATGGCTTAGACCCGTGTCTTCCTCAAGTTCACCAATTGTAATACGTCCATCTGACAGTATAAGTTTTTTCTTTCTCCTTGATTGCCCAACGTTTAACACACTTGTGACATGCCGTCATGAATTTATTGGGGAATGCTTTTCTGTAAAGTCAAAAACTTACTGACTTCTCGGTACTCCTTCTATTCCATTTCTTTGTCAATTTGGACCCTTACCACGTTCACCTGGCTATCACTGCTATACAAACGGCCCCATTTGACCAAATACACTTGCAATGAACTACTCAAATAATGTACTACATTGACTAGTTCACTGTGTTTTTGCCCACAGTTGAAAGTTAATGCTTAGAAGCTTTTGACCAGCCCTCGTTCTATACATGTGTGGGCTTTCGAGAACCTATCTCAAACTGAATGATTCAGCGTACCGATTTCATATTTAACTATATGGTATTCATTTTGTTTGATGTATGAAATAGCCTGCTGCCACGAGACATATGGGATCGGAAGTGTCATGTTATCAATGTTCAGCGGAATCCGAAGGATGCTGTGGTGTCCTACTTTGTCCAGCACACGAACCAGAACTGGGTGGACAAGTCGAGGGAGGCTGCCTTCACGGGAACATGGGCGAACTACGTGGACGCCCACATTAAAGGAAACAGTAAGGCAATTGAGTGAGTGAGTGAGTGAGTGAGTGAGTGGATGTTGAAATTGATGTTGGGTGGATGGGTGGGTGGGTGAGTGAGTGATTGGGTGGGTGTTGGGTAATGGGTGGGTGGGTGAGTGAGTGATTGGATGGGTGTGTGAGTGAGTGGGTAGGTTTTGAGTGACTGAGTGAGTGAGTGGTGGATTTGGGTTGGTGGGTGAGTGAGTGAGTGTCAGGGGGAGAAGGAGTTCACACTGATGCATTAGGGAAACCAAAGAGCAAAGGTAATCTGGGATTCGAAGCCATCATTAGTTTACCCTAACTAAGTACACCGTGAATTCGGCGCCTAATCCTCTAAACTACCCGTGTAGGTACACCTATCATTAGGTACACTAGACAATATATACACACATATTTCACATTAAGCAACAATTATTCTATGACATAATATTATAACGTTTTACCAGAATGAGCATCCATTGTAGATCATGTTGAACTAATATTACTTATACTTTTCTTAATTTTCTATATTTTACAAGTGAGTGAAACAGGTAAGTTAAGACTTATCGTCAAATAAATATTGTATCTTAAATATATATCAGCATCAGTACTGTGGCAGGACAAATATTATTATTCCACATTTTGTAGCTATGACAATCATTCTTCTTGTGTATATCAAACTACGGTTATAACGAACTCAAAGGGACTACTAATTTTAGTTCGCTATAACCGTAGTTTGTTATGAGTACATATACAGCATAACTACAGCAAGTAGTCGGGACCAAGAAGTAAGTTCGTTATATCCGTCAGTTCGTTATAAGCGTGTTCGTTATAACCGTTGTTTACTGTATATCAATTCCAGTACCATATGATTCGGTGTTGAACCACAGTCTTTGCTGGAACAGATTTCCACAAGACCACCCGGATGTACCTTTTCTCCAGGTACACTTTGAAGATCTGAAGAAAGTGAGTATGTATGGTGTACATGTCTAGATGACAGTGTTCATATAAATGTTCTTTTGTGATTTGTATAAATATTTCATTGCTGTGTGTAGATGTATAGATTCTCCCTCAATCAACGAAAACCCTCCTCTGGAAATCCCGCGTACTGTTGTCAGTGAACACGCCATTTTGTAAAAGTCGGTCACCGGTAGTGATGTCATACGGAAGTAAACATTGTAGTACATATTTGGTAATTTCTTTGATGTGTAAACTTTTAACTTGGCACCCAGCGTGTTCTTTGTTTTTGTCTAGTTTGCATTTTCATCATCGCCTTGATAATCCAGATATGTCGGAAACCTTTTTGTGTAGGGTCACATTATTTATGAATAGTAAGCAGCACATAGGATGACGTCACTTATGACATCATCGGTTCGATGCTTAAAAGGTGCGATTTTGGGGTGTGTAAGAAACACAGATTACTGTACTCGTGTCTGTCAGATACCATTGATCTTACAACTCGTTACAAAGCGTATCTAACTCGCTTTCGCTCGTTAGATACGTTTTGAAGCAACTCGTTGTAAGATCAATGGTATCTGACAGACACTCGTGTAGTAATCTCTATTTCCTACACAGTGATTCGGTCGCTTGCTTCAGGGAATGCAAATAATATTTTCACCTTTTGACATTTGGTCATGTGACCCAAATTAGCCAATCACAACACAGAACACACTTTCTAAAGGTTTACAATTAATTATTGAACTTTGGGTAGGTCGTCCTTCGTTTGGTGAATGACCCGGCATCATTCACTTAAATACTTTGTCTCCAGCTTTTCCACATAATCTTTAATCACCTGTCAAACATGTTCAGTTGGACAGAGGTCAAGTGATGGTGCTAGATGCTATAATTATGTAAACTCGTTACTTCTGGTAATTAATTTACATTTGTAAACAATGATGGCCAACAGAGAAAAAACGTTTTGATTTTCTTAATCCTCACTGATTTTTTGTTGTTGTGTTTTCAGGATGACGTGACGGAGGTCAAACGCTTAGCTGAATTCATTAATCATCCTCTGCCGTACGAGGTCTACAAACAAATAGCTGACGCCTGCAGTTTTTCGAAGCTGAAACACGCCCACCAACACATCAAGGACCAGACATTTCATAACCAGTGGAGAGAAGGATCGAGTGGCTACTTCAGGAAAGGTAGAATAGGATGACCTGGATCCACTTGCACAACATAGACTTACCACAGTCGTAGCGCTAGGATCGCTTTGTGCAAGTGGGTCCAAGGCCACAAATGAATCATGCAATCAACATGCAGCTTGATCCTCCTTCGTACATGTATGTAATGAATATGAAACGTTAACGCCAGAGAATAACCGGTCTCTGTTTATGCCGAAACTGATTCCATAGCGATGAAACTTGTATGAATGCATGGGCGGATACAGCTTTTTTTAAAAGGGGGGGGGGGGGGGGGGGGGGGGGGGGAGGGGGGGCACAATTAAGATCTATTTATTGTCTTCGGTGGTAATTTATACAGGAATGAAGATTTTTTTCGAAATAACCTCCCCCCCCCCTTTTAAAAAAAGCTGGGGGGGGGGGGGGGGGGGCACAATTAAGATCTATTTATTGTCTTCGGTGGTAATTTATACAGGAATGAAGATTTTTTTCGAAATAATCTCCCCCCCCCCCCTTTTAAAAAAAGCTGGGGGGGGGGGGGGGGGGGGGGGGAAGGGGCACAATTAAGATCTATTTATTGTCTTCGGTGGTAATTTATACAGGAATGAAGATTTTTTTCGAAATAATCTCCCCCCCCTTCTGTATCCGCCCATGGAATGGATCACTGAAAATCAGTGATGACACCAGGTGTTCGTGAAATGTGTGAACGTGTTCTCCTCTACTGGTAGCTCCCACCACTCACACAACTTGCATAATATGTTTAGATTAACTCTGAACAATGGTAATTGCTACATACCTAGTACACCTGCTTAAGGTAATGCAACATTTATGTTGACTCAACCAATAACACAATACCATATATTATGTGATTATTGTTCTAGCTAATTATGTCTGTGACTTTCGGACACTATGTGTCTAACTCATGCAAACTCTCACCGTGCCAAGAAGAATGTTGTGTTATGCCTACGGTACCATGGGCCACTGACCTCCAAGTACTGAATTAAAGCCTCGTGTGTCTCTTGTCTCTCACGACTCACGTCTCATAACGCCGCAGCCGCACGCCGCACAGGCGAATACTCGGCCTGTAAACAATCGTGTCTTGACCAGACAATCCAGTGATAGAGTGTCTGGGCCAGAAGGTCCAGTGACAAAAACCGTGTTTACAGATTTTGTTGAGACTAAGAGCGAAATGTTAACTTTGAATTACTTCTGCTGCATACAAGTGCAGAGATTCTGCTGCTTTACAAGAAAAGAAAATTAAAAACTATACTTGAGAAAGGGTCCGTCAGTTGGCTGCATTTTGTTTGAAATATGGGTTCTATCATGAAACCTGTTATGGCTGAAGTTACAAATCTTACATTGTATGGGTTTGACGTAATGACTACGACTCTGTACAATCGGTTGATGGCCTACACCCCAAGAATAAAGCATAAAAATAAATTTTTAACTCCGAATTCCGATTAAAAACTTGGTACATATCCATTAAGAATACGCACATGGCAACCATGGAATTTGATGATTAAAGACTTACTTCCCTTTGTAGGTGAATCCGGTGATTGGAAGAACTGGTTTACTGTTGCCCAGAGTGAGAGGTTTGACAGAGTGTATCAACGAACGTACAGCCACAGTGACCTTAAGTAGTGGGATAACCTGGGAACATCGAAATAAAACGTTATGTCGACACCTTAAACAATATCGAGTAAACTACGGTTATAACGAACTCAAAGGGACCACGAATGTTAATTCGTTATAACCGTAGTTCGTTATAAGCAAATGTACAGAATAAATGCAGCAATTACACAGGACTAAAAAAATAGTTCCTTATATCCGTCAGTTCGTTATTAGCGTGTTCGTTATAACCGTAGTTTACTGTAGCCTTCAAAGAAGCATCTACTTTCTGAACCCTACACAAGACTCCAATTGACCTGGATACACCTGATTCCTGAGCGACCGTAGAGAGAACACTTTCCTTGACTATCATTGTCTTAACAAGATCCTGAGTGACTTCTTCAACTACACTCTAATCATTATCTGCCTCGTCAAACACAGCTGATACACAGGTGTCGGGTAAATCCATTACCTCATCTAACTGCCTGGTTTTGGACACAGACCGAGTAGTGACACACGCCGGGAACATTTCCGGATTTTCTGATCTCTGAAGCCTGATTACATCAACCTGAACAACACTTTTCTGTTAAGTCGTTGCCAAACAAGACATCTACATCAACCTGATTCCTGAGCGACCGTAGAGAGAACACTTTCCTTGACTATGATTGTCTTAACAAGATCCTGAGTGACTTCTTCAACCACACTCTAATCATTATCTGCCTCGTCAAACACAGCTGATACACAGGTGTCGGGTAAATCCATTACCTCATCTAACTGCCTGGTTTTGGACATAGACCGAGTAGTGACACACGCCGGGAAAATTTCCGGATTATCTGATCTCTGAAGCCTGATTACATCAACCTGAACAAAACTTTTCTGTTATGTCGTTGCCTAACAAGACATCTACACCGGAGATTGGCAATAAGTTCGTAGCCCCTACAACACATCACCAGCAACAGTCTTGCTATCTGGCCATACTTTGTGTAATGGTTCAGACACACAGACCTTACCTATGCCACTAAGAATTGCAACATCACCTGTCGCTGATCTACTCAAGTCGATGTGAGCATCCCGTGTCCCAATACACCGACACTTCGCTTGACTGATTCCTACTGAACACATCTGACACACCACCACCATACCTTATGTACCATAGTGACCAACTGGCGGACTACCTCTCTACCTTCCACGCCTGCTGCTGTCTGAACAAAACCTACTGCCGACTTATTATCCCTTTCCCGTTTAAAACAGTCTACGACCAAGCGTTCCGACGTGCCACAATAACTGCACCTTTTCTTGGGTACTCTGGAAGTAACATCTTGGCCTCCACTACCAGCAGACGAACCAGCTTTTCTGCCATACTGAGTACAACTCTGACCACTAGCTTTGGCAAACTGACCACTAAGACCCTGACTTTGACCACGACTGACATTGCCTTAAACATGTCTACCACACGATTGCGATGATTGAAATTGCCATTACTACGAAAATCTGCACTATTGTGAGAAGAGCCTGTAGTTGATCACTGAACCTTGTGTACCAGACAATAGTTGTCTGGTACCTCAGCGACCTCTGACTTCAACACTGTCTGATCCGACAAGAGGATTTTCAAACAAGGATTCATACTACCCTTGACTCTTCTAACACCTACTCTGACAATTCCTTAATAGACTCCTTATTAGTCCACATATCAAACACATTGCCTTTCTCGGCAATAAACACGGTGTAACTTTCAGTACCTCCTTTCTCCAGACCTCGATATTGCTCAATACCCCATAAGCTGATTGCTGATTAAACCTTTTGGGAATTCCTAGTGTGCATATCATCCACTGAGTAATACGCTGCAGTTGCCTTGTCTTCAAACTTAGACTGTACAAGAATATGCCAATATTCCTCAGGCCATTTAACTCTGCTACTATTCTTTCAAACTACCTGAAGAAACGTTAACCTACCTCAGATTCATCAAAATTCGGTAAAGACCGGTAACGATGAAATATCTTGACACTATCCTGAAAACCGCCTCCGTGGTCTAGTGGTTCGGGGTTCGATCCCCGGCCGCGTCATACCAAAAGACGTTAAAAGATGGTACTTCTTGTTACCCTGTGTGGCGCTCGGCATTAAGGGGATAAGTCAGTATCGGAGTCGGTATACTGTGTCTGAGTGGGGTATTCATGTTAAACTGCGGCATGGTATCTCAGGGAGCTAGCACTATAAATCGGCATCAGTCCGGACTAGCACAAGCAGTCACACAAGCACACACACGTACATGCACGTCACTATATAAGTGCAGTAATCTTGGACGCGACGTTAAACCCAATTTCACCTTACCTCACCTCACTATCCTGAATTCTACCTTGTCCTGTTATAATCGGAACTCATGTTCTAACCTTTCCTCTCTTGGAGCCGGGGCACGGGTGGCCCAATCATTTAAGGCGCCGCGATTCGCTGTGAGTTGCGTCCCTTGGGCACGCCAGAAACCTATGATTGTGGGTTCGAATCCCGATTATGTTTCTAGGTTTGTCAGCACCATACCCGTGCTCGTGGGTTTCACCGAAGTGGTAAACGTCTGAGACCTGCATCACTTCGGGCTTTCCTCCCACATTAAGCTGACACGCCGTGGTATAACTGGAATACAGTTAAAAGCGACGTTAAACCCAACTCACTCACTCTCTTTGAGCCTTAGGTTTCACACCTCCTTTCCTCTAAATCTAGCTTCCTCAACTCTTACTGTTCTACAACAGTCACGCGGACCTCGGAGAAAAAAACCTCTCTGGGTCAGTAGCGTGAATGCTTTTGACTGGCGATCTAAACAAAGTGCGCTAGCAAACATTGGTGCAACCCGAATGGCAAACTAACTACTGAACCAATATTGGAGTGGGTGAAATATGGTTTTACGCCGCCTTTAGCAATATTCCAGCAATATCATGGCGGGGGACACCAGAAATGGGCTTCACACATTGTAAACATGTCGGGAATCGAACCCAGGTCTTCGGCGTGACGAGCGAACGCTTTAACCACTAGGCTACCCGACCGCCCCTAACCAATATGGGAGATGTAAGTACCAAAATAAAGCGATAAAAATAAGCTACCCAACGGTATTACTAAAGGTTTAACAACAGATATGTACGGTTATAAGGTGACAAAAATGACAATAAATACAAGAGAACTATCTACAAGTACTAGATAATCCCGCTTCTAAGCGAAAATCAATTTTAATAAAACCTTTTCCATGAATTAGGTATCAGACACATGTGAAATATACACAAATATCAAATACATACGTGACAAAAGACGGCGATTAAACCGCTAGAGAATAAAATTTACTGATAACCATTTCTCTAACAATGAATGTAAAGCCACCGGACAACGACCGCCGAACTTTGCCGAATGGTGGCGGAAGCTGGACAATTAAAAAATGGGGAAGTTATGCTATCACTAGACCGTGATTAGACTGGGTGACATGTACAACCGCTCTTTTCACTACTGAAATATTTCAATGGTAACGCAGAGCCAACATGGGAATGTGGGTTGTAACAGAAAAATGATTGATATTGACTGACACAGTTGTTTGCCATTTTGACATGGATCTTATTAAAAGTCTTACATTTCACGCTACAGAGAGTCAATGTTGATGCACTCAGGAATAACCTAGCTATGTCACGGTAGCTTTCGTGGTTAATATTTTGTGCAAGTCTAGAGTGAGTGAGTGAGTTGGGGTTAACGCCGCTTTTAACATTATTCTAGTTATATCACGGCGGGAGGAAAGCCCGAAGTGATGCAGGTCTCAGACGTTTACCACTTCGGTGAAACCCACGAGAACGGGTATGGTGCTGACAAACCTAGAAACATAATCGGGGCAAACCGGGATTCGAACCCACAATCAAAGGTTTCTGGCGTGCCCAAGGGACGCAACTCTGCAGAGCGAATCACGGCAAATCTTTGGACAATGTTCAGCTTCATCACAAATTTTAAATTAAGCTGCTGTAAAAAACAGATGTAATTAGCAATCTGGAGATACAGCATATAACTATAATAATGGTGAATGTTCAGGTAGATGAAAAAGTGTTTCAAGGCCTTTTCTCAGTAGCTCGTTATCCTAAACAGTGGGAAAATATGAATATGGCATTCTGTTATCCACATAGACGTTCTTTATAATACAAAAGAGAATTGTCAAATACAACTGAATAATGTTTATATGTAATAAATGTTTGCAATATTTGAATTGAACCTTTAAAATGGGGTGGCTATTGTATTACCTATTTACAGACCGCCTCCGTGGTCTAATTGTAGAGCGTCCGCCCGGAGAGCGGAAGGTCCGGGGTTCGATCCCCGACCGCGTCATACCAAAAGACGTTAAAAGATGATATTTGTTGTTACCCTGTCTGGTGCTCGGCATTAAGGGGTTAAAACAAGGACTGGTCGGCTCGGAGTCAGTACTGTGTCTGAGTGGGGTATTCATGTTAAACTGCGGCATGGTATCTCAGTGATCTAGCACTATACATCGGCATCAGTCCGGACTAGTACAAGCAGCCACATACACACGCATGCACGTCGCTATATCAGTGCAATAATCTTGGACGCGACGTTAAACCCTATTCCACCTTCCACCTCACCTATTTACACTACAAACACATTCAAAGGTCGATAGTATTAATCTTGCCATGAGCATGGGTAAGATAAGTAAAACTGATGTGTGAAGGTTATCTTTTTACCACTCACATAATAATAGAAATAATTGTGGATGTTATGAAATACAGAATGGGACGCATAGTATTTTAGAACAACAAATGTTACAGCTATCAATCTACCTTAAGTACGATATATCTTATGATGTGTACCCGAGTACCACTGAACATGGTTACAGACATGACCCGAATCGTGAAGTACCGGGTGATTATAGGTCTTCAGCAACCAATGCTTGCCGTAAAAGGCGACTATGCATGTCGTAAGAGGCGACTAACGGAATCGGGTGGTCAGGCTCGCTAACTCGGTTGATACATGTCATCGTATCCCAATTGCGTAAATCGATGCTCATGATGTAATTCATTGGACTGTCTGGTCCAGACTCGATTATTTACAGATCGCCGTCACATAGCTGGAATATTGCCGAATGCAGCGTTAAACAACAAATACACAAGTTAAACCAAAAACAAAGCATATCTCTGGATGATTGGTTGGTTGGTTGTTTAACGCCGCACTCAGCAATGTCCCAGCTATATGACGGTGGTCTGTAAATAATCGAGTCTGGACCAGACAATCCAGTGATTGATATCACGCAATTGGGATCGATGACATGCATCAACCAAGTCAGCGAGCCTGACCACCCGATCCCGTTAGTCGCCTTTTACAACAAGCATAGTCACCTTTTACGGCAAGTATGGGTTGCTGAAGACCTATTCTACCCCGGCGTCTTCACGGGCCTATCTCTGGACGAAGGATGAATTGCGCTTTGTGTATATGGTACATATCCATGTCCCAGTGCAGCCCCCACCCCACCCCAACCCCCTACCACCACCATCCATCTATTTGAATGAAAAGAAGCATTATCGGAACTAATGTGAGTAATATCGTGTGTATAGCTCTCAAGTGCGAAGGAATAGATTCACATGGATATACATGCATGCAGTAACTATCGTCATTCGTCGTTCTCATTGAAATCACCACACAGCTCCAATTGCAACCGACAGCATCGGTGATATCAGTTTATAACTCCGTATTTCGACAACACGAACTACGACAACACTCACTGTCACCACAGCGCGTGAAACATGGCTGACACGAGCGGAGAAAGAAACGGGGAAATGTTTCAATCAATGCTTGTTTCCAGAGAATGTAATTCTTATGAACAAGTTGATGTGAAGTTGAACGTTGATAATAATTCCCATTCGATACAGATTATTCACTTTAAGCAAAAATGTAATTTGTAGACATTATCGAGTTATTTTGATGGGAGTCGAATGGAAAGCTTAATCATGGAGCTAGATAAACTACTTGAACCATAACTTCATTCACTGTTAACGTCTTAACGTCTTGATATAACAGGGCTATACAACATCTTTCAATCAATGTCAACAGTAAGGAAGTCGTGGTTCATTGGCACTTAAACAATAATATAAATTTATATGTTTTTATAATCATAAGCCTTTACCAGATACTGATGTGTTTGGTTGGATCTGGTGGGCGGATGGGCGGATGGTCGGATGGTCGGATGGGCGAGATGTCAGACATCTTCAGCGCGTTCGGAGTCCACACCTGACTACTGCCCATTTATTTGTGATAACTAATACAAGAAAACATATCTCCCATTTTGACAAATTATGATGCAAATGAATACTAGTTGCTCTATGCATTGACGTCTGTTTGGCAATATGACGATATGTAAGGGGCGGCACAACACATGGAGATGTGCTGCATGCAGACGATTTCTAATCGTTTGACACGTAACTCCAGGATCCTGATGAAAGTTTGCAGCAATTTGATTGGCCGTTTGATCTTGACCTGGTTTCGGATCAGACGATCATGTACTCTTGTCGTTGACCTGGGACGCCCTGAACGAGGTCGATCGTCAAAATTTTGGGTACGTTATACCAAGTCATTCAGGCATGGAGAAATCATGTCGAGATTTTAGCGTGTGTTCACGTCTACTGCACATAGGACTTCGTAGCTATGCGTGTATAAATATAACTGACGAAGGCAAACAAAGAAGGGCGCAAAGGTTATAAACTGGATATGGTCTTGTTAGCGTAGCTACGGTTCCCTCTTCCTGTTACTCGCCACTGACAGCTCTATAACAAAGGCGGCATTTGTATCCACAACCGCAGATAGTATAGTGGGATTACAGAACTGTGATCAGGTAAATCAAAGGACCATATGTAACTACTAACATATACTTACTAAAATATACTAACTCGCAGAATAGGCTGTTATGTAGAGACACACACTAGTTAATCAATAAAAAGACATAAGACCATTCATGGCCGACTTTCCGGTCTCTGCTGAATCAACTGCCACAAGCCTTCGGCCTCCCCAATGAGTTTAAATTGTTTGGAATATTCGTTCCATGATGGGTGAATGTGTCTTCCAGGAGATTTCGAGAAGTCGTTTCTGAGGGTCATCGGTGAAGGTATGTAAAGTATACAGTGAAATGTGGAGTTGTTTGTGACGTGTATCAGGTACGACCACAGGGGCGGTACAACTGCCTGAAGGCTGTTGCAGGTCATGATGACCCAGCCGCCAATGAGGGTATCGATGAGTGGGCCAACACTATACGGCTTATAGCTTGCGTTGTGTTAATAACTATGCACACAAAGTTATTCCAATTTCATATTTTTGTTATTTGGTATGTATCATATTATAATATATATATTTATTAGCTTCATATCACTTTAATATTTTAATTATGTTTAAGTCGAGAGTTAATGGACGTACATGTTCGTCACCTGCTTTCTGGAAGCAAACCATTTTGTGATATATTTTGGAAGAATTCTTTAAGGTTTATGTCAGTTACTGTATTTAATTTTAAAGTAAACTGTCTGGAAGCAAACCATTTTTGGTGATACATGTATACATATATATTTTGGGAAGAATTCTTTAAGGTTTATGTCAGTTACTGTATTTAATTTTAATGTAAACTGTTATCATACATTAATAGTACAACAGTTATCGGCAGTTTGATCCTATAACGGCACATCCTCTGTTTCGTGCTACGGATAAGTCCTTAGATAAGTGACCCGTGAAGATTCGGGGTAGAATAGGTCTTCAGCAACCCATGCGTGTCGTAAAAGTGACTATGCTTGTCGTAAGAGGCGACTAACGGGATTGGGTGGTCAGGCTCGCTGACTTGGTTGAAACATGTCATCGATCCCAATTGCATGGATCGATGCTCATCTAGACTCGATTATTTACAGATCGCCGTCATATATAGCTGGAATGTTGCTGAGTGCGGCGTTAAACAACAAACCAACCAACCAACCTTAGATAAGTCCTTTCACAAGCGATAGTGTTATCAATGCGATAATTAAATCCGATAGACTTCGAGTTGGTATCGCGATCCTATAAATATGTATATGAGGTACCCTCATATTTTGATCAATGCATGTATGCAATGTTCACTTGCTCAGTAACGTCCTATGTAGTTTAGATATGATTCAGGGCGTGTGGGTGTTTATATCCACAAAAAATGGCTTCACATCATCTGCCACTACATAATCAACGGTCAGGCTCGCTGACTTGGTTGATGCATGTCATCGATCCCAATAACGTGGATCGATGCTCATGGTATTAATCACTGGATTGTCTGGTCCTGACTCGATTATTTACAGACCGCCGTCATATAGCTGGAATATTGCTGAGTGCGGCGTTAAACAACAAACCAACCAATCAATATAGTCTACGGGGCGGTTCACTCCAGCATTGTACTCATACGTGTTTTCTAATGTCACTTTAGTAGGTGAACTTTCGTGGGTCGCATAATACATGTTTTTTTCCATTCCAAAGATATGATATTGACGATAAGCTAATAAGCTCTATGAATTTGTTCCGAGCACTTCTAATTAACAGGGATTCATACTGAAACTTCAGCACTCACAACTGTGACATGTGTCTGTGTGGATGTGTGTGGATATGTGTGTGTGTGTGTGTGTGTGTGTGTGTGTGTGTGTGTGTGTGTGTGTGTGTGTTTGGGGAGGGGGTTGGGAAAGAAGATTGTCGGGTCGAGTTCATTTTAACAAATTACACTTTTTCTTCTTCTTCTCTGTGGGGTTTAACGCCGCTTTTAACATTATTCCAGTTATATCACGGCGTGTCAGCTTAATTTGGGAGAAAAGCCCGAAGTGATGCAGGTCTCAGACGTTTACCACTTCGGTGAAACCCACGAGCACGGGTATGTAGCTGACAAACCTAGAAACATAATCGGGGCGAACCGGGATTCGAACCCACAATCATAGGTTTCTGGCCTGCCCAAGACACGCAACTCTGCACAGCGAATCGCGAATCACAGCTGGGCCACCCGTGTTCCCTTAACAAATTACACTCAATGAAGGCTGATAAATTATTTAACATTGTTAACTTCATTAGATGATTATTCAGAGTCCTTTTGGTCAAGCTTGGTGCAGAGAAACAATGTGCCTTATTTGCATCTTTTCATTCCCAGGTGCCGGTACCAAACCACAAAGGCAGCTTACAGAAACCTTCTCCAACACTATAACTATTCCCCCCAATGGCCGCCAAAGAAAGACTTCCAAGCTGCACAGTGTGTCAAATGCCATATGTCTATGATACCAGAGGTCCCTTTCTCCTCCCATGTCTGCATTCAGTGTGTGAAAACTGTCTAAAAACAGAAAGTGACAGGACGCTTCTGTGTGGTACCTGTCAGGAAACGTTCCCCAAATCCTCATTTCCAATCGATGCTGTAACCAGAAAGGAAATCCTTCTCTCCACCACTGTACACAACACGCATGAGCTGCTGTGTACCAACAGAGAAGATGGCAACCAGGCTATGTCCTGGTGTCAGGAGTGTGAAGCATTTCTCTGCGAACATTGCCAGGTAGCTCACGGGGACATGAAAGCCACACGGAAACACAAGGTAATACTCGTGCAGGATTTGCCTAAGTTTCCACAAACTTTGAAGGGTATGCCATACTGTCATCAGCATTCACTCCACCCTGTCACCTTCCATGATTCCAGCTGTAATGTGCCACTGTGCGCCATGTGTGTCCTGACCGAACACGTGAGCTGCAAGACAGAGGACATTGAAACTGCCTGGAACACACATCGCACTTTCCTTGAAGACAAAGCTGTCACATTGACCGCCAAGTTGGACAGGTTGATGGGTTGCCGAACGCTCCAGAGAGACATAGGTCAAAGCCTAAAGCTACAACAAGATGCTGTTGAAGAAGTCATCAGGTACACCTTCAAGAAGCTGCATCTGATGTTGGACCAGAGAGAACAAGAGTTAAAGATCGAGGTCAATGAATCCACCAAGTTTCTCACACACAGAAGTGATCAACAACTTCTTACACTGGAGGGAGAAGTTGACAAAGTGACACAGAACCTTGACTTTATTCAAAAGTTGAACCTTTTGTCATATCCTGTTGAACATTTTGCAATGATGGACACAATTGACAACAGAACGATGGCTGTTGCTGAATCCGAATTACCTCGAGTCAAGAGTCAGGAGTATTCCTTCACTTTCTCCAGAGATGGCCCCCAAAGGTTGCAGCAACAAATTTCTTCCCTTGGTGGATTATTTACCAATCGTATCGGAGCAGGTAAGCAGTTGTAACGCTTCAAGATGTGCTTCATATTGATACGTTGTGCTTATTCAACCCGTTTAAAATACACAGATGAAATATAAACCACCATGTAAATATGTTTGAAAGAGCTTCACTTGAAATAGAATATATACCGTTCGTGGGCAGTACAACCCTAATGATATTAATGGTTAAGGATCGGTTGTCTGGGGTCATTTGTGAAGTGACTTAATAAATACAGGAATAATACGATGATTCTAGTCAACTGACCTTGGATGAAGCTAGGTGTTTCTGTTTGTAGGTTGAAATGTCATCAGCTTTATGCAGAAAATATTTATGCAATGAAAGTTTCTTTGCAAAGATAACTGAATATCTATTACTTTGCAATGCATGATATTGCGAAACACACCGAAAGATCAAATTATAAAATTTTGGAAGTGTACATACATAGTTAGCGAATCTACAGTAAAAGCATCAGCAAATTACTCAGTAAAAATAACATTGATGCCATCTTTTTCAGATGTTGTTTTAAAGGACAACGGTGGTAGAAACCATATCCTGCAAAGTAAGTATTTTTCTGAATGTTATATAGGTAACCAACTAAACCGTAACTCAGATATTTTGACAATGGGAGCGATGTAGGGCTTCACCCAGATGGGAGCAGTGTACAAGCTATGTAACCATGGAAAACCAGTGTGGGGAACTGAACCACCAATTCGATGTTAAAGTTTCAGATTACTTCTCCAAGTATTCAACGATCCTAATAACAAGGAACGCGCTGTTCTTTACATGGAGGGGGCACGGGATAGACAGTCGTCTAAGGCGCCGCGATTCGCTATGCAGAGTTGCGTCCCTTGGGCACGCCAGAAACCTATGATTTTGGGTTCGAATCCCGGTTCGCCCCGATTATGTTTCTAGGTTTGTGCTCGTGGGTTTCACCGAAGTGGTAAACGTCTGAGACCTGCATCACTTCGGGCTTTCCTCCCACATTAAGCTGACACGCCGCGATATAACTTGAATAATGTTAAAAGCGGCGTTAAACCCAACTCACTCACTCACTTTTCATGAAATATGTCAAAAGTTAGTCAACATTTACTTACCCATTACTTGTACAGATCGACTCTCGCCATCTCTATATTTTTCCTTCCTTCCAGTTCCCCCTCTGAAGATGGACAAAACCAGACTCAACACTGACCTCGTCCATATCAGAGATGATGAAATCTTGATACATGGCAAACAGTTCCAACAAGAACGAAGCCACGGCAGTTTCCGAAACTATTCAGGGACCATCTCATGTCATCCTCTCACCCAATCTGACATTCAGTATTGGGAGGTGAAGGTGTTCCTGGAGCCTTTCCAGAACCCGGGAGGTCTACTGTTGTTTGAGACGGGCGCATGTGTCCAAGCCTCGATTGACGATGGCGAAACAGCTTGTGGCAATGTGCACTCTTTCGTGATGTTTGCAGCACTATGCGATGTTCATAGAGGCATCTGTGTCCAATCTCGAAAGCATGGCAGAGACACCACGTGTTTGCAGAACGTGCTGGAGAACACTGAAGGGGCAGCCACTGATCTTTGGTATGGGTTCTTGTTCAACCCAATGGAAGGGTCTGTGTCGATTGTTGATGTGAAGTCAGGGTGTGTGCTGGTTCAACTCACACACATGGAAACGGGTCTAGAGTATTGGCCAGTGTTTGGGGTTTTCAATGGACATTTGGCGAAAGTTCACATGAGCTTGGTTTCCGGGGTGAACATTACTTTTGACGGGCATAAGAAACGATGGATGCAGAGCGCTTTGGGTTAAAATTCGCCAGAAAAGATTCTCGCTTTGTATACTTCTTCGCGTAATATAAAGTTGAAGTCACTATTTAAAGTTTATATGGAAAATTGTCCCCGGTTACAAAGCCACTGACCAGATGCAGGGCGTTTGGAAACAAAGGATTTTAGCTGACGACCCTGGGTATATAAGTGACCAGACAAGAGGTCTGGGAGAAAGAGTTTAGACCTGGCCTACGACTGTAGCACTACAGTCATCGTCTAAATAAACAGTTGTGGACCCTCAGACGGACTTGTGTTGTTCATGCCGAAGTCATCACTTAGATCATCCAACACTAAGCGTGATACTTATTTGAATGCTTATTGTGTGTTGTGTATCATAGGGTCTGTGAATTAATTCGCAGTTATTGATAAAGAAGTATTTTTCTGCAAATATTAGATTCCGCTGTGATGCGGCCGTCAAAATAACTGTTTAAATCACAGGTTGTTATCATCATTTGAAGCCTAAAAAATCGGATATTCTCCAAAGTCATTGTGAATACACCATATGATACTTCGTCTTCTCAATTGATCGTTATTGGTATGATTTTTAACTCACTGAGAGACCAGGCTTGGTCAATATGGCAACCCCAACAAGTTGATTCTAGTCATTCAAGTGAATGATGACGATCAATCGCACAGTTACTGAAAACCCTCAAGTGGCTCAATTTATAGATGATACATATTTTACCATAAGGCGTTCCGTTTCAATTTAAAAATGATAGGTATCGAATCTACAGTGAGGCGAACTCAAATTCCAATAGACAGTAAGTTTGCTTCCCAATTAACTCCTTCCTCAGGTGGAAATGAGTAAGAGGTTCATAGTTCTTACAAGTTAAACATACATGATACCTTTCTAGCGCAGGGGCGGTTGGGTAGCCTAGTGGTTAAAGCGTTCACTCGTCACGCTGAAGACCCGGGTTTGATTTCCCACATGGTCACAATACGTGAAGCCCATTGATATTGCTGGAATATTGCTAAAAGCGACGCAAAAACATACTCCCTCACTCACTCACTCACTCACTCACTCACTCACTCACGCACTACCAGCGCAGAATTAGAACGTAGTGTTTGCCATGTGTATTTTCATGTTAGATATACAATTATTTAAGAAACAAAGTTTTAGTAGAATCAAACTATGAACCTAATTACAAAAAATTAAAAGAATCTTGCTGCAATCTTTTTCTGACGAGACACAGATTGTTTTTTAGTCCATTTCCGGGATAATAATAAGTCCTTCATACAGACACCTGTTGACTCAGATCAGCTGAAAAACTGACACAGCAAAGGAAGCCTATACCAGGATCTTCACCATCATGACCACGTAAGTTAATATAAAACGTCAAAGCACAGAGAACAGTTGAGTCTCGAGTATCTGTCAAAACAGATTGCTTTGGGTGCAAAAGGCTAAATAGCGGTGAAAATTATGCGAATGGACCACTGAAAATCAGTGATGACAGTGATGAAGCTAGCGTAAATAATTATTACTGCTCTCCAAGTTCTTGCCAAAAGCGAAAAATACATATTGTTGTATAGGTGCACCAAGGTTTAAACTACACGATTACGCACAGAACGACCCCATAGACCTCCTTAAACATCTCAACGCCCAGCACCAGAGAATCCAGTTCACGATGGAGACCGAAACCAATCAACATCTTCCATTCCTAGAGGTGTCCCTCCAAATCACAGATGATGGACTAACAACACCAGTGTACCGCATGTTGACACACACAGACCATTTGCCTTCACAACTGGCACCGGGGCGGTCGGGTAGCCTAGTGGTTAAAGCGTTCGCTCGTCACGCCTAAGACCCGGGTTCGATTCCCGACATGGCTACAATGTGCGAAGCCCATTTCTGGTGTCCCCCGCCGTGATATTTCTGGAATATTGCTAAAAGCGGCGTAAAACCATACTCACTCACTCACTACTGGCACCAGTGACAAAGCAGCTCTGTTATCTTTTTTTAAAACTTCTATGACAGTTGTGGGTAATTTGTCAACGTCAGGACGTCAGCCAATTATGTGTGTGTGTGTGTGTGTGTGTGTGTGTGTGTGTGTGTGTGTGTGTGTGTGTGTGTGTGTGTGTGTGTGTGTGTGTGTGTGTGTGTGTGTGTGTGTGTGTGTGTGTATGTATGTATCCTGCTTATACACGGGTGAATGTGCACTTGTAAAGGTTCAGAGTGAACTCGGGTACTTGGAATTCCGACTCCCGGGGAGTAGAGTTTGGTACAAGCTTATTTCAAAGTGTTAATGATTCAGCCCATGTGTAGTCATGGTTTAGACCGACATGTGTATTCATGGTTTAGATCGACATGTGTAATAATGAATCAGTGAGACATGTGTAATAATAATTCAGTCCAACAAGCAGCTCTATTACCTCTTTTTTTTAAACTTCTATGACAGTTGTGGGTAATTTGTTAATGTCAGGACGTCAGCCAATTATGACGTAATTCAAAACGTTTGCTATGTTGCAGGGTGAAGTACAGTAGGCACCTTTGATCATTTAGTGAAACACCTTTGTAAAGTTTTAAAAAAACATTAAAACAGACATCCTTATTCAGTGTATTTTGTCGAAAGTGTGTGTGTGTGTGTGTGTATGTGTGTGTGTGTGTGTGTGTGTGTGTGTGTGTGTGTGTGTGTGTGTGTGTGTGTGTGTGTGTGTGTGTGTGTGTGTGTGTGTGTGTGTGTGTGTGTGTGTGTGTGTGTGTGTGTGTGTGTGTGTGTGTATCCTGCTTATACACGGGTGAATGTGCACTTGTATACTTGGATTCCGACTCCCGGGGAGTAGAGTTTGGTACAAGCTTATTTCAAAGTGTCACATTACACAGTCACGTATGTTTAGTGCGAGCTGGTCTGTCTCACGGAGCATATCTTGCCACATTGATTAATCCCAGCGTAACAAGGGAGAGAACTCCAAAAAACAGATCGTATTCCAGCCATTCTAGACTAACATATAGTCTCTGAAGTGAACATATCATACAGAAAAAAACAGTTGTTCAGTTATCTTAATAAAAATCTAATAAAAAGGGAGCCCAGTGATTCTTCATTTTCCTGATACTGCAGTAATCTAGACTTGCCAAACATTATAGACTTGCATGGGCTGTAGTTGATATAAATGTATCAGGGTCTGTAAGACAGACTACAGCCAGTCCATCAAGTCTTTTAATGGTTTGCATATGAATACCTCCATTTCACTCGTCAGATATCAGAACTGTTTACTCGTTTCATAGAATTAATATTACACGGGGCCTCGTTTAGTATTTCATTTATTACTTGCCGTTTATGGCTTTTTCTTAATTTCATTGCCGTGTGTAAATAGGCAGACATCTACGCGGTACACAGAATACTTCAATTGCGATTAACAAAATAATACTTTAAACACATTAAAAGTTGACACAATTTAATATCATACTTTAAACAAAGTAATATGGATGTTAGTTGCTAGTATTTTGTGCTGTTACCTGCAATAGACAACGTAATGACTAATCCAACATATGTAATAACGATTAAGGCCGACATGATTGAGTAAAAATGACCCAACCCGACATGTGTAATAATGTTTAAGACCGACATGTGTATTAGTGATTAAGACAGACATGTGTAGTAATGATTAAGACCGACATGTGTAATAATGTTTAAGACCGACATGTGTATTAGTGATTAAGACAGACATGTGTAGTAATGATTAAGACCGACATGTTTAATAATGATTAAGACCGACATGTGTAATAATGTTTAAGACCGACATGTGTATTAGTGATTAAGACAGACATGTGTAGTAATGATTAAGACCAACATGTTTAATAATGATTAGGACCGACATGTGTAATAATGTTTAAGACCGACATGTGTATTAGTGATTAAGACAGACATGTGTAGTAATGATTAAGACCAACATGTTTAATAATGATTAGGACCAACATGTGTAATAATGATTAAGACCGACGTGTGTTATGATGATTAAGACCGACATGTTTAATAATGATTAAGACCGACATGTTTAATAATGATTAAGACCGACATGTGTAATAATGTTTAAGACCGACATGTGTATTAGTGATTAAGACAGACATGTGTAGTAATGATTAAGACCAACATGTTTAATAATGATTAGGACCGACATGTGTAATAATGATTAAGACCGACGTGTGTTATGATGATTAAGACCGACATGTTTAATAATGATTAAGACCGACATGTTTAATAATGATTAAGACCATCGTGTGTAATAATGATTAAGACTGACATGTGTAATAATGATTAAGACCGACATGTTTAAGAATGATTAAGACCGACGTGTGTAATAATGATTAAGACCGACATGTGTCATAATGATTAAGACCGACATGTGTTATAATGATTAAGACCGACATGTTTAATAATGATTAAGACCAACATGTGTATAATGATTAAGACCGACGTGTGTAATAATGATTAAGACCGACATGTGTAATAATGATTAAGACTGAAATGTGTAATAATGATTAAGACCAACATGTGTAATAATGATTAAAACCGACATGTTTAATAATGATTAAGACCAACATGTGTAATAATGATTAAGACCGACATGTGTAATAATGATTAAGACCGACATGTGTAATAATGATTAAGACCGACATGTTAAATAATGATTAAGACCGACGTGTGTTATAATGATTAAGACCGACATTTTAAATAATGATTAAGACCAACATGTTTAATAATGTTTGAGACCGACATGTGTATTAGTGATTAAGACCGACGTATGTAATAATGATTAAGACCGACATGTGTAATAATGATTAAGACCGACATGTTTAATAATGATTAAGACCGACATGTGTAATAATGATTAAGACCGACATGTGTAATAATAATTAAGACCGACATTTTAAATAATGATTAAGACCGACATGTGTAATAATGTTTAAGACCGACATGTGTATTAGTGATTAAGACCGACGTATGTAATAATGATTAAGACCGACGTGTGTAATAATGATTAAGACCGACGTGTGTAATAATGATTAAGACCTTCATGTGTAATAAGAAGATGTGTAGAAATAATTCAGTCCAACATATGTAATAATGATTTAATATAAATGTCTCAACCCGACGTGTAATAATTATTCTGCACGCTGTGTGTAATAACGATAAAGACCGACATGTGTAATAAAGATTCAGACCGACATGTGTAATAATGATTAAGACCGACATGTGCAATAATGTTGATGACCGTCATGATTGTGTGAAAATGACTCAACTC